TAACCCTAACCCTAAACCCTAACCCTAACCCTAACCCTAACCCTAACCCTAACCCTAACCCTAACCCTAAGATGGACAGGTGGATCCCTACGGTTGTTCCGTTCCTTGTGGGGTCGATCGGCTGCTTAGGTCGGCCAATGGCGTTGGTCGGCTGGGTCCACTGCCACACAAGTCGGGCGCACTTGGCTACAGCCGGCGCAGTGAGCCCAGCCGCCCGGGGACCTGCGTCACTCAATCACTCAAGCGCATCAGTGGTCCTCCTCCCTTGACTTTGACAAGAAGATTGCCCAGCTCTTCCTTCTCTACTTTTCTCCATTTGGCGAGCGCTTCGGTGCTCAGCACAACCTTTGCCTTATTGATCAGCAACCAGCAAAGTCATGTATGGCTTTTCTACAACAATAATTGGAGAGTACTTCGTAGGGCGCCATAAGGATTCCAAGGCGTAGGAGTGTTAGCTTTCAAGAGAATTTTTCTTTTTCCCCTAGTAGTGAAGACAATCCTATGTCCCAAAAAAATATTGCAAGATGAACGCCCCGAACCCTCGCGCTACGGCCCCATCCTTTCGCCAGTTCCTCAGTACAGCACCCGAGCTGTCACGAACTAATAAGAACCAACCAAGGCAGTGTTTTCTTCCCGCTCCAGATACTCCTATTTTCTCTGCTTAGGCAGGTCTGATGTGAAGAACGCCAGCACAGTAAGCTGCCCTTGAATGAACTTAGAGGAGGTGATGGCGTCTGGGTTCCGAGGACTCAGTTGACTGAAGGTCTGCTCTACAAGCGTCTTGCATGCACTCTGTCCCGTCCTTGTCAGGCTCGTCACAATCTGGAAACCATACTGAGGAGTACGGCCGGCTGCGCCTGTCATTCGCTACTCACGCATTCGCTGCTTCGGACCTATCTGTGAATTTGAACGTCAGGCTAGGTACAGGTAACATGGCGGGCGAGACGAAGAAAAGCTCCATGACTTCCGCCATGCATATCGCCTGTCGCATGGAAGGAAGCATTATTGGTACGCAGCATCCAAAAGCGGCATGAAAGCCGCAGCATCATCCGGAGCTTCAGACCGATTTGATCATTTGGTTTACTGTTTTGTACCGGTGGTGACGGCTAGGTAGCCTACCCATATTTGCAATTGTCATATCACCTTCATCTCAGCATCAGCGCCGCAATATGTCTTGCCATGGAAGGGAAATAAACAAGCGCGATCATCAGGGCGCAGGATGAAAGAACAACTCAGAAAAGCTAGTTGCGTCAGCGCCTCGGACTTTTCAATGGCATTACTTGGTTCTTCAGTGTGTAATTGAGAAACTTCGATGATACGATGTATGGCAAAACCAAAGTTCCTTTTTCTGGTTTGTCGTGAATGAGCGCGCCGGCTAATCAAGGACCATTGCTCTGCAGGTCGGTTTCTACACTTGTTGTTCGAGCCGCTGCGCCTGTTCGGGGCGGTTAATCAATTGTTAGAACGGAAAAGTGGAAAGTCTATAAGGTATGTAGGAAATCACACAACACCACACCTAACTATGATCCTATGATATATTATACGCTTCCGAACCTCGGTCCCTAGGAGTGATTCACAATCTACAATCGACTTCTGAACAACTTAATATGCGATTTTGGAACCTTCAATAGTCCTGGTCAGGCCTGCCAAAGACAACCCGTCATATAGGAATATTCAGATTTGGTTTAATGTGCCATGTTTGCTCAAGGTTAGATTAATTTTCCCAAGGGGAACTCAATGGAATTTAGTTCTTCGCCCGTAATTCCCTGTCTGACGGCCTATGCTTCGTCCCATATCAGACTAACCCTACTAAACTATTTGTGCCCTTATGTATGTTCCTAACCCCTTTGCAAAGCAGTTGATAAAGCGAGGACAACTAAGAGAAGGAATTAATGATTCACCTTAGCTCGATTTCATTAGTTAGCCCATCGAGTGCGGTAAGGCATTAGCTTTATTGTTCCCATTTTTCATTCACTCTTTACCCCTCATGAAAGGGATACATAAACATATTTAATTGACTTTTGGCTTTCCTAGCTAACTCTACTCTGAACTTCGTAACTCGAATGATTATAGGTAACTGTTCTATCATCTGAATACATAGACAACAGAGGTACCAAGTATCTTCGCTATCAAGTTAGGTAGAAAGAGTCTTGTCTATATTCTAACTAGCTAGTTCCTCTCATGGGTGTGTGGTTGTTGCCTTTCCGCACTTAATGGGATGGATACCTAGCACGTTGTACCACTAACAGCCTTGGTTAAAACCTAGTAGGTCTTGAATAGATTTAGGGTTAGGAACCTAACCAAAGGATAAGATCAGCTATGAATACGGCAGGGCCAATAACAAATAGGGTGTGCTAGTCAGCGTCAACCTGAGGGGGCTTAGCCATACACGCAAAAGATATCATACCATGGTTTCGACGAGAGGTCTGAGGCCGCGATGCAGAGGCCGGACGAGAGAATACTTCTTCAGACGACGTACACCGTAAACAAACGCCGGCAGTTGGAGTCCATGACGTGCTTCTCAGCCCTCCGTCCAGAGCTTACCAAGACTTACGACTGGCTCTATGACGGCATCGGACAGCTCACTTTGGAGTCGGTCACCGAAAGCTTGACTTAGGTCAAAACTGGGCGTCAATTTACCTACAACGGCAACTCTAATAATCTCTCGTCAAATATCACGCATACTGAGAATGTCACAAGGACCAGCAGCATAAAAACCAGTATGAGATAGAATGAGCTCGACCGGGGGACCGACCCCGGGTTGGAATACGACACGAGCGGTCGCCTAGTCCGCGATGACGCGAGCTGCCAGTATACATTCGACAACCAGGACCGATTACTCTCGGTACTGACGCCGGACGGCGCCTTGACCCAGACGAAACATCACGGGGACAGCTCTCTGGCTGCGTTCGTCCGACCGAAAGAGATGACAGACTTCTTTTACACCCGGGGCAAATACGTGACCGCCATCAGCCATCAGGTGGATGGCCAAAAGAAGCAAGGGAGATCCTCCTAAGAGAGGGAGAGAATATTATTGCCTCATATCCGCCGCCCAATACAGTTTCCTCAACTCAATTCTTAGATCGCCATGGGTCCACGTCACTGCAAGTTGCCGGCAACGATTCTACGGCCATCAATTACGAGGCCTACGGATCCTTAATGTCCACGTCACCACTGAACCCACAGACCAGTTTCACCTTCGATCAGGAGCTGACCGACTCCTTCAGTGGCCTGCTCTATCTTCGTTGGCGGTTCTACTAACAAAGGAACAAGGCCTTTATTTCGATGGACTCGTACCTTTTGGAGAACCGCTACGCATACTGCTAAAGAGACCCCATTCGTTACGTGGACCCGTCCGGCAACAGTGTCGCCTCTGTCATCGGTACCATTGTGGACTCCATCGTGGGTGCCGTTGCCAGCGCAGTGATCTCTGGCGCCGCGACCGTAGGCATGGTGGCGATTAGTACCAGTTCCGAAGCCATCATCGTCAGCGTACTCGCCGGTAACGTCGCAGCGAGCCTCGTTTCCGAGGGCTTCGAGGGGGCCTTTGGGGAGGAATTCGATTACGACTGGGGAGGTTCGGTAAGGACATTTTGCTGGGGATTAGGGCGGTAGCGTAGCAGCGGGGATTTACAGGCGGTGGGGGGAGAACGTCAGGATGATGATCGCAGCCACTGTGGCAGACACGGCGATCTAGACCGGGGTCGACCTGCTCTTTGAGCACGATGGTCTCTTTGACCACAAGTTCTTTGTGGGATTCGCAACGGGTGCTATCGCCGTGCTGCTCATCGGCAGGGCTATAGCGCGGCGGGCGGCGCGGAGTGTGCGCCCAACGGAGGAGGGCGTCTCGGGATCCGCGAATGCAAAGGCTGGCTTAGAGTTAGAATTGACTGACACTAAACAGACATCGTCATCGAAAAGTGTTGCTAACGAAGCTCAAGGGCTGTCCTTATTGGTCTTGAAGCGACGCTATGGTTTAAGTGTTGAACTATGCGATTGGGAAAGCAATCAGAGGTTTAACCAGCATCTTGTCGTAGTCAGTCAAAGTTGTTAGATAGAACAAAGAGAGTTCAGGCTATTTAGGGATGAATTAACTATCCAAGCTTAGTGCTTAATTAATTACTATCTTATAAACTAGCACCTTATAACTGCAGCTCACTAATTGACGAAACTGACAGCTTAGAAAAGTAGAACATGAAAGTGTTTTGTTGCGTCAGTTAACGTTAACTCGTTAAAGAAGACTTTGCACAGACTGCAGAAGCTTCAAGTCAGAGCAGCCAGGGCGATGTGTGGAGCATACAGAGCAATCTCATTACCAGCACTAGATATAGAGATGCATCTCTTACCAGTCGAACATCAAAATATGGTAACAAAACATCGATGCCATGAGCAGAGTAGCGATGACCTATTGCCTACTGTTACGAACTAGGTACATAGCAATCAGGCTAGAAAAAATATAAAAGAGTACTTGATTTAGAGAGAGGGTATGTGCCTAGGGAAGCACGTACTTATACGTCTACGGTGTGCGTTTCAGGGAGCTTACGGAAACACACCACGCTCGGTGTGTTCGGTGAGCGTTGACACTATCGTCACACTTACCATATAGAGGAAAAGAATGAGTCAGAGACAGACAGATAGTAAAACGACCACATGATAGGCAAGAGGCCGACAACAAGCAGCATGAAAACATATAGCCTTTTGTGGCTCCTCCATGGTGGAAGTGAGTTGTGCATAGCCATATTCCACGTAAGATAACAGATTACAGCATTTCAATACTCAATACTGGAAAAGATAATGTTGCTACAGTCGAGGTGTGAATGCTATAAATGACTTCCCAATAATTCAACTGTATCTTTTGGTGTCGTTCGTCGAGCCAGTTGACGCTGTTTCTTATTGGTTTCGAAATTGACAGGGTTTACGGTAGTTCATCCGAATACTCACGGGTTATTACGGCAGTCCGCAGGGCGCACTGGGTCAAAATTCAATAATTTCCGCATCGGGTCAATAGGTCTACACCTAAGGGGAGGATTTTTAAAAGGCTCTGATTGGCTGAGAATTACAGGCACTTGCGCGAGTCAAGAGCGAAAAGGGTAAATGCGGGCAGTGTAATTATATATGGGGTAGTTGAGGTAGTTAAGGCAATTAGGGCAGTTGGGGCAGTTAGGGCAGTTAGGGCAGTCAGGGCAGTCAGGGCAGTTAGGGCAGTTAGGGAAGAGGGCAGTTAGGGCAGTTGGGGCAGTTAGGGCAGTTAGGGCAGTTAGGGCAGTTAGGGCAGTTAGGGCAGTTAGGGAAGGGCAGTTAGGGCAGTTAGGGCAGTTAGGGCAGTTAGGGCAGTTGGGGCAGTTAGGGCAGTTAGGGCAGTTAGGGCAGTCAGGGAAGTTAGGGCAGTTAGGGCAGTTAGGGCAGTTAGGCAGTTAGGGCAGTTAGGGCAGTTAGGGCAGTTAGGGCAGTTAGGGCAGTTGGGGCAGTTAGGGCAGTTAGGGCAGTTAGGGCAGTTGGGGCAGTTAGGGCAGTTAGGGCAGTTAGGGCAGTTAGGGCAGTTAGGGCAGTTAGGGCAGTTAGGGCAGTTAGGGCAGTTAGGGAAGAGGGCAGTTAGGGCAGTTAGGGCAGTTAGGGCAGTTAGGGCAGTTAGGGCAGTCAGGGCAGTTAGGGCAGTCAGGGCAGTTAGGGCAGTCAGGGCAGTTAGGTATTAGGGTTAAGGGGGGAGGCGCTATAGCTATAGCGAGGTAAGTATTATAGAACACTATAATTATAAGTAGGGGATTACTACGGGTATAAGCCGGGAGTCAGACTTTAGCAGGGTTCTAGGGTTGACTTTTTATGGGTATACAGGCACGGGCTCCATACTTACCTAAAATTTCTAGCCACTCATATCTTATCGATAACACACCTTAGTGGAGACATTAGCCATATTAGGCAAGTTCTACCCCTCATACCGTATACCTACTAATTTATTGAATTTTGACCCAGTGGTCCCTGCGGACTGCCGTAGGTTATGTCGGGATTCGCATTCTAGTTAGAGCCTACTTCTACTCAAAACTTACTTTCTTATTAGAACTCAACGTATTATTAGAATTTACTTTTATATCGGAATCTACCTTCTGGCTATTCATGTTAACATTCCGAGTAATAAATCCCTGCGTTTAAGATAATGATCTTCCACTAAGGTATCGGGTAAATGAAAGTATCCCCAGATTCATTTCTGACTTATGCAGTGAGTCTTGGCTGAGGTAGGTAAGCAGCTCAGGCGTACGGGACTACCGGTTAGGGGACCGGGTCCTGAGTCAGGATTTTCCAGGAGCCAAGAGCTTATCTATTATACTTCAATTCAGTTGAGACTTTTAACAACACGGCACACTCCGCATCCGCTAAGTCCGAATATACTTTAGGTTTACCATGACTCGCAGTGGACTTCGGCGGGAAAGTTGAATTCCCGTGGCTCTGTACTGCAACAGCAGGCAGCTGTAAGTTGAATATACTATTTAAAGGAGTGATAATGTCCTGTCATTTCTTAGGAGGAAACTGATATCACTCATCACAATACCTCCAGTCGACCACAAGACATCCTGAACAATGCTTTCTCACGCTCTTTTTTGCTTAGCCGCTACTGTAGCTGCCATGATCCAGCCTGCCATAGGGTTGCCTACTGAACAGCTTGAAGCTCGGCAGACTGTATGCTCGCTAAACGAAAAGACCTGGACAGCTACCATGACCGGAACGTGCTCCATTGACGGAGGCCCTGCAATGACTTGTGATCAGAGAACCGATCTCAAGAATCTCGTCGTAAAGCAAAACACGATGCTAAGCGCCACAGGCTTGGGAAATAACAAATTCGAATGCAAAGGATACCAAAATGTAAGTTCAGATGTCGCCCTTGTTTAACGTCGCCTGCTTACATAGCTACCTAGTGGCAATGCTGCTCCTCTAATTAAAGTAAACCTAAACACGAGTTTGGAGAGATTACGTTGGAGTTTTGGGTATTAGTCACTAGTTCCCATAAACCGAAAGCAATAAATCGAGTTTCATAGGACTCGGGTATAGCAGAATCGAAGAAGGCCTAAAATAAGACAAATATTAGAGCATTATTCTTTCTTAGTCTATAAACCCTCCTATATTTTTTGAGATATCTCAGAAATCCAAGAGAATCAACACGCCGTAGCCCACAGCATGTCGAGCAGGGTCTAGTAAGGCGGGAAAGCAAGATGTATCCCGAGGCGGTCAGTAGTTCAGGCATCAGGGGTCTACACAATTGCACCTCAGTTGGGGTCGCGGCGGGACATCCTTCGACTCCGGAAGCTCTCCGCAATGCCGCCGGACTCGCCTCGCTGGACCTAACGATGCATGCCCTGGGCCCCACAACACATCGGGGACATCCATTTCGACGGCCCAGGCCTGGCTTCCGGCCGGTGTAGCCGTCGGCGGGTGTGGGGACCGTTGGATGGATGAACGTACCTATCTCGGCGTCTCATCGAGATAGTACATGGCCATCGAGTGCCCATGTCTGTGCGCGTACGGAAATATCAATCTCTAGTAGTTGAACAGTGACAAGGAGCACAGCCACTACGCTACTCGGTTCATACGAGTGCGTACGGGGGCAGGGAACGTGCCAACAGCTTCCGCAGATCCACGAGGTTGCGTCAATCAAATGGAGACACATGGGACCATGGGAGCCGAGCAATATGGACAGTCACAATGGGTTTGCGAATGAGGTATAAATCTGCCCGCACACGGACGAGTCTCGGCGACGCCTAAGAGGGTTCTTCGCCGCTGCTGATAGCACAGAGGGCAGGGGGCTGTTGGATGCAGTTGGCAGGCTAGTGTTCTCGTGGCTGGTCAACCCTCAGTAACGCTGCGGTGGGGAAACAACGTCGTTCAGGCGCATCGTAAAATCCGCGCCTGTCTCTCGGCCGACTATGACGCTAAGGAGGTTCTCCATGGACTGCAATAGTCCTTGACATGTCGGTTGTGTCGTTTGTTCTCGCTTCTTTCTATCCTTTTCATGTACGGCCTCTTGGAATCAGATGATCGGCACGCATTTGGCCCCGATGACCAGAATATGCGACAAATCATACTTACAGACTGATCACCCGCCGACGACCACGCCATGCAGCCAGAATGATCACATAGTTGCCAGGAATAAATGGCAGTCCAAGCTCAGTTCTCATCTTTCCCCTTCTTCGAAAGTTGTCTTCCTCATTCGAACTGGCGTTGACACTTTCCTCACTGCATATCTCAGCATACCAGCAAGAACCAGAACCTTGGTCTCCATTCACGATCATTTCAAGGCTTGCTGCACGGCTTACGCAACGTGCACCTAAGACTCATGTCCAACAACCTTCTTCATGATGACTGTAAGAGAGGCGGTCTAAAAGTAGTTAAACTTCATCTTGATAGAGGTTCAGACAATAACGTATAAGGCTGCAGCTGCAGCAATTCTATCCAAACCGCCACTGCGAAAGGCCATCGAAGGCCTTGCAGCTCCTTCTAGGTAGAGGAGCAGCTGTGAACTCGCAGGGCGGCCTCAACGGTAATGCTCTTCAGATAACCTCTCGGAGGGGCTATTGGAAGATTGTAAGGCCTCTTCTCAAAAAAGGGGCAGGTCGGGGTGTCGTCACACTGTTCTAGAAAATGGGGCAGATATCAATGTACCCGGACGCGGAAGTCACTGCTCTCTACGCTGCGTACGAAGTACACCACCGAGAGATCTCAGCGCCGGCTGCTTCTCGACGACGGAGCAGACATCCACGTGAGGGGCTGTTCTTACAGATACGCTCTCTGGGATACCGACGTAGGAAAACATCAAGACATCCAAGAGCTCCTCATGAGTAGAGGGGCAGATGCAGCAGACAAGGGCTGGATGGAGTGGGCTACTGAGAGAGCGATCATACTATGGAGATAGGCCACTGCTGGAAATACTTGCCAACTATACTACCCGGGAGCCGTCAACCGATCACGCAGCGCTGAGGAGGACCCTGGCTTTCGGCCCATCCTATCATACGACGCAGTGCAGAACCATAAATGTCTGCGTAAAGACTTCTGTACATAACACTTTGACGTGCTTTCTAGTTCTGTCTTCGTGTTCCTGTGTTGTGATACCCGGCGCGGAGCAAGATAGAGTGATGGACGAAGACGTCAAGCATGCCTGACTAGGCTTTATGGAGGCCCTAACAGCTTCTCATGACCATTACTCTTGACTATGCAACCCCCTATTGCTCTACTTTGCCTAAAATCTAGGTGTTGACTATTTTAGGGCAAACAAATCTGCGTGCAATAAGTCATCTCCATCGCTTCTCGACGTTACAGCAATAAGCGACCGCTGTGATCGCTTGGCCAAATACGACATGACATAGCTATCAACTCGCCGATGAACTGCTCAAACGAGCGAGCGCTTTGGTTCCGAAATCCGAGGCGGTCTTCCCGCAGCTCTTGGCGCCGATTTAGCAGCAACTGCTCCGACGCTATTGGATGCAGGTTGACGTGGCGAGTTGACAAAGCATCGAGACCTATCGCGCAGCAGGACATCTATTACACCGTACCTCCGACGTTGAGTCAATGAGCGGCACTGGCCCCGAAGGGAGGGGCCTGCGTGATGTTGGTTGCATTCTTTCTCTCTCCGTTGGGAACGAATGATAGGACTAGGAGCTCAAGGTACTATATTACATTCGATGTAGGAGGCCAATAAGTGCGCAGGCTACCCGACCCTCGAATATGTAAGGTAAAGCTTGGGCCTTTAAATGATGAGAATCGACTGCTCTATGAGACGTGACATGCTTTACGCTCTGCAACCACACCTAGGTTTGCTTCCATACTCACCCTCGCTGATAATTCACTCAGCGTTACAGCGACTTGCCAGCTGCCCTGCAAACCCGGTATGTTCCCTATCCTATTCAAGGCCATTTCAGATTGAGCCGACGAAGGTATAGTGTACTAATAAGATTGGCGCAGTACTATTAAACCGTTTACGAGTTGAAGCCGGGATAGTGTCTGTGTTCTTATTTGGAGAAAGTCTAGTAAAATTGCTTAACAATAAAGTAAGGCTTCTATAAGTTAGGTGCTGCAGCCCTTAACCAGAATGGGAACTGTTTAGTTAGTTTCAAACAAGGTTAAGGCTGCATCCGTTGAATATCCTGCCTGCACTTGTCTCTACACCCTTGCCAGCCACGAAGCCCGCTTCCAGGACTTAGACAGGGTGTACAGAACCCCTTGGCATTTGGTCACTTCTTGCGAAGCCCAATTTATGTTCACCAGTTTCATTATGCTTTTGCCAGCTCCATTAAGTCACTTAAACTTTGCAGAAGAACGGAGATTCGGAAGTATCCGGGGTTGAATTATCAAAATGTCCTGCAAGGCATGTTGTTGGCGTGGATAAATCACTGGCTCTAGTGCGTGATCTCAATTATCCCAATACATGCTCAAAATAATGTTTCCATTTGATAATTCTTTTCAGTACGCCGCGAAAGGCGCAACTGCTCCCATCGATTTGTCCTATCCCCCTAAGACTTAACCGGCACCGAGAGCCACCAGCCGGAGATAGGCTGAACTGTGCTTGCAGAATCATCCTGGATCTGCATGCCGATTGATCCAGCCCGCAAAGACATTTTAGTCTTAGCCACTCGGCTCTCCTTCCCTAACATCTTCTCACCGGAAAGCAACAAAACCGGTATCTCAGCGATAGCCATAGGAAGGTTTTTCCGGTCGATTGTGGGAAACACAACTTTGCCAAGCTTCATTGCGCTGAACGGTAAGTCCACCGGTGGCAAAGTGATGTTGGGTACCTCCGTATTCCTGTGCTTACCATGCCGCGATGAGACCCCAGGAGGAGATGTCCAAGACGGTATAGAGTCTTCCTGGTCGCTATCGCTGTCATCGTTGTCTTTGCTGAAGCCTCCCCAATAGCCTCGCATGTAGCTCTTCATCTCAGAACCATACCAGTGAGGACATCTATCACCGTCTATAGTCCACCAGCAAAAGGCTGTCAACCAGCCCGACAGCTGCGTTGGGACACCAGAGCCCTTTGGACCCTCCACATGTACTGCGCGCATCCAGAACTGCTTGATATCGTCGTCGTCCGGTCGGTCAAAGCTTGCAACCATGTACTCAATTACTTTGCTAAGCCGTAAAGCCCAATCTGCCAAATCTTTGTTGAGAGAGCCGATCCATGATATACGAGCTAGCATGCTAGCCCAGTCCTCTCGCGCACCAAGCAAGGTAACAGATGGAAAACCACATCCAAAGAAAACTTGATAATCAAACCATTCTTTCATCAAGCCCAAAAATGCCACAGCTGCTACAGCTTTATCGTCCGTAGTTGTGGTTGTAAAGCTAGGGAGGAGCATCGTGGTGATTTTAGCGTCTTTGAGTTTAGCTGTGACCATTCCAGCTAACATCCTCGCAACAATACCAAAATCGACAGTCTCCAGTGTCGTAGATTTGCCGTCTATATATTGGACATCAAGAGTGAGCTCTAGCTTGCCTGCGTGAGCGACAAAAACATGACGAAGATCCGCTTCATGCTTGATAATATAGAATCCGAGCTGGATTAGAATTGCCAACCAAACGTCGTCAGGTCGCAACCGGAGGTGAAGATCCTGCTGAAATGCACGGATGATAGTGTGCACAAACCCGCTCTTGTTGGGTGCAATACCGAATTCTGTATCTAGGGGCGACGCACTAATAATCTGTTTTAGAGGTGGCGTTTCTAGGAAGGAAAAGTAACTAAGGACTTCAGGTGTAGAGAGCTTAACTGCATCCCTATTCCGGCCGACAATGTTAGGCTGCGGCTTAATGACTACTGGCATTGTAGTACAAAAGTGTGAGATGAAAAGAGAAAGAAAGGTGGAGTGATGAAAAATTATAGGCGATGTCTAAGCTATTTAAGGCAGTTTGATTACTAAAAGAGTTAGACTAAAGGCGCCCCAGGCAAGCATAAGATTAAAAGGGTTACTAATATCTACTCTTACTTAAATATAACTCTCAAAGTATTTTATTAAGAAAACTTAACTTTACTATTCATTAAATATCTTAAAACTAGGCATGAAAAATAGATATGCCTACTTTAAGTAAATCCCTGAATATTATACTACTCCGGTAGAACAACTATTTAACACTAAAGAGCCATAGACCCTAATTGTAAGAACGTATATTTTATTAGAGCCTTAGACAGGGATATATTCACCAATGCCTTGGCCGTTGCCAAGACCGTACAGGGGTATGTGTAGCCTAAGAGAGCACTACCTATATAGACACGGGGTTTTCCTACATTTCCACAGTCAAAACTATCATCTCTTTTTTCCTCCTACACATACACACTCGTTACCGCTATATCAAAATGCAAGACGGCCCTGCTGAGGCTTTAATATTAGCTTCGCCAACCCACCCCCCATTGGAGACGTACCTCAATCGTCTAAATCCCCAGCCAATATCAATCAACACGGCATTCGATCGCTTCCGATGGCCTGCTTTTGCTCCGATTTCTGAGATCAGAGTTCTCAGGGACTCTGCGGATGAGGACTCTGAGCAGGACCTATACCAGGCTAAAGACAGGGATGGTACTTTCTCGCTTCACCATATTGCTAGCGAATCGTATACCAACCCTCCAGTATCCTCGATAACAACTTCAATCGACATTCTATACGAATACAGCTGCCGAGTCACATGGGAAGAACTTCATATAGTTGATCGTTACACAGTAGGAGACGATGTCGATGTCCCTTGTAGCTGCTGTAATCGGATGCCGTACTGCGAACCGAAGCCACTCATCATCCGTGCAACCTCGAAGACATATGTCACTATCGAAGACATTGTCTCACAAGTGACTGAATATGTTAATAGTCTACGGGAGGATATTCTTGAGGCTTTGGATGCTGTTGGAGAGCATTCTGGAGAAAGAACCCCAGACTTTTCTTCCTGGGTTTTCTTTTCCCGCAACAGTATTAACATTGAAGAGGCACGCTCTCTTGAAGAGCTAATCAAGACTTGGAGATACCGTGCGAAGGTTGTGCGAAGAAGTCGTCTGGGTTTGCATTATAAACCGGTAAATCTATCTTGACTGGGGTGTCATAAAAGGAAAGTAACTAGGCTAAGACTTGCTATCAATATGACTAGAATATGGTCCATGGTCCGCGTTAATAGTCGTCGTGATATATGAGATGTATCTCTTCTCCTCCCACAGCTTCCGTTTTCTTTCATTATTTATCTCACCTTACCTGTTCTATTTTTACCACTTCTAGAGGGGGATAGACTGCTTCGGACAGCAAACGGTACTCTTTTAGAGCATACTTACACGCCGTCTTTCTATTGTTTTAAATTGCATAAATTGTATCTGTGTGTGAATTAGGAGATTGACTTTAACCAGGACCAAAGACCATCATTTAAGAATGTAAGCCACTGGGAGTGAGTGATTTCCTATGTACATGGCTTGTGAGTGTTCTAATTCATCAAAAGTGGAACATCCTAATTTAAGAACATATCCACCTTAAAAGTTCAACCGTAAGTTCTGTAGTCCAATTATTCTTTCCCCCCCAAGAATTGTATCGTAATTATTCAGCTCTAGTTTTCGGCGAATCTCGCAAGTCTCAGACAGTGAACTATGCACTGCCCATTTGCGTAATGCGATAACGGTTTTTCGGATAAATACTGCTTGTTAGGGGCACTTGTTCATTCTGGTTTAGCTCTCGGTCTTAAATAGCATAAACTTACGCCAGCATAATTGTCAATGCAAAAACGCTCAAACTGCTCTCGCCACGCTATGTATCCAACCTTACTGCCGCTGCACGTAGCCAAGAAGGATAAAACATAGCACGGGCAACTTTTCCTTGCTTCCGCAGATAGGAAAGTTAACCTAGCTAAGTGGCAGGCCCACGGTAACTTTCCTTACTCTGCCGGATAAAGAAATTTACCTTTCCGAGCACTAGGCAGTAAATAAGACTCGATTAAATTCTGAATCCCAACCCAATTAATCATATATATCAGCAACAAGTAACCTTTGCTCAGGAGCAACCAGGCGACTCTCGGGAGATTAACTATATAGATCACTCTCATAAGCATCTTTTAAACAATCCTTTTGTTATCAAAGCTAAACGAGCTACCTACGCCTTAACTTGTGCGACTACCTAATACAGCGAGACCTAGCAGATTACCTGCAGGACCTGTATTTACCGTTTTTGAAGGTCAATCTCAGTAAACCGTTGGGAGAATTAACCACTGTCGGAGATCTGGCCATAAAATAGCTTTACACAACTGCATGCCCATCTTCGAGAGAACCGCCAAATCCTGCCATCGGTTCAATCAACAATCATGCAGAACATGGAAAAGACGCGTGTTGTCATTGCAGGCGGGGGACCGGTTGGCTTGTTTACGGCATTTCTCCTCGTCCGCCAGAACATCGAGTGCATCGTCTTAGAGAGACGTCATGACGTATCGAAGCACCCTAAAGCCCACACCCTCAATCCGAGGACACTCGAGATATTCCGCCAGGCGGGATTGGATGTAGGTCATATCCGACAACATGCAGCCACGGCTAAAGATGCCGGGTCAGTCCGTCTTGTCTATGGCCTAGCCGACGCTGAGATTGGCTGCTTCCCTTACGAACGCCAAGACGATAAGGTTCGCAGTCTGACGCCCGAACCTTTGGTGAATTGGCCGCAGCCAGATCTCGAGAGCTTTCTCGAGAAGGCAATAGCCGAGACGGGTCTCGCCGAAATCAGGAGGGGTTGGCAGGTTGAAACAGTCGATATCATGGAGACAGAGGATGCCGGTTGTGTCGTCTCGTGTAGCCCTACCAGACAAGGCGACAAAGCAACCCAACACAGCATTCAGGCTGATTTTGTTATTGGCGCGGACGGCGTCAACTCGACCGTGCGGAGCAAGATGGCCGGCATGGACTTCAAGCTCATGGGACCCGGTCATGCCTACCAGTCCACTGTCTGCAAAGGCAGTCTGCGTTCCGCGCTTCCACCGGGTCGCGAGGCCATGCTCTACTTTTGCTTCCACCCCGAGCACCCCAGTGAGTTCATCGCACATCATCTTGATGCCTCCTTCGTCCACGTCACGCCTGTCATGGACGCCGGGTCAGCTGGCGGACGATGCAAGGTACCACCAGTCGAGGCCTGCCTACCAGGTCTGGAATACTCGGAGGTTCTTCGTACCATCTGGGAAACGGCCCCACGCGTAGCATCCTCGTACAGCGACGCGAAGCACCGCGTGTTTCTCGTGGGTGATGCCGCTCACAGCCTGCCACCCCAGGGTGGCCTAGGCCTCAACACAGGCATCGCCGATGCTCACAACCTGGTGTGGAAGCTGGCTGCCATCATCAAGGGAACAGGCACTCGGGACTTTCTGAAAAGCTTCACCCGTGAGCGAAAACCCGTCGCACTCGCAAATCTCGAGTATTCCGTCGCCAGCGAGGCGGCTTTCTACCCTGTCAGTACCACGCTAGTCGGCCTCGGCGTTCAGTTTCAGAAATCAAGGGAACTATCGTCTGATCTTACCATGGATGCATTCCTCCAACGGCCCGCCATTTCCACGGTGGCAGCGGAAGCCGTCGCGGAGGCAAGCAAACACTTTAACTCGCTAGCCCTCCAGCTCGGATTCGTTTACGACGACCCGTCCTGCACGCGGGTTATTCTTGATAACCCGACGAAATACGTGCCACGAGCGTGTCCCGGGGCAAGGCTGCCACACGGAACCGTCAGCAATGGGCGGTCAATCTTGGACCTCGTGCCGTACGATCGATTCACCGTGCTACACTATGCCAACCCCGTATTCGCATCCTGTGACTGGGCCATCGATGTGGCAAGTCTTGGTCTGCCAGAAGCTTGGTATGACGTGGTACCGGAAATCAAGGAGGGGAAAGGCATCATTGTAAGACCGGACCATCATGTATTGCTGCATGTGGAAAGCCCAGTCCAGGCGGACAATGCGATAAGGGAATATTTCGATCGGGGGAAAGTGTGCGTAAATTAGGCCGATTACTTGATCAATGCTCTGTGAGTTTCTTTGTCGAGATACTCCCATGTGAGGACAGTAACCTTCTTTACCTCCGACTATTCAAATAAAGTTTCGTGCATGTTCATGAGAGGTACAGATGAGCTACTGCAGTTGGTCTTACCCTTCGGTAAAACGTCAAGTCTATCTGTAGTGGACCGAGACAGCCTAATGCAGTGAGAGTTTTGAGCCAAGTCCTCTTTTTGCTAGGTCAGGTTTAACTCGCATCTCGGTCGCCTTCTTCCAAGGCCGTCCACCAACAGAAAGGTTTATATAATTATACTTTACTTTTGTGGGAATGCTTATAGCATAGCAGACGGACCGGAAATTTATCCAAATATTCGCCTCCATGGACTCCAGTTGTCACTACGTCATGACAACTTAAAGGCAGTTAAACTTTAGCCAACTCTATTTGTAGCCATTTCGGGATTGGCTCGGTCCCTCCTCCATCCCCCTCCCTCTCTTCCGATACTAGATGGGGAAGACCGACGACACGCGTTTGTCTGCATTTGTAGTTTACTACGACATATTTCCCGAGTAAGAAATTCAAAAATTGACGTATATTTCATAATGAGACTGAAGGGATCTGATTTTGGATGATAATAATGGTTTAGGTCTCTTGATCTACGTGTGGAAACTGTTTCTTGAATTGATTTAATGCCATTCAGCCTACTGAAAGGAGATGTTGCATGTCGCTTGTATTATCATTTACCGTGCAGTTCAAACAGATCTGAAGGCTGCAGTTGAACCAAGTGAATTCTTCCCTGGTTGGTATTAGCAGCTGGCCATAACTGCAATTTCATTTCACAACGATGGCTGCCGCATACTCCACCAACAACAGGACGGAGAGCGGGCGACCGGTGGTACGGAGCAGGCGAACATCCACCCAACCCCAATCACCACCAGCTACCGCGGTCGGATCTTCACGCCAGTCGCGACCTCTTTCCTCACTCGTCAGTTTTCCGGGAGTTCCCAGTGGCAGCCGGCCCAAATCCGTGCATATATCTGCGGACGAGTATAAAGCCATCACCGATCTCGTCGAGCTAGCCAAGGAGTTCCTCGAGAAGCAACAAAGTGGCGATGTCTCGACGTCGTTGAACCAAAACGACTCTCCTAACGTCTCGAAGCCTCCAAAACAGAATGGGCCCCTCGACCCCTTTGGTGCCAACTTCGACGCCCGGAAGTGGGCCGAGTCCTTCTACCGCCTCCGCTCCGATTGCTGCGAGGTGCGTAAGGCGGGCGTGGCGTTTCGCAAGCTGAGCATATCTGGCCATGGGTCCGACACGGCGTTCCAGAAAACGGTAGGCAACGCGTGGTGGCTGAAGGCTGTGTCAGCTGTACGTTGGCTGTTGCGCATGAAGTCCCAACAGGTGCGCATACTGCAGGATCTCGAGGGAGTGTTAAATGACGGTGAGATGCTGTGTGTACTGGGTCCCCCGGGCAGTGGGTGTTCGACCTTTCTGCGGACGATCGCGGGGGACTCGCAAGGCACGCAGATGGCGGAGGATGCCTATCTTAACTACCGCGGCGTGAGTGCCGACGAGATGAAGCGCTATTTCAGGGGCGACGCCATCTACACCGCCGAGGAGGACGTGCATTTCCCGATGCTCTCGGTGGCGGACACGCTTTTCTTCGCTGCGCGGGCGAGAGCACCTAAGACCCGACCCGGGGGACTTTCGGCGGACGAGTACGCCCGACGCGTAAGGGACGTGACCATGGCCATGCTGGGAATTCAGCACACGATGCAGACACCCGTCGGCGGCACAGAGGGCGACACGGTGCGCGGCGTGTCGGGCGGCGAGCGCAAGCGTGTGAGCATCGCCGAGGCAGCCCTGAGCTTCGCGCCGATTCAGTGCTGGGACAATAGCACACGAGGGCTCGATAGCGCCACGACGGTCAACTTTTGCAGGACACTGCGGGTCCAGAGCGACATCATGGGCATGACGAGCGCGGTAGCCATCTATCAGGCTCCGCAGGAGGCCTATGAGCTGTTTGACAAGGTTCTGGTTCTCTACAAGGGACGACAAATCTACTTTGGCAAGACGACGCAAGCCAAGCGCTATTTCCAGCGACTGGGCTTCGTTTGTCCTTCGAACCAGACGACGCCGGACTTCCTAACGTCCATGACCAGTCCGGCTGAGCGTGAGGGCATCATTAAGCCCGGCTACGAGACAAAAGTCCCGCAAAGCCCCGATGAGTTTGCAGAAGCGTGGCGGACAAGCAGCCACCGCCGCCAGCTCGGCCAAGAATTGGACTCCTACGACACATCTTTTAGTCTGACGGGCTCGCGTACTCACTATGCTGACTTCCTGGCGAGCAAAAAAAGTGACCAGTCGTCGTTGCAGCGATGGAAGTCGCCTTACACCCTCTCGTACCCGCGGCAGGTTCTGCAATGCCTGTGGCGATCTCTTGCGCTGCTCAAGGCGGCTCCACAGATGACGGTGGCGATGCTTGTCATAAACTTGTTCCAGACACTCATCGTGGCCAGCGTCTTCTTTCGGCTGCCCAACACGGCCGAGTCTATGAAGGCGCGCAGCACGCTTCTGTTCACCGCCGCGCTGGTCAACGCCTTTGGATGCGTGCTCGAAGTGGGTGCCTTGTACGCCAAGCGCGCCATCATTGAGAAGCATGTGCGCTTTGCTCTATATCACACCTCGGCTGAAGCCATCGCGGATCTGGTCATGAGCCTGCCGTACAAGCTGCTCAACGCTATCACGGTCAACACCATCTTCTACTGGATGTGCAACATGCGCACAGAAGCTGAAGCGTTTTTGTTTTTCGTGCTGGTCCAGTTCGCCATGACGCTTGCTGTGAGCCTGCTTTTCCGATTTGTCGCTTCGGTGACCAAGAGCCACGCGGCGGCCATGGCTCCGTCGACCATAGTGCTGCTTACGCTAGCGTTGTACACCGGTTTCGCCGTCCCGCCTATGTATTACAAGCCGTATGCCGCGTGGATCGCCACGGTCAATCCCGTGGCTTACGGTTTCGAGGCCCTCATGATCAATGAATTCGGTGACGGGCGTAGGTTCCCTTGTACGGTCTTCGTTCCGTCTGGCCCGACCTACGATACGGGTATGATGACGCAAACACGTGTCTGTGCTGCGCAAGGAGGTGTCGCGGGTGCAACGTTCATCGATGGGAGCGCTTACATCACCGGTGCATTTGGGTATCTGGACAGCCATCGGTGGCGGAATGTCGGCATTATTTTTGCGTTCTCTGCTGCATATCTTCTGCTCCATCTCATTGCGACGGAGCTGGTGGGTGGTGAAAAGAGTAACGGAGAGATGCTTGTTTTTCCAAGGGGAAAAGTCCCCATCAGGCGGGCAAGAGACGTGGAGAACCATATCACCAAGGCCGAAGTAAGGACAGCGGCACCGAGTACGAGCAAGCCCATGGCTTCCCTTCCTGTCACGCCTGTTGCGCCTGTGTTCATGAAAAGCGGGCATGGCAATAGTCAATTCGCAGGTATCTATACTGATGGGAGTTATCCAATGACAACGGGGAGTGGAAATGATGCCGGCAGAGATTCGCTTGCCAAGTCCTGGAACTGGCCGCAGGGGCAAAACGTGTATAAAGACCGCAGCGGAAGCGATGACGACGGCGACCTGGGTATCGATCGTCAAACGGCCATCTTCCATTGGAGCAATGTTTCCTACGAAGTCAAAGTCAAGAAGAATGAGATGAAACGGATCCTGGATGGCGTGGATGGCTGGTGTGAGCCGGGGACGCTCACTGCGCTCATGGGCGTCTCGGGTGCCGGCAAAACCACCTTGCTTGACGCCCTCGCCTCACGCCTGTCTATCGGCGTGGTAACTGGCGAGATGCTCGTCGACGGTGCCCCGCGTGACGCTTCCTTCCAGCAAAAGACGGGTTACGTCAAGCAGCAAGACCAGCACCTGATCACGTCGACAGTGCGTGAAGCCCTCACTTTCAGCGCTATCCTCCGTCAGCCAGCGCGTTATTCCCGTAAGCAAAAGATTGCGTATGTCGACAAGGTCATTGGAATTCTTGGTATGGAGGAATATGCCGACGCGATAGTGGGCGTGCCTGGAGAGGGCCTAAATGTGGAACAGCGGAAGAGACTGACCATTGGTGTTGAACTGGCCGCCCGACCTGCTCTGCTGCTGTTTCTAGATGAGCCCACCTCTGGCTTGGATTCGCAGACGAGCTTGTCCATTTGCACTTTACTCGAGACATTGAGACAGAACGGCCAGGCTATACTTTGCACGATTCATCAGCCGTCAGCAGTTGTGAGTTGCGCCTATCTAGGCAGCCATTCTTTTTACTTCTTGAATTGCATTGCTAACATCACATTTTATCGAACAACAGCTCTTTGAGCGGTTTGATAGGCTTCTTCTCCTGGCTCGTGGCGGACGTACCGTCTACTTTGGCCAGATCGGACGCAACGCCAATGTCCTGGTGGACTATTTCGTCCGTAATGGCGGACCATCGCCAAGAAAGGGGCAGAACCCCGCTGAGTACATTCTCGAACAAGTCAGTGCCAGTGGTGATAAGGCTGTAGACTGGCCCGACATCTGGCGGCAGAGCACCGAGTATGGCGAGGTCAAGGCCCGCCTTGCCCGCTTGAAAGAAACCGGGAGAGGGTATCACACAAAACACGCAACTCAACAGCAGCAGGATCCTGACTTCGCCGCCCCCTTTGCTATCCAGCTCTCAGAGGTAGTCAAACGTGTAGCCCGACACTACTGGCGCAGCCCGGGTTATATTTACGCAAAGATGCTGTTGACGTTTGGTGCCGCCCTCTTCATCGGTCTCTCACTGCTCAATATGCCAAACACTCAGGTGGGCATCACGGCCCAGACTATCGCCATCTTTATGTTCCTCACGACGCACCTCAACCTGCTGCAGCAGATCCTGCCTATCTTCGTAGCGCAGCGCACGCTCTATGAGGGCCGCGAGCAGCCGTCACGCACTTACTCGTGGGCTGCGTTCATGGGGGGCCAGGTGGCTGTCGAGATGGTTTACAACGCTCTGATGGCTCCGCCAGCGTTTTTGGCTTGGTATTACTTAGTTGGGCTGTATCGCAACGCGGCAGAAACAAACGACACCGCCGCGCGCGGCGGTCTAGCTTTTTTGTTTATGCTCGTCTTCTTCTTGCAGGCGAGCACATTTGCGCACATGATTGGAGCCGTGTTCAACCTCCCCGACCAGGCCGCCGGTATCGGCAATCTCATATTTGTCATGATGTTCATCTTTAACGGACTTCTTGCCGCGCCACCCAACTTCTGGGTGTGGGTGTACCGCGTCAACCCATTCACCTACCTGGTTGAAGGTCTGTTAGGCACAGGGCTAGCGAACGCAGGTATTCACTGCGCGAAGAATGAGTTTCTTCTCATGAACCCGCCGCCCGGGATGACCTGCGGCCAGTACTTACAAACCTATATCGCCCAGGCGGGCGGGTACCTTGCTGATCCGGCCGCCATGGGAAACTGCAGTTTCTGCACTACGAGCAACACAAATGAGGTGCTGGCCGGGGTGCACGTCGAATTCGGCAATCGCTGGCGCGACTTGGGGATTTTGTTCGCGTACGTCTTTGTTAACGCCGTGCTCGCTTTTGCTTTGTACTGGGTACGTGTGCCCAAGCCCAAGAAGGATAAAGACGGTAAACCATCGCCGTCTAAATCGCCATCTGGCCATCATAGCAAGAGCATAGACTCTCCCCCTGAAGCTTGGAACCGTCTAACAGTGGAGAGTGGGTCAGGCGATGCTGGCGAGGACTCGCCAAAGCGTCGTTGGGACGAGAAACGAGCGAATAAGTCCTTGAGCGGTGACACCTTGCAAGCCAGGAAAGTGCCGGGATCGCTTCGATCGTCCATTAAGGGCAGTAAACAGGGACGCCGAGTCAGTCATCTGCTTGGAGGTAGCGGCAAGAGGTATTGGGATGATGAAGATGACAGTATCAACGATATCTTAACGCTCGACAATGAAATGGAGGAAGATAAGAAGGATAAGATGTTGAACGACTTGGACGAGGGCAAAGATGACAATGAGGACTTGACTATGGGCAATTTCTCCATGCAAAGGCCTCCCACGTTTCCTCATTACTGGATTTGATAATCGAGGATGTAAATGGATTATTTGAGCTAATATTGAGGCGAACGACTTTTGCTTTGTTTCATTGTTTCCTTCCTCGTGTAAGTCTTCAGTCTGTTCTTAGGTTAATGTAATAGCGGTGATATAAAACCCCAAAATAGCAGCCTCTTAGGACGTCAATCTACTGGTCCGGCATAAAGATGGATAGCTATTGAATATGCTAGAAAATCAAAACCCCATGGTCTTAATATCGAGTCTGACGGTACTGGATCTCATCGCTCTCTGGATTTGTACGTTTTAGTAGATACATCATAAAGACGCCGGCGTTTCTCAACACCATCCCAGCCTGGGTATGATATTGCTTCGTCCGATCCAAGGACTGAGACTTCCTATCATATCACAGTATTATCTCAAAATGCAATAATGACAGGGGCGGCAGACCCTCGATACTGTCGTACGGGCCATAGTATACCTTTGACAGGCAACCTCATCCGGGAGGCGTAGCAGAAACGAAGGTCATCACGGTTAAGATGCATTACAAATGCGTTACCACCTACCATCTCGTTCATCCACGTCGACGACCAGGTTCATTCTCCCCTGCCCTGCTCCTATCCAGCCGGCTTCCAATATAAATCAGCCCAGTTACAGTCCAGGATTTACCTGCGGTATTTTACCTGCTTCACGTAACCCCTTTTCGACATTGATGTTCGCCCACCAATTATCCACGTCACCCGGTCACACAGCCCACTTCTGCAGCCCGTAATGTTCGCCGATCTTCTTTTCGGAGTAGTCTACCCCATCAGAGATTCAAAGAGCTAACAATTCGACACAATACGATTTTCACTGGCATTCTATCACGTTTTCTTTTGTCATATTTTTCCATCAACCAAGTCACTTCGCTGCCATCCATTCCGTCTTCTTTTACCCGCGTAGTGTTGTGTGACTGTGTATGTAGCGTCATGGAGTTACATCGCAGTAGTTTGTACCTTAACCCATTGTGGGTAGCCTATTTTGATAAACCCATTTTCAATAGGAGGTAAGAAGCGTTTGCAGTGAAACGCTTGCCACATCACCTCTTTGCTGGGCTACTGTGTGGATATTGTGTTCTGGTTATGTTTTGGACGTGAGTGGATATTACATCACTTCGTCGAAAACAGTTCCCCACGTGATTTTGGACGGTTTTTCATTATTAATCAGCATCACGCTGGTAAATTTCGACCTTAAAACCATCTTGAATAATGGAATGCAGCACAGCCCAGCAAACTTTCAACATACTATGTTAACGATTAGGTTGCAAAATATAGGCAATGTTTTCGTGTTTACGTAACTTTTTTTGCCAGCTTCAGCCAAAAGAGGCCATGATCCCTGTCGCTACAAGTAGCAGGTTTCCCAATTTTCACAGGTGGGAAAATATCTGATTATTTACTTGAAAGATCCTCCTTTGACATTGGATGCCAATACGTGATTGACCCCCAAGTCCAAGACATCACACAATACCTAGTCTTCATTCCCCATATCTTTGGCCACACCTTCCTCGTTAATTCTTAGATTTATTGGCTGAAAACCATGATGGTTGATTGCGAATCGGGGTCAAAACCGTTAGCCTTGCAGGAAACCTTGGAACCAAGATCTCAAAACCATCCTAGTGTAGGACTGGCTCCAAGTTATTACCGTTCATTGGCCGTGTTAATATTCAGATCACAACCAAAGCATCATTGTCGTATGATAAGGAGCAGAAATAAATTATCCCATTTAGCTGCAAGAAACCAATCTAGTATAGCTATCGACTGTATTGAGTTAGCTTGGTAGTTTAAAGTCAATATTTCACGGTTGTAGGGTGCGGGAGAGTTTCAAATACACGCAGAGTACCTTGATCTTCATCTTTGAGTGGTTAGTGAATATCCTGATCGACCTGTCCTTGACCAAGACACAACTTTTGCGTTATTAAATCACTCTAAGCACTAATTTACCACTCTCTTCTCAGAATTCTTCAATACCTCCCGCCATCTGGAAACCACTAACCAGCATATCTTCATATCTAGCAAGAAATGCAGTGGGTAACAAGTTCGTATCTAATCGGGGAGAACGCACGAAGGTAGGTTCTACTCCGCACTAATCGTTCGCGCTAAGATCTCCCTTGGAGATACAGCAACTTCGTTGGAAATAGCCTGCACCGGCTAAATGTCCTGCATCCCGGGTAAAGTCTACACGTTTATCAGGCACAGATTTCCCCACGATCTCTGAGATTAAACAATTCGCTCCCCAACCAATGCGTTGCTCAGACTACCCCTACAGCCCTTAAGCTCCAGTATCAAGCCTGGTCATAGACTGGACGATCCGGCTAGGGTTACAGTTGATCTTAGTATAGCACATGACTTCATACGTTGTTCTCAGTCCATGGAATATAAAAGTACAATGAAGACTTGACAAAGATAGCCCAGCTGCAAATCCCGAGTTTCATTTCAGGCCATCCCCTAGATCATCTTGACCGCCCCAAATCTATCTAAACGCCTTGTCTGCTCCTCTTGCAACTCATCATGGATTCGTTTTCAAGACTCCTTACTGTAGCACTTTTTTTGTTTTCGTGCTTCGTTGGCTTTACAGTAGCTAAAGAAGGTCTCCTTGTTTTCCAGGAGGGTGTGAGTGATTGCCAGCTAGCGAATCATGACATTGGTCCTCAAATTTGGATATCCAAAGGGGATTCTCCATCCGTACTTCGAGCGGCTCGAGATCTTGCGCTCGACTTTGGACGAGTTGTTGGTGTCAACGGGACGATAGTGACTGTGGATGGTCTCTCGAAAGAAAAAATCAATGAAAGCTTGCCAGCCATCATTGCTGGAACAATCGGACACTCCACCTTAATTGACGACCTGGTTCTCGATAAGAAACTTGATATCACCGATGTCAAAGGCAAATGGGAAGCATACACTATGGCCCTCGTACGAGACGTAGCTGCAAACGTACCCTGGGGTCTTGTCATAGCTGGAAGTGACAGACGAGGGACTATCTACGGTCTATATGAGGTATCCGAGAAGATCGGCGTGTCTCCTTGGTACTGGTGGGCAGATGTGCCCCCAAAGACGAAGAAAGGTATCTGGGTACTCGATGGTCAGGCAGTACAGGATTCGCCTTCCATCAAGTACAGAGGATTTTTCATCAACGATGAGGCACCAGCACTAACTGGCTGGGCTACGAAAAAGTTCGGACTCACCTCAACTGGTAGGCCCTTCAGCAGCGAGTTCTACAAGCTAGTTTTTGAGCTTTGTCTTCGCTTACGTGCGAACTATATCTGGCCGGCCATGTGGGGTAGTGCTTTCTACACGGACGACACCAAAAATGGCCCCCTGGCTGAAGAGTATGGCGTTGTTGTTGGAACGAGTCATCATGAACCTATGGCCCGTGCAGAAAGAGAGCAAAAAGAGGAAATCGACGGTGGTTGGGACTGGGGCAGCAACGAACAGGAGATCACAGATTTCTTTAGGGGCGGCGTGCGGCGCGCAGCCGACTGGGAGACCATGTACACAATGGGCATGAGGGGTGAAGGTGACGCCGCATCGCCAACTCTGACAGCTGAAGATCTCGAAGAAATAATTCAGACACAACAGTCCCTTCTGAGAGAGGAACTGAACGCTACTGAACTGAAAAACGTGCCACAGACGTGGGTCCTGTACAAAGTATGGAAAAGTTCCTCCTTCCACAACCGCAAGACACTTTAGAAACCTGACTAACCATATATCGCCTCGCCCAGGAAGTTGGACGTTACTATCAGGCTGGTATGAAAGTACCTGATACGGTCACGCTGCTTTGGACAGACGACAATTCTGGCAACCTGTTACGGACTCCATTGGCCAATGAGACAGACAGGCTGGCTGGCGCGGGGGTCTATTATCACTTTGACTATGTCGGTTCTCCTCGGAACTACAAATGGATCAACACAATTCAGCTCGTCAAAACCTGGGAACAAATGCATCTGGCCTATGAGAAGGGCGCCCGGGAAATTTGGATCGCAAATGTCGGCGATATCAAGCCTCTTGTGAGTGTTCTTTACCTACCAATGTTCTATACAGTGCAAGTGGTGTGCAACTACGTACTTGCAATCATTGATATCTCTCTGTTCGAATGTTAATACTTCAATCACGCTCCAGGAAATTCCCATGACACACTTCTTAGACATGGCTTACGACATGTCAAAGCATGCCACGCCAGAAAGTACCACGCAGTGGATTCGTCGCTGGGCTGCAGCCGAATTCGAAGAAAGAATTGCAGACAGAACCGTCCAGATACTCAGTATCTACGGAAAATTGCTTATCCGCCGAAAATACGAACTGCTAAGCCGCAAGCCGTTCGCATATAGTCTCGCCAACTACGACGAAGCTGAACGCGTTTTGAAAGAATGGTCTGACCTTTTAGAAATGACTCAAAACACCTATAATTCTCTTCCTCAAGCTACTCGTACCCCGTTTTTCGAAATGGTATTGCATCCCATTCTGGCTGGCAAGACGGTCGTAGAGCTTTATATAAAGTCAGAATTGAATGCATGGCGCTTCAAACAACGAAGAACAAGCGCCAACACACTTGCAAACGATGTAATTACACTTTTTGCACAAGATTCGCAGATTACCGACAGATATCACAAGCTCAACGGAGGCAAATGGGATGGTATGATGACTCAGCCACATATTGGATACACAAGCTGGAACGACCCAGTCAGCAACACTGTTCCAGAAGTACGATACCATGACCAGCTCAACGTTCCGAGGTCAGGTATTATGGGTGTCTCAGTGCAAGGCAGCAACCAGACATCACCGGGTGACCCAGAACCTGTTCTCCTCCCTATCGACCCTTTCATGCCAGCGTCGTATCAGCGATACCTAGATATTTACACGCGCAACAATGGTTCGTTTGTCTATAAGATCACAAGCAACGCATCATACGTTTCCGTTGCCAACTCAACCGGCACACTTAGCACAACCAACGGAGTGTCGGATGCGCGCATTTCCATCTCCGTAGACTGGGAAACTGCTCCGGAGGGTAAGAGTTGGGCTGGCCTGCGGGTTGAGGCTCAAAATGCTTCAGGCAGTTGGCCTATCACCGTGACGGTGCCTGTTCAGAAAGCTTCCGTCCCATCCACCTTTACTGGATTCGTGGAGTCGGACGGCGTGGTGTCCATTGAAGCTGAGCACTACAGCACCGTCGAGGAGAAGAACGGTGTGTCGTACGTAACAATCCCACACTATGGTCGTACCTTGTCTGGTGTGAAGCTATGGCCCGTAACTGTGGACTCTCAGTTGCCCGGTACAACGGCTCCGATGATCACGTATGATTTCTATACCTTCACTTCCAATCCATCGGCAAGCCTTATAATTTTCCTTGGGGCCACTTTGAATCACGATCCCAGCAGACCATTGCGCTACGCATTTTCTGTTGACGGAGCCAATATTATAACTGTTCAGCCAGTGCCAACAACACCCATGGGTTCCGAACCCAGTGGCTGGACGCAAGCTGTCATGGCAGGAGGATGGAACTCAAGAACAGCCATAAATCTCCAACCAGGTGAGCACATTTTGCGCCTTTGGCTTCTCGAACCTGGCGTCGTCATTCAGAAATTAGTGGTTGATCTGGGAGGCTTCAAGGAAAGTTCGCTAGGCCCTCCTGAAAGCGTTCGCGTTTAGTTGGCAGTCCATTTAAACCAGTCATTAGACGAAGTATGGGATCTCAAACTATGTTATTGTCTCGTTGTTCTTGAAGAATCATCTAACCTAGGGGCATGGCATACCCCTTGAAATCGGTGCCGATCGTTCAATATAGATGTTGTGTGATCAGTTCTTGAACGTCCATAGCGATGCGCATAATGTATTAAGACGACGAGATTTTTAGCCTAGAATTACAATAGATTGTCCCAATCCATATATTATTAGTCTAGACTAAGATAATGATATTGAGGTGAATTTAGAATAGACCTCATTTGCTCGCAGTAACATATACAAGCTGCTAACCTTTCTGTTATCTTGCATTAATAAAATGCACATAAGAAACATTTACTAATAAAAAAGAAAAAGTTTTATAATTCGTAAACCAGTTACAAAATAACATATTTCTGAGTTAGAATAAATAAAAGGGTTAAAGTATAAGTATTATAATATGTAAGAAGCCACAGCTAGTAATAAAGCTACATATCCCCTACTATAACACTAATTAAGCCTTACAACTATAGCTAGTCTACGGGTTGCACGGGTAGTTAGGTGAGTCTCCATAAGCCTTGCGCCCCTTAAGAAGGTTGGCCTTTGCCTCTTCAGGTCCACACACGGGAATATGCTGGAAGCCACCCAGACGGATGTCCTGACTAGCGACATTCTGGAGACGCTGGATGTCTGCTGGGTCCGTAAGACTCTTGTTAGGGTCCATCACGTTCTTCTGTTTGTTCTTATTATACGTGTTTACCGCTCTGTGTAGTCCGTGGTTAGTGTCTGTCTTGTCCTCAGGCCATTACTGGTCAAACCGTCACATGTTGATGACATGCTTGGCGTCTAGGATAACTCACCCAATAATCAGGTCGTCAACAGTGACTTTGCCCCATTTCTCCTGTCCGTCTTCTTGGAGATCGTCCATGCCCTTGAGAATCTTAAAGAAGTTCCAATTGCGTGGAAGAAGACATTGCCGAGGGTTTGCGTAAGGGCATCCCTTAGGCGTGTCATCAACGCCGGCAAGGATGTACGAGTGACCATTGGGACAGCGCCAGCCGACATTGTAGCGGTTTGCCCGCTCCTCAAAGTACTTTGTTGCATCTATGACGCAGGAGGGCCCAAAGTCAATGACGACGGGAGTCGGCCGGTCAGCGGCCCAGATAGCTGGGATGGCAAGTGCGTAAAAGGCACGCTCGATGTATTTGCTGTCATGCCAGCTCTTGGTGTAGTCTTCACTGTAGCCTGGAGCGGGCTCGTCTAGCTCACCCTGAATCATCTTTCCGTCGGAAACAAGGGCACTAAGTAGCTTGATGCTTTCAGGCTCCCCGTTGAAGATTTTTGCGACTAGTCTGTTGACTTGGTCCTTCCACGCAACGATGATTTTGTCAAAAATGTCGTTGAAGGCGATCTCTTCACGCGCCGAGGATGCTGAGTCGAGAGCTTCCTTTGCGAGAGAGAAAGCAGTACTAACCAGAGTGATAGTTCCCGCTTCCCAGGAAGCCCTCCTGTCACCGCCGGTCTTACCGGAGAAGTATTTCATGCTCGCCAGAGCACTCCCAAAGAACCGTGGAACTGCCGCTGTAAGAGGGATCGGCATCAGTGTCAGGAAGAGTTCGAAGATCTTGGAGTCATCCTCTGGGGCCGGGGCAAATGTCTCGACAAAAGTATCTTTCTGGCGGGCGAGGGCATTGCCCGTAGTTTCTAGAGAGTAGTAGTAGTTTCTGAGGATCTGCCAAGGGACGATTTGTCATTAGTTATGACTTTGCAACAAATTGTTTTCAGTGGGGAAATTTGTGACCTACGATGTGTATTTCGGCAAGTCCGTTCCAGAGCTCGTATGCGCAGGCGCCCGTTTTGTCCTTCGGTTCGGTCTGTGGCGAGTTGTGTGCCGCACACTTCTCAGTACTGCATGTCGAAGCTTGACCCAGGTCATTGCATCTCTGTTGGCATGGCGGTCAGTATGGTCTGCTATTTCATACAAATAACAACCTCCCGGAAAATTGTTATAAGCGCCAGTAAGATATTTGGGTGGTTACATACCGGCCTAGGAGTCATATGTAAGTATGAGGCAATCTCTTCGTCAAAGACCGTCCCAGAACTTTTGTAGTCACAACCCTGCCAACGTCTAATGATATCATCCCAGCCACTTTTGCAATCGAGTGCATCCCAACGATCTTTGGCCTTCATTTTGGTATTATTCCTCACCGCTATATGTTCGCAATCCTTGTCAGCCCAGGTGCCGGTGCGCGTTGCAGCATTGCAGGTCGGACTCTCGCCCATGAGCACGTTGGCCTTAATTGAGGCCCAAGTGAGGCCAGCGTTCGAGCCACCGGGGAGAAGGGGAGGAGGATCGTGGAACTTGACCAGATCAACGGCCCAGTCAATTGTACCGCCCATGTTGTAACGTTTGTAGATTTGCGTGCGCGACTCCTTGAGACTGTCATCCATGTACGCCACCCAGAGGTCGCCGTCAACCATGATGCGTGAGTTACTTTCGGAATCAACCCACGACCGGCCGCCCATCTCAGCGATTTCAGCGTTGCTAATGTATCCGGCCGTGTCGGTGCAGCGGCCTTTACGGGCATACGACGTGAGACGGTCTCCTGTGTAAAAGCAGTTGGGTCCAGTGCAGGACGGGTCCACCATCTGAAAGCTGCGGCCATAGCTGCTGACACCCACGAGCACCTTATTGGATGGCACACCGGCTTTGGTGATCATAACCTAGTAACGTTGTAGTGGTCAGTTAACAACTCTTTTGAGAGGGAGAAGTATTGACACATACAAGAGTATTCATCGTCTCAGTTCGGTTAACGTGGCTACGTAGACAGTTGCCGGTTGGGCAACCAGGCGTGGCCCATTTGTTTCCAGCGTCCCATTGGCCGTGAAGGTCGTAGGTCATGTAGACGATATAGTCAAGCAGCTCGGACATAGCCTTGATAGGAAACTGCTTGAGATACCAGTGCGATGCTGGGGCTGCAATTGACAGAGACTTGTCCCTCGGCAGCTTGGAACGTAGCAGAGCCAGCAGCCGCAAATAATTCAAGGCCTCAGAAGGGTCACCCTCTGGCACACCCTCACCGAGATTGGGGGCAGAAGGATACTCCCAGTCAATATCAAGGCCGTCCAGGCCGTTATCAACGACATATTTAACCAGGTTATCGGCTAATCGGTTGCGGTTGGCATCCTTCACGCCATTGCGGAAGATATGGTAGTTCGGCGCCTCAGCGGAGAAGACCCAACCACCAAAGGAGATAATACGCTTAGGCCCACGTAGCTTCTTGAATTGCTGGAACTGAAACTCAGCTAGTTCGTTTTCTTGGTAAACGTTGAAGTTCTCATCAAGCATAGCGAAAGCGAAGTGGACATGTGTGAAAGACGGGTCGATCTGAGTAGCATCCATATTGAGGCACTTACGGCCGAGGTTGAAACCCTCGAAGTAGCCGAGCTTGATGAACTGGCTCGGCGGGCCGCTCTGAACAATGCTCATACCGCAGTTGGAGATACAACCGTAAGTGTCCTTCTTCGCTGTGCCAGGAGGTCCAGTATTGGTGTCGATGCAGAAGTCTTCGGTCGTGCCACATTGGCCCCACTAGGTGGTGGTTTAGCGTGTGTCTTTTCTTTCGCTCTTATATAGGTAAAGATTAGATATATTTGGGGACCAGTAATTACTCACAATATTACAGCACGAGTTGAGGAGACACGGGTTCATCTTGGCCCAGTCTCTGGAAGTCGACCCGCTCGGCTGGACCGACCCAAGCTTCTGGGGTCCGCATACCGCATTTGCGATGGGGGCAGGGAATGGTGGCGTGCCCTCACTCAGACAGATCCAGTTATCGGGCCAGAAGCCGTTATCGCATCCGTTCCAGCCTGTAAGTAATATGATGTTAGAAAGTGCATAGCTGCGGTGAATCAATAGTGGTAGGATGGTGACCTATGGGCCAACACCTCAAGCCAACTTGAAGAGAAGCAGAGAAGTGAAGGGTAATAGAAACAGAGATAAGTAGTAAGATAAGAAAGTCTCCGGGTAGGAGGAGTATGTGTAAGAATAACAAAACAGAAAGGGCTCAATAGAAGAAGTTGCAAGAGGAAGATGCATCAAAAGATTATTTAAGCTGTACGAGTGAAACCAAACTTCGGGTATTTAGGATTGCCAGTAGTGATAAAACGTAAGAAAACCAAAGTGAATTGGCAAAAGGACAAAGACCGAATTACAACGACGGAGAGTACATACCCCATGTTTCTTTGTTCATCTTTTCGAGCTCGTCAACAGTCAAGCCATTAGCAGCTGCCACCTTAGCGCAAAAGTCACCGCCCTTGATCTGATATGCAAAGCAGGACCCGTTGGGATTCTGCTTTGGTCGTAGGTCTGGTAGCTTTCCAGGCGTGCAGCATACGTGCTGTCCCGGCTGCAGCGTTGCACAGAGGTTGGACTTGGTGTTGTACTGATAAAACTGCGCGGCAGTCAGGCCGCCACCACACCTTGTTACCAGCTTTCCGCAGTCGTCGCCGTCATCTACCTTCTGAGTACGACACGAGCCGTCTGGGTTTGGCTGCGGTGTTGGTGGTGTTGGCAATGTTCCGGCCGAGCAGCAAATCAGCTGGCCTGCCATCAAGGTTGAGCATAAGTTGGATTTTGGGTTGAATTTATACAGATCCGCAGCGGTCATGCCTCCTCCACAACGCGTCACCAGCTTACCACAGTCGTCGCCATCTTTGACGGCGATAGTACGGCAGTCGGCTCGGGCGTGGAGCAGGCCTCGAACTGCTGGTGATGTCGCGTTGCTACTGTCCGTTGAATTACTTGAGCCGACCCGAGGACTGCTGGATAGCATCAGCGCGGAGTTGGGGTCTACCACATCAATAGGCTCGGGGTCGACCTCATAGCTGTCTGAGTACGAGGACGTATCGACACATTTGCCAGCTGACCACTGAGCAACAGCGTCGTGGACCGTGGTGAAGTCCGGGGTAGAGGCAGCGATGAGACCAAAAATCTGGTCACCGCTGCGGCCATCGCATGCCTGGATTAGGGCGGCTTTGTTGTCGGCTATGCCGGGCCCAAAGAGAACAGCAAGAAGATAATCGAAGAATATTCCACCCACACTGGGGTTTAACAAGTTGGCTCCAACGTAGACGCCAACAGTAACGTCAGACGCAGTAGCAAAGAGAATGGTACGGTTTGTGGCCACGCTCATGACGTTGCTGAGGTAACTTTGCAGGTGCTCAACCGGCTGGCTTGCGAGCCGGCCGCCAGCCTCGTCCTCGGACCCAGCCGGCGTCCATGCCATGATGGGGGCGATGTCTTCGGTTCCGCCTGAGGCTGGAGGCTCGACTGGACCGGTGTAAAAGTCGTTGGCCCACACATTGCACACCCTGATAGGCTGCTTCTCCGTAACGGGGATTCTTATGGAGAAGTCGAGCACCAGAGGCTTCTTGCATGCCTGTAGCTGACTGAACTCGCCCACAGTAGTCCAGTTGGCTGGGTCAGGACCGGACACCATACAGGTGGTAGGGCAAAGGTCCTGCTGCGACGCGACGCCATGGTAAAAAAGAGAACCCACGAGGGGCAGAAAAGAGTGTCGGCCAGCTCGAACCATGGTACCGACACGGCAACCTTGGTTATCTGATTAGCTGGAGAAAGAAACGAGAGACTAAAGGAGTGACAATCAACTATCCATAGCAAATGGAGTTCTTGAAGACACCTTCGTGGGCTTTCGTAGTTGCTATTTGTATGTCACTCAACCTTGGTTCACACATAATTCAGTTTCCCTATCCTAACCCAACATGCTTCACCTGTTTAAGGAAACTTTCCGAAGGATTCTCTCGATAAGACACTGTGCCGTTCTTGTCTCTTACGGCTGATATTGAACTTTGCAGGCCAAGCGCCAGATTCAGAAGTTAGTACATGCCATGATACATTGCAATTTTAATATTCATGTGTCGTGTCAGCGCTACAGTGGAGAGGTTGCTTTACGGTTGATACACTCTTCTTGGGTTATTAGTGTTGTTGCCTTCTTTTTGCGCTTCTCGCCTCGCTTAGTAGGTGATGTAACCTGATGTAGCTTACAAAATTCAGGGGTCTTTTTTAACAAGTCGGCACGATAGCCGCCAGCGACCACTTGTGATCATATGAGCCAAGAAGCCAAGCGCCAAGCGCGGCGTGACTGGCTCGGCACGAAGCGATGAGGGATTTGGCCGAAATTTCTCCCCCGTGCCTAATCATTATATGAAAAGTATGCACCTCGATGAGCTGACTGACGCCCCAGCACCAGACACACTAGAGCTTAGCTACCAGGCAGCTCACGCACACATACAAACAAAACATCCACACCATGCGGCTCTTCTCCTCTCTATTAGCTTTGATCCACATTTCACCCCTCGTCGTACTGGCGCAGGGCGATGTCGCGGACGAGAAGAGAAGGCTCCCGGCCGACCTCCAAGTTGACCTCCTCTTCCCGCGCGATAACGAGACGTATGCGCCTACGCAGTGGTTCCCCATCGTACTCGGCGTTCAAAACATTGATGCTCTCATGCCCCTCGACATCGTCATTGACCTATCCGTCGTGAGCCTCGAGTCCTGGCAGAAGAGCAGCTCAGGAAGTCGCGCCGAATGGCAGCATGTCGACCTCCGGCTCAATAGCCTCACCTTGCCTGATGCACTCGGTCCAACGCCGGGCAAGCTTTTGTTGCACTATCCGGCAGTCAATATGACTAACGGCACGACGGATCAATTTGCAGTCCGCTGGGGCTTCAGTTTCGCCAATCGCTGCTTCGCCAACAACTCGGACCCGTCACTCGACGATGGTGGCGAAGGCTGGAGTAGCGGGTACAACGGCTCCTCAACGCGTAATATTGTCTTCAGAACCGCGCCCGGAGGCCAGACTCCAGACATCGCCGCCGCAGTGGACGCGTGCCCCGAGGGTAGGGAGAACACGACGTCGGTAATACGCGTCACCGACGTGCGCAAGACCCGAGGCACAGGCTACCAGTGTCCAGTGTTTGAGACAGACGTTCAACCGACCCGCTGTGCGTACCGGGATCTGGCGCAGGAACTCGCAGCTAACGTGTCCACGGCGATATTGGATAAGATGGGTTGCGAAAACGGCACATGGCAGACCATCACCGCGCCGTGTGCACCCAAGAAGAGCGGGTCAAACTCGTTGAACGGCGTGCATAAGGGGATGGGTTCTTGGTCGCTGGCCTTGGGCGTGGCACTTGTCATGTATCATCATGTACTCTAATCTTGGTTTCTTAACATACTACGAAATCATCTGCGTTCTTTGAAATTCAAAGCTTGGACCTTGCAGACGCGGAGTACGGACTAATTTCGTGTCTCACAACGATGAAGGGCGGGCTGTTCAAACTGCAAGTTCTCCAGCTATGAAATGATTTTGATTTCAACCATATGACTTTCTCTCATGATAACTAGGCCAGGGGCAGTCCTTTCAGAAAAAGTGACCTATAGCCTAAATTACGTTCTTTTCCTAGACAGAACACTCATACCAGAATCCTTGAGGCTTGCTTTCTAGGCATGACAGAGTTCTCAACCACTAATACGGAATAAGAACGGGATTGAAATAGTGATCTTTTTATCCGCATTTAATTGGGGAGGCTGTTGAGGTCATGGTCTATTCCCCTGTTCAAACAGATTAATGCCCCAACTCTTGCATCAAGCACTAATTGTCTGGGCTGCATGGAGGATTTTTTCCAAATACTCATTTAGGCAGCAACCACATTCAATGGTTCGACAATTGCAGCATATTGGCGGGTTATGGGTGGAAAAGTTATAGGCACTGCTAAAGTAGTGTCAGCTGCATCTCTCAACATGTGCCCGCCAAGTTTACGCCGCATCAGCAAACACATATTTCTCTCAGCTTCAAAACCCCTAGTGGAGATGTAAACAACCACCTTCCTAACCCGTGTATACGAGTGTCTGCACTGGGCGGACTCCCATATATGGTGGGGTCATACTGCGGAGGCAAGATTCCCCAAAGTGGGACTCAGCCTTACTACCAAGAGGTCAGCGTCACATGAGAGCCTCTTGGCAGGGGACACGGATAGACTCGGCATCGTCTGTATCATCTCCCAAAGTACCTTTTGTTCTTGGATCCCCACTAAATACTATACGGGAAGGCTTATGTGCATTCAAAGACCACCGGTATGCACATGTTAATGTCATGGGAAAAGCAAGCCTAGCGGCACGGTAAATTAACAGATGTAACCGATCTGACTGATATGGAATATGAGGTTTAGTGGCGATAGAACCCGCAGCGTTACACGGAATGACCGTTCTCCATCCGATTTCTCCGTAGGTGTATCAAAGACTAGATGACATGTCTCAACAAGATACAACCAAGGCGAGTCCACGAGGGCTCATAATGGTGGGCTATAAAGACGGAGCGTATGTCGGACAGAGCAATAGAGAGAAACCCTCAAAGACATCAGTCACTCATTCTTCTTCCTTTGTCTCTTATCACGCTCCTTGAATATCATCATGTCTCGTCTCTCGATTATCGCTACCCTTGGCCTACTCGCCATTCAGGGCACTGCCAGCGTTCTGCGCCCGCGCCGCTTTGATAGCACGGTTCCATTCTATGATCACGATGCTAACGTGCCTTCCGATTGTAACCTTTGGTGGAACTCGGACGATGGCATCAGCTGCGACACTGTTCTCTTGATTACGAGCTTGTCCATCTCTCAGCTGACTAGCCTGGTAAGCATCAAACCCTTGGCCTTCTCGCTTAGCTCAACTGCCCATTACAATCTTGACATAAGAACTGACATAACACAACAGAACCCGTCCATCAGATCCTGTGGTGACTGGAAGGCCGATTATTCCTACTGTATCGGCGCCGTATCGGGCATCCCCGCACCCCCGGTGACCACGGCGCGGCCAACTACCACCTCGCCGCCCTCAGGGGGACCCACCACGTCCAGCACGCCGACCAACCCGGGGAACGGCGTGCAGACGCCCGAACCGTGGCAGCCGGGCATGGTTAACAACTGCAACCGGTTCTACCAGGTGCAGTCCGGCGACACATGCGCCGTCATTGCATCCAAGACTGGCGTCACTGTCGCCCAACTGGCGACTTGGAACACGCAGATCGGCGGCGCGGCATGCACAGGCATTTGGGCTGGCTACAACGTCTGCACCGGTATAATTGGTGGAACGCCAACAGAACCCGAACCGACAAACCCGACGCCGCAGCCGATTCAGGACGGCATGGTGAACAACTGCAACCGCTTCCACCTCGTACAGACTGGCGAGACCTGCGATGTGATTGCGTCCAAGGCCGGTGTGACCGTTGCGCAGCTTACTACCTGGAACAAGGGCATCGGCGCCTCTTGCACGGGCATGTGGGCCGGCTACCATCTCTGCACTGGTGTAATCGGGGGAACGCCAACAGAACCCGGTCCGACAAACCCAACCCCCCAGCCGATTCAGGACGGCATGGTGAACAACTGCAACCGCTTCCACCTCGTACAGACTGGCGAGACCTGCGATGTGATTGCTTCCAAGACGGGCGTGACCGTTTCGCAGCTTACTACCTGGAACAAGGGCATCGGCGCCTCGTGCACCGGAATGTGGGCCGGCTACTACCTTTGCACCGGTATCGAAGGCGGCTCCCAGACACCGCCCGCACCGAACCCGACTCCGCAGCCGATCCAGGCTGGCATGGTGGGCAACTGCAAGAAGTTCCACTTTGTGCAGAGCGGGCAGAACTGTGACACCATCTCCCGGCAATATGGCATCTCGGTAGCCAACTTTATCCGCTGGAACCCTGCCGCAGGGTCCAACTGCCAGGGCCTATGGGCCCAGACGTACGCCTGTGTGGGGCTTTAATACACATTCCAACCGGGAAAAAGGGGAGGATGACCTATGAGAAGATCATTTTTAAGACGGTTTCTTCTGTGGTCAACAAAAGTAATCTTTAATTCAGAAAGCTGTCCATTGTATGGCTTCATCCTTCTATTTATTGCACATAATAGACTAGGATTTGTTTGTCTTAGAAAATTAGGGGTGGCTTGTGCGCAGACAACGGATTTTGTGAGGGGAATCATATTTTACTAGACTTTGTCTTACCTAAAATTAAACCTTAATTGCGTGGAGGTCAGATTCGGATACAACTTGTTGTGAGTAGAAGCCTTCAATTGGATGGCAGCTCTTTGTAACTACGAAACCGTCCCAGCACATAGTTTCTTATCACTTGACCGTCTACAGCTTCAGACATTATAGAAGCTACAGTTGCAAAAACTCGTATCGTCATCTGCTAATAGCTTTGACCGCTCTAGCCAAAAAGAGTTATCCAAGCCCAAGATTAGACTTGAAAATTATCCTGAATTTGTTGAGAGCCCAATAGACATTATCTCAATTTGTGAATATTTGAACGACTCTTTCAGCCCTATTCAAGGGATTCAGGCCAAAGTTCAAGACGCTTCAGCGTAATTATTATACGTGTTCAGCCGGAACTTCTCGGAGGATCAAATTCGAAACAATACTAGGATACAATTTGGATCCCCTGATGGTAGGGGTTTTGTTTGCGAGAACTCGATAGTTAGATATTAGATAGCGGTCCAAACGGCTACCTAAACAGTTGACCACCTATCGTCGCGCAGGGTTCTATGCTTCAACATATATCCTCATTGCGGGCCAGTGGCTTCCCAATAAGAGTGTCTTGACCTTTGACATATAGAAAATTCGAAAGAAATTAGAAGATCTGTCTCATTGAAATGGTAATAGTAAGATTCAATTTCTCAAATAGTGTAAAGTAAGATCACTTATACCTCAGCCTATCAGGTTCCAGTATATTCCAGCTTATTAAAGAGTACTTTCATGGCTAATCAATTAGTAAACTACTCAGAATTGCAAAAAAGACATCCATCTGCTCAGAGGCTGTCAAAGGAAGGGGCTTAAACAACCAAACTGTTTCAAACGCGACAGGCTAGTCATATTTTTTGTAGTAGGAGATAAACGGAAAAGGTGTATAAACAAAATCGTCTACGGGCATAGGCTAAACAATTTGAGTAGTAGACTTCAGAATTCTCATGGTATGGTCCCAAATCTTCCGAGAAGCCTCCTTCTCCTCCAGTTTAGTAAGTAGCTCATCTTGCTGGAGAGCCTGGAGCTTATCATCCACGGAGAACAGTGACCCATTGACACTATGGTTCAGGGTCTGTGCAGCTTCCCGGCCGCTCTGAACCGCAACCCCCTTGCCACCAAATTCTGCGCTGGTGATAAGAAAGAGACACCGCTCACCCGACTCTCCAGGTGTGAATGGAGTGAACGTTCCGAGCTCTGAGCCCCCGGAAGCTTGGCCGGGATTGAACTTGTCACCCCAACTCTTCTTCATCAGGTCAGTACTGACAAGGCCAGGATGAGAATGGATAAAAACAATATCCTGGTTCTCTGGGGCCTCTGAAAGACGTCTTAGAGTCAGGGTTGCCAGAGTAGCAACTTGTCCGGCGTAGTTACCAAGGTTGAAATGGCCAGGACTTTTGAGATCGATGTCGTCCAAAAATATCTCAGTTGACTCCTTTCCAGCTGCCAAAATGAACACGACACGTGGAGATCTCAAAGACCTTTCGCCATCTCTCAGCTTCGGAAGCAAACTCATGATGAAAACAATACGACTGTAATAGGCTACAGCTAAGGACGCTTCCAGGCCCTCGGATGTTTCTGTGGCCATAGTCAGTTGGGCAGGCTTAAAATTACTAGATTATGGCCAGGTTCATTTACCTTGAGGCCCAGTAAAGGGTAAGTAACCTGCCGAGAGAAACAGGAGATCAATCTTATCCTCTTGAGAAGCTATCTCATTGGCAAGGCGCTGAGCTTCCGCAAGGAGTGATATTTGGCCTTGCAAGTAGATCAAGACTGCTCGAGGGTTGGTTTTTCTGAGCTCGTCAAGTTGAGAACTATGACGGGATTTGTCACGGCCTACAATGTAGACCTTGATCGAAGAACCTTTTGACACTAGCTTCTCGAGGGCAGATTTGCCAATTCCATCCGTGCCGCCTACAAAAACAGCGGTCTTGGGTATATCGGTCTCGGTTATGAGAGAATTGGAAGCACGGACGGAGGTTAGATCGGACATGATGAAGATATTAAGAGTATTATTGGTATAAGATCCAAAAAGAAATTGTGATTTGGTGTGATTCTTGTGGACGAGGGGAACAGGTCCTGGAAATTTGAGATGATTATGGGCATGTCTCTATGGACAGCGCGCTCCACGAAAGACTTTATAGTTCATAAAAATTGTTTGACTAAGCCGAGTACCTCATGTAACATTCCTTGCAAGTCAGTATTCGAAGCAGATCTCTAGTCTTCGGAATAGTCGATGAAGATTTGCTGACAGCACCTCACGGTCACAGCCTGAGTGACTTCTGACAAGCTAGTCAAGTGAAGGGGTGGCCAAGCTCTTACAAATTGCATAGGCCTTAATTTTTGTCATCCAAACTTTATGGAATGTTCCTAAAACCATGGTGACAAATCCAATATAGGAGGAATCTCGGTTCAAATGAATCTCGGAGGTCTTCTTAACGCCGAGGCATCCAACCCACTTCCCGGCAACATCTCCTTCCCTATCTTCCGATATGCCACTCATGTCTTTCTTATTTATCGCTTTCAAATGCGACAGGCCATTCTTTGGGTGTACATTTGGAAAGTGAATTGTTTAGCAAGAATTCATGACTAAGGACAAGTGCTATTGACCATCCCCTGTAGCAACTCGTATGCTTAGGCTCTCACTTTATGTCTGTTGGTATCAGTAACACCAATTAGCGCCAGTTTTCATCCACACCCCGCAATAAATAAAACTCTATATGATCCGGAGCACTTCGGGACGGGTCCGGAACGCTAGCCCCATTCGTCTTTAGGTTGAATGCCGCTGAGACATCTACGTAAGCCAAACAGAATATTGGACAACTCTGATAGAGATTTACGCTTGGTTTTGTCTATAATCAGTTAAGGAAGCCGACTACTCTCATTTCTATGTGACTATATCGTAGACGTCTAAGATGAGGGGAGACATCCACAATTGCGGTTGAAGCAAATCGTTAACGGTTCCAGAATAAGTGTAGATTACCAAGCAACTGCAGCTTTTTCTTGTCATTTCACCCCCGTTGTTTCCGGGGCAGGGTGACTCGGTGTTGCGATAAAAATATAAAAATCCATCCCCCGACCAAAACCACAGAACCACAGATTCATGCGATCATTTCATCATTTTCATCTGTATTACTAAAGCAGGGATACCTTATTCTCTCACGAATCTGCCTTGACAACCAATTTACAATCTATCAATTCTGCCTGAGCATCCAGAATGGACAAGAACTCCTTGATACAGGTTACCGTCGTCACCCGCGAGATTGACGCTCCTATTGGCGAGCTGTGGGGTCTTGTAGCTGGCTTCGGAGCAGAAAAGCCTTGGTACCCAGGGGCCAAATCTGTTTCTCTCAAAGGATTTGGTCTCGGCAGCATCCGCACTTTCAATTATGTCTATCCCGAGGGCAAAAACAAGGGCCAAGAATACACCTTTTCCGAGGAGCTTACAGAAGTTGACGCTTCCAAACACTCTATGACTTTCCGCGTTCGCCGCCCCGACTATCCTGACCTAGTCGCCTATGGCACGACTGCTTTGGATTCCCTCGGGCCCAATAAGACTCGTTTCCGTTGGATTGCCGAATCTAGTCCTCTTCCGGAAGAGTTTCTAGCTATCTTACAGGATGATCTCAACGGACGATTCGACAGCCTCATTACCGCTATGGCCAACCAACTTTCAGATAATTAATACCAAAACCGGAAAGAAGAAATGAGTGACAGGAACAAAATGACAAGTGGGAACTATGAGTGTTTATTTAGAATGCAATACAAAAGCTTCCCAGTCCATCCTGGCAACTAGGGTCAGCAGTACTTTTTCCTTCTTTTCAAAAGCTTCTTTCTTATTTCTTATTAGATCGTTCCAAAGTTTGAAAGTAACATAATAAGCTTTGCTAGTATAGCTAATCACTCTGGAAAAAACATCTGAGCTTTTAGATAGAGCAATGGCCATCATTATCTCTTTTTGAAGCAGGTCAAACAATGTATGGATCTTACTTCTTTTGAAAATGCAAAACTAGTGCCCTATGTTAGTGGGTATAAGAGGCCTGATTAATTAACATGTCTCACCTTGAAATTTACTTAAATAACATTTGAGACATTGAACTCAAAGCTGACGGCAAATAAAGAATGCATCCGACGCTTTAGACAACTGGTAAATGAAGTAAGTTTGTATGTTAGAGTGTCAACATTTAGGCAGTCGTGTCGAGGACCAGAGATTATGGAATAAAGTACAAGTTGAATTTGTTCTATGCTATAACAAACTGTTGAGTGAATAGCTTGCTAGAAGTACTCGTCCAGAGAGACTTATAAGCTCGAAATACCACACCTCGATGCTTAAGGGCATGAAATTCGTAAGCTGTTCCAAATTTTTGCGACGAACGCCGCTTGGCTTTCTAAATCAGCCAAACACTTGACATGACTCAAATACTCGGATTTTGTCGAAGAAAGTCCTCCAAAGACGTGGTCTTGACGTCCAATTTATGGTTGTCAAGATTCTTCAGTGAGTAGGTTCCATCAAGCTGGAAGAGCTGATAGAACAAGCCGATGAAGCTGTAATAGTCAGAGTAGGGCTTCTGCTCCCTCAAGGAGTACGCAAGCTTCCTCAGATCGTTCAGACTACCTCGATGGTTGAAGGCGATTTCAACACGCTTGACCTCCTTGTATATCTTGGCGATTTCCCGAGGCGAATAAGACCCAGAACACAACTCCCAGAAGCCACCCTCGGGAGCGTCATCACGCTCAATGACCGCAGCCGAGAACTCGGCTGCGTCCTTTTCTGTGGTAAGGTCCCACTTCTCGTTGCCAGTCCCCCAGATGTCAATAGTCTTTTTCTCCGGATCCCATGGACCATTGTTGGCAGGAGAGAAGTTGCCATGGCCGGGGACAGAGAAGTAAACCTCGGTGAAGCCGCCAGTCAAAAGCCAGATTGGCTTGATGTTCGAACTAAGCTTGGCTTGTTGGGAGAAAGCGATGCATGCGTCATAGCTCTGGTGCATGCCTAGTTGAAGTTGTCTCCAGTCGCAATTCCAACTCGCAGCTAGGAACCGGGTGATGCCAGCTCGCTCTGCAGCCCGTAGAAGGAGCAATTGGGCGTCCAAGTGCATGACTGGCGTGCCAGAATAGGCACAGATGATAGCGTCAGCCCCAGCACAGGCCTTTTCAAGAGCTTCAACATCCCAATAGTTCCGAATCTCCACGAAAGAATCAAGCTTAGACCGCTGGTCGTCCGTTAGCTTGCGAGCGGACCGACCAAGCCCACGGACCTGGTGTCCACGAGATGTCAAGCTATCAAGGAGATGCAGGCCGATATTGCCAGTGACTCCTGGGATGAGAACAAGCATGTTGAAAACTTGTGAGTAGGCAGAATGTATGATTGTAAATCGGATTTCAGACAGATGGAAGATAGTCAGATAAACAGTTTTGTTAAAAAGAACCAAATGTTCTTATACAAATTCAAAACTGAGACTTTTTCTGCAGTGCTCTTAATTTCAGGTTCTTTCAGCCCCTGGTGGCATAGACGGACCAAGATTAACCCCGGAGTCAACAATTATGCCGAATCTCTTCAACTGGTATGTAAGCTGGCAAGTTCTTTAAAAGATGGAAATTACCAGAACAGAGATCGGAATGCGATTTGGTAGCAGTGAACAATTGGAAAAATAAGCAACGTCATTCCCAGCGTGGCACTGATTACCAACACACACCTTGTAGTTGACGTCTCCTCATAGGGCTCGGTATTAACGGTCTCTTCCGAGCGCACTTCGCGTTGGGTTTCGGCCGGGTCGCGAGTAATCCACGTTTGTAATCCATTGGTTGATCTATGCTTCAGTCAAGCAGAATCGAGCTCTATTATCCACAAAATAATGCCGCAATTTCAACAGTATTACACCCAACAACTACCTTTCCTTAAGGGTAGGTTAGCATCATCTTGAAACCTTATGGTGGCAGGACATCGGGAGTGGAAATAATTATTGTCTTTGACTAGAACGGGCTAGCGTTCCGTAGCTTGCTGATCCCTGCTGTGGGGTTGCTAACAGGATGCCTCTAACTATTCTAGGCTAGCGTTCCGGAGCTTCGTTGCGCCCCACATCCTCCAAAGTAAGACATCAATGGTTAGGGAAAATTAGACAGCGTCTCGTAGATCAATGTTATTACCTTCTTACACAAACATTATGCACTCTCCATACATAGTATTCTACAACAGACATCAGCTTTCGTCAGACGCTGGATGCGTTAGTATCACTCACAACCATTTATCCTTGTTGCCCGATGGCCTCCGGATCCCATCACAGCAATGGTCAATTATGGTCGACCATCAAGAGACTGCTGGCCCTGTAGGAGCAGAAAACTTCGGGTATGGAAGAAGCCTTACCTTTGAGCCACGTGCTAGAATGACGAGCTGACCTTGTGCATATAAAAAAGTGCGATCTAAATCCTGCAGGTTGTGGGCAGTGCCGCAGAGCTCGGTTAATTTGTCATGGTTACCGCAGCCCAGACGAGTTAGCGTTCCGCGATGAGACTCATACAACAGCGCAAAAGATATTAGTTCGTCAGACGTCTACTCCGTTGGGTACCGTCCCGTATTTTACCTGGGATGCTCTGTCTCGGAACGCTTTCTTGTCTCTCTACGTCGATCGATACTCTTATGGATTTGAGAACCTGGGATGTCTCCTGGCCAAGTCTCCAGCTAATGGACATCTACATGCCAGTGTCGACGCTGTAGGCTTGGCCTTCATTTCTCTTCAGGATGGCCGGCCCGACTTGGTGTCCATGGCCAACCAGCGGTATCTTTCCGCCATCAAGAACCTAAGGACAACTATACAACACTTGCATCAGCCGGCCACTGACAGCATATCCAACTCAGTCAGCAACAACATCATTCAGTCAGTACTTCTTCTCGACTTGTATGAAAAATTGACCGCCCATCGCGGCGAAACAGTCAGCGTTTCGAACTCTTGGCTTAGTCACATTTACGGAGCCTTGAGTATGATTCGTACCCGTCCAACTGTCGACTTCTCGAACGCGGTAACTCGCCAACTCGCCAATCGAACCGTGATAGCCCTTACCATCAGCTGCGGTGCTGCTGGTATAAAAATACCAGATGCCCTGAAAGCGCTTCAAAAAGACCTTGATGGTTACATCCGGAGCGCGAAATGGGCCTTCATCGGCATGTTATCGAAAATTGTCGACTTTCGGGCAGATATACGCAATGACTCACTAACATCATCGCGCATTCTATCACAAGCGCGGGAGCTGGATGCACAACTTGGCGTTGAGGAATGTAACATGCCACGCTCATGGCAGCCACAAAGGGTCTATGTCAGTAATCGATTCGTCCTTGACAACTACTATGACCATTACACAAATCACTACACAACACAGGTCTCAAACGCATTTCGAATTATGCGTCTCGAGATGAATGGGATCATCCAGAATATTGAACACACCAGCTCTGTTACTCAAAACATTATTGGCATCACACGAGATATCTGCGCCACGGTACCTCAATTCATTCTGCCGGAAGCCAGACCTGAAAACAATCTTCCCTTGACGCCGCTTCAAATATTGGAATGCTGCGGGTTGTTAACCCCTTTATATGTAGCTGCACAAATCACGACAGAGTCCTTCGTTAGGGAATGGATTCTAGAGTGCCTGGATCATATGGCTGAGAACGGCGTGAAAATGGCGAAAGAAGTAGCACAGGTGCTGAGGGTCACGCCGAAAGCTGATTACTGGTCAGTCTTTGCAATGGTGGGCAGCTGTGCGATTACTGCGTGATGCATTATAGTACCTAGTATTGAGTCCAATTACACTTGTTTCCCTGTCATTAACTTGTACATCGCCCGAATCAAGCCTCTACTTAGTAAAACCTAGCTAGTTAAGCTAGTTTGAAGAGCTGGAACTAGCTTCTGGAGCTCCTGGTCGGTGCTCTGGAGGCAATTGACAGCGGCGTTACGACCATCCTTGACCCGTATGATGCATGCCGTTCTCATTCTGATACCATGGCAGGCCTACAGGGTCTCGAGGAATCAGGCATTAGGGCATTCTTCTGTCCCAGCATGACCGATGATCAGTATGACGATGCTGAGAAGGGTGATCTGGCCCATGAAGCCAGGCTTGCTCATGTCGATGCACTGCATAGAGACAATGCGGCTAAAGCTAGTCAACTGGTCCGCATTGGAATGTCCATCAGTCATCCGGGGTCTGTGCCTTTTGACGAAACAGATGCCAAAATCAAATTTGCTAACCAGCGAGGCATTTTCTGCTGCTCTCACTCGGGCCCCATCAAGAGTTCGGTTTTGTCCAGCGGTGTCATGGAGCGAGCAGATCATGGTCTAATGTTCCCGGGCCATCTTTACATTCATTGTACAAACCTTACCGATCAAGAACTCTCCCTGATTGGTGAATCAGGCGGTAAAGTGTCAATTTCTGTGGAAATGAAAATGCAGATGGGCATGGGCTGTCCCCCACTGGGAAATTGTCTCAACTACGGCATCTAACTTTCTCTAAGCCTTGATACGTCTAGCGCTGTATCCCCAGACCTCTTCGGGCAGATGCGCCTGGGGCTGCAATTGCAACAATGCTTAGACAGCAAAGTCTCGCATGATGATGGCAAGGTGGTTATGAAGCTAGATTTAACTGTTCGAGATGCCATGATCTGGGCAACTAGGAATGGTGTTGCAGCTCTCAGATTGGAGAGCGAGATTGGAACTCTCACGCCCGGTAAACGTGCTGATGTCGTTTATGTCTCCGACGACCGAGCACTGACCCCTTCCATGAATCCCATGGGCACCACAGTCTTCTAAGCATCAATTGCTGATATTGACACTGTCCTGATTGACGGTCACTTACGAAAACGTCATGGGCTACTACTAGATCATGACCGAGCAGAGATTCGCTCTAAGACGGACGAAGCTACCAAGCGAAGCTTTAGAACTATAGTAAACTCCGATATCTGCTTCTAGAGGCAAAGGTTGGCAGATGCTAACGGGCAACCCGATCATCACATGGAGAAGTCTCCTAACCCAAGAGCTTATAATCGAACTATAGAGTAACATGGATGAGAACTACCATAACCACGGGTTTCTATTCAATCTCGGTGACAAATATGTACGAGAGTTCCTGGCTTGAATCTGCGGTGGTTCAGTTTGAGGGGGGTTTAGCATCGGGGCCGAGCCAAACTTACGTGACTCAACTAACTAAGGGAACATAAGAACTAGGCAGAAGATAGAAATAAGTGTAGCATGCTGTATATTCCCACAGTGACTCAAACGTAGTTTGTGAGAACAACGTGATAACACAGGTAACTTAAGATCCCAGGATTATTAGAAGATCTTAACAAACTTATATTATGTAAGATACATTAGTGTAAGCCAATTCACCTTACACTACGATGTGAGTTCCTAATATTCCTTGTACAACCAGGACATACAATCTGGTTTGTCTCGCTGCCTTTGCTTCTGCTAGTTAAACTTCTTACAACTCTATAAGCTCTGAAGATATATCCCATAAGGCTTGTGCCTTTGTTGTGTCGAATGCATATGAGGCAAACCCTGCGCTAAATTGACCATTCGAAGGTTCCCACATCTTTGAAATTTGAACGTCTTCTAAATATCCCCCACCTTGTCCCTCCAGGGCCTTAGCGGTAGCAGCCCAAACAGTTGTCGCAGCCCCTTGACCAAGAGTCTTGGCTAATTTTTGCTTCATCGGATTGACATGATCTATAGCTCTCTCCTTTTCAGACAGATTGCGGTCTAGCTCGGTTAAAACAGCACCCGGATGCACACTCCAAGCATGAATTCCACGTGAGCTGTACTTTCGCTCAACCTCATTCGCCATCCATATGTTGGCAGTCTTGCTTGCACCATAGGCTAGCATGCCGTCGTAATTTTGCTCGCAATTCACGTCTTCTAAGTTCAACTTTGAGAATCGGTGCGCGACTGAAGAAAGCATCACGACTCTCGACGAGAAATTTGTCGTTGCACCAGCCTCAAGAGCAGGCTGAAGTAAATTGAACAGGAGAAAATGAGCGAGATGATTGATCCCAAAATGAGCCTCAAAGCCATCTTGAGTCTGAAGATTTGATGGTGTCATCATCCCCGCATTGCAAATGAGAATATTAAGCGTTCTGCTTTTCGACAAAAAGTTGGCTGCACAGGCTCGCACGCTGGCTAAAGATTCGAGGTGCATTTCTAAAAGATGCACACGGTTGCTCTGAAGGATGTCGTTAAGAGCGGTTTGAGCTTTGCTCAGATCGCGAGCTGTAAGAAACAGTGTTGCACCTGAACGGTACATAGCTTTGGCAGTTTCGACTCCAATGCCGGCTGAGCAGCCAGTGATAAGAACCGCCTTTCCGGAAAGAGCGCCTACAGCACCCTCGTCTTCGATAATCTGTAGGGCAGTTGGTCGAGCGTCCCCTACGCCTTGGGGATTGAGATGCTCTTCAACATAACGAGAAATCATGATAAGGTCGATAGTTGTTAGCCAGGAATGGAGACATTTGAGCCTAGTTCGGGCACATTGATCAATTTATACACAATGCGAAAAGCAGAAGTTAGAGTTGACTCCTTCATTGTTAGCCTGGTATAAATCTTCGTAAACTATATCTACATAGGAGACTCTCGTGCTCTGTGGGTTCTCTGCACCTGGCTTATTTCACTGGTATCATTATCCTTTCTTAATCTACTTTAGTGGACAAGCATATGCACATCAGCAGGCGACCGCTAGGTTTGTATCACATGGCTTATTTTAAGTATCTTGGCCCTGGCCATGTTCTTTTCCAGGTCTAATGCGGACGCTTTGCAAGATGTAAGCCAGTGTAGAGTAGTGTATTACTAAATTTGATTGAAAATTACTGAGAACATGACTTCATTCCTTTAAAACAAATATCTTAGGACTGCACTAATTAAGCTACAAGTCTGCTACTAAAAACAATTCTGGTTATCTACTTAAGGCCATGGATGTACAGCAAATTTTGGAAGGACAGGTTGTCCTGTAGTAGACTAACTCTCATAATCCAAATGCATTAGCGTGCCAGGCAAGTTCTCCACACGCCACGCTCAATGAAGGGTTCAAATTCCCGATCCCTGCTACTGAAATAGCCAAGGCGCTAATGCTGCTGGCTTATGTCCAATTATCAACTAGTAGTGCCTCGCAGTAAACAACGCAAATATGTCCTCGGCAGATGACTCTGGAGATTCCCGGACATGAGAACTACAAGCATGGGCAGAGGCTTCCCGCTCTCAGAGGAATACACGCAATCCGTCTATCAATGACCAAAGTGCATCTTTCAGGCTATGGATCTCTCGGAAGAGCAGGCTGTATGATGTATCTTGGTACGATTTCTATAAGAATGGAGTATTCCTACCAGATTCTAACGCCAATACCACACAGCTCTACATTACACAATAAGATTGTCTACATATAATTTCAGACGTTTAGCAACTTATCATGAACTTATTCGCCGCCCTTTTCAGCTACCAAGCTTCAAAGCTCGCCTTATTCATCGTCACCTTGGCAGTAATGCCAGCTACCTCGGTAGCTATTACGGTAGAAAAGATAAGCTTTATGAATCATTACGGAATCAACTTGGCCGGCAATATTCACTACCCAAATGGTTTTAGCAACGATTCAGTTTACGGCGCGATTGTTTCAGTTGGTCCAGCAGCTTCAATTAAAGAGCACACATCCGGACTCTATGCCCGGAAACTTGCAGAAGAAGGATTTATTACTCTTGCGTACGATTCCTCGTTTCGGGGCGAAAGCGGAGGAGAACCGCGTGATCAAGAGAATCCCAACGTGCGCGTCGAGGACATCCGTGGCGCAGTGGACTTCCTCGTCAGCCTCCCTTATGTGGATGACAACCGAATTGCCGTATTGGGTATCTGCGCGGGGGGCGGTTACGCCGCTACCGCCGCTATGACCGAACGCCGCATTAAAGCGGTTGGTGCTATTGCTCCCGTAAATGGGGGACGGGAGAACAGGGCTGCTGGTCAAAATGCGACAATCTCTTCATTGGAACAAATCGCGCGTCTCAGATCAGCCGAAGCTCGTGGAGAAGAATGGTCGCTGAGCCCATGGATGCCTGATGAGTATCAAAACTCGACAGATATTGACCAGCGCGAGGGTTATGATTACTATTCCACGCCAAGAGCCTGGCATCCGAACTGGATAAATCAGGTGCGATCATCAACTATGGACGCCGTGATGGCATTCGATGCTTTCTACCTCGCCGAAATGCTTCTCACTCAACCATTACAAGTCATTGTGGGTACCAAGCCCGGTTCTTTTGGATCCATTCAAGATGGTAAGTCCCTCTACGATATCGCTGCCTCGAATGACAAGAACATCATCTCAATCGAAAACGCCTCGCATTTTGATTTATACGACAATAGCGAATATGTAGATCAAGCGGTAACTAGGCTTTCGACCTTTTATAGGACCCGTTTGCAGTGAATGATGGGATGCATCTGTCGCTGACAAATTCGATGTTCGACGAGGTGTTATATAAGAGCTAGAAATCTGAGAAAAACAACTGGGACTTGAGCACAACGTACTTTCGGCTTACTGATGCACGCAGAAGAGAGTTTAGGAATCAACAATGGATGGATGCATCGTGGGGTCCCTAGGACACAAATAGAACTTGCTTTCATCTGCATCTCAGTTTAACTCATTCAAATAACACATTCAATATCATCAAGTAAAGATCGTTTAATTCCAATTGCATTTACTTAGAAATGCTACTCCATAATTCGATGAACGCCTTATTGTTCGTTACCATATATTCGTTAGTCAATATTTTCTTTGTGAACGTGGCTGTGGATGTATTAAAAAACAGGTTATGAGCCATCAACTACTACTTTAAAGAGAATGTTAAGATTTTGCCATAAGATTCTGCAATCAAAACTTCACTCGGTATCTGATCTTCTTAGCAGAAGAAACAAGATATTAGCAATATCAACCACGTTCTTGTCGCTGGATCTGTGTAGTTGACGCCAAAAAAACTCCAGTCCCTGATGCCCACAGAAACAGATAGCAACATTCACGTGCCTAATGCCAACCAAAGTTTTAATACCCGGTCTTCTGTTTGAGATGCAGTAAGGTTAATGATTCAACTGAAGTTGCTAATAGACTTCCGGGGCAGCCGAAGAAACGGACGACGGGACATGAATGGCTGAGACACCCACGGACCCTGACTAAGACCCACTTGGTCCGTAAGCCAGCTGCATTAGCGTCTTGCTGTCTTTAGAAGAACGGATATCAATCAGGGCACTACCGACCCGAAATAAAGACTGACGTTGCCCTATCTAGGTGTTCATCGAATAAGCCGATTGTAGACTTCACTGCTTGAATTGTTGATGTTCCTATTGAAAGAATAAAGACTTCCTATACTTTTGATGATGTCTCAGGTCTCAATGGACATGCCGGACGATCAAGCCGATTTGCCAACAACCATGGGGCTCGCAATGCATAGTCTTCCAAACTTATGGAATGCCAACGATGATTGGACTGGCATCACCAGCAGAGCAGAAAGGAAGAAGAGGCAAAACCGTTTAAATCAAAGAGCTTGGCGTAGGTTCTAACCAAATCACACCCTATACGGCATGGTCACTAACTGTTGCCTTGAAGGTAAAAGAAAAAACGCTGACTTACTCTCCAACGCCAACCATAGCGAAATCACTCGCTTTACCCCAATACTTCCAACTAGAGATTGTATGGTTTTGTTAGATGAGCTGTGCAGAATCACCCATACGGATGTTGTTGTGCCTCCGTCAAAACCCCACGAATACGAAGGAGCGTTGATTCTAACAAAGCCTGAACACAAATTGCAAGTCTTAGATCTCATCAAGAAAGCTTATCAGGACTATACGCTGCAGACACCACAGGTAGAAAGTCTACATATGTTGGTCCGACTGAATACTCTCAATGCTTTTGCTCGAAATGCTGATCACATGGGATTACCGTGGGAGGGCCTTTGCGAAGTAGACCTAGTGTCACCTTTTAACAGACAAAGTCCCAGCTTACCGGGCTGTTTCGCAATCTCCCCAAATTGCCCTGCCTCTCTACAGCCCACATCTTTGCAGCAGAAAATCATTCATCACCCATGGATCGATCTGCTTCCATTTCCACAAATGAAAAACAACATTCTTCTTGCGATTAAGTCGGGTTTATTAGACGAGGATGACCTGTGCGACGATATTTTGGAAGTTTGGGTTGCAGACAAAAACCAGAGACCTTCACTCATTACCTGGGGTGAGTCTTCAAATACGATGGCATGGGAGATATCTTTGCCATTCCTACGCAAATGGGGGTGGTTACTTGCAGGTTGCCGCGATATCTTTGAAGCCACAAATTACTGGCGAGAAAGACGTGGTCAAGCAAAGATTAATTTTGAGAAAATTCAGGAAATAATTGCCAATGAAACGTCAGTCTGAGTTGGAATATCTCTTTTCAAATACACATCTTAAACCTGCCTTAGCCCTACTCTGCAAACTCTAGCCCAAAGGGTTATAAGGTGAAATTTAATTGAGATTCTTGTTATTATTGGATAAATTGGGAGAGCATCTTGGTGGCAGCTTAGGTGCATTTTCTAAAACACCGCTACAATCATCGATGACCTACTGAAACTTATGTTCATGGTCCAGCTGCCCGTTTTTCTGCCAACACGCTTGGCAGCAACTACGAGGAAGAGCATTATAGACTCAAGGCCAAGGCATTTTTATATACTGCTTGCGTATGGAACTCGTGGTTTTGACAGAGAGGGAACTACTAAACTTAAGTACTGCAACCGTTGAATTTGCCAGGCTGTTACTAGTTGAATTAATAGAGCAAATTTTGGAAACAAGTTTAGGGCAGATAGTACTTCTGTGGACACGGTCAATCAGTGATAGAGAGTTAGTGTATTTGCGTTGTGGCAATAATTGCTATGAGATCAATCATCACAAGGGATTTTCAAAAGAGGGTACCCATTGGCTGTCAAGCCAATTCCAATTATGCTCTCGAGTAGTCCTGTAAAACTGGTCGCAGGAGATTATTAAGGAAGTTTTTAAATAAATAAATGTCCAGAAGATTGAACAGAGAATATATTGACATAAAGGACCTCTGGATACGGCTTTGTCAGTCCGTGACGAAGAGGCCCAGGTTTGAAACATGGATGTGGATATATCGAAATTAACAAAATACCATCATTAGTTTCAGAATTCAACGCCCCAACTTTCGAAGAAGCTGAATGTTCTGCGATATACAGTATAGTCTACTACTCAGTCTCAAACCTTTCAGTGAGAAAAGGTTACTCGAATGAGCATGAGCCTTTCAGTGCTTTGTCAGGCTAGTCCCGTTCCCAGCAAGATTCTTCTGGAAAAACTGCGAGAGCTTGTTGAATGGGATGAGGTCTACGCGGTCATAAAGATCAACATGACCAGCTCCAGGCACCCAAAGCAGCTCCTTCGGTTCAGCAGCACGTGCATAAGCATCCTCACTAAACTCGCGAGAGTGCGCCTGGTCGCCAGAGATAAACAGTAACGGGCGCGGCGAGATGATTTCAATGTCGTTGAATGGGTAGAAGTTCATAAACTTAGTGTTGCTGGATAACGTAGGGTGTGTGGTGAGGTTGGCTGTGGTGTTGACAGGGGTGAACTCGCCACGTGAGGTGCGATAAAAGTCGTAAAATTCACGACCAACAGCATCGGTCTCGTTTGTAAGCACGTCTGGAGTACCGCCAGTGTATTTAGTATCACCACCAGCAGCTTCAACCCAGCGCTGTGCGGCCGCCTCAGCAATGATTTCTTTCCGTTGATCGGTGCTCTGTGCCTTCCGCAGGCCGTTACGGTTAGCGGAGCCCATGTCGTACATGCTTGAAGTCGCGATCGCCTTGAGACGGGGATCAACCTTGGCTGCGCTGATCACAAAGGAACCACTGCCGCAAATACCAAGGCCACCAATTCTCTCGCGGTCAACAAAGTCCTGCAGACCGAGTGTTACGACCCGTAAACAAGGATAACAGCTGAACGACCCACTTGGGCGTCGGGCGGCTAGAACAGGACATTTGTACTGCAGGATCACGGGAACAACAGGGACTCACTCGGGAACGGAAGAACTATGGTACAAGTCACGTGATGATAAGATAAGACTGAGCAGGTAGTATGGGTCACTGAGCGCTCAGTCAGAGCTACTGAGCGCTCACGAAAAAAAACATCAACAACAGCGAGAACGAAATTTTTGAAAACAGCATCAAATTGATCAAACCACGCCCGCTCGCGCTCTCAGAGGTCACTTTGGGCATAATGTCATCCTCGGCATTGATTCTGCTCCCAAAGAGCCTGCTCGTGGCCGCGGGCGGGCTCTGACCACGAAAAATTCGAGAGCAAGCCACAAAGTATGACACGTCAATAGACAACACCATCGACACCACCGCGGTTGAGTCACGGGCTATCACGTGAGCACAACGACCAAGCCCAAACAAACATCAACACCACAGCCACCGATAGGTTATGGGTCGCCTATCACCCCCGACAAAGTTTGCAACGTCCCGCGACAACAACGACGACAAGCCCGACAGAACGGTATCACCTCCTGCATAGAGAAAGCACCAGACACCAGGCATGCTACGATCGATGCCACAAAATACTACAGTTTGCAGACAGATTGGTCCCCTGTCGCCCCCTCCGCGAAGAAGGATTGTCGCCCCTTCAACGTATGACAATGTCTGCGGAATCTGTGTACGAGCTCTCATACTTAGTAATCGGACGAATCGAAGCGGTTGGAGCATTGTGTTTTGCGGATTGAGTCCGACTCCAGGCGGTGGATGGAGGTGGTGGTCGAAAGATGGAAACATAGAGCCACATAGGAACCCAGCATGAGGCAACAAAAAGATTTACAGATTCAACTGAGATATAGCACATGCGAGTCTGAGAGGATGCGGACAAGATAAAGAGACGAAGCTGAGGGCTGGGGGGAGACTATAGGTATACAGAACCAGACATGGTGCCTAGCACCAACAGAACCGAAGTAGGAGGACGCGAAAGAAGGATTCTAGAAGGCAACACCAAGCGAGAGAGCAGGCAGGAGGACAACAATCTTCAACAGAGGGCATAAACACACAAGAATAGATAGCATAGTGGGAGCTTGGGGACAGCTGGTCCTGATCCAACAACAGGGCGAAGTGGGGCGTCGCGGTTTATCGTCGATGCTTCGGCTGTCTGCCAAACCCCGCTTTCCGGGCATAGCTGCTAGCATAAGAGCGGCTTCATAACCGTGTAGGAATCAATCAATCAATCAATCAATACTGAGCGCTCACCAACGATCACTGATCGCTCACCGGTACCTGATCAGTGATCAGCGACAAGACACAGGGACTGTCCAGGACTTGTATATAGTATGACCTGAGCTCGGCCCATGGTCAGACTTCCATAGCTCTTCAGCAATCAACTTTGTGATTACCCTAACCGGTACTTTCAGCTATACCTAAGTGACGACTACTCTACGACTCTTGTTGAGGCCTTGACTGATCACCAAGACCTTTGAAGATCTACGATCTATTCGACCAGGACCACGGAACGACTGTTACTACTCTCAATCCCTGGCTTACTGTTAACACAAACCCACTGTCAGTTAGCTGGCCGTAACACCGAGATAGTCAACTGCCGCGCTAAAAGCCTCGGCATAGAGTTCTGCCGAAACGGCGTTTCGCGGTTCGCCCTCGCTACTGCCCCAGAATGGAAGGTCGATAGAGACAGTAACAAAGCCCTGTTCGGCCAACTTTGTGGCATAGAGATTGGCACTCTGCTCTTTGACCGCTCCCATGGGATGACCGACGATGACAGCTGGCGACCTCACAGTACGGCTGACGTTGTTCCGAATGAAGAGGTTACCGGCGACTATGGTATGGTATTGAGTCGGGAACCTAATGGGGTATGCAGTGACGATGTCGCTGCGGTAGAAGTTATCGGCCCCAAATGAAAGGTTCTGTGCGGCAGCTGTCAGTGTTTGGGCGAGTCCTGCTATGCTAAAAGCAGCGATGCTTCTTCCAAAGATCTTCATGGTGTTTATAATGGCTTATGACGGTTTTTAGATTGTTGATGTGAGCTTGAAGTAGTATGATACAATAAAAGTTACTCTGGCGTCCTAGCAAGTCTTTATAGTTAATGATATGTTATTGTTTTAAGGAGACTATGAAGGGATTCTATGTCTGATGTCGTCATGGGACGTTACGCTCCCTAAACAGTATCCCCTCTTGGAAAGGACCGAATAGTGCCACGCGTCGCCAATGTTCCTGTCATAGGAAACTGTCTCTTGACCAGGATTCCAGTCAAAATCTGTAATGCCGAATCTATCTAGCATATTGGAAAGTGCCCAATGACCCCAGTTTCGGCTGACGACGCTGTGTACCGCCATTACTTAATGACGATTTAGACCCGGTGGACTAACCATGCCAAGAGTCGGCCATCGCCACAATACACTATTTTGTTGTGTGGGGGCACTGGTGCGTAAGCATCGCACTGCGCCATGAAGACTACGATAGCTATCATATCGCCTGGAAGATTATCATTTAGTCCCCAGAAACTAATCAGCCCTAGGTAATACGAACCGTATTGCAGAGCATACGTTGACAGTAATTTGTGAGATCTTGGAGCAGTTGTTGATTTCCTGCAACTTTTGGCATCCCGCTATTACATTCTCTGCTAGCTCAATGATAAATAATACCTCTGACGCTAATAGAGACGAGCAGTTGAACAATGCTGTCATCCAATTGCATGATTTTAGTTGCCTGATCCCTGAAAAGCGGTAGGGCTTAGGAGCCAAGAAGTCCTGTCATCTGGTTGCATTAGCGTCTGTTTTCCATGGGGATTCAACCGGGGACTCCGCCACAACCTTATTTCCAAGCTTTGTCCGAACGCCTTTAATATCTAAGTACCTCCGTAGTCTTGTATATTCTGGGGTAGAGTAATTATGGATAGCACTGTATCGAATGAAACAAAAGAAAAACTGGCATGGAGATATCGGATTTTAAGGACTTGTAGCCGAAAGGTGGGCCAGCGGGTGTATCATGCCAAAACCGAGGCCGTCCGCAACGTCATCGACATTAGCTTATTGCTAGTCAACTTTTGTAGATATTGAATAACTTACATAGATTGTATCGACTTACGATACTTTCTCTCGTATAGAAAACCCCTTTTAGTTATGCTTAAGGGCAAGTTAGATTAAGATTAATAGAAATTATCGCATGCAGAGTTAAAGAATTTTAATTATAGTTCAAGTGTTAATACAAATAAGCCATAAACCAAATCATCAAAGAGTAAAAGACACCATAAGACAGGGTTTAGGGGAAGTGTTCTTAGGGAGGACTCAGAGGCGGAGTGACCCTGGATTGTGCAGGCACGGGATAAGGTCCTGAGGGTTGAATTGTTATAAGTGACAACGGCACATGGCAGGTTCAGTGAAGAACAAAATGGCTGGTATTCTCTATGTTAGTAAGTGGAGCGAGGATTATTGAGGAAATGGCCGCCGCAGGGGGTCTGTAATGTGATTAGAGGGCTTGAGGCGCGGGAGAGTGGGTTCGGAGCCGTAACGACTTTAGGTTTGTTTTTCGGGAGATTAGTAATCAAACATTTTACTTGCGAGGTTTTTCATTTGAGCTTTTTTTAAAAGGTCTAACGTCGTTAACAATTACCGGAAGAAGCCATCCCCTTTGCTTCTAGGCCGTGGTCGTTAATTAACAATTGGCCTCCCTCGTGACTTACTCATTAGTAGGTTCTTGTATAAGTTGGGCCAAGAGAGACTTCATGGCTTAACGATAACTAAAATGCTTGTACACACCGAATAAGGTATACTTCTATAAGGTCTCCTGTGATGAACTAGGCACATAGCAATCAGGCTAGAAAAGGTGTAAAAGAGTGACTTGATTTAGAAAGAGGGTATGTGCGTGAGGAAGCACATACTTACACATCGATGGTGTGCGTTTCATATAGCTTACGTAAATACACCTCGCTCGGTGTGTTCGGTGAGCGTTGACACTATCGTCACATCTCCGAAATATACACTACAGGCCGCTAGGTATGTGCTTTCCTAGGCACATCCTCGCTTTCGATTTAAAGTACTTTTTAAAGTCTTTCTGGGTTGTTTGCTGTCTGCTTAAGTTGTATACATAATTGGTAGGAATTACGCTATGCTTTTACCGTACTTATGTTTATGAGCACTCATAATGTTCAAGCCAAGCAACTACGAATATAACTTCTACCTTAGGTGAAACAAATCATATAACTAAAACCCTTACCAGAGTACTTGGATAGTTTTAAACACAGTCTTAATGTTTGTCTAAACCTCTACATGTTTTGGTTCCACTTGATAGGGTGGATGAGCCTTCATCTCCAGGTAGTCGCGTTGTTACTAGCAGGTCAGGGCAACCAACTGTGGCACAAAGCAAAAGCTTCGGTAATGGTGACTCTGGCATCATTATCCCCTGCTCTGCAATATATAGCTACGCCGGCCAGCTACCAACTGGTTGGGCCGTAACACGCGTACTGCAGTCATTTTATAGCCGCAACCATATCGCTAAACCATTATGAAGACAAGATACTGTTTATTTACAATTGTGTACTTACCAAATGTGTCTTGCATTGATCAGAATTTCTGCTACAGCTTTGACTTTCTCAATCTAATAACATTTGTCCATAGATATCCCATGGCATATCTTTAGTCACATGACCAGTCCAACCACCAAGGGTCGTTAGCCTAGTGTGATAAATAAACCCTTTCCCTTTCAAAGACGCAATGTAAGAGTGTAACCACTCTTGCCTTGGAGAAAATATCGTTGTTAGACTTATAATGAAAGAGAAAAAATATATTCGTTGGTCAAGGCACACAAGATAGCACCAAAACAATCGGATTTTCATACCGGCCTATCAAAGCGAGATTGAAGAGAAATTTCTCGTAAGGGTAGCCAAACTACTACAGTATTTCAAAACCAGCAATGATAATACAAAAGAAAGAATTTGAGTATCCCAAAAATACCTTTTTGCACATGACTGAGCGTTGGCCCCACAAAATGGGGCCAACGGGTTTGATGCTACTGTGACAGTATATAACCAAGAGTTAAGTTCCTAGGTTACATCTAAGCGGTAGCAATTTCTGTCACCTTATCAAAGATACGACGACCCTGGAAGATAAGTGCAAATGATTGGGGAGGTTTTCTTTGATTCTGTGGGACCTCTAAAAGTATCTGTACTTTCCGGCCTTGGGAGACGAGTCATGGGTAAATAGGCTTCATGACGTGCGTCGTTGATTTTCATAGTAGACAAACGTATGAGTGGGCAATGACTCTTTCTGAACGGAAGTATTAGGCTTACTTGCCTAATTTATAATTAATAAATGCGATTGAAATCTTGTATGATAAAGTATACGAGAATCAGATTACTGATGACAACCTGGAAGGTAATAGAAAGAAGCTGAACAAATTGAGACCTGCTCTCTTGTTTTTGTCTTGTTTTTCCCAAAACCAAACACCATAATGCAAAACTCGCAATTCAAAAACTACTTTATTATTATTTTAACAAAATCCCCTACCCCAGGAACCATGATTTTCATTCGCTGACATCCGTCAATTAAATAGTTCCTATTTTGCTAATGTTTAACTTCTTATTGATCTCTACGTTGGCTCTGAGGTTCCTGGATAGCCGATAGCCTTTCTGTTTAATCATGCATTCTTATGCATTGAAGATGAAACCTTGAGACAAGGTGAAACTTTTAAACTGCCTAGACATTCGGGTGTCAAACCTTGAATATCTGAATGTTGTCGACTGAAGTATGGAGCAAAAAACCCAATACTTCTGAGATTTATTCAGTGCGATAAGCGGCTGCAATAAAGTTCGCATGAATGTAACCTAGCGAATAATTAGAAAACTCGGATAAAAGTTTAGAGAATAAATTTTTCACAATGCGGCTTATGTAGCACACTTTGCCCCACCTCTAAATCAGCGAACTTTCCCGCGCAGTTGTTATCTAGGTACGAAAGCTGTATAACCCTGAGCAGCAGTATCCAATCTGTAAGTCTACTAAATATATAACTTTTCAATGATAGTTGTTACTGGTAAAATCATTCCTTACCTAGTTTCAATACATTATTAAGAAAATTGTCGACCTTTCTTACTTACCATCTAGATACAGGAAAAAGATGGGTTAGTACATCAATTCGGCAAAAGTTCGCAGAGAGCCTCGGCCTGTCGAGAAAACCATATTACTCTCGAGTGAAAGTTGACCTGGACAGACATAGGTCCGGAAGGGACCGAGTAAAAGATGAGAGTAATGACGCACCACAGTAACCCTGCTATCAATCCTCGAGATACAACTTAGTAGAACACAAGAAGAATCAGGCGCAGCTTCTCTGCCGAAAGCAGGTTTGATACCGAGGCTTTTGGAGACCTGTAATAACCAAACATTAATATCATAACATGGGCATTTACAAGCTAGCCAGATGAAGAATGTAAGGTATTCTAGTGATGTCCGTAGTTTTTTTAACCCTGAAGTAAGAGACAATATTATCAGTACAACCAAAGCAGCTATCTGGAATTAGTTGTCTCATTCAGAGAATAGAAAAACTCTTTTGGTAACTTTTACCAAGGATGATGAAGGTCTCCAAAGCCATCAAATTCGAATCATTTGCCATGCACCTTGCACAGACGGCACTCATGTATCGCGTACTATGTCAAACATAAAATTTTCAAGATGATGTGTTATCCTCTTGGAATCGAAGCGGAGAGGGCCGTTGGATGCGGAAGCATGCTGGGTAGCATCCGACATGGCAAGCTGGTTGGCGTCTTGAAACTTCGTGGTGTTACCTCACTCCTACATACAACCATACCCCCTTGCAAAATCCAGAATCCTGTCTAATCCTCCACCTATAAGCCAATGATAATAATAATATTGATTAAAGAGTGGAATTAATACTGACTGATCGAGACTGCAGTGGAGGACGGGCCCCTGATTTCTTCCGTACTGGTTATACTAGTCCACAAACACCGTTTCAATCCACCCAAGTTAGGTTACCCGCCGATAAAATGGATGCTATAGACCCGTAAGGGTAGGAACGGTAGTGGATCCGCGGATGGATCCCCTCCCGGGATCGGGTCGAAAAGGGAAAACTGGAGGTCCCGAATCAGGGGGGCCTCTCGATTTGGAAAATTACTCGTATAGCATAGCCAATACCATAAGAGCAGATTGAAGGGTTACCAGCAAGGCGGGACTGGGCGGCGCAGCCAAAGTAAGGGGTTTGGCAGGTCTATCGTTGTGATATATTTAATAGGTGTTGTTGTTCTGCTTTTATTTCTGCACCTCCTGCTAGCTCATCGTGCCACCCAGGTGTCGTATTCGAAAGCCAAGGTAATCATTCGTTCTGCCTTGTGCCATCGTCATTCATTTGATCCTTCCTGGGCACATTCTAATTCGTCAGCCATTCTTTTGTCCTATTTGTTCATTATTGTCATTTACTCACCCCTCTCCGTTCGCAACCGAATTTGCCCATAATACATTCATTATTTTGTTTCCCTCAATCATGCGTTTCCACACTTCAGCCTTCTCCCTGCTTACTGTCGGGGCAATCCAAAGCGCATCAGCCTTGGACGCAGCAGGATGGCGAAACCAAAGCATCTACCAGATTCTTACCGACCGTTATGCTACAAGTGACGGCTCGTCTCCGGCATGTGACACGGCACCGGGCTTGTACTGTGGTGGCACATGGAAGGGAATCACCAAGAACCTGGACTACATTCAGAACCTGGGTGCCACTGCCATCTGGATCTCACCCGTTGTCAAAAATGTCGAAGGAAACATCAACGGGGCTGGAGAGGGCTACCACGGCTTCTGGACTCAGGATATCTATTCAATCAACGAACGATTCGGCACTGAGGATGATCTGAAGGAGCTTTCCGCAGCCCTTCACGCCCGCGGCATGTACTTGATGGTCGACATCGCCCCTAATCACGTCGGTCTCAACGATGACCCCGGCAACTACACCAAGTATATTCCCTTCGACAAGCCAGAGTACTACCACAAGGAGTGTCCTATCAACTGGAACAACCGTATCTCCGAGCAGCTTTGCTGGCTTGAGGGTCTGCCTGACCTGCGCACTGAGGATGACTACGTCCGAAAGGTGTATGCCGCTTGGATCAAGGACCTGGTAACTAAGTACTCAATCGACGGCCTTCGCGTTGACACTGCCCTTGAGATCGAGCCGGAGTTTTTCACTGAGGGCGGTTTCAGAGATGCTGCCGGCGTCTTCCTCCTCGGTGAAATCAGTCACACGGGCCTTGATGTTCTGGCGCCCTACCAGCAAGTCATGGATGGGTTCATGGACTACAGCAGCTACCACTTGCTCGCCAATGCGTTCAAGAAAGTTGATGCTAGTCTCGAATCAGTGTACAAAGGTGCGAACGAGATGGCTAACAAGGCCAGCATCGACCCGTCCCTCCTAGGCTCTTTCGCCGAAAACCATGACCAAGTTCGCTTCCCTTATTCGAACAAGGACATTGCATTGGCCAAGAATCTGTATGCCCTCAGCATGCTTCGAGACGGTATCCCAATTGTCTACTACGGTCAGGAGCAGCACTACGCTGGTGGCGCTACACCCAACCAACGCGAGGCACTCTGGCTTAGCGGTTACGACATCCACTCGGAGCTGTACGGCTGGATTCAGCAGACGAACAAGATTCGGGTCCACGCCGCCGAGGCTAACCCCAACTTCTTGGCCAAGGACCGGACGCAGGCAGTGTTCTCCTACGGCAGCAGGGACAGCAGCCGCGTTATTGCCTTCCGCAAGGGCCAGCTTTTCTCCATGTATACCAACGGCGGTGTTGGCGCCACCAACAACGTAATGTTCGCCATTGCCCGCAACGTTCACGGCTACGCCATCGGCGAAGACCTTGTTGATGTGTTGAACTGCGAGTCTTTCCAGGTTGCATCTCATGGACGCCTTTGGGTGCAAATGCCCGCTGGAGGCCTACCTCGAGTATTTTTGCCCAAGAGCCAGACCGAAGGTCTTTGCAACGACATCAAGGCGCCTTTGTCAAGTGCTACCATCAAGGTTGGCGTTGACAAAAACACAGGATATAGCAAACGATCCTTGCCGTTTGTGACGACGCTGCTGTAAGAGGAATAGGCAATTATGCTTGTCGAGAAATATCATCATAGATGCGAAGCGTTATAGGGGTAATATTAATATTAATTAAACTTTTTTTTATATACGATTAATGACACAACAACGGACCATGGCAAGTGGACGTATCTGTAAACCTGTTGTATGTTCGAGGCAAAGAAAGGCCTGAGTCCTGACCCGAAAGACCTGGCTTGCATCACATTTAAGACTTGGTCAAAGCGGTTTCCAATCCATAAACTACCCAAGTATTTCATGAATTTTGCTGAGACTCCAAGAGTGCGCCATCGCATGCTAGCCGGCATGTAAGATTCCCGGCAAGCGCAAGTTTTGAGCCCCTAGCGGCGTCCCTTGCAGGAGGTCCACCTGATACTGTGCATCGTATTTGTGGATCTCGTGGCTTTTTCCACTTGCGTCTCACTGCCTCCACTTCAAAGCCCCCAGCAATTGCATCACGTTGTTCATGGCGACCAACAGGATTCCAACCGACTGGTGTTCCTTTATGAGCAATGACTTGCCAAACTGAGAATTTTTTAGTGCAATGCTTGAGTCAACAGTGGTAACGTGAGATAAGAAACGAGTTTCAAAACAGCTAGAGCAAGTACTTAACCGTAGACCACATGTCACTGTAATGCCTTGATACAAAAAAGAGTCCTTGTAATTACATACAGTCTTGTTATGGAAAGTGACAAGACAGCAAGCAAGGTGTTGACAAATGATTAAACGACCTGAACAGGAGTGCTGGCTCTAGCGATTCCGGAATCACTGACTGCACCCCAATAGCATCTACGATGCAGAAATTCGTACTAGAACAAGGAGATGAAAAAGAAAAGGGGGACAGGGGGCGATGTTGTATCAATCACTACATGATAGCAATAGTTTTCTGAGAGGGCCGGGGGGGGGGGGGCGGGCTACAAAGGCTTTTTGAACCTTCGTGAGGTTCGTTCTGCTTCAGTTGTAATGGGAGGCGGCTCATACTATCCGCTTTCGTGATTTATTTGCGGTGGCCCCATGTGTGATGCGATGTAGTCTAACCCCAATGGGTAGGGTCTAAGTTGGAAGGATTCAGCAAAGGGAAGGTGGATCGTGCACCAACATGATTGTTTCCTCACAAAAGTGATCGGATTATTTCGGAGAGATACTGTAGTACTGTAACGTGGGGGCCTCGCTTGGGTGTGGAAAATGGAGATACAAAAATGGTTTAGCTATGCTATCCCATTGAGTAATGCGAATATTATGCAATAGAAAAAGTCCCCGATCGTTCACCAATCTTTATTTTTCTTGAGAGGGGTACATCACGGTATGTATTTCTCTATGTATCCACGCGTTCTCTAAGTTAAGTTCACTACCAAAATTAGCACTTACGTCGCGTTTTGTAGCTGGCGTAATTAGTTGCTAGTAGCTCATGTGCAATTATGATATATAGAATCTGACAATTGATTGTCGATGTCATTCTATTTGCTGAACCACGTCTTCATTGTCTACTCACTCGATGGGATATAACACGTCGCCTAGGATTCTCAACTTCAAGTTCATCTACAAGTACGATTATGCCCGGATGTTACAGATATTCAAACGAAGCAATCGGTATCTACAGATATTTTCACAAGACTTCTATTCTTTCAAATGGCAAAGTTCCACGCATATCCAACGAAGGACTTTGTTGTTGTCTTTCGACTCCCCTTCCTTGTTAGTATTGTGTGCCGTATATAATAAGTAGGTCGTATCTTCTGATGCTGCAAGCGAACTTGAACATGGCCGCCCGATATCAATCACCCTCGAAATGGGGTTTTGGCTTCTTAGCTGCCTTGTTAAGTCAACCATGGCAAAACGATTAAGCAAATGAATGACAGAGAGGTGAATACTTGTTTAACATTGGACTACAGTTATGAAACCATCACTATATTTATTGTCCATGTGAGAAGAAATCTTTTCATAGTTTGTGAGCACTTTGTAACTAATGGCTAAGTTTCAAAGGGAAAAGGCTTCAGAAGGATGGAAATGCCGGCAGATACGGATGCACTCGGCTTACGGCACCTAGGTCTTTTCCTCCCCAGGCGGCCAAGTGCCCCAATCAAGAGCAGTCTCACGCCAAGAGCGTTGCCAGTGGGCCTGAGCAGGGATGCTGTTCTTGGCTCGTATGTTGAACAACAAGCGAGATGACTAAGGAGCAATTCAGCAGGCCATTGAGAAATTTGTCAACACAGCTAGATTGTAAATGGATGTCACATTACATAGTAGGTGAATGGTGTCACTGATATGATGCGATTGGAGTAAGCGGATGCTCTATTGTTCCAGTACCACTCAGCACTTCGCGGCAAGCTTCCACCCCACACGCAGCCATTATTATAGTTCACCCCAGTTGATCATGTAAAACCTCTGATACAAGTGTCGTTTGTTCAATATGTACATTGCCCGTCCTTGTGGATGTTGCCAAGGCTATCAGCCGATTCGGAGTCATCTGTCATGGGAAGAATAACCTTTGTGAGAGGTTTAAGCGTCCCTATGAGCCGAGTGCAGCAGATTGGATACACTCAGCACTGGATAAAGAGGTGACAGATCTTGTCACGTAGAGTGGAAGGAAGCCTATTCGCTGAACCCATTTTGGTAGGCATACAAAAAACTCCACAGAAGGGGTTCTCAATGTAACTCATTGTCCTACTTGTACTTGGAATGTGACTAGCAAATGCATAGTTGCCAGTCATTTCCATGAACATGAATTAGCTAGAACTATTTTCAGCCGTTCACGTTATTCATAAACTAAATCAAAACGGGCTATGCTGTCAGTGAAGCTGAACACACCACTGACTCATACACAGTCGTAGTCTTGGCTAGTTATCAACAGCAAGCTGCATTGCTACGTCGCTTTTGTTTGCATATGCAATTCTGTCTATAGCTATGATAACATATACAAACTACAAATCTAGTTAACTCTTAATAAACCCGCTGAAAAGATCTCTTTATCATTTCACGCCCACGATACCTCCGTGTCAATGCATCATGTGGGGTCAAAATCAGTCATGCACTGAAAGACTACAGTCTTATCCTCATATCGATAATCAACAGCGAAAGTGACAATATTCAATTGAGACAAGAAGTATAATAAGAAACCTGATCAAGCCATAATCAACTGCATATAACGGTTGTAATGATTTTGGTGCTTTTGAGAAATAGGTTGCTAAGAGCCCATATTGGACTCCCAGATCTTATTCCTGAATAGCCGCTCCCCCACGCTCAATACCTCCGTGCAGTGGCAATTCCTGAATCCAGAGCCCCGTCGAAACTGTCGCAGTCGTTGTGAGCGATGGTCCAGCTGTAGAATCCAGGGTTATCGGCCGTCGAACTCCTAATCTTGTCTCAAGGTCACGTGCAGTCGTTTGCTCAAGGTGTCGGCTAAACTCCCATAAGAGAACCTTGTGTTTCTTGCGCACCGCCGAGGAACACGGAGCAGGCATCCAAGTAGGATAAAGCTTCTGGTGACTTGCCGACACGCCGATTGTAAGGGGATGACGAGACATGAATTCGTTGCAGAGATAGCATGCCTTTTTACTAGTACCCATGAATAGTAGCCGAGGAGTAAGTTCGGGGTTATGGTCATAAAAGCTGATAAGCTGCATTTCAGCATGCACAGTAAGTTTCATACGGCATGCCCGGCGGAGTCGCGTTTCAGGGTCCTGTGTAAGCCAAGCTTGGCCCAATGTTTCCTTCACTTTGTCAGGATCAGTTTTGATGATCTTCTTCAGCACCTCCATAAGAGGAGTTTTCTGGTTTCCCAGCGAAAATTCCACCTCACCCGGGGCTTCGACTGCTCGGACATGAATACCGGTGAACACGGCTGGCTGCTTTATGGCCAACTTGAGCATTGCCTTGGTTGCTGCATAATACCGCCCAAGTTTGTATATATGTTTGAGCCAGTTTGGCAACTGTCCACTCTCAGATCCAAAAAAGTCTTCAAGCTGTTCTGAGTAAACCCATCTAGCCTGTGATGCCCATTTGACATGCTGAATAAGCTGAGCAGGACTAGTACCGGGACTAAGAGATACGAGGGATGGCAGATGCAAGATCCACGTCCTGAAATTGGCCTCATCATTGTCGTGAATAGCTAAGTCCTTGTCTTTCATCAAGTCAAGCACAAGATTTATGCTCTTTGGGGCGTCTGAGCTGCGAAGTCTCTCCAGCAGGAACCATATCTTATCCGTAGTCAAAGTGATGACCTTCAACAATATCTCAGCTTCCATGTCTTTCGCTTTTTTTTCTATCCATTGATTTCCCAAGTCAGTGTTCTGCAATATGATTCAAAATCAATTGGAGGAATACCTTTTAGAGAAACGGCAGTGAGATCGTCCAAAATTTCCTGTAGTTTGCTTAGAAGCTCCTCAGGGACACCAATGTTCCGGGCAAGCCGCAGGACATTTCCGCCAGGTCGTCCCTCCTCGAGACAAACCGCGGACGCACTTTCACGTCCTTTCCTTGAAGTGGAAGCTGCTAGAGCGAATGAATCAAGAAACTTTTTCTGAAGTTGCTGATACTTCCAAGAGTCATCGTGTGGGTGCCTATCAAGGCTATGGGTTGTAGCTTCACCACGCACCGGGTCGATCAAGTGCAGCAGCGTTGTTACAATGACGAAGCGCCTGTGGGCTTCACCTAGAACAGGTTTTGGTGCCCCCTGACGCGATATTTGGGATTGCGCAGAAAGAATGACTCCGTTTGAGGAGGTTTCATCAATGTCTGAACTCTCAGTATCGCTGACGGAAGACATTGGGTCTGATTTAACTTATGAGGTCATCCCTCTGAAGAAGCCGACGGACAACAAGTTTATTCGGAAGAAGATAATGAAAAAAGAGCAATCTAAGTGTGTCGCTGAAGGAGATAGGTATAGGGCGTGGTACTTCATTGACCTACTCCTTCACCAGGGGCAAACTGTAGCCACTCTCCAGCAATTGGTCAAGTACCTGTGGGAGGCCAAACAAATTCAATTGGCCCAACACAAGGCATGAGAGTATGCAGTTGGGGCTTGTGCAACATCAAGCAGGCTACCATAGGCAGGCCTTTTCATACTTTGCGCTGCCCTTCTTGGCCCTTCACCGCTTCTTGCTCTCGATATTCCGATAAAGGTCTTGAAAACAGGTGAGGTAAAAGTAGTGGCATCATTCTCAGATAAATCCTTTGGACATTATTGCACAGCTGACTAGTACAGCCTGCAGTCACTGGTCACTCAAACATGTTCGAGAAAGTATAAATGAAAACGAATTTCTTTCTGTCATCCATACTTTTTGGAAAGATTAATGTTCTTCACACCATCTGTTATCATTTACTTCAGCTATCAAAACTTGACATCTCATGAAAGGGGCGGGTGGCTCACCAAGAAACAGGCTGTTACCATTCGCCCCATATGAATCGACGAAATATCCCTCTCATAGCCAGAAGATGAACCAGTACGTTGAGAATGAGCTTTCTTCTGCCTTTCGGCTTGGGGCAGAAGATCCCTTCCTGTGGGATGGCAATGAGTCTTCTCCTGAAACGCCAACGTCACAGGGCATCCCCATCGACATTGATACAAAATTTCCAGACAACATCGAATCTTCCTCCATGTGTCTTTTAGGAGATGAAGCTGCAACCAGTTTACCTTTTGATCTCTTTAGTGCACCACCCCATCTCCTCTCAGGACCTTCTTCACCCTCCCGGCACCCATGAGGTGCTGATGAGTTGCCACCGCTTCACCAGGGAACTTTTCCATATAGTGAGAAAGCGGAGCAGACGGTGCTAGAAAGTCTTGCAAGGCCATCTTCCTTTCAGACGGACTTGGAAGTTTTTTCAGAGTTGAGATCCGCTCCTCAATGTCCTTACCAAATCATTTCTCAATCCACTCCAATTTCGATGCCATCATTGACCAAAAAGTCTAAATCGCGTCTTCGCTGCAACTGGAAAGGGTGCCAATTCAAGGCCTCGAGCGCGGACAACATGCAGTAAGTCCTCGCCTACTTCGGGGTTTCCAACTGTTGTTCTTATCTTGACGCTAACCTTCCGTACTTCGCTAGTGAACACATAGCGCATCATAGAAAATGCCCTAAGATGGATTGTGGACTGGAATTCAAAGACGAAAAAGAGAAAAGGAGACATGTTTGGAAGCATCATAGGAGATGGGCAACGGAAACCGACTATCCTGGAATTGGTGGCAAATGTGATGTTTGTGGAAAGAGTTTCAGTAGGGATGACTATGTTACGCGTCACAAGAAAGAAGAACATGAAGGCCAGAAAAGAAAGCAAAGGTATGATAGTTGAGTCAATTCTAAGACTTCGCATGGCCATTCTGTTTTGTGATTGCAGCCATCTTAAACTTGGTACAAATATCTGATTACTTTTATAGATGAATGTTCAAATTTTGTATAATTCCGAGAAATTATGCGAAGACCAAGAATCTTCATTAAAGGTGGACAACCGTTATCTTTTGCTCATCTTTATTCCAGCACGAGGTGTAGACAGGAGTTCGCTATTGGCGCAGAACACTTTCTGAGGTTTTCAAATTAATCTATGATTTCACGGCTACGATATGTTTTCATTCTTTAGCTCATTATCGTTTTCCCGCCATCTATTGTTAGCCGTGACCGAATTTTGACCTTGAGCGGCCGATGACGCAATCGCTCAATGGCGGTCCTCCCTTCTTCTTCATCTGTGCTTAATTCCATGATTGCATAGGGTGCAAACACAAAAGCCTGCCCTGTTTGCAGTGACATAATTCTCGTGAACAAATCGCCTGCTGGGTTCTTTTCATCAACAGCGATGGGACTTGCACCCACACTAAGACCTCTCTGCTCCAACGCAGTGGTTGGTACAGCTTGAACTCCAGCGAGATGGCTTCGTAGCGTCCGTAACCAGTCCGGTGAAGTAAATCGGTGAACTACAGTCATCGAGCACAAGTCGAGTAGCTTCGTCGATACGGTGGGTTCCTGAGTTGAAATGAACACACGGACACCGAGGTGTCGCTGGAGTCGAATGGTGGCCAATAAGGAATTCGTAAGCGTTTTACTCTCGGGTGATTCCTGCATATATTTGTGTGCTTCGTCGAGCGCAACAACTTTGCCCACGTTGGACTTCTGTTCTAAGAAAAGTGAAAGACAAATGTTGAAAAGCAAGCATGCCATTTCTGCTGTAATGCAAGGACAAGACAAGTCGACGACAGTCAGTTGCCCAGCCTGGATGCCTATGTTATCAAATTGAACCGATTAGAACTTGGGCAGATATTTCTTACCTTTGGCTTCCAATCAATTCTCTTGGTTTGCGTCTTGTCACTGGTCATGAAACTTTCCAGAGTATCGAGGCGCTGACTCAAGGGCCCCAATTGCGTTGGCGTCAGATCTGCACGACTTATTTTCTTCTTGAAAGAGGCGTAGCTAAATCCTTTTCCATTGATTTGCTGTTCTAGACGCATGTCGCGAAGGATTCGGCTGACCACGTGTAGATAAAGCGGCATGCTACCGTCCTCGACTGCCATCAGGTCGAACATCCTCCGAGTATTCAGGTCGTCATCACTCAGTTCAAGAGGCATAACAGTGACTTGGGGAATCTTTTTGTAAATAGCCTACGAGATAGTTATATTAGTTGGAGTCTGATTCTTGAAATTGAAATATGCGGCAAGTGAAAATATTACCTTAATGGTCCGCACATTTGTTTGAGCGCACAGAACTCGGACTGAAGTCCCACTGTCGGACGCCAAGAACGCTGCCTCGCAAGGAAGGCCACCAGAATCTGACGTAAAAGTATCGAAGTGGAATACAATACCAGTAAGTGGCTGCGGTAGCCTTCCGAGGCTGCTGGGAATCAGACAGTTTTCCAAAAGACACGCAAGCGTGTTGCTCTTGCCAGAGCCTTGGCTGCCACAGATGAAAATGCTGGAAGGGCAGGTTACATTATAAAAGATTCGTGAAGTGTGAGAAAGTGGAAGGCTGTTCGGCATGTTGCCACCAAAGAGGCCGAATTGTAAATGAGAGGAGTTGTCCACAAGCGCGGCGTTGAGAAGAGGGCTGAAAAAAATCTCGTCTTGTTGCTGTGTGGCGGGGTCAAAGTTGAGGTATCTCATATGGATATCAGCTGCATCCATGTCGTCTGCTGATTCATTGTCAAGGTATTTTCCGCCCTTATAGACTAGGGGTGCCATTATGCTTGGAATTATGCCAGACGATTCCCCTTGCACAGATGACTCCGTAAATCCAGGCTCATCGGTACCGAAATCGCTGTCCTCTTCCTCCTTAGATGATGTTGAAACAGAGTTCTCCCAGTGTCCAAGGTCATTTCGATGTTGAGTCAAGGCTTTCGAGTTCTTCAGGCAGCGGCCGCAACTTCTGCATTCGAATTCATGGAATACATGCCCTTTAGCGACCACATGTTGATCACGGGACATACGGTTACTCCAAGTCGTTGTGCATGTACCGCATTTGAACTTCATGCTGGCACATTGTCAGTCTCTCATAGACCCTGCGCCAAAAGAAATCATTACCTGAACATTGCCGCTCGTTTCACAGGCTAAGCAGACCCGGCTGATTGATTTTCGGAGCTATGAGCAAAGGGTTGTACGGTGCTTTGTGATGGAAAAATGCGCTGGCTTTGTCCGCTCTAAGTTGGGTTTAAAAGCTGGTATTTATCGACTATACTTTTTGGAATCTACGTACTCGACCAAAAGTGGAGTCGACGGCCTCCTGCATTAAGGCGTGCATATCGCACAACAATGTGTTTGGCTGACGACGCCAACTTTGTTTCAGAGCAACATGTTTTTCTCCCTTGATATGTAAGTGTCTCGTTTTGGAGTAATTCGAACGGAGACAGCATACTGTGTGGGAACATACTTTGACAAGTTGAAGCCTTGGTCCAAGATTCAAGCTCGGTTGAGCCTGCGCCGGAAACTTTGATCAGAACAAGCCTTGTTTTGCGTGTCAAGTCGACTGATATCGTAGGAAACATTGAAGAGTCCTTGGAAAACGTATCTCCATAGTATGATAGCTCACAAAGTCTTGATATCGTATTCACCATAATTGCCATTCGGGTTGCCGGAATCATAACTTCTCTACAGCAAAAGGTCCGAAGTTCTTTTTAGTCAGACGCTGTGTCTTTACAGCTTGTGATATTTTGGTAGACAATAGACTGACCTGATGGCCCGAGTTGTACTGCTAGCATTGAACTAGTAGATACTGAAGGCGAGGATTAGCCAACGGCGGAAACCTATAGCTCCTCTTCATGAGGGAATGACGACCGAATGCGGTTTTTAAACTAGTCATCGGAGGAAAACAACTAATAGGCGAACTTCAACTGGTTCTATCTCTGAAATTGGGCGTCTTATGTATCTATTCTACAGTCGGTCGCTAGCCGGTTGGGATCTTTCACACTGCTTTTTAGTTTGGAATCTTGTTTCTACCCCATCAGTGTCCAGTTGGCTACAGCTACATGGTCCCCAGATTACACTCACTCTTTTCCCCTCAAATGAGAGGTACCTAACCATAGAGTACAAACCCTATGTGTCCTCGGCTCATTCTTGTGACTCTGATATTGCAAGAACTTGTTCCATTGCTATATTTTGCGCATTGTGCAGATAACTTTCACTTAAATTGTTTGGTTGGCTAGAAAATGTCTTGGCTGGCCTCTTGGTGGCTCATTTTCCTCACGAGAATGTACCGATAGCCAACTGGACCTCGATGGGATAAGCCTTTGGGAAATGCCGATTGATTACCTGAAACAATAATGTTTTATATAGAGTAGGTTGTTCTTGTGCTTATTGACTCGTACAAGATTGCTGAATCAAGTCAATCAACTGTGCGCTTCCCCACGTTCAACCATTCGCAATGGAAATAAGCAGCCGGCAGGTACTATCATGCCCTTAGGGTCATGAATGATTAAACGTTTTTCCAATCTCGTATATGATATCTTAGGCAATCACAAAATGCCAACCATCATTCATCGAGGTCTATTGACTTCCTATCACATTACAGTATTGGTCAATAATAACGTCTAGCCACACTGGTACACTGGCGTTTCAGTATGCCAATATGCGTACAGATTTTTGTTCCCCTTTCGGTCGATTCTGGTTTGCCTCCTTTGTTGTTCTTTTTGTACTTTTTCACCATGCCTGTTCTCCACCGCCAGTAATGATCGCTGTTGGGACGCGGGGAGGTGCATCAAGCTATTTCGGTCGTTGGCACTCATTTTTGCCAGCTGATATGAGACTGTTGCCCGCTCCCGCTTTTCCCTCCTAGATAGCAGCTGCTTGCTGGGTTCTGAATCGAGTTCACTTCCACCGAAACCCTTCTCTTCGTTTGATTCCTCCAAGGAATGTTTGACTTTTGAAGGCGAGTTTCTCCTTCGTTGATGTAAATGGCTGAACGATAGCCTCGTTGGTGCTGAGGACTGTCTTGATATGATTTTGCCTGACGGTAAACGAATCGAGTCTTCGTCAGCTAACACTGGCTTCATGCTTGTCCTTGACGGTCTCTCATCCTGTTCTTCTTCATTGCTTTCGACCTCAGTGGCTGTCTCCGCATTTCCTTCTGGCCCATAGAAGTCGTAAAACTCTGAAAACTCCGAGACTTCTGAGACATCAAATCTGCAGTGACCCTTGGCGGTCATATGTTGCTGTACAGCCTCCACGGTCGCTCTTTCGGTACCGCATTGAAGACATTCCCGATATGAAAAAATAACAAGGTGTAGGTATTTGAATAGAGTTTCGAGGTCAACTAGCAAATGTTGCTCATACGGGATAAAAAGCCCGTGTGACCTTTGCATATGTGTCACACTGTCGGAGAAATCTTGTGACGAAACGGGGCAGAACAGACATTTCCCGGGTGTGAATGGCCGCATGACTGCATTTGGTAGTTCTGCTGGTTCCATCTCTAGACTTGTTGTAGGTTCAATATTTAAAGTAGCCGACAGATTCATTGGTGAGGTTGGTAACGGCGTATCTATGATGGGAGTTGTGACCAGGATTGTCACAGATCCGGAGTGATCGTGGCGTTACAAGTGTAGCTCAATGTGCTGGAAACCTTCTAAGGCGGTGGTACTCTTGGTCAAAATGAAAGTAACGATTTGGATTTGGACTGGATTTTTGTCGATGTTATATATTCTTCAATTCTTCTAGTCTAGTGAAGAGTACCATGCCAGAGTCTGAAAGCATGAATCTTGAGCACTACCTTTGTCTTTCACCTACCTCAGATGAAAGCTGATTAGTGGAGTAAAGTGGCCTATGAGTCAAATCCACTATAACTGAATTGAGCAAGGCGAAAGAGATCCGCTCCACCTCCAGGCTTGCATCTACCAATGAAATCCTTTAGCGATCTGACGAAAAATGAATCATAATGAACAATGAAACCAAACTGCTGATTAGAGTTAGTTCTAAGGTTGGAGGCCACTTTTGAGAGCGAATCATAATAATGAAAAAGTTCACGCCCAAGAATGATCACCTGCGCCACATCGTCGGTCGATACAGCTGCCGCTAGACTCCCTCTAATGTCGAATTCCAGAAAATCGGGGACGGGATAGTATGCGAGGCGCATCAGCTGTTATTGCAGCCCACCTATCCCAGCATATCGAGTCAGGTCCAATCTTTAAAAGCCAGATCAATGTGGTTAGAGTTGGGCTGCCGACGCTGGACGCTCTAATAGACCTTGGACTTAGAATTATCTGCTAATTGTGCTAATATTTCTCTATGTGAACGGAATTGGGGACGTGGGTTACTGCTCGAAGAAACCAAACAACAACTTGTGGATAAAATATGCTCCATGGGTCAAGCAATATCCCGATCACACTCGAGATGAAAAGGGTGCATGTTGTTGCCGATAACAATGTGAGAACTTTATAGAACAGTTTCTCGATTTTTGTTTATCGTTCTTCTACATTTACTAAGGACCCAATTTTTAAGTGAGTAAAAGTAAAAGATACCTAAGTTGGAATTTATTATACATGTGCTATTGTTGAAATAATGGGATGTCATAAAAAAGGCATACGTGTTTGGTGTGTCTGAACACCAATCACAATGCTCTTTGTATCTCTAGGATTTGTCCTGGCTCCGCCATTGTCAAGCTGGGACAATCCAGATCGATCTAAGATCACGCTGTCGCTAGACTTTGCGTCCTTGTTTGACTTCAGTTGAAGTTTCCGACTAAGAAGTACGACTTGGTATGTCTCTGTCTTCGCTGGCAACATATTTTGCGCATCTGGACATGCCCTCCGACACCGGTGGTTTTCACTCGCTAAAGAAACAAAATTTACCCCACAACACGTGATGCCATATGATGTTTGCTAAGGGTTGATATTTAAGTGCTTGAACTCTCCATGCAGTGAAATATCCATGATATGTTTTCTTGACTGCTTGGACCCAACAACTATGCTGACTCAAAAGCTCACCTACCAGAACCATTGCTCTGAAACATGGAGCGTGAAAAGTCTTTCAGGGGAGGAATACCTGATTCAAATCGGCTTTCCTCGTGACTGGAAAAGCAGTTCACAAGGCCCGATTGATGTTCCTGTGCCCATTATGTATGCTCCCTAAGTCGTCTGTCCATTGTAACTAGCTAACGAGACACAGATATCTCACAGACGGAAATTCAGTATTCCTCACTGCCCTTGAGGCACTGCATCGACGGCTGTCGATGTGCCCGCCTCCTTTCCCAACTGGTGTTGTTGTTGCCATCGGCTACCCGATTTCTCCCGACTCAAATAGTGTCATGTGTCCGCGTCGGACATGGGACCTCACACCACCTGCTGCCAATTCGTCGGAGTCCGAAGGGGGAGCTGACATGTTTTTGGATTTCATCGAAAATCGGGTTCGTCCATTATTACGTCGAAGGCTGCAAGAGACACGGCGTGCTACCGCTGGGCAAGAGGCCCTTTATGGACACTCGTTTGGTGGACTTTTCGCTCTCCACGCTCTGTTTACGAGGCCGACGATGTTCAATTGCTTTTTAGCGAGCAGTCCAAGCATCTGGTGGAGCAACCAGTTTATTTTATCAGAAGAAGTTATTTTTTCTGCTCCCGAAAATGACCGAGGATCTAAGCCATCATTGATGCTCTTTGTTGGTGGACAGGAACAAGATCCACCCAGAAAACGTCATGAGAGGGAGAAAGAATACGAGAAGAGGTCAAAACGTCATTATGAACGGCGTATGGTTGACAACGTCCTCGACATGCAAAACCGACTTCGATTATCGAGAAATTTGGAGTTTCTGGCTGCCAAGATATATGAAGGTGAGGACCACGGTACGGTAATTGCGTGCTCCATCAGTAAAGGCCTGGCAATCTTCTTTGAAAACTGGCCTTTTGAACCTTCTTCGTATTAAAAATTAGGTAGCTTCAGAATTTACTTTCTTGCTAAACACTCGTTTTACACGGTTTGTGTCTTGTTCGGCTCAACAGATAGTGCCTTCACGTCATCATTATCGACTCCTCCTTTGCAACCATCCTGGCTTGCGGCGCTCTCATCTTGAGCCAAATCGACATTCTTGATGAACCACATAATTGCAATCATTGGTGCAAGAACGCAAGTTGCGGCAATAGCAAGCAGTTGCTGAGTCTCGCGGTACGCGGTGTCGATTGCCACTCGCTCAGCTGAGCCAATAGCGTATTTCCGTGCCACCACAATGGAGGAAAAAATAGACTTTGCCTTTGACTTCGAGTCTGAAGGAAGGTACTTGACTAATTTTGTAAGCAGATTTGATCGCCAAATCGCACCGGATATGCTGCGAATATGTAAGCATGGATTTAAGTGTGGAGTGAATGACGAGAGGACCAGCATACCTTGTACCGATTGCGCCACCAAGATTCATGCTTGCAAAGAAAACTCCAGTAGCAATAGCAACCTCATCTCGGTCAACTACTGCTTGCACACAAACTTGTGCAGCAGTTTGGTATAAGCCACGGCCAATTCCAACGAGTGATTTTGCCGCAATAAACGATGCCTCGTTAGCGGTACCAGTGCCGTGCATATTGACCAAGTAGATCTGGAGACCTTGGCCTAGTACGCAAAGTGGAACGCCAACAAGGACCCAGGGCTTCGCGCGCTTCGAATAGTGCATAAGACCGGCGCCCAACATAGACGTGATTTGAAAAGCGACGCGCAAAGAGTTACTGGGAACAATTGTTAGCAAAAATGATCAAAGTACCCAGGCTTACTACTATGGATGCTCCATACTCAATTCTCGTCGAGTGTCCAGCAGAGAAATGCCCCGCCACTTGGAGATAGCTGGGGAAAAAGACAGAAAACAGTGAGTAATGCATGAAGTCGAGAATGCATAGCCCACAGGCTGCTATAATGGTCTTGTGCCTGATGAGTCGGAACGGAATGAATGGCCGTTTGGCAAATAGCGAGTCCCAAATGAAGAAAGAGACAAATAAGACAGCACCCACAACAACCATGGCGATGAAGCTCCCTTTTCCCCAGGCTGTGCTGTTCTGTGACCCTGTAAGTGAAACGGGTATCAAAATGAGTGACAAGCCTGCAAAGAGTAGCAAGCAGCCCAGCAAATCAAGCTCGATCCATACGACTTTATACACCTTGATCCAGAGAGGGTCGCTTGCGTGCACAGCCTGCAGAATTCTGGGACGTACAGCAGCTTCGGGTTGGAGTTTATCTTTTCTTTTGCGAATAAACAATGTCACTAGCAGTGGAAGAGAGGCAATAGGGGTTACGATAGCCCACATGCCATAGCCCCACCTCCAGGTCGAGTGATCCAGGAAAGCTTGCGCAACAATAGTTCCAAGGTAGAGAGTCGGGATGGCGCTGATAGTTTCGGGAAGTGAAAGCCAGATGCCGCGATTGCGTAGATTTGTTAGGTCCGAAATGAAGATTTGTTGCGTGATCCCAAAACCCACGCTGCCAATTGCATCGAATAGACCACCTACCTGCGATTGGAATTCGTTAGCCACGTATAGCAGTAATGAACGGCAAGCGTTTCCCTACAAAGTATGTTTCGATGTTTTGGCAAGCAGCTAGCAAAATAAGTGACATGATAGATAGTAGAATGGAGAAGGTAAATAATTCAAATCGGCCAAACATCTGGATCGTGGTCAGTAACGTCGCACACCCACTTCTCGCACACCCCCACATTTCGCACACCCATAAATTGGGTCATCATGAGGTATTCATCAACTTCATAACTATAAGTCTGATTCGTCTCCTGCAACTGTGATACTATCGCCAGTTTTAATAGGTAATTCAGGCTCGCTAGATTCATCTGAGCTATCCTTAATTTCGCTAGCCTCAATTTGGGCTTTGTGAATTGCCTCAATGTTGGCAAACTTCGAATTTGGGCTCATTTGGACCTTACGCCGCTTCCGTACCATTCCAGCCTCAACTTCTGCTTCCAACATTGCAATCTTCTTCTCTGCTGTAGCCAATTGATAGTCCTTTTCATCAAATCCCTTTTGAACCTTCCGAAACAACAGTCGCTGCGTTTGCTGATCTTTATCCAACTTGCTGAATAAGCTAAGTTGATCATATAGATCAACTGTCTTCTTGGGCGTTGACCAGGCTACTATGGATGTAGCAGATGCCCAGTTTTCGTCTTTTCCACCATCAGAGGCCCTCATAGGCGTAGAATAGCCTGGCTTTGAGGGCTTGGAAGCATTCTCAAGCAGTAGAGGGCTCATGAGCGGTCGAGCTATCGAAATGGGCCATAGTCCTGTTGCTTTCCAGCCGCTTCTGATATTCTTGCTTGAAAATGCCATCTGGCGTGCTTTTCCATAGCAGGTAAGAAAGTTCCGTTTGCCTACAACTGTAGAATCGTTGTGTTGAATGAGGTATCCAAGCTCTTTTCGATAGGTCGCCTTGAGAGGCCCAAAGACTGCTTGGTCTAGAGGTTGGAGAACGTGGGATGTATGTGGCGGTAGGAAAAGGAGATATATCTTGTGTTTATAACAGAGATACATAAATTCTGTTGTTTCATGACTGCCATGACCGTCTAGGATCAATAGTCTCTGCTCAGAGGGATGATCAGGCTTAGTCAGAGGGATAAAGATGTTCTCAAGCCATTCCACAGCTGTAGAGTCTGAAGTCCAGCCATTCTCAGTTGCTGTGAACTTCCAACCACTGTAAATATCACGTTTATGGATATCAAGAGGAAACCATTGTTGTTGAACCGATTTCCCTCGATAAATAACAAGTGGAGGAAGCGCCTGACCAGTTGCAGAGACACACTCAAGCATAGTTGTCCAAGCCCGAGACCCAGGCTGTTTTTTTCGCATTGATGAGCTTTCTGATGATCCCAGTACTAAGCCATTTGATCCTCTGCCTTCTAGGATACCAGTTTCATCCATGTTATAGCGATGATGTGGTTTGATCGCCTTGATCTCTGGAAGGGCGAGTTGTTGAAACCATTGCCTGATTACATTAGTTGAGGCCCCATTGACACGCTTAGAATCGATGGCTCTAGCTCTATGAACCTTGATTGATGGATTTCTCTTAATAAAGAACTGAATCCAGTTTCTCCCAAGTGGCTGGGTAGTGCCTCTGATGTCTAGGATTCGCTGGGCAAATTCCTTGAGTTGTTGATGTGTTGGCGGCAGCCCTAACGCCGCCTGGATACGCACCCATTCAGCTAAGTGACTTTCCTGTGCTGGAGATAGCTTCTGGAAGCTAGAGAAAGCTACATTTCTTGCCTGTGAACCCTTTAATCGAGACTGGAGGGTTGATGGTGGAATTCCAGCATCATGAGCTGCCTTTCGGACACTCTGCCCACTTGCAACTGCATTGAGAGCTTGATTGACTTCTGTTTCCGTATACTGGCCCATTAAGCGTATAAGAGTAACTATTCAAAGAATTATAATAATCGCTGTAAAAGTGGTGAAGATATTAAAGAATGTTGAAGAGGGTAAAATTCTACATGAGCGATTTATGGGTGTGCGAAATGTGGGGGTGTGCGAGAAGTGGGTGTGCGACGTTAAGCAATTAGTTTCCTGGTTTGAGTGTAGCCCGGCCACACACATCTGACAGCTTGGCAATGATTGGATATGACAGTAGCATAGCGATCGTTTCAACAACGCGAGATGCACTGAGGAGTGAATGTCCCTTGAAGGCGCTGGTGGCATAGGCGCTATAAGTCGAAGTTGAGTATTTCACAAATGCATCGATGAACGTAAGCAGGTAAAGCCTGTTATCAATTCTTAGGACACAGCTTTGGTATTCGTACATGTTCGATGGAAAGCTCACCCAATAAATGCTGCAATGATCCATTTCTTTGGAGCCCTTTTCAGAAGGTCTGACTGGATAACCCCCACAGAGCTCACTGTTTTCTTGCCGTCTCCATGGCGTGCATTAATATCCTGAGGCTCTTTTTCCATTCTGCTTACTCCGTATCGGTCTGATTTCTCATGAACTCTAACAAGACAAAAATTGGGCGAGATGGTCATGGCAATTCGAAAATTCGTGCCTTTCTGTTATTTATATTTGCACAAACCCCATGGTTCACAGCCAACGTTCGGAACTCCGAGATGGGTTTCTCCTTGTGAACGCTTCAATTTTTTCATTGATCGCCTAAATCATGATACTCACCCCACATACCGAGTTGAAGCCGAGGTAACCGTACGATTTTCTCTGTCTCCCGATCCAATTGCACCGAACAATCTTATCAGATCCGACTGACCACGCGTTCTGCGCATAGTTTAGAGGCTTGGTGTCGTCGGATAGCGACCGCCTAGGCGAAAACAAGCTAGTTGTCGGTTAGGAACCCTGCACCGAGCCGCTAGCGTGCGCCTTTTTGCGCCGCAAACCTGGAAGATGTGTCACAATTTATTTCGGTAGAATGATTCCTAGGCTGGAAACCGTATGACAGATGGAAAGACATTCCCATAAATCCATCATGTGACCTTGGCAAAAGCTCCTTCGCGATATCGGAGAGTTCAACCAATGCTTTGGATCATACTACTGCTTCCCTTGAAAGCATTTATCCACTCTGTTAGAGTACCAATCATGGCCACTAAGCCGTCAAAAGTTCTTAGCTCTTTCATAGACGACACGTCAGCGGAGCAAACTCCGGTTACATAACACCAACAACCAAGCGCATAATTTCGCAAGATCTCATCGTTGACGGCAGAACAATATCTGTCTCCTGATGAGCAGCCGATCTTTTATTGAAGAGTGTTCGTTATGTCTCTTGGAGGCAGTCTCGTCAAGAGCTTTAGATGCAATGTGTCAGCAGGAGAAATAAATCAACTTTAGCTGTGTATTGAACCGAACCAAGACCAAAAGAAAATGAGTATTGCTCCAATTCTACCACTACATGATTTATGATCGCATAATATTTGTAGGCAAGCTTGGAAGATGTTATTTTCTTAACTGTGACTTTTTAATCTATTAGGTAATATAAAACGAAATCTACCGCCAAACCGGTTAGCCCCAAGCCTGCGAGCAAATTAGTTTTTCTTTCGTACACCATGACTCTTCAGAGCTATTCAGAATCATCAAGGTCTCGTGTTATAGTTACTTGAAGCTTGCAAGCTTGTTGAGTCTCAGTCAAGATACTCTGACTACTTGTACAAGATTGCTTGGGCTTCGTCTTGCGAAGCCTTTCAGTGAACGGGATCACACAAAAAAAGGCCGCGTTCCACTGAAGATGTATTACGCCAATTTACGACCAAGCTATCCAAGCAACTATTAAAAACACATCGTACGCTGTCTTCCACCATACAAAAACTTTTGTTATATATGTATCCTCCGAGCAGAGTAAACTTTTAAAACAGGGCATTCCCTTCGTTTCCGTTAAGAGCATTTGCTATGTGATTTGATGGTGCATATTCTGAGCAGGACAGGCAAAAGAGCCATTATCATCTTGAGATTAGAACTATAATGAACCTATATTTTGGGTAGTGTCCATGTACGGCTCCTACCATCGCGCAAAGACGATACCTGTGAATATGAATCTTCACTTCTCGTTGCTTATCATTTCCATATCAAGTTTTCCCTTTCGGGAAACCGCCACCATGTGAAGATCACGAGAAGTCGGGACCGTCCACCCTGCCACGTGCTCAAGTGGGTCATTTCTTACTTGGGACTAGGCCGCGAAACCCAGGAGCTACCTGATGATCCATCACGGACCAAGCTATCACATCAAAAAGCGGAGAACTGAACAACAAGATTTTTGTTGCTGTATAGATCTACAAGAAATATGGAACTTTGTTGGTTGAATCATTTGGGTAGAAAAAAAACTTTTATGTGTGACCCTCTGTCCTGCGGGTAGTCTACGCTTGGTGTAAGCAATAACAGTGTTGGCACCTCAGTAGCGAACCTTGGGGAGCGGCAGGGCACTGTGGATCGTCCTTCTAAAAGGCAATCACTCCTTAACGTGTTATTTTGAGAATAAAATCATGGTTTGACTTTTGCTAGCTGATGGATCGACTCTTTGTTGATACTGTTTTGGTCTGAATTGTGACTTCGGAAGAGAATGATTTTCAAACGAGCTAAACGATATGACGAATGCAATTCTGACCAAATCACCCAGAATGGGTTATTAGAAGTAATGAAACCGTTTGTGGTGGTCTGCAGGAGTCTGCAAGATAACCCAAAATCACCCAGTCAGTAGACCCCCACCCGACCTGCACACTACAACCACTCATAGAGCAGCTAATGAACATATCATACTTAGGGGATGCAATAATTAGCTTTCAATACATTATTAAGAGTAATAATACTCAGTATATGCTGCACATATTTAACCAAATGGCCAATAAACGGAAACTGATGCCCGGGTAAGGTGATTATTGCATACTCGTAATAGGCGCTTAAGGATGTCTATGTAGAGAACGGCTAGAACCATGTACTACGTATGACACAGCAATTACCAGTGGTACTGAGCGACTTTCTCCTCATACCCTAGAGCTCAGGCGGATGTATTTCTTCAATGTGCTGGATGATACTCTGATGAGGTCGTTCATGGCTTGTTCGCTACCAGTCATTTGCCGAGATTCAACCCATCATTGTAGTAGTACTTGATCAAAATATTGACAGCTATTTTAGTGGCAATCGTCCCAGCCATGGGTGGAAAACTGTTTCCTTTTAACATTGCGAGACTTGTCTTGGGGCAAAGATGGTGATAATGATCGAATTCAGATTTGGGCGGCGCTTGTGTTTGAAAGGTACGTATTTAAACCGAAACCACTAGACCATTTTGGCATCGCAAGGCCAGTATCTTGGCTTAAACTTTCTTTCGTCACACGCTGTCTATCTCTAAGATAGTGTTCATGAGCGTGTGAAGGCGGATGTTTGGCAACCATCACTGTCGGATCACCTATCTCCCCCAATAAGAAAAATCATCTCGTTGGGGGCGAGAAGCGACAGATGAGGTGAGGAATGCGCTTGGTAGAGCGGCCCAGAAGGCCACGATAAAGCACGTCAGGGCCAGGATTGAGTCGCGACTCGTCCGAATTGGGCATTTACCCCCACACGAGCGATGAGGAGGACACAAAAAGTTCCTTACTCCCATGGCGGTGATTGGATGTCATAAAGTTTGAGCTTCGCCAAGTCCGCCAAAAGGCCCTAAAAGCCTGGGCTTTTACTTGGAAACGCTTATACGAGACCTTCCCGGCTGGGCGATTGCTTATGCGATGAACGATCCTACACACCCTGAATGAATTCCACGTGGAACACAGAAACATCACATCTTCACATTGCCACTTCCGAGGAGGGAGAAAAGAGCTGGCAAACGCACCAACAAGAATCACGCATGAACCACATCTTTATCACGCCAGTAGCCGTTAAGATAAAGACCTTCCTAATTTTGTGTAGCACCGCCGATGGGGCCAATGCTATTCCAATTTACCAGTTGGTTGGACACATCAGGATCCTTGTCCGGACATGGACCACCCCGTCCTGCGTAATATCGAGGAGGTTATTTGTTGAAAATGAATAGAGGAAGTCCGATTGCACAACAGCCCCCTGTTATTGCAACATTATCGCCTCCAACCTGTTATCTCGCAAGTCGCCTTTGGAGGAGGAATTCCCTGGAGCAAACATTTGAGGGACCAGTGGCGTTTCGGTGTCACCAAGACTCGAAAATGTTTATATACTTGACCACCGTCGAGAAGACCAGACGACGATGTGGTCCCACAACTCTACTGCACAGTGGACGGTTGCATTTCTTCCCCCTCATTGACCGGGCCTGCCCGCTTTTATTTCCCTTCAACCTGATTCGATCAAAAGAGTCGTCACCGAAGAGATGCCAGGCCCTGACCCTATCGGTGATACGATCGTCGCCGGGGCGCTCAACCCTGTTGAGGGGAAGATCGTCTCGGTGCCGAATCATCAAGCTATCAACGAGAAGGCCAGCATCGACAACATAGCACTTGGCAAAGAAATTGACACCGAGATCAAGGCTGTTAGTGCTCCGTCAGACAGTGGGAGCCATGATAAGGACAACGCTAGTGAAGATGTCATCATTAGAACCGGCGTAGATGCATCTGTTCATCTTCTGCCCCTTCGTGATGACTTCCAGCCTGCCTTGACTTTTCGAAGTCTTTTCCTGGCTACCTGTCTCTCAGCCTTCCAAGCTGTTATGAGTCAGATCTACACGGTATTTTCTCTCTCAAGCTACAATTCTGTCCTTCGACATACTAAAAAATCATTTCCAGTTCAAACCCACCGTGGTCACCATCTCGGGAACCTTTATAGTTCTTATTGCCTACTTCTTGGGTAAAGCATGGGCCAAGTTCCTCCCCCGAGGCGATACACTCGAAGCTCGGTGGAGGGAGAAGGGTGGGGAGGGTAAACCTCCAACGTATATCCGGGTCGTCTCTTTCTTTAATCACGGCCCTTGGAACCTGAAGGAACACGCGATTTGCGCCATCACTGCGACATCTGCCTCCAACGCTTCCGCAAGTGTTACAGTCTTTGCTGCACAAGACTTGTTCTACGACTTGCCTCTCAGCGCTACCACGGTTGTGTTGAGTGTTATCTCCATTGGTCTTTTTGGCTATGGTATCTGTGGCGTACTGCGGCCCATTGCTGTTTGGCATGTCGATGCTGTTTATTGGAGTACACTACCCACTGTCAAGACCCTTCAAGGATTGCATTGGCAGGACCTCAAGAGCTCGAAACCCCTTCGGTGGTTCTGGTACAGCTTTGCTGGCATGTTTGTTTACGAGTTCTTGCCTGCCTACATTTGGCCGTGGCTTAACTCAGTCTCTATCCCCTGTTTGGCAGCAATGCATGCTACAGGTGCAAAAGCCGCTACGCTTACAAACCTTTTTGGTGGATCCATCAACAATGAGGGTTTGGGCCTATTCACACTCTCTTTTGACTGGCAATATGTGAGTTTTCAATCTATTACTGATTTGATTGACCTCATGCAAGACGCAAAGGACTGACTGTTACAAGATCACCTCATTTAACACGTCTCTTCCACTCGCTCTACAAGCTCATTCAGCAGTGGGATATTTCGTATGCTTTATTGTCATGCTCGCCATCTACTATTCCAATGCTTGGGATGCTAAATCTCAACCATTCATGTCGACCCGTCTTCGATCTCAAGATGGATCAACCTATCCGATTGCAAAGGTCTTCACTGGCGGTGTACTCAACAAGGAAGCTCTAGCAGAATACGGAATCCCTAGGCTGACAGGTAGTTTTGCCTATGCCATGTTCATGGCAAACGCTGCTGTGAGTCACTGATTATTTTGCAAAGCCTTGTTGCTTTGAGAAAGTTGCTGACCACTATTTAGATTGGTGCATTGGTTGCGCACTGCTTCTTTTTCTGGGGCGGGGACGTCGTAAAGGCGTACAAGAGCGCGAGAAGCGGGAGATACGATGACAGGCACCACGCACATATGGCTAAGCACTACAAAGAGACTCCATGGTGGTGGTACATAATTGTGCTAGTTCTCAGTTTTGTTCTTGGTGTCATTGTGGTGACAACACAACACATCACTCTTCCTGTGTGGGCCTATATTGTTTCACTGCTGCTGGGTATTTTCATCGCTCCATTGGTAAGCATTTCTTTCTTTAACCCCTATACGCTTGAATCATATGACTGACCGGACTTGAAGAGTACCATTCTTTACTCTCGATACGGCAATGGTATCGCCACAAATAACCTCTCCAAGATGCTTGCCGGTCTGCTTCTTCCCGAACGCCCTATCGGTAACATGTACTTTGCTGCCTGGTCGCACAATGTCATCTCTAACACGGTGAACCTATCAAACGATCTCAAGATGGGCGAATATCGTAAGTTTCAATGCGACGACCCGGAATGACGTGGCTCACCAAGTATCACAGTCAAAATTCCTCCTCGTGTCATGTTTCTGACTCAGATCTATGGTACGGTATTGGGCGGTTTCGTCAATTATGCAGTCATGATCTCGATTGTGGGCGGCAACCGCGACCTCCTGGTGAATAGCGACGGTAACAGTTCTTGGAGTGGAGCTGGTATGCAGTCGTACAACACAAACGCGACCTCTTGGGCTCTAGCATCATATTTGTACAAGCTTGGTGGCAAGTATGAATTGGTACCTATTGGTCTGGGTATCGGCTTCGCCATTGTCGCTCTCCACAGGCTTGTCGTCTACGTAGGTTATCCCTTCCACGTGGGATGTGAAAAGCCTCCTCGTTGTTATAGACCATGCTGACCTCTGGTTTTCTAGTTCGTGCCGAAGATCCGGGGGTTCTCGCTCTCTGAGATTAACCTTCCTCAGTTTATCCAATATGCGGGCTTCATCCCGTACAACCAGTCTCAAACCTGTGTGATTTTCAGCCAATTGATCGCTGGATTCTTCACACAATTCTACCTACGAAACTACCGCCCTCGCATCTTCAAGGACTACTCCTACCTTGTAACAGCTGCCTTTGACGGTGCCAGTTTGTTGGCACTCTTCATTTTGTCATTTGCAGTATTCGGGGCTGGTGGTCCGTCCAAACCATTCCCGACCTGGTGGGGCAATAACGCTGATGGTTACTATGACCTTTGCCCCTCCCCTGAGTAGACATTGAGTAATGGTAACCTTCGCCTTAAACCGGGTAATAGGTGGCGGCGAGATACAGCGGCTTCAAGTAGATGATTGTTTGGGGAAGCGAGCATGTGTTCAGTGCGGAAGTGGTATGTAGAGACATACAGACACAAAGCTACATCTAAAATGGTGACAAGCACTACCTGAACAGTCACATTGTTGAACTTTGTACTTGACCTTACTGTTGCATGTACTAAACGGTTACAGGTTTTTGACAACCAAAGATTTAGGCTTATGCATATGGGTGCAACACCAACACTGTCTCCCTGTGAATACGCCACCTTGTACCGACGACTCAAAAGCGAACTTTTGACCTATGTCTTCTCAAAAGTCGTTACGAATTTGGTAGTTTATAATCCGTAGTTTGAATACAATGCCCTATAAAAGCTTTCGTATTTGAAATCTGTATGAAATTGCGGACAGCAATAAACCATCAAAGCCAAATCGTCAAAATGGGAAAGACATGGGGTTAGGAATGGGAGAGAGGCTTTATCTCCTGGATTCTCCTATCGTGGACCTCCATATGCCTCTAGGAGTGCTTACCTCCTTAATGATATTGGTGTCTTCAGAAACGCCGGGTCAATCCGAAAACTACATATTTAAGGGAAACAAAATCTCATGGGGTAGTAGACGTATATCTTTCAGCAAGTCTTAGCTCATCAGCAGTTGCACAGCAAAAACAAAGCTAAATTTAACAAGAAATGAAAAGAAACATGACTAGCTTCAAATTCGATTAGAGTCAAATTAACCAAGTATTTCATATGGTCTTGAAAGTAGTTCTACATAACAATTCTCTCAAAAAGTCTCAATGTTCCAGCCAAGCTTAATCAACATTAACGATTCGAGTAGCCTATGCAACAGCATTACTGAGGATTAAGCTAGTTGCCCCTATTGCCACCATTCCCTCCGTTACCGCCGTTTCCATTGCCAGGAAAAGCTGGAAAGGTATTCTGATTGCCCGTACCATTGGGGCATGCCTTTTGAGCTGCTTGTGCTGCTTTGAGCAGGTCATTCTGATCCTTGCAAGCACCAGTAACGCAGTTGACCAATTCGTTAATATTGGCCTTGGGACAGTAGCAATCCTTAATGTTGTCCTGAGTGCAGCCTGCCTTCTGGAGGCCATCGTTCAGACAGCCCTTTGCGCAATCAGGGAGGTCAATGTTGTCGGCAAGTGCGAGACCTGCCACAAAAGCAGCAAGAGTGATAATCGAGGATCTCATATTGTAAGCGTGGTGAAAGATAGAAAATTGGAAGCGCTGTGATTATGATGAAGAATAGCTGAGTTTTTCCTGGTGTTGGAGGGTTTGCCTGCTCTTGGAGACTTTGTTTATGTTGGTGGAAAATTACTGTTGAACTGACCTGGGGCTATCGAAGGACTTTATACCTCGTAAGAGCAAGGTTTTCAAGGAACTTGAAAACAATATTTTCCATACTTCTTGATTATTTTGTTGACGTAAGTGTTTAGCAAAATTATTTCTCTGGAGTGTGACGAGTTCCTAATAGGCTGATTGGTTGCTACATCCGTTATCACACGCAGAATGCGCTGTTTGGACAACTCTATTGTGCTGGGACCAAAGGTTTAGAACTCTGTATATTTAGTGCTCGCACATTAATAAGAACAGTTCCATTCAGAAACAATGCGTCAAACTTTGAAATGTTCCGTACGTCTTCCAAAGCCAATCAATCCGTGTAACAAACATCCAATGGCGCCTGTGTGTTTGACAAGGCGGAAGCCCGGACCAATATTAAGCTTTACGCCGCGTCAACCACTCAGTCAAGGCGTTGATGTCATTGGCCTACTGATGAACGGCTTAGAATATTAACAAAATGTTATAGGGACATTATAATCCTTAAACAAAGGTATGAGTTCATTTGCTTTGGGCCGCCGCACTGGAAATGCGGTGACGTGTCGCGGCCCGAAATAGAATGAGTTCGAATCACAGCCACGCAGCCATGACTGAGCGCTACTGCTTTGACTGAGAACCTTCAAGGCTTCAAAGTTCCTGCAAGGGTATTCTAGTAGTAATAGGATATGCCGCCTTGGAGTTGTTATTGTATTTCTAGCTTCGTTCACATTTTCATCTGGTGCTAAACAGGCTTGGTAGACAATAACAAGCAGTCAGAAAGCGTGATACAAGTTTGATAATCGTAAGAGGGATACCTTAGTTCAAACAGTCGAGTCCTACACATAAAGAATCTTCATCTCTTATCAACAGACGACAAGTAGCGATTGTGGCGCAATAACATACTGGAAAGAGGTTGGTGGACAGTTCGTAGGAAAGGCGGGAAAACACACAACACCACTTAACCTGCTTGTAATAACTGTGGGGCGGGTGACTAGGTTGGTTCTGGCTAGCTAGGCGTACCATATCTCGTATGTGATGTACTTTTGTTTGTTACACCACTTAGGCATTGCCCAGAGCAAAAGCGATACGACTCCAACTACAGCAAGTGCGCCCTAAAAAAAGTGTTTAATATACGTTCATAGCATTTGGGGAGGTTTATAGTACTTACCTGTATTATGTATCCACATAGACGTTCGATAGGCTTCATGGCTTCTCCTGTTAAGGCAAGGGAAGCTGCTTGCAACAGAAGAGAAATGACGCTGCTTAGTCCTACTAACATCCTACATCAATTTTTCGGGCCAGGTTTAATTAACAAACTTATGAATGCTTCGTCTGTTTGCATTAATTGTAGAGATAGAGCAATCATCAAAGAGACCGAAGATGCTGCTGCAGCCCAAAGAAGTAAGGCTGCACTGTTTTTAGTGTGCTCAACCGCTGCACTTGTACGGCGGTCGCTCCCGTTGGCTAAGTCAATGCCGTGAAAATTTCCAGCTGTAGCAAAGCCCTGGCTCAGAGAGATAGACACAGAAAGAGTAATGGCTGCGGTAAATGCAACAGTCTCGAGATAGGCGGAGAAGGGTGGTTTGTCCCCCTGTGGGGGCATATTTGATTCGCGTGACTGGGACCGGTCCCTTGTCAAAGGTTGAAATACAACTTGAGGGGGGTGGTGTTCTTCCATCAAATGCTTTGAGATTTGTAAGTTTGGAATAATAACAGGTCAGAATGCCTTTACTTTGAGGACTGTGCTTGTTCTAGGTTATATAGGCAAAATTTAGATGAGAACGGGGGCATGCTGCCTTTATTTATGTTTTTTTTCTTTTTTTTGGCAGCGCTGTTAGAACTTGATAATACGGATAAATTTTAGTATTGAGTACATCAGCTGAAAGCCATAAGAACTTCTTTGGCCTCTTCTGGGATAGGAATAATATTAGTATGGGACAGTATTACACCACAAGGCAAGGGATTAGTAGCGTTTAAACCAGCGAATATGTACATGTCTTATAGAAAGACATCTCACAATATCCTACTAACTACTACCTACATGGTAGTAGGTATATAGTCCTCAACATTACGTCTACTTTTTATCCCTCACGAAAGGGGGGCCAAGACATTATAAGACAGGTTTTCAGCTACTAATAAGACATAGAACAAGAGAAGTAGCTATACTAAGACAGAGCTGAGGGAAACTAGCCCCCAGCATCTAAAGCGAATCATAAAATCAAACGGATATCATTACTGGTACGATCAGGTCAGGACAGTCAATTACAGCACAAAGAAAGGGCTTCGGTAGTGGTATATCTGTTGTCATTATTGGTCAGCACCCAACCGGTTGGATTGATGGATGGAAACAACTACCTACACTACATAATGACAAGGATGTTAAATTGTCACCCCGCGGCAACATCCAATGCTTTCTACTCTTTATGAAAACATAGATATGGGGTGACTGAGGAAGTCATAATCTATCTTCTTGTCTTCTTCAGAGCCTATAGTCATACGTAGACACAGAGCGCTAGTGAAGGGGATTTCGAAGTCGTAAAATGTTACAACATACCCTAGTAACTTCTTTTCCTTCTTTGCTAAATCTATCTTCTCGACAACACCAGAGTCAGGTTAAAACTTGCCAAGACATTCACTTTCTTCGTGACCGGTCATTCTCCGGCTTCAGTCTCCGGCGCGCGGGTTGACATTTCAGCTGTTGAAAACGACATTGAAGGCTATAGGATCTTGAATGCGCTTAGTACAAACCTCTTTAACATCAATAAGAAGCCATCATGACTGAAAAACACATCTAAAACTTGCCCTATGTGTCCGTTCGATGGTGATTTTCCCAACGCCCTGATTTTGGAAACTGCCTAATTGACAAAGGCAGGAAGAAGGTATAGCACGTGACATCAGAATAACAAGTACGTGACTTGAATGGTGCCCTCGCATCGCTAGTTCACTCAAGAGGGACCGTACGTCGAATAAGAGAACCTGGACTAGCTGTTATCTCGAAGAGTTACATAGAATTATCTTTTATGTTGATGCCTTATGCTCGAGCCTTTTCCTACCAGAGACTTTGATTTAACCGTTCTACAAGCTGAGCGAATAGGGCCAATCTTTCTTGCATCATAGTAGTGCAGTTTATAGTAAACACGGCACTCAGAACACTCCGATAGCGTGCCATCGAGCGCTTTCCATGCAGCTAGAAGAAACTTTGCTGTGACCTAGAGCGTCTTCTTGGAAGACGCATTCTCCCAAAGGTGTGAAAATGTCTGTACTTGAGCTAAGGACTTCGTTTTGACCGTCTATGGCAAGCCGCTTATGGGCAGCTCTGTTGATAGATCTTATAAGGATCACGATCTCCAGGCTGAGAGCACCAGAGATGAACCTTGATCAACCGATGCAACATGTGTAGCCGCAATAACAATTCGCAGCCAGAAGATGGACAGATTCGTCGAAGAGACTATCTCGCACTCGACTATATCCAAGACATCCCGGTACGCCCGACTTAATCTTCCGCTTGCCGGCTAAGTCAGAAGATTACCATTTCAAAGCTGGACCGGAACAACAAACACAAGAAAGTTCGGACACTGAAGTAATGTTTAGGTGGAAAATTCCGGCGAAACTACCGGAACGCCCCCTTCGCCGCCCCTCTCACCACAGTGGTCCAACGAAGTCTACCATAGCCAGTATAGCCAGCGTAGCCTATCGAAATCAGCATTGTCTGTTGAAGTGATTAACTTAGTGTTAATAAGGGATTGAGATTACTCTTAATGGGCGACGAGGCATATGGAGCTTCTGTAGTGCGGGGCATCCTCCCGCGCTAGAACTGCAACTACTACAACTAACCAAAAGACGTCCGTGCGTGGCATTGTTTTCCGTGGACAGTCGGAGCGCCTGCTCCTGGAGAGGAAAGTCGTGTGTAGGAAAGGAAAACTTCTAGCCCTACGGTGGAGTTTGTTAGACTAAGAAGAAATCTCCTGCTAAATACTAGATACCAAAATGCGATGATAGACTCCTTAGAGTGTGGCCCGGGTTGAGTTAATAAATTAGAAGAACGATTGTCGGCAGGTGTTCCAAGGTAAAGCCCTTCTTAGTATAATGAAGCACTACTAGACTTGGAAGATTTAAGCACATATCATTTCGGGCTAATAGTTAATCTGCAACCACTACATGCGTTTGCTGTATGTTTTATGATGCCGTTGTCATCTACAAAGCAGCGTCCAATATTACAAGAGTGGCGCTACAATACCCACATTAAACCCCATCATCTCACACCGCAGCTTCACTCAATATGGCCGGTCTTAATACATCAACTAATGCTTTATGTGAGATTGCATTGAGCATGCAAACAAGGATAGCTGGCAAGCAATTAGCTTGTCTTCATGAGCGTAAAAAGCTATTAGTTTTCTTCAAATTTACAACTGAGCTCTTTTCGCTTGGCCCTGGGTTGATTCTCAACAAGCAAATGTTAATAACTCTGAGCAGTGGTCAGACCAGAAACTGCAGCCAAAGGGGTCGCTCGGCAAGTCCTTGGCTGATACGCCAGGAGGGATATGCCGGTACCAACCAAACTAACAAACGTGCTTGTCCGATAGGCTGTGTCAATATCAGCAATCGAATTAGATCACATTATCAAGACTGCCGCCTTATTCATCGTAGCGGATGGTAAGAGGTTGCTTGGAACTTCTGCCTGAAGTAACCATTGTGAATTCTCTTATGGTAGCGCTAGGTGAGCCGAAGGCAAAAACTACCTAAGACCAGTGTAAACTGCGGCAACTGCTGGTGATCTAGCCAGTTCAGCAATTCGGGCCATCGGCAGACGATTTCCGGGTTTCACCCTTGGCATTCCTATGGAGCTCTAGTTCAATCTCGAGCTTCCAAATCAATCCATAGCGTTACTTCAAGCGTTGTAATACATCAACAGATCATCAGCTGTCTCGCGAGACTTGACAGCTGGCTGATCGGCCGAGGCCACGGCCTTAGCCTGCATGGCCTTGCCGAGAGCCTCCAAAGCCGCCCCAGGGGCGCCTAGAGCCCGTACGGCTTCTTTCGGACCGCTAACAGTCCAAGTGACATCACCTGCTCCTGTGATCAGTATAGTTGATCTACGTCAATAGGAAGAAAAGAAAATGTAAAGGCTAACTAACTATTGGGAGTAGGGCTGGCCAAGGTCATGGTAACAAAGGCCTGGAGGGCAAGAGACGTCAGAACTCCTCGGGTAAGCATTTTGTTCTTATGGATTGGTGGAAAGATTGCAAATATTGACTCAATTGTGTCTTTAGATTGATATGATGTAATAGAAGGTTTGCTGGTACGAACTACTCTGTTTTACTGCGGGAGAAACATTCGTTTAAGTACGTTCGTGAACTAGATCACTGGTATTCTTCATGCCGTTAGTATCGCAATTGGATTACTTCCGTGGATTTGATAGACACCGAACACGACTCAATCGCCTTCTCCCAAAAGGGTTAAGAACTTACGGCAATGAAACTTGAATAATTCTTCCAACAGAACCACTCACAACAACGCTTAACCTACGTTGAAACATATGTGGAAGTATCGTGATTCAGGGCCCGCATGTATGTATTTTGACAGAGTTCAAAGCAAAAGCTAGAGTAATAGGACTATTCATTCCGAGTTTGTACGTACATGTGGGGACATTTAGTTGGAAAATAAGGTTCCGAGGGCGCCCCAGACACAAATCTACTGGGGCGGGTAAAGTACCTCTAGTACCATAGTATCTCGACATCACAAAATGACGGCAATGTGAAGCTGATCAGCAAGGCACCTCGGGGATCCTCCTTTTTGACCTTGTTCATCGGAGGATAATGAATCTTTTTTTTTCTCCCCGAAGAAAAACATTACTTAGAAGTGGATACATGCAACTGTGACACATTGTGAAAAACCTTCTTTCACCACTGATTACCTCATTGCTGCACTTCTTCTAGTTGCTGCTTCTTTTGGGACTCTGCCGACTGACTGACAGACTAACTGGCTGACTTGTTCGTACGTGCGTTCTTGGCCCTGGAGATACATGTGCCAACAACTCTTCCAAACGGAGTTGGGCTTTTTAGCACATTGAAGCTATTTGCACGAAACTTGCGTCTTCTAGATCGAGCACTGAAAACACGTCTAGCTGTAAAACCACTTAACCACATGCAAACTTCACACACAGTGCTATCAAGTCACATTGAAGATGGGTTGCATGCGGCGGCAAATTTTGAGCTCAAAAACACAGCGACCAAGAGCCAGGCAATACTGGCAAAGCCTATTTCTGGCATTGCTATGCAGTAGCCTTGTTGGGATCACCATCTTGACGTGGTGGGCTGGGGGGGTAAGAGTCAGCATGGACTCTCTTCAACATTGGTGTACAGCGACCCGGCAGACAGAACACTTGGAAAGCGCTCCAGACTGTAAGCAGATCTTTCTGTAGATCCAAAGATGATAGATTTACTGAGAACTGAATGATATCATACGCTACAGTTCCTACAAAGCTCACCAGGTTTACTGAGATGCCGAGATTCAAGGCGGAGCCCAGCCCGGAGAGCGACGCAGCCTGGCGTGCCCTTTCCATGGGTCACAGCCTTATTGAGCTCAAAAAGAGTGAGGCACAAGCAATGAACGTTGAGGACGGGTTGCCTACCACCAATCCCGACACCGAGCTTTACGGTGTGAGTTGGACGCACCAGTTGCACTGCTTGGTGAGTTGTAGATTTATATGTTCTTTTTTTAATCCAGCTCATACGCCATAATGGATGAGGGAAAAGAACACTTACCAAGTCGTGCAGGAGATGATCAGACAGGGCTTCTGGGATGTATTCAGGCGGCGACACAAGTTTTTAGATCCGTCTTCATTCATGCCGCCAAAAGAAAATGGGTCGGACGCGGAAGCTCATTATCTCGACCACTTGCAGCACTGTTTTGACTATCTGCAGCAAGCTATCATCTGCGCAGGCGACATGACGCTCGAAGGGCGTGCAAGAGAGAGCGTGGAAGAAAGTTCGCCACACATCAATGGGTACGAGGCTGTACATAAGTGCAGAGATATGGTACGTGATGCCCTGTGATTGCCGTATTACTTGTCAAAGGAGATTAAGACGCTGATGGAAAAACGCTTCCATTAGAATGCTGTGAGTGAATGGATGGAGACGTACACCGTCAAATCGCGTCCGCTGTTCGAATCACATGGTCATGGCACGCATGGAAATAAACACGGTGTTTATGGTAACTGAGCTAGAGAAAATGAAAATACACATCTTTCTGTCCCGCAAGACACATAGGAGTGAGCTATTCTTTGGTACTGTCTATTATAAAAACCACTACCCTTTTGTTACTTCCAGTTCATTTAGATCAGCTATCTCATTGCTCGCTCATTGGTCGATGTTCGGGGACAGCGTGATTGAGCTTATGCCTGTTATCCACATGACGGCGGTCCATGAAGTCGTAAACCTCATCCCAATTCTTGCAAACATGGGGGAACTGGTAATGAATGCCAACCAAGGGGCCCATATTCGCAGAAAGAGCTACGTCGCCCGCACACATAAGGGATTGTCGAATCCAGTCAATACAGTGGTCTACGTGAGTGAAATCGTCACCGGGCGATAGGCCTTGGTAGAGGCGGTCGTACTCAGCCATGATAAGATACTGCGGTTGTTGTTAATATAAATTTCATGCTCGAGCATCGCAGTTACATGCAACTGAAGAGACGTTAGAGTGAGGGGTTAGTTACCAGGCAATGCAAGGAATGGGCCACAGTCGTTCCTACGGCTTTTCCGCGCAATGGCATACCAGGGACGCCATGCTCTGGTGGCACATTATAATGGATCAGCGTCGGGAAGTCGTATTTGGCCGCTTCTTCGTCTGACACGTATAGAAACCCTTCTCCGGCTGTATTGTTGTGCGCTCTGTTGTCAGCTATCGTGGACATCTGGAGAAGTAATGCTAGACGTGTAGATAGGTAGTGGTACTGACGTGGTATAAGTTTCTCCCACAGCTTTTTGACCTCTTGTAAGGACTCTGGAGACGAGTGGTTTGATATGTATTCCGGCCGCTTTTCAAAATACTGGATCCTGTGAGAAATGGGAGGGAAGAATCCGATCATGTCACTTTGCGGGACGAAATGAACGCCGTGATCTTGCTCGCCACGGGACTCATGCAGGCTGATGAGCCATGGAATAAGAGCACCTAGGGCTGTGCCAACTAGAAGCCACAGAAATGGCCAACAGATCCACATGTGCTTGTTCCATGGGCGTCGGTCAAGTTTGTGTCGGGGGAACGCGTGATGTAACAAAGATTCGGTAGTCATGTCGACGTCCGAGAACTGAGCTGGAGAAGGAATGTCGAAATGATCACCGTCCTGTTCAACTTTGCCTCTATGATCCGACATTTTTGGCATTGATTTTGTGAATTATGGAGTCAACTTGGAGTCGTCTCTTCTGGAGGCTCGTTGGTAGGGAGTCAGAAGTGCTTCAGGTGTACTCATTCAACCTCTCATACTCCCAGATATACCGGGCGAAAGATATCAAAGTCACATGCACGCGGTGGAGGGCATATCCAGGTACCCGGTCATCATCTTCCAAGGGCACGATGCCGAAAGTGCGGAGAATGATCGACGTGACACCGAGCAACGATGCGCAAGCAGGGATCAGACAGCTTGTCGGCGCGGGCAGTAGCTTTAATAACGTACACATACCCGCGAGTAATTTACAATACGTACGAATGCCAAGAGTCTACTAGCTTTTGCCTTACTCGTACATCTTGTCTACATGCCCATAACCCTCAAAGTACCTTGACTTCGAGCTAATTGATAACTGACGGTTAGATGACCAGTTAACTCGTCACCTCACGATTTACTCACTATGACTTTCTCATGGCATCTACCTCAACGTCTAAGGTGTGTTTACCAGAAACGCCCATGCATCAGTTCCAAGTCTCTATCGAAACACCGCTGGACGAACCGGAACCGCTCCGACAAGCTCAACCGCGGCCCGTCATTCCACGTCCAGCAACGTCATACCTGGACGGTCTACGCGGCATCGCTGCCCTACTTGTCTACACCTATCACTTTTCCATGGCCCTGGACGGCAAGCGGCTGCGGCACGGTTATGGCCCTCACAACTCCTCGCTTCTCTCGCTCCCAGTCTTGCGGCTGGTTCGACACTCGGGCCCAGCCATGGTGTCCATCTTCTTTGTCATCTCGGGCTATGTCCTCAGTGTAGCGCCCTTGCGCCACGCTCGCTGGCGGCAGTGGGATCAGCTTTTGGCCTACCTTTCCGGAGCTGTCATGATGCGTCCTGTTCGGCTGTTGCTTCCAAGCATTCTGTTGACTGTCGCCAGCCTCGTGCTCGCCTGGTTGGGCTATTATGAGCGTGCTGCGCGAGAGATATGCCCTCCTCATCCCAATATATCTTCTTCCTCATCACATGAATGCGACTTTTATCCCGTAACGCCGCCGCATCTTGGGAGTGTGCTCGCCCAGGTCGTTGACTGGTTCCACTTTGTGGTGCGCGACCTGGCCAATCCCTGGGACTGGGAGGCCGGGCTCAGACCCGCGTCAGCCTACGGTCTCCATTTATGGACGGTGGGGGCCGAACTCCGCTGCTCCATTGTCCTATTTGCCGTGCTCGCCACGCTGCTCCCATGCACACGGCCATTTGTGCGCGTCAGCATATGGCTAGCCTTGTTGGTGTTTTGCGCCCTATGGCAGAGATGGGACATGGCGGCCTTTCTTGCTGGTCTGGGCCTGGCTGTAGGAGATGCTGACGACAACGACAACAACACGGAGCAGGACGACGGCGGACTCTTCGATTGCGGCACAACACAGAACGACTATCTGTCCGGGGTTCGCAGCGCAGATACACCGGCTACGGCGGTGCGTCGATTCATCCCGTGTATTTTTCTGTTCGCATCCCTCTGGCTATGCTCCTATCCAGATGCCGGTGGTGATGAGGCCTGGGGTTTCCGCCTTCTTGCCAGGATTTCGTCTGACAGGCAGCAATGGCATACATTCGGTGCGGCCCTGATGTTGTGGTCCACCCGGAGAGTGCTCCCAGTCCGACGCTTTCTCTCATCATCGGCTAGTGTTCAATTCCTTGGGCGCATCTCATTTGCTTTCTACCTTGTTCATGAACCCTTCCTCCAAGTTTGGGGCTGGCCTTGGGCTCGATCTTGGTCCGGTTTTTCGTGGTCGCTCACCGTGGTCGTTCTCCTTGTAGAAACATGCATTCTATTTTGCGTTTCGAGCCTAATGTGGGTAATGGTGGACCAGCCGGTGCTGCGCATGGTCAAGGCTTTACGGCGGTGTCTGGTTTAGGGCAGCGAGTTTCTTCCCAGGATTTGAAGCTGACCAGCTACATGGGTAGCTATGACCACCTGTCATTCAACAAGCTTTAGCGTTCATTCCAGCTTACAAGGTTCTGGGTAGGGTAGCGCTTCATCACTTTCTATGATGTTCTCTGTAATGAAACAAATTTATCCGAATTTACATTCACAGCTTTCGATTCAGTTACACTTACAATCGATTGAGCTCAGTTAATAGGTGGACTACCGGTGTTCCAAGGAACAGCGCATTCAGTTGTGGGCTGTTGAAGCCCAAAAAGCGTTCCTGAATCGTAAAACGTCGGCACTTGACTTGATAGAGTTCACGACGTAAGCATTTGTTGCACACCGTAAAATGGCTGTATAACAACTGGCGGGGTACATGCCTTCCTAACCATACATGACTTTGCTTTCTGCCATATCATGTTGGGTTAAGGATGCCAAAGACGTCACATCTACCGAAGAGTAGAAAACTCTCGGGGCTGAATCGGGGTCCAATAACCTTGCCCATCATCCAATACCCAAGAGCCGAAGTTTGTTGTTATTGGTTCTACACGATTTCCTCCACCATCTCACTGCTTCGGGATGGTAACTCTTTTTGCTTCTATCAGCTCACTGACTGACTAACCAGTACCATTGGCCTTCACGCTCGGTACACATGTGCTCATAACCCTTCCAGGCGTACATTGTATTCTCATGACAATTGCAGAAACGCACTTTTTCCCTGTCAAACATGACAATGTCTAACAGCAGCCACGAGAAGATTTTCAATTCGCCAATCTTGACGATGTTCAACAGCGAGGGCATCAAAGGAAAAAACGGTCACGAGCTCCCGCTCCCGCCCATTGACGAGGAAGAAGCAGCAGCAGCATATTCAACAACGAGCTCGTTACTTGCAGAACATGTCTCCGGAAAGTTGAAAAAGCCGAACCGTCATCAAAGATGGCAGCATTGGGGACTTTTTCAGCGGCTTAACTTTGGCGCGAAAGACATGATTTACATTGGTCTGATTGTCGCCATCGTCATAATCTTTGCCTCTGTCGAGGACAGCTATATTAGCCACCAGTGCGGAGGTCTTACTTACAGTTCGTATCCTTCTCCCGATGATTTTTCAATTATTTGAGCATATCTAACATCACTAAAGCCCCCGCTCAAGAGGCCGTTGTATTGGAGAGGGCCAAATTTCACGCTGGGTTGAACGACACGACCAGGTTCAGAGGTGACCCGAGACCCGAACTGGAAGAGGCTTGGGATGAATTACTGAGCGGTAAGGAACAATGTTGTCGATTGAAAAGGAATAGATGTAAGATGAGGGCTGATGATGAGCTGGGCAGCGATAAATATCCGTGTCGACGACGATTGGCTCACCAGGATGGGGAGAAACGCAAGCACGGCTGTGAAGATCAACGACGGCAAGGGAGGTTACGCCGGTATGCTTGACATTTTCCATCACCTACATTGTTTGGTAAGATTCTCCGATGATTATTCCCAAGCTTTCTGTTCCGTGAAGTAGACTTTTCTAATCCCACCTCTATTATCACTTCTACAGAGAATGATACGGATCGGTTACACACTAGACCTCTATCCGGAGTACCAGCCGATGCTTTCGTCGCAGAAGGGCGAGCTAATCCCTATGCATATCGATCACTGCATCGACGAGCTGCGCCAGGCTGTCATGTGCCGTGCCGATGTAACGGTCTTGACCTCAGACTGGATCGACTGGCACCCTAAGCCGTGGCTAAATTTCAATGTTGACCACGAGTGTGTTAACTGGGATGGGATCTTCCAGTGGTCAAAGGATCACTGGTATGATATAAAGGAGGCAAAATTGGTTCACCCGCAGTATGGTAAGTTCTAAAGCCCTTAACTTCCCCCACCTGACACTTAGAAGCCAACAAATTACTTGCAATTTGCTGACGGCGACGGGGTTTTTTACATGGTGCAGGTGCTGTTGATTGGTCTACAAGTCCAGGTCCCCATAAGTGAGTTTACAGCTCAAAAGATTTTTCACAGATAAAAGGCTTTCAATCGCGGTGTAGCTCAATGAACATGGATCGTAGGCAACGTCTTGGGTACTTCACATTAGTATGGCACTGGCAAGTCTTAAAAATTTCAAATAGACACTCTGCTCGGAATACAATTCTCTCAAAACAATTGGAGTGCTGTTATCATCTTCAGCCTCAAAAGATTCTTGCCTGAGAATTGTAACAATTTCTCATAAAGCTTTTATGTAACGTACCCCAGATTTCTCAAGCTATGCCGACGACGATATTCGAGAGGCGAGCAAACGTGCCATTCGATCTGAACCTTCAGCACGTTTCAAGGCGGTCCTTATTTTCTGCCCATCACATGAATAGAGGGAGCATATCATGACTCGATTGAGGTCCAGCTAAATCTTGTCCTGGGTAGTGTAGTTGGACGTTCTGTTTCGAACTCAATGCGAGCTTCAACATCACCATGTGCATTCCGATTGAAGGAGCGTTCCAATCCATAAACGGTCCACACCGATAAAACCGATGGAAACCTCCGAGTGCTGGAATGCAAGCTTAGCGCTAATGCAAGTTGGTACGGAAGTTGGTACGGAAATAAACGGATTTGTAATCCCGAAAGCCTACTTCTACATTGGAAACACTTGAAATGAGCTACACTTCGGCCATATGAGTAATCAAATGCCTCAAGTCAATGCCGCTGTGGCTTTTCACAGAAGTGTAAAGAGTCAAAGAAAGAGGAACTTGTAAAGAATTTTGACATTTACAAAAGGGCCGGAATAAAACTCTACATAGAGTTATCAACTAGACCGCACGATGCACAAATCAAGACATCAGAGGGTACATATATAGTTTTTGAATCGTCCTTTTCTAAATCCTAACACTGTTTAAGGTTAAAACTATCGCACAAGAAGGTGACATTATGAACGCATACGCGTTTCAACGTTACAGTCAATCATCCTGGGGTATGACTAGTAGTTTTATCTACTGCTTCCGGTCCCTCACAAATACAATTTCCCCCATAAGTTCAGTCCCTGCAGAGTCTTTTGATTAGAAGACATAACGAAGGGCTCATAAACCAAGCTTCAAACTTAACTTTTCAAGTCTCCGATATGAATCCTTGTTTCCAGGATGTAAAGAGATTACAGTTTAGAACATTCAAGTCTTGATAGACTAATTTAAGAGCTCTAGCTAATTCAGTTGCTTTCACATCATACTCGCTAGTGGCATCTTTTGCCACAGGCATCTTCGTATCAAGCGACTCAGTTTGACAAACCTCTATTTGTGAGGAGAAAACTTGTACAATGACTCAAGGCAATGCTGGGGACCTCTTTTCACCATCTCCTCCCTCTTTGGTATGTTCCAAGCTTTAAAGTATGCGAAACCCGTCTTCTACTTGAAACGGCACCAACGTCCGCTCGTATTAAGACACAAGGCGGTTCTGGCATATCTTCATCTCCTACCTTCTTCCCTTACCGTATGTGTGAACTTCAAGCGAGTCTACTTCCCTCGTCAAATTTTATCTCGGGCAACCACGTATAGGTCTCATATCATAACTGAATACTACTGCTTTAGCTGCCCTCATCAATCATCTGTGAGCAAGATGGGTCAATTTGCCAAAGTGGTGGGAGCCATGAGGCGGCTGCAAGCGGCGATGACCGGCGATTTCACTTACGACAAGGTTCCCTCGCGGCAGATGTCAATGTATGATGAAATCAACCCGGCAGCTGATGATTCGGTCCTCGAAAACAGCGAATTCACAGCAAAAGATGAGGACGACGCGTGTGGGCGCTATCACGAAAGTAGACCGCGGCGGAGAAGATCCTGTCTTGGTGCTCTGCGGATTCTGGGAATCGTGACAGTCGTCATCCTCGCCGGAGTCGGGGCCGTGGACCTATTCCAGCGCGCCTCTCACGCGGTTCAGCAGCAACGAGCCGCCCACGACGAGGTGCAGAAGGTGCATGACTGCTTTCGCTTCTGCGGCTACACGGCCGCCGAAGCCATTGCGCGTGGATGCCAGTTCGAGGAGGCCGACATGCGGTGGGAGCACCCGCGGTGCATCGATCACGAGCTCGCCGCTGAATATCGGCGCATGGGGCCCGAGCCAGATGGGTCATGGATATATGAGGTTGATGATGAATCAGCGACGGAAGGTGTACCCATCAATGAGTTGCGGAGGCGCCCTGTGAACGCCACGGAGCTAAGCATGCTCGTTCGGCCTGGGAAGGTCGTTTATGCCAACATGCGCCACCATCTGACGCACTGCATTTTCCGCTGGCGCAAGCAGTTCCGCGCGCCCTTTGTGGGAACAAGGTGGCCTAGCCAGCCGGGTTGGGAGGAGAACCACATCAAACATTGCATGGATGTGATTCTCAATAAGAGAGATATCCCTCTGCAGAATTTCATGACCAGGGTTGTTTTTGAGTCACCTTAGATATTGTTTGTTCTGGCTGGCGATGTTGGTTATTGGAAAACTATAAAAACAAAACTATCTTTGACGTTTAGTTTCTCAGAATTTTGCCAGTCAAGCCATTACGGCAATAAAGGTTGCTAAATCTCTGCGTACTCTGAGGGTATTTTTGGCGTTCTTCGTTATTCTTAATAACCAAAAATAGTAAAATAAGTCTTACACCATTACTGCATTGATATTTTTCTTTTTGTTTTCTATTGTTGACTTTCTTATATTCCGAATCCGAAGGTCAGTTCTACCGCTGTTCATCAAGCACATGACATGAAACCAAAGTCTTTTACTCAGCAACAGCACTCCAGCCATTGATGAATCCCAAGGTTCGAAGGGCTACAACATGCCCATAATTGCAGTTACCACAAATTCCAGTTCAGTCTCAACTTGATGGACACTTTTTTACAACCAGAAATGTCGTTGAATCTAACCTTGAAATAGATGGCTTCAGCTTCTAAATCCCTCGGCAACTTCACGGCGAAATCCATAAGACTAAACAGCTATACACTTTAAACCAACGCCCTTATATTGCCCAAGACTAGGCAATGGCTACAGTTTAAGAAGCCCTCTTAAAACACATAAAGTAGATAGCATTCATCAAAGACACGAATTGGAATGAACAGGATCAAGAGATAAAGAGAGAGCAGTGAGATGTAGATGGAGACCTTTGATGCAGAAATAGCTTTTCAATCACTAAATTAGAGTTTGATAATAAACAACAAATCTTAATGGTGAGCTATCAATGAATATTGGTCTATAATCAGTCCCTCCCGCAGTAGCCCTAAACAAGTCGCTATCTTTTATACAGATACCTAGCTCAACACATTCATCTTGTTCTCCCAGGACACGCAAGATTAGGATTGAAGATGATCTGGCACAACTTGACATACAGAGTACCGTTAAGAGTGAGAAGGCGAATTTGTGTCACAGAGTGAAAGCCTGAGGGTGGCTCACGCCGGACAGTCCTATATAAATTCTGGGATCTATGTATACAATGATATTATCTTATGTGTTTCCAGTTTGTTTCTCTAACAAAATGTCAGCAAATAATCATAATTTAGTTGAAAAAGGACTTGTAAATACAAATAATAACATACATCCCCTGCCCTCCAGCCGTTCAGTTCAAGTGCCGTGCCCATGCTGCTGCGCATGCATAGCGGCCAATGTTATAAACTTACGCGTCCTCTTACAATTTTTCCTACGGCACCTGGTCTCTCGGCATTTCCGACGCTCGGTCTTGATATAGTGACGAAATATTCTTGGATATGCCTTGTCTGGACAGATTTGAAAAATTCTATCCTTTCAAGAAGTTGTTGAAGCTGTGCCCAACGCTGTTTCAGACAATTTCTGCACACCAAAATATCACAGATGTTCCAAATTTTACTCAAATCTTGATCAAGGAGCTGACCGATGTCATTCAGGCACCTGATAAACTTCCATCTAAGCATCCTGAAGTGAAAGAAAACGTGGGCTTTTCTTTGACCTGGAAGCCTGGCCAAATGCCGTTTGGAGTACCGGGAGACTCAAATCTTCTAGGATGGTCAAAATTATATCCGAAGACGAAATGAATGTATCTGAAATGCCTGCGATCATTAGACGTGCGGTAGGCAACGAAGGGAGGCTAGTTACAATGAACCTGGCGCTCTTCAGCCAAGAGCGAAACAATGTTGGAGCGGTCCCGCCACAATTTGTACAGTTCCTCCTAAATATTAAAAACTTTGGCTTCAACTTAATTTTCAACTCTTCAATGTGTAAAATTCTCTTAAGTGTTGAAGTTGAATATTGAACGGAGGAGGTATTAGATTGGACGAAGGTTTACCTAGCCTAGCAGCGGAGTTTGGGCTGTTGCTCTCTACGAGTACATCCAGAAAGGAGGCAATGCGAGCACCTTAAAAGTAATTAGTCTACTCCTCGAAGTTTAATGGGAGAAAAAAAGTGCTATGGGATGAAATATTCCGGTTTACAGATGATTGTCATTGGAGACCAAGGAGATGACGAAAATTGTGCTACATTGGATGCATGTTCGCAATAGGAACACTGGAGGAAAATTACTAGCCAAGTTGGAATTAGACTTAATAGAAAGCCAAGACCAAGCGTGATTGCCAGGAATGTCTAGCCCGTTGAATCAGAATGTATGTTCCATTTTCCCAAGTGGAAAAGGACATGTTGTGGCAACTTACCGCATATGAGGAACAATCAGTCGCACTTGCTATGTTTGAGTAGGAGGAAAAATAATCATGCAAGAACTACCGAGATTCTTATGTTATGATACCGAGAGCTATTCATCCTCGCTGACTGCGAGCCAAAAACCAAACATTCTACGGAGCCGGCACGGACAGGCAACTTCATGCCGTGTGTGCTGATCCTAAAACAGCCGTATGCCTTTAGACTCATTCTCAGGACGCGGTAAAACGTAACATAGTTTCTTCCTTATGATATAGAGTCCCTTTGAGAGAGGTTTTTATGGCTGTACAGATAGGTTGGTATTGAGTCGATACGATGTAGACCAACCAGCGATTGCACTTCTCGACCACACTACTATTGCTAGCAATAATTCTCATGGCCGTTGAAACCAACTTCATGAGTACACCGAGCCCTGCTTAGGAACAGATAACCTTTTAATGGGCTTCAGATATTACAACCAAAAAACTATTAGAGATTTTATATCCTTCTCTCACCCCGTTTTACCTGGGCTATATTACTTTCACCAAAGCACTAGAGCTGTGGAGAGAGGAATAAATATACGAACATGAACAGTCAGATAAGTACAATGACAAGATGTGCTTCACGCCCGATCATGACCTGAGTCACCCACCTGACTCATCGGAGGCAGGTACTTTCTATCCCACCATCCAAGAAAAGAAGCTGACTATCGTCCTGAAAATCCGACGATAGAGCGTGTAGCTTATCAAGCAAGAAAGACAACAATATATATCACGTTCTCTGTGAATTTCCTTTGTGTAATACTGTCTTGAGCACATTTACTATGCGTACCATTTCATTATCAGCTCGAAGGAGCTTACAAACGCTTGTTTTCGTACCTCATCGCTCATTTTCCAACCAATGCGTCTCACTAAACATTTGAACCCGTTGAAAAGGTATATGATCAATTCATGAGTCGTAGGTCTTAATGCGTTCAACATAAAGCAGTCACATAGTAAGCTCCTCTTCATCACATGTGGAAATTGCCCAGCTTTTCGATTCATTCGCCTGTGGAATGCTATTTACAATGCACATAGTTGGAGATGTTCTTTCCTTCCAAGGCTACCTACATTACTATTCGGTGTTTATTCCACACATTACGGCTTTGGGTGCATTTGAAAGCACGAGTGAAAGCAAGTAGCCGGAAAATGTTTCTTGCAACCTAAATCACTTTTCAGTTGTCCTGTTGTCTGTGATGAGCCGGGGAGTACTCAGCATTCATCACAAGTAAAAACCCGACGGATCACATTAACATGGCTTGTGAACATTTGTATGCTCCTTCAAAATTATAAACCATTTGTGAGAATCAAGCTCTCGGTTCTAATTTGCCTTTTGTTAGTCTTTCATTCAGGCATTGTTCAGTATTACGGGTTGGCTGTCAGCAAGTTTGTTGTATCCCTTTATTTTCCTACCAGACCTGATAGTGACCATCGGTTCTAAATTTGATTTAGCCTGGATAGCAGATAACCTTCAATAAAAGACGCTCGTCTGAGATGCTGAGGCCATTTTCAACAGTCGCGGATATCTCGTTTGGAATGCGCCCACGATACTTATAACAAGACTAAACAGTAAGAACATGCCAGTCTCAGTAATGACGGGCTCTCTTTTGAAATTAGGTCAATGGTCATTTAGTTAAGACTCTTTAATGGAAAGGCTTTGGTGAAGGGGTGGCAATGATATTGTCGTCGGATCATAGGACATGAAGAGTATACTAATGGATATTTGCAAGGGTAGAGTCTCGGTCTGAGCCATGACTGATCCTAGAAATTCTGTCATGCCAAATGCCATTTCGACACATTAGAACGAGCTTGAGCACCAGAAATTCCGCGATACTTCTGGACGAGTCAGTTGCTGATTGATGACTGTTTCAGTCTGAGGTACATATTCTGAAATATCTACCCCTGAGGGAGTTTTGATGGACTATGGTAATGTTTCTCGCACACGCCTCATTGTTAACAGTGCATCTTTTCACGGCCTGGCGGACAAGAAATCGCACCGCCGTAATGCATACAACAATGTAAAAGGATCTCCACCCAAAGGTTTGTTAGGCCCCATGTAAGTAAAGTCTAGGAGACACAAGTGCAATTTGTTATATGAGTTACGGCGATGTGTTAGGCGTCGCTGATGTTTGGGAGTCTCTTTAGACCCAATATTATCGGCTTTCGCCACAAGAAAAAGACACTGAGCGACCGCAAAGACCTTTAAGACATTTACACATATTTGTTATCATGCTGCATTGCTGAAGGCGTCGACTACTGATTCAATCCATCCTATACATTTGAAAGGAGATTAGATTAGTAGGCTAGTCAGATCAACTCGAGTCTCAGGAGCCCGTTCTTTGAAGAGATCGCAAAACCATATCAGGAGGGCCAAACGGTAATCATTTCCCCAACAGCTTGCTCTTGTAGTAGGACTGAAATTATGCAAGAATAAAATTCGGATCAGAACCGCCTATTGTGGCGTATGTATGTTGCTGGGAACTCTAATCAATCTTGCTTGCTACTGTTTGATCATCTGTAACATTGTAAGAGTCTCGTGCCAGGTTTCCTGCAACTTCGAAGAGACTAATTAAACTCATCAAACGCGCGTAATTAATAATCAATGTGAATGTTGCTGAATTCTGCCAGAGCAAGCAGCAAGACTGTGAACACTTATATCAGGGCGACTCGCAAGAAGATGATGATCCTCAAGCCTTGGCACAGGTCATACTGGGTCACCAGGAGGCCGTAGCACCAAAGTCTCCTGGCCCCGGGTGTTGGCACCATGCCAAGCATGTTCATCGTAAGCTGAAATCATCCGAGCGTAGAACCAAGCAACAGGAACAGTGTGGTCAGCCCAAGTATCAGACTAAAACAAATGCAAACCATAGTCCAAATTCTCATTACCCCCCTGAACCGTGAACAGTAGATGTGTTCTTATGTGGTAGACTGATAGTAAATAGCCCAACCATTGTTTAGGTGAATACTGTCTGTTTTCTAAGAGTCAAAACCCAAAAGGTGTACAATAATGGTGCTGATTTAAGCATAAATTTGAAGAAAATCAAACTAGTTTGGCCATTCTTTTGTGTGGTTTATTTCCTGAAAGTAAGAACCCCAATTATCAGAAATGGCTGCCCAAAAGATCCCGACAGATTGGTTCACACGGTCGGCGATTCTTCCGATATGTAAGCTTCACAGCCAAGAACGGAGTTCTTCAGGTTACAACAGTTGGAGTAACCCAGGGCAATCCATGATTTCCTCATATGACTTCGGATCAAAATGTGTATGTGAAGATCATATTCAGGATCGCCCTTCCAACAGCTTGGCACTTGAGACTCTATTCGAATTAAGCTTTTTCGACTCATGTCGGACGCTCCGACGGTGCATACTGCTTGCAAAAGGCAGACTCGATGAGACATGTCACCAACTCAAACTCTAATCAGTATTCCTTTTCGTAAAGCCTTTCGGCAAGTATTCTAAAGTTTATCTTGCAGCCGTTACATACATACGTGATAGATTTGATTCTGAGAGTAGTCCGGATGAGTCGGACTAACAGGTCACACATGGAGCTGCCAGCAGTATTCCATTGTTCTGCACCTTGTTCCAGATACTATTGTCCTCTGTCAGTCACTCCGGTTCATTGGTTTCATCCTAAAACGATTTCGTCACCCATCATCTCATACTCTGGGGAAGTCCGTCTGATGGCAAAGTTACCACCTCAATTATTAGCTAGGCGCCGCATCCTAGCTCGGGTTTGGACTGTAGAAGCGACTCATATGATTTGCGATATGACTCAAAAAAGCAATCATTGGATTACAGCCACGACAAGTAGGAGCCTACCGTAGTTGTCATGAGTTCACACCCATGCTTGTTGAAGCGAGATTCTTGCATTAGACATGTAGCTATTCAGAAATGCAAATTAAGTTCAATCTCGAAACTGACGCGTTTGTAAAGGGCACAATGTCATGTCCTTCCACACCGCACTACACCACACAGCCGAAAACACGATGTTCGATCAATGGATTTCAGAGCGAAATCAAAAAGTATAAGAACAGAAGCCATCTGCATCATGCCGTTTGTGTTAGAACAATCAACATCTCATCTCGTTATCTCTCTTTTATCCATTCTTTCAACTAGTCCGACAGGTTTCGGATCTCCTATTCCTATCATAGTATAACTAAAATCATTTTTTCAGACCACATATAAACTTCACATAAACCAGCCAAAATGCGCTTCACCCTTGCTCTCCTTTTCTTCTTGCTCACCCTCACCGCTGCGCTTCCTGTCGCCGACCCCGCCAACAACAAAGCGTCTTCGGACAAGAAAAAGCTTGTCAACGGCATTAATGATAATATCAAAGCGGGTAAAAAGGAAATTTCAGCTACCGAAAAGGCCCAAGACGCTGCCAAGAAAAATGATGGAAAGGCCCTCAAAAAGGACGAGAAGAATATAGGCAGTGCTTTGGACGAGGCAACCAAAGCTCGCAAGAAGAATCAAAAGATTGCCGGGAACAAAGACCCTGCTTTAACTAAGGGCTTAGGCAAGGTAGAACAGGCACAAAAGGGTGCTAAGAAGACCGTAAATGGTCTCACTGGTGATCCCAAGAAGGATAAGGGATCGCTTGACAAGTTGGACAAGACATTCAAAAAGGGCAAGGCGACCAATGCCGAGAATCTGAAGGAGGTAAGCTTTTTGACTAAACTGGCTGATTCGAATTCGATATCTAACATATAATCAGGCCAAGAAGAACTTCAACTGATTCCGAATTTCGAGCTAAGGCTGAGGCACGAAATCCTACATTGGCTGTATGGATGTTGGAGGATACAACTTGAATGATTAGTTCTGGAATAGATTTAGAGGATTTTTAAAAATTATTATCATTATTTGCGATACTCAATTTGTCTTCCATGAGGCGCCAATTTGTAGATTGAGCCATTGTTTCCCAAACGCCAAAGCTACTACCACTCGGTCACTAACCTCGATCAGCAACCTTTTTGCCAAAGGATTCAGAAGTAAGATGTTTCCCAACATTCTGCGCTTACTGAATTTGTTTTTTTGCTCTATTGGCGAGTGGTGGACTATCAGCATAGCATTATGGAACGTTTCAACATCTCTTGGTCTTTTGTCACCAAGTGGATTGAAACTACCCAAGTACGAGGTCCCTTCAGTAGTATTACACAAGGATAAATTCTCTGATCAGGTTTCTGCGGCAGCCCTTAGTACTTCCACCTGCTTGAAGCGCTATTTTTTGCCAGGTTAAAATCGCCAATTGAGGGAAGTCAGAACATCCACCTCTTATACCCAGGTCGACCTACAAGGTAGGAGATCCGTCACGGTATGAGATTTTGATGGCTGAGAATATAGAGAGAAGTAGGTCTATATATGTCCATTCTTCGTATACATCTTACATCATGGGAGAATCTCAGACTCCTTATTATCCAACGCATAATTAAGAATTACTTCGACCTCCACAGCCTTTGTCCCCAGGTGAAGACAAGAATCGATCTCCCAAGAATTCGTCCGAAAATCAATGGCAAGCCAAATCGAAACCATGTCAAAGGCTGAAAAAGTCTGGCCATTGGCAAGGTGATCTTTTCAACTTTGGTTCCATCTTTGTTTTTGGACATGATTGATTTTCCCGTGAATGCCTCCACAGCTTCCACCACAAAATCGGCCGTTTCTTCCGGTTGACTCAAGAACGGCGAATGGCTCGTCTGAAGTTCTCTATGCTCCACCTTTCCACCCATCTCTCTAGCCATACCGACTTGCATTCGCTGTACAACCACCGGCAGTCCTCGATCTTCGACCGTACCGAGATACCAAACTGGCACATCCTGCCATCCGGCAAATGCGTATTCGCCACCTTCAAACAACGCCTTCAAACTTTGAGTGGTGAGCTGTGAGACCCAATACTGTGCTTCTTCTGAAGGCAGGTCGTGGTAAAAGAGCTCCCGAGGATCAGCGACAATCTCTGCATATCCAGTTGTGGCATTGACCCGCCAGGAGGGGGGTGGGTGCCCAAAGAAGGGATCCATGAAAGAGAGTCCGGTTAAGGTGAATCCAGAAGCTATCAGAATGAGCCCAACAATGCGACCAATCTTTTTGGGTTCTTCTTGGTGAGAAATTGTCAAAGTGGGCGTCGCGCTAGAGGCATCCATAGCGACATCTCGTGGGTGGGCAAATGCTTTAATAGCGCTGTTTCCCACCATGCCGCCATATGAGTGAGCAATAACCACAACATCATTTCCTTGAACTATTTCGCTGGAGATGACACAACGAGCGGCGTCGACATCGTCCCTAAAGGTAGCAGTAGGATTTCCGGATGTGGAAGGAAGGGTGACCGAGAGACATTTCAGTCTGTATCCCTTCTGCAAAATCGAAGTGATCTTGTCGTAACATGACGGCTTATGCCAAGAGCCTGGGATGAAAATCAGGGCTGGCAGGTTAGGCATGATGATGTACAGTAACACTGTAAACCATGATGTGAAATTCTTTCTTTTCTTCTCCAAAGTTGAAGAATTCGTTCACTTTTGAAAGAAAAATATTCTAAGATGCAGAGTGTGTTGAACAAAACAGCCTGTGGCAAAAACTTGCAGGAATGAATTACACCCTGGATTCCCAGGCTAATATGACCGGAATGGGTCGGTATGCATTGAGACAAGTGAACACATCACGTGTCGCACTAGATAATCTCCGGACAAGCACCTCCGCTGGCGAACATGGTCTTGAAGCGGGTGGTTTCGGAAAGACGATAGTATTACAGAGTATGAGCATGATAATTATCCTTACGCCTTCCCATATGCCTCGATCAAAGGATCAAAGCCAGGTCGCTTAGCGTATGAACATCTTGCGAGGACCCGAACCTGGCATGAGTTGCCAAGGTCCGAGAAATTTTCGGGGAGAGAAATCTAGGTACAGCTCCTACGTCGCAGTACTCTCCCCTCATAAATTCCAATATTAGATCTAGTGCTCACAATTGCATGCTGAGAACGCAGAGCCTAACAGCACTTTGCATGCCTAAGGGCAGATAGTATAGTACCATGGAGGTCTTTCAAGCCAATGTGTGTGTGAAGGGATTGGCTTCCAGCTTCGCTGTCACCATTAATCTGGGATTTTAAAAGTCAGAATTGAATATATCGGTTATTGTCTCTTTCATGTTTACTAGAGGTGATCGTAAAGGATCATTTGAAGACGGGCTGGTCACAGGAACTTGGCCCCACTGTTAACCCCTTAAACGGTACGTTGTCAGCACCAATGTTTCTCTAACTGAGTTGTGGTTTGCCGCCACCTGTGTTACACACCGGAACGTATGCATTCACACTTGGGAAGGCGGCCACATGAGTAACTTCTTGGAAGAACATACAAGTACGTGGCGAGCAAATGCCACTCAGTTGCTTGTCTATGGCCCAGCCTCATACGACTATGGACATCGGTAGCATGACAAATGAGAAAAAGAGCTAACTGAAAAGTCTATCTTCAGACAAGCGGATACCGCTCTTATGTTGACGGTATGATCCGCTCGTCGGCCACCAAACTGACTTCTAGCAACATAGACAGCACCAATTACGCGATATAAGATTTCCAATTGAAGGTATGTCGTTGGACGAAATTAGGGATTTAAATTAGAGTACGTGTTCCACATTAGTGTCGAGGATGCGAGATATTGAATCCTTCTATGAGCCAAGAAGATGTCTCAGTGTTCTCAACTTGGCTGCAGAGATGAAATCTATTGAGGTTTGTTTTGCCCCATTGATGAAGTACCTGTATCCTGGTGTGCTAAGACACATCCCCATGAGGGGGACTAGGTAATACTTTACCTAAAAAAAACAAATATTACTATTCAAGAGTGGATCATGTTACGACCCGACAGTTAACAGACCACTGACGACGACCCCGCAGGGGCTCAGCGGTTATAGGGACGGCCGTCAGCCGTTACGTCGTAACAACCCCCACGGAACGGAAGAACTAGGATACAGGTCACGTGACGATAAGCAGGACCGACGGACGATAAGCGGTCCTGGGACAGGACCGACGGGCAAAAACATCAACAACAGCGAGAACGAAATTTTTGAAAATCGGAGCAAAAACGGCCCCAAATACGCGTGCTCGCGGCCACAGAGCCCCCTTCGATGCAATGCCATCCTCGGCCTTGATTCTACGTCCCAAAGGGGCCCAAGATGGCCGCAGAGCACGCCCCGACTACAATGAAAAACTTGAGAGCAAGCCGCAAAATACGACATATCAATAGACAACACTGTTACCACCACCACAGGCGAGCCACAAGCCGCTACACGAAGCACTAAGACTGCGCCCAAACAATCAACTTCAACACAACAGCCGCCGACAGGTTTTGGGTCACCTGTCACCCCCGACAAAGTTTGCAACGTCCCACAACGACGAAGATGAGTCCGACAGAACAGTATCACCTTCCGCACGGAGAAAGCACCAGGCATTAGGCATGCTACGATCGATGCCACACAATACTACAGACCACAGACAGACTGGTCCCCTGTCGCCCCTTTTGCGAAGAAGGATTGGTGTCCCTTCAACGCGCGACAATGTCTGCGGAATCTGTGCGGGAGCTCTCATACCCAGTAATCGAACATGTCGGAGTCAGTGGAGCATTGTGCTTCGTGGAAGACCCTTGGGCCAATGTGGTGGAGGGCAATAGTGGTCAACAGGCAAGAAACAAGAGGCCACATAGGAACCCGGCAGGAGGCAACAAAGAATTTACAGATGCAACTGAGAAAACGGCACATACAAGTCCGGGAGGATACGGACAAAACAAAGAGACAAAGCTGAGCGCTGGGGGGAGACTGTAGGTACAAAGAACCAGATACGGTGCTACCAGCACCAACTGAACCGAAGCAGGAGGACGCAAAACAAGCATTCTAGAGAGCAACACAAAAGCGAGAAAGCAGACAGGAGAGCAACACACTTCTTCAACAGAGGGCACAAACACACAGAATAGAGAACATAGTGGGGAGCTTGGGGATAGCTGGCCCTGATGCAACATCAGGGCGAAGTGGGGCGTCGCTGTTCATTGTCGACGCTTCGGCTACCTGCCAAACCCCGCTTTCCGGGCATAGCTGCTGGCATAAGAGCGGCTTCATAACCGAGTAGGAATAAATCAATCAATCAATCGACAGGACCGACGGTGCCAAGGGCGGTCCATGGCGATGGACCGACGTCCTGGGTGTCGGTCCCCCAGGATCAGGAAGTGTTCAGCATGGAACCAGACTTGTATATAGTTGGGACTCGAGTCCTCTCGAGTCCTACCTTTCCTAGTTCTTCAGCAATCAACTTCGTGACTACCCTCACCGGTACTTTCAGCTATCCTAAGTGACGAACTACTCTACGACTCTTGTTGAGGCCTTGACTGATCACCAAGACCTTTGAAGATCTACGATCTATTCGACCAGGACCACGGAACGACTGTTACTACTCTCAATCCCTGACTTACTGTTAACACAAACCCACTGTCAGTTAGCTGGCCGTAACAGATCATTTCCCCTACCTGACTGTTATTCAGAGCTCAAATATCAGTAAAATACCAAGTAAGCCAGTTTGTAATACTAGGATTACCGCTCATGGAATTACGATTTGTAGGAAGTCATTTCGTCATCCATAATCCTACTTCAACGCTGTCTACCGTAGCATGTCTGCCTTTGATTGAGACTTCCGGCGTGGTGTAGTCATCTACTATATGAGATTTCATTTAATTCATATGTGCCGGCCTAGTATACCTTACGATCCGGCTGGGGGAAACTTGGAGAAAGGTCCATCATCTGCCTATTCCTACTTAAAGATCAAAATTTGGCTGGAATAGAGTGATCAACAGATTACAAGACTAGATATGCCCTGGCAAGCTCGGGGAGATCAATGGGCCGTAGAGGCATGAACTCTCGGCGACATGCACCGTCTTCATAAAACTCTGACGAGATCCTTGACTCGGTGATTTTTAGACCTCACGGAACCTAAAATAAACGCTTCAGTGTCCCTGGGAAAATCTTAATTAATGTTATGATTATCATGTGCACATGTGTAGTTTACAGGTGTCATCACATCTGCGCGAAGCTGTAGGCCAGCAACATGCCGCAAGAATTAATTGCATTGATAGAAGGGTTAAGATCGGCGGTCGGCCGAGGAAAATTTAGACATAATGTGGAGAATGTACGTCTGTTGTTGCTTGATCCTCCAACAGATAGAGAGCCAAGGGCATAGCCGCAGTCTTTGATTCATGCAGGGCTCTAGCACTGGCTTGGATGCGACGTCTATGGTTTAATCAACTACGGATGAACTACAGAGTGCAAATAAACTCTAATGCACTAGCAAGGTATTGGTGAAAATTCATCAATGGTTGTAACCTCTGTGCCGAAGAGAGTTTAACAACAATCAAAAGTGTGGCTCAGTTTTCCAAACTGGCATCTCATCTCATACGAAAAGCCGACAGTATCAAACCATTATTAGATGCTTCTGTTCTTGTTCTTGGATAAAGAAAAATTGTCAGGCGGTAACCTTCCGAATACAAAGGACATTCTGGAGGGTATATGTGCAGTATATCAGCTGAATCGTGTATTGTTGCCCATAGTGGATTGCCTATCATCATTAAACTTTAAAAAACTCCCACTTGTTGATCACTTCAAGGCCGTGTATCTACAAAAATAGCCTCGCGGAGTATTTAAAAGAGTGCTCTTCGCTGCATGGAGGTTATTCATCCTCATTAACCTCAGAATAAAAAACACCACATACCTTTTCTCTGGCTTCAATTTCTGCATATTCAGTCCAAAGTTTATTACATTCCTTCTCCCAAAAAGAGTCATACTCAAGATCACCAAAATGAAGGGTGCATTTTTACTCACCACACTATCGCTGGCTTCTGCTGTTCAAGGATGCGCCATTTACAAGTTTTGCCATTGCGTGAACGATGATGGCAAGCCTAACGATGCCGCAACCTCGTTGACATGCACCGAGGGCAATCTAGAGACAAAAACAGAAGGAGACACCTCATACCAAGAATGTCACCTTTACAAGCGTCATGGCTTCTTGAACGTAAAAGTCACAGGAAACGACAATTGCAAATGGCGCGAAACGTGTCAGCAAAAGGGTGCAACTGGAGCAGACTCAAGCTGCAGGGATAAAGTAGCGAGTTAGAGAGGATAACAAACGGAACACGATAAATTTTAACGCCATAGAACATTTTGCTGTGAATAAATTTTCTGTTCTTTAGTTTACCGCCAATTTATGGTACCAACAAATATATAAACAAGACAGTAGATTGACGATGATGACCTCACACCTGAGCCCTGTCACGATAAGGACTTATGATGTGCTAAAATTCACATAACTGTGTTATGTAACTACCTTATCTCAGCAATACAGACTTTTTCGCAACAGGATCAACACATGTTTTTACCGCAAGATAATTAAGCTGCTAAAAAAAACTGCGCTGTTACTTTCTTCTGCCTACGCTTTTGTCATTCATTACTGCATCTCCTATGAATTTTCCCGGCTCATACATAAAGCCTACTAAATGCCATTGTAAGCAAATAGATTAGGAGTGTACTCGGGCACTCCTTTGATAATATCCCGTTTAGATAGTTCCAAGATCCTAGCCGTCACTGCTTCGACGGACTCTAATCCTGACTCTAGGCTCTTTAGATACAATACCAGGCCGGAAACGTGAGGCGCAGCCATAGAAGTACCAGTCAGAGCTACATCTTTGCCAGCATCGAGTGAAAGCGAGTATACATCGACACCAGGGGCATAAAGGTCCACCCCAGCTCCGAAATTGCTATAGCTCAGGACGGAGTTGTTGGCCGCGCTGGCTGCCACTGTAATAGCACTGCTGGTACCTGCTGGAGAAACTCGACTGACATCGATACCAGCATTACCTGCAGAAACTACAGAAACAATACCTTGTTCAGATGCTGCATGGACCAAGCTGTTAAATGCCCAATTCGTGGGGCCGCCTTTTCAACTTGATTAGTTTTTCAAACTTCATGTTAAACCGTGAATCAACTCACCCAAGCTCATGTTGATAACTGAGACTGCAGCACGACCAGGTGTGGCTGTAATATTGTTCACAGCCCACGAAAAGCCATCCATGAAGTGAGACATAACTCCCTGTTAACAAGTCAGTTGATTATCTTGTTTCAACATTGGAAGGCGACTTACTTGATTGGGAGCGAGTACTTTCACGGCAATAACCCTAGCCTTTTTTGCAACTCCCCATGTTTTGGACGCAATGGTGCCAGCAACGTGTGTACCATGTCCACTGCTATCTTCAAAAGGGATATCAGGATACACAGTATATCCAAGCTCGGCTCGCCCTTCAAAGTCTGGATTATCCACCCAGACGCCGCTATCAATGACATACGCAAAAGTCCCCTCTCCTCCATTTTCGTCGTAGCGATACTTAAACCCATCCCGAAGACTGCCATTCGTACTGATGCCATCTGCGGAGGATATAGCGCCAAGCCCCCACGTGGATTCAGGCTGTGTGATAATCTCAAATGGATAAATGGGTGTGTCGGGCTCTACACACTCAACCTTAAAAATTTAGCCATTGTTTAAAATCGAAGAAATTAGTTTCACTTACTGTCTCATTCAATTCAATTTCTGCCAAGGTTTCATCGTCAAATGATCCCACATAGGCATGGAATGAACCGATATCGAATGTCTTTTCCACTCCATTGACATCTCGACGGAAGACACTTCTTCTCTGATGCACATCTCGTGCCCAGTTAAGATGCTCTTTCACAGCATTTTCCGAGAGACCTGCTTTCAGGCTGACAATGTACCGGCCGGAAAGAGCATAATCTCTGGCATCCAAAGAATAGCTCAAGGCAGATGTCAAACCGCCGAAAAGAAAAAGGAAACTGTGTTTCATCTCGTTGCGTTCCTGATCAGTGGTACTTCGCACCTTCCGAGTATCTGCCATGGAAATCGCTTTCTTTTGTAGACATTTCCCATTTCAAGCAATCACGTCATGCGCAGGGTCAAACTTGTAACATTTAATTCAAGCTCTTGGCTTTCTCGTATTGTATGTTGGCTAATCTCTATTAGGTAGGTCGGTGGACATAACAACCTTGTGAATTTAACCGAATGATACCTTGTTAAGTGATTGCTTTTACGGTAATCGCCTGCAAAGTTCAGTCAACCAATGTAGCTTTTATGGCAGCGATTAGAAGTGGTGACCACAACTTAGTACCGCCTTCCGAAGCTGCATACTGAATCTCATTCAATACACAGATGGATAGCCCGTACATGAACAAGATAAAGCGATTTGCTTAGATCATTATTTGAACATGTCATACCTGTTCTGTTAATTGATGGCAAACTAGATGTTACGTCTCGTCTGAGATACCAACGGCGATAGTGTTACTACCTAGTGTATTCAACAAGTTTATTTCAGTTCAAGATTTGCCAATGCCTATTTCATTCGGTGCCGGTGTAAGTTCAGAATTTCATACACCATGTGTTACTGCGCAACTGATTGTTCTCACGACACACTAATCTTTCGATTGTATACATTAATGAATCGAGATAAAGGTGCCTGGAGTCGCATAAACCTGGCCCAAATGTAACATTAAAATAGAGCTTAGGCGCAAAGAAGAGCCCTCAAATTTTTAACCACGTTATACTTACCCTTGTCAAGAAAGACCCAATTCTGATGATTTACGTTGTCAAGACGCTGCCTTGTTCATTGTAACTCCTGTAGGATCCTCGGTAACTTCATCACCCCACTGTGCCTCCCAACCGTTTTCAGCCAGATATCTCTTCCATGCTTCATCGTCGTCGTTCAGTCTTCTGGAAACATCCGGTATGACAAAAAAAGCGATGAGTGCACCGAGCAAAGCAAAACCAGAACCGATCAAAAATGCAACTTGATTACCTTTTGACGGATTTTCGGTGTAAGAATTCATGATTGCCGTAAATACCTTTGACTACAGCGTTAGTAGAAGACTCATTACTACGAAAGGGGTAGTAATGTGTGGCTTACCTGAGTTCCTATTGCTGCCCCAGCTTTGGAAAATGCTGCTATGAAGCCCATCATCTGACCCCTTATAGACGTAGGAAAACATTCTGAAGCAGTCAGAACAACAGTACTAAGTAGGAATAGGTTAGCTGACTTCTCGCTAATGAGTATTTCTAGCCACTTGCCTTCCTGGCCCTACCTCGCCCAAGGTCAAGAAGATCCCATACAACACAACGAACAGAGGGAAGATCTTTTGTATGGGACTCATGGCCCCTCCAAGCACAAATCCCAGTGTCGCTTGTAAAGTGAATCCCAAAGCCATGGTTTGACGCCTCCCAATCTTGTCAGAAAGGTATCCTCCAATGAAAGGCCCGGGGATATAAAAGCAATTGATCACAACACCCCATCCAAGCGTCTTTACGAGGCTGTCACCTGCATTGGCTCTTGACATGATGGTGGAACTAAAGATACCGAAAGGAATGCTGATCCAGTTGTAAAGAAACCATGTCGAAGCAGATCCGAGAAGCGGTCGCCAGTACTTCTTTAGTGCCAACCAATAAGGTGTACGCTGCTTGCGCATTGCCGACCTGCGGTAGGCAGTAGATACAGCCATTCGAATGCGGAACCAGAAGATGAGAAGGGGAGGTGCCATGCCCAAAGCAAAAGATGTGCGCCACACAATGTTGTATTTGGCAACTTGTTGGCCGACACACAACAGCAAAAGCAATGGCACTAGAGCACCCCATATGTAGCCCAGACTGCTGGAAAGATCTGCAAGCATGGCAAACATAAAACCTCTTCTCTTGCGATATTTAGCGTCTTCGTCAGTTGCCTCGGCAGCCCCAGCACCAGAGACAGGATACTCTCCGCCAGCACCTACGCCAGCGATACCACGCGCAATGATTAACATCCAAAACATGCCCGTTGGGCTATTTCCGTTAGATGCGGCTGATAAAGTGATACCGATAACGAGCAAAACTGTTGTGGCGACAGCCCCTGTCTTTCTTCCCAACTGATCCACGACGATGCCAAAAAGCACCATGCCAACGATCATTCCGATTAAGAAGGCGTTGGATAAGCGCTGATAGATGGTTGTAGTTAATTCTTCAGGATATAAGATTGCGAGTAGCAGCTCCACGTTGCCAATAACGGCTGCATTACTGTAGTCAGAAAGGTTAGTCAAGCGGGAAAGGGGAAGAGCAAAAGAAAGCAATTTACAAGTAGTTGGGAAGTCATACTATCCGTCAGAGCCAATCGCCAAACCGGAGAAAAGTACCATTAACCAGACAGAGAGAGTGCTGTAATATGTCTTCTCTGATTCCTCGGCAATAATGTCTACTTTGCCGTTGTGTTCATTGTCTCGATTGACTTTTTTATCTCCAGTTGTAACCTGGCCAATTTCTGCAGGCGCTTCCCCCGCCATTTTTTCCCGACTTTATTCACTTTGGAATTTAATCTTCCAGTCCAATAGTTTGCTAAAGACTTGAATACGGTAGGAAGAACGAGGTTGCCATTTGGTTGGGGACAAGATGAGAAGGTAAAGAGAGTAACGCTGGACCTCAAACGTAAAAAGTCGAAAACTCATTCTACTTAAGGCTACGGTTGGACAGCCGAGAGAAGTTGGCCCAGCCTTGCCAGAATAAGGTACTAGCAAAAGGCTTATAGCGGTTGAATTCCTATCTGCATTTCCGAACCGGCGTATTGGCCCGAGGAAAACTCACATCCCCTATCAAGACCCATGTCGATGACATGGGACAGACTATGTAGGTGTTGGTACCTACCGTGGTGCCGATACGGTCCGGGCGGGGTTTGTGCCAAAGTAAGGAATGGATCTGCATCCCCGGAGAGGGGTTGAACGGCGAGGTCGGAACTGGTTCGGCATCCTACTTCTCGGCAATTGGCTGTTTTAACTTGTCGTCAATCTTCTCATCTGCAAGAAGCTTGGGTTAGATATCAGCAATGCTAAGTCCAGCAACTTATTGTTGCGTCGCAGAAATAAGACCCATGTCAGACTCGGAGAAAAGGTCCCAAAATGCGGCTGGCATTGCGGCTGCTGTGCCGCACGTGAATGCGCGTCGCTCCAAAATGATTCTGTTAACGATGACCTCCCTTCTCCTCTTCATAATCAGCTTCTTCACCTCATCGTTTTCATATTTAAACCAATTTACCAGTCTTCAAAGTGTACAACAATGCGCTATCGAAAATCTTCATTCAGACTTGTCATTTCTCAATTCCGCCGTTCCAATAACTGCGGATGAGTTTCTCCAGCGCCGAGATCGCCTCGCAAACGCGCTGACGACATCACATATAGATGCATTTGTCCTTGAACCGGGCTATACCTTTCAGCAAGTTTACTATATCCGCGATATTTCTGGACGATCCTAACAAGTGATAGATACTATGGTAACATTTCTCAAGTCGATTGGGAACCTTGGGAACCTGAGGAGCGACCATTTCTCATGGTCATCCTACCTCAAATTTCTGCAACTGGCGAAATCATTGCCAAAACGGCATTCTTGTCGCCTCATTTTGAAGAAGGTCGCGTGCGCATGCTGGGCATTCCTTCAAGAGATGAAGAGCTAGACATTGTCATTTGGGAGGAGCATTGGAACCCGTACGAAACACTGCTTAATTCCCACCTTTTCAATGGAACAGGGGGCAAAAAGATCATGGTTGACGAGGAAATGCGAGACTTTATCGTTCGTGGCCTGGATTCCGTTGGCTTTGACACGGTCGGCCTTAACTCTGAAGTGGAACTTGTCCGACAGCAGAAGAGTCCTGCCGAAGTGGAGCTGCTCCGCGCCGTGAACACGGGGACTGTTGTTGCGGTCAGGGCCATGCGGCCTTGTCTAGTCCCCGGTCTTACCGAAAACGAGGTCACTGATATTTTGAACTCAGCATTGCTTTCTATTAATTTCTCATTGTTCTTCAACATTGTTTTGTTTGAAGAACACGGGGCTCTACCCCATGGCGGCTTTGTCACTGGTGGTAAAAAGCTGACACCCGAGAGCATGGTTGTTATTGATGTGGGCGCTCATTACCTGGGCTATAGCTCAGACATCTGCCGTAGCTTTCTCATAGATCCACCTAGGTGTGGATGGCATTGTTTCATAGGGCAATTCGTGCGACTATTTCAAAGGTCTTCGTCAGAAGAGAATGGGCTGGGCCTGGATTCTGGGCTCCGCGCGGAAAAATTCAAAGTATGGGATATCGTCTTGGAGGCTCAGTCGGCTGCTGCTGCGGCTTTTAAACCCAACAACACCGCAGCTAGCGTGGATATTGCTGCCCGCAAGGTTATTGAGGATGCAGGGTATGGATATGGTTTTACTCATCGGCTTGGCCATGGCATTGGCATCAAAGGTCTGTTGAAGAGTTTGAAAGTAGCACGTTCCCAACTAACAGGCATACTACAGCACACGAATCTCCCTACTTGAATAAGTGGAACAAAAATGTTTTCCTCAAGCCTGGCATGACATTCACGAACGAGCCAGGTATTTACCTCGAGAATAGGTTTGGCGTGAGGCATGAAGATATCTACCTAGTGAAAGAATCTGGGGAGGCAGAGCTACTTACAGGCCGAAGGGCAGCGGGTCCATATGATCCATAGTCTTTCTCAATGTTCCTAGTTTGGTATTGCCGCAGTGAAGTAGAGTATCATCATTTGCAGCGATGAATAGACAAAGCTCTACTGTCGATTGTCGTCCGCTGTTACTAATACGCTCTACTCACAGCAAGTCCAAGCCTTTTGTATCATTTGAAGAAAGAGGAGAAGGAAGATTCACCATGAATGAGACTACGTAAGAATAAAATTATGCGACAATTTTCTCGTCTGTTGGCAAGACTTGGAATAGCATTTCGACATTTATCGAAGTTTACTAACTCCTATGGAGGCCCAGATGAAATTTCATCGGTACCTTGCCTAGATCTGCCCCTGCAATGCAGCTACAACCAGGCCCTCGGCGCTACAAAGAGTTAATACACAGAAACAACCAAGACTGTAAGAATTGTAAGCAAGTTCAATTACTCCACGAACTCATAAGTGACGTATCACTTTGGTACTAGCGGGAGAGATGATTCCACGATTCCGCGATATATACCAACGGAGACACCAACTCGGTGCCTATTCCAGCCCTGTCCATGTCATGGTCGGCCGACCTTTTGAATGCTCTTTAAAAAAGACCTTGTAGCAAGACTTCCATTCATATATCGTTTTCGGTACTACTGTGGCCGAATATAAAGATAAAGATACGAAGTAGAGTTTGCTTCAACAGCACATCCTTACTATACCTTAGGTTTTGAGCTGCATCCAGTCTTTTGGCAGAGCAGAATACACTAACAAACCACAAAATTGATTATCTATAAGTCGGGGTCATGTTACGGGCTTTGCCACGGTTGATGTGGCGTAAGGCTGGGTCTACGCATATTCCCTACTTGAATGCAGCCAAATAACAAGTAAGCGACTTGTTGTTACGTATCCTTTTGTGCACTTAGCTCAATGGGATAGCACATCTGTTTTACACATGCTGAAGGCTTGCGTGCGGCTGCCACTGTAACCCTGTAGTCGGGGTCTGGCCCTTCACAAGGTCAGAGGTGAAGGCGGCTGCCAGAGCTGAGTGCGCTGTCACCGCACACTCAATAACGGTCCCTGTTCCTATGTTTCTTCGACCCCTATCCGGCATCCACAACAAAATGGGAAGTTGAAGCATGAGCTGCATCTCCGACAAGAACGGTACCATCACCCTTCTGAGTGGGAAAGGGATACTCCACTCTGTTGAGAAGTACTCAAACTTGATTCTTCAGGAAGTGTTGTAATCAATGTTTCCACAAGTTAATCAAACTTTGCAAAGGCTTCCAAAATTCTTTTTTCTCTCCCAGAATTTCATATGCCATCCCATCAGGCTGATCAGTTGAGCTGTAAAAATACTCAACGAATGCAGAATTCGCAACCAAGCAGCAGGAAAGGTGGCATAAGAGGCAACTTCTTATGAAGTAGTCTTCCCTTGTCGGCATTTGTGCCCCGGTGATTTCGGTATTTACGGCTCTAAAGTCCAAATTACTATTTATTTAAACTTCAAACCCGGAAGGAGATACCGGGACGAATGGCCAATGCTTTGCTGAGCGACGATTCAGTATCTATCTTTATGTCACTCGAGAAGGCTTAGAGTGACTAATGCATGGCCTAGGGGCTAATCAATTGAGGTATAGTGTAGAGACATATATCGTTACTACAGGGAAAAGCGCATGGGGTAAATCCTTGCAAACTTAGGCTCTAACGAATTTACCAATACTATTCAGATTTATGGTCGATTTCTAACATAAGCCAGATTTAACTGGATTATCTTTTCATTACCAAATCTCTTGTGCCAATGAACAGGAGAAAGCTTAGACGGAGTAATTGTTTCCCAAACACCCGAATGATACGTCAACGACTGGAGGCACTGCCTTCGTTACGGAGGGTTTCTCCCGCCACTGGAACGGGGACTTGAGGTTACAGGCCGCGTGACATTAGTCTCTAAAGCATACTTCCGAGAATGCCGGTTTGCTTTTAAGATACTACGAGTCATAAGCTTGTAGTCTCTGATATTTGGATCGACTCAAGGTCTTTACATCGTAAAGGGCGGGTCACATCCTTGTTCAACCGGCAGAAAAGTGCCGCGCTAATATCCTAATACCGTACTTTGTGCAACACAACCCAGCTACTCAACGTCTCCGGTGCTGTAGACGGGCATGAAGACTTGGAAAGTGTCCTTTCCCATGCTCCACAATTAGATTGTAATGCATTACTTCCGCTCCGTCAAAAGAAAAGACAACAGCAGCAATACCTAAATATAAAAGCATCCCACCTTCCAATGTTGGAATATGTATACTCAGTGTTACCTACCTTAAGCAAATTTTCAGATCCTTTGACTCTACAAAGAAACTCTTCCGCCCAGCAACTTTTCACCTCACATTTCAAAATGCAACTCCATGCGCTTACTACGATCACTTTCTTGTGTGCTTTAGCATCAGCTGCTGTCTTCCCCGACCCTAAGATCCGCGAGATACAAAGTCTCAAGAATAGGCGCATGCCGTGTCCCCCAGGCATCGACGCCTGCCCTGGTGGACAGGTAAGTAGCAATCAGCCACTCCAGACCATAAGTGGCCACAAGCTAATGAAAATATGACAGGGTTCTTGTCCTAAAGCTGGAGAATTCTGCGCGTAAGTAAACTCTCTCAAGTTGTACTTTTTTTAAGCTTACCTGGTTTTCCAATTATTATAGTCTCGGTCATTGCTGCGCTTAAGGTTTACCTGCTTCTCAGCGTGTCTCTTCTTGTGTGAACAGAGTCTCGCTATCCGATTGAGAATGCAAGGAGTAAGCGAGTTATCATAACGACTTGGCCTAGGAGCACTATATTTGGGGGACCTTCCTGATCAGACTGCCTGAGTGCCCAGATGGTCATTTAAAGCACATTATTTTGTGGCATTCAATCCGATCAGGGAGGCTTCAGGTCTCTGGTACTCAAAGACTCGTCACAGCTTGCTGTCTCACGTTTCCGACTGCCTGGCCAAAGCGATAAGAGTCTCCAGGGAGTGGGTTTGCGTTCGTCACATAGATTCTATATCTTAACAGACTGCAAGAAAATGAGCTTTTACAGAGACTGAGAGATATTTTTATTCATGCGCCCGTCTGATCATGAGTTGTTACATGCTACGAAACTGCCTCACCTGTTGTGAAGCCAAGCCCTCTCAGTTCCTATTGAGGAAAAAGCAAGATTCTGCTTTTATTGACTAACAAAATACCGGCGACTTCAACACCGTAGTGACATTCTCGTTTTCCTTGGGAACATCAGTAACTAGCCTTTCACTTTCGTCAATTTAGCAGCAACTCACAACGCAAATCATGTTCTGCGCCTCAATTGATGACTATGACACGTCCACAGATGCGTAACGGTGGCCCAATGTAAGCAAAAGCTATGGTTTTCCTCTGATTACTACAATCAAGAAAAAGTGTCAACAAGCAAGTCAAATTAAAAATATGAGCAAGCAGAAACCCGTCACAAAAGACCTAAATCCTATAACTCATCATGGGTGCCGGCATTTCCCTCCCACTGCGACACAGGAGCCTGTCCGTTCCAAGCCTGCACCTTGCCTTCCGAAATGTCAACAATGAACTGTTCCACTTCCTGGGCCGTGATCTTGCCGCTATGTGGAAAAGCTTGCCCTGTTTGAGGATTTTGTAGTGCCAGGCTCCCCTTTTCGTCTTCCGCAAGCCCCAGCTGGGAGGACATATCAGGGTACTCTGCCGAATCTACGGTGACAAAACTGAGGTACTCCTGGAAGCGCTTTGCAAGTGATCTGATAGCCACGATGTATTCGTCACGGCGCTTGTCATCGGAAGTGAAAAAGTACACCAGGGATTTGCCGGCCTGCAACAGTAAGAATGTATCCAGCACTGTAGTTGCATAACTCACGTTCAAGTACTCCCTCTCGTTCCTCCGTGTCATTTGTGCCACGAGCGGCCTGACACATTGTTGGATCAGGGTCTGCAATGCAACTACTGAGGAGAGGTCATTGGCGTTGTAATGTACGCCGTTGATATTGTTGTAGCAGCTGACACTAGACGAGGCCCCTGAGGTGTTCACGAGGCCAAAAGAGTATCTGTCGCGGAAATTCCTCGCTAGACTTTGGAATCTTGTTCGCAAATTTTCGTCGTTCTGCGCCAGCCGAGCCACGAGGACGATGTCATCTCCCTTGTGGAAGTGTCCAGTCTCTTCTTTGAGCTCTTTTATTTCTGAACGTTTCATCCTTCTTAGGAAACCGGTAATTCTACTCGAGTCAGCTTTTTGTGATACTGGAGTATGTCTATGAGCATTTACTCATTCGCTTTCCTGGGTCCTCGATATCTCTGCATTGAGCCATCTTCACGATAGAAGCGGATCACAGGGAACGATGCTATGTCGTTCTCGTCACATAGCTCACGGTCTCGGAGGCAGTTAATCGCTACTGCGTTGAGGTTTTGTTCTTGGACCTCTGCCCACTCCAACTCCAACTTTTTGCTCTCGATGCTATCGGTGTTAGTATGCGCAATAATTCACTGGGAAAACCAAGGTATACTTTTCTGGCTAGATGGTTATTGTCAGTGGACGGTTAGTAAGTTCTAAAGGAATTATTTAATGCTTACACCAATAACTGCCATAAATTATTAGCCCAGTTTGGTTCCCAGTCTTGGGCATCATAGATACTCACAGGCGACCAATGTGTCCTCTTTCTGCATCAGCGCATTTCTGAAATCGGTCTCTGTTGTGAACTTCCAACAATAGCCGTAATGAGCGACGGAAAGGGCTAGAATAAGTTGAGTAATAAACATTGTGCAAGATTTTGAAGTTGGGGCCGTTCGATAGCAGCAATGGGAGATGGAGTAGATATTAAACAGAGCACTGGGGAGCTTCAGTTCTAAGCTGGCTGGTGGTTGGGTCAGGGTCAGGGGTATGACCCCGGAGAAATGGGGGCCAAGGCTCCAGAATGGCGTTGTTTGTGCCCCCCGGGACCACGCAGATCAGACATGGAAGCCCCTGAACGACGCGCTAAACTTCTCAACTTTTAGCCAAAGACGCCTGCGAACCTCCACCCCAAACACATTGGGTTTCATCAGCTTTGCTGCTGGATCCGTTATCCGGCTGAGGTTCTGGACTGGTTTGAATGATAAAGGAGAGCTCTCGTGAAGCTTTTCCTACAAACCATCCACCTTTACATTCACATGTGCTACAATTAAGAAAGATGGTTATACTCAGAAAAGGAGTGCTCGCCCTCGTGGCAGCATTGGCTCTCCCAGTATCGTGCCAAGATCAGAAGACGTTGTCCGATTATACCTGCACTCACCCACCATACAAAATCCACATTGTGTCGAAATCACCACTGGTCATCTACATCCCCGACTTTATCACAGCTGCTGAAAGAGAACACCTCTTGAAGCTAGGGTGAGTCATCCTATCACTATACACTAGGTATTCTTTTGCTAAACTAACTTTTATCAGGAGCGACACGTTCACTCACTCCGGCGTCATCAATTCAGAAGGCGGGAAGACCACACACCAAGTGCGCACCTCTCAAAGCACCAGTCTCTGGCGGGACGATGTCGTCCGTTGCATCGAGGAACGCGCCATCGCTTTCCAGGGCTACAACGTTCCCAAGAATCACTTGGAGCCCCTACAGCTCGTGAAGTACGGGGAGGGCCAGCGCTATCACTTCCACACCGACTGGTTCACGGATCCGAGGCACACCACAGCCTCCCTGGGCGGGAACCGGGTATCGTCCTTCTTTGGCTATGTGTCGGTCGTCAATGTGACGGGAGGAGGCACCAACTTCCCGATGCTGGATGCGCCGCAAGACGAGCGATGGTGCGAATTCATCGACTGTGACGAGCCGTGGGAAAACGGTCTGACGTTCCGGCCCATTGAGGGAAACTTCGTTTACTGGGAGAATCTACTGTGGGATGGAACAGGCGATCAACGGAATCTGCATGCGGGACTGCCGGTGACAAGCGGACAGAAGGTGGGGATGAACATTTGGACGAGGCAAGCACCGCTCAGCAGAGCGATTCGGGGGGATGACTGAGTACAATGGAAGAGGACTATATGTATATCTACTGAAAGTTGCTCAACAGTAATTCCGGCAGAAATAATCGCATGGACAAGGCATTGGCCGCTGCTTAGGATAGTGGCTTAGGGGTTGACCCCGAGGTATTGTTCAGGAATCTTTTGGGCGAGAAGCGATTCAAGGTGGAACCTTCCTGGTACATGATTACTGCCAGGCAAGACAATAAGCCTTTTCGGCTATATTTTTTTGCCGTCTGAAAGTGCTGAATAGGGTTTGTGCTAAAAGTATTTATGAGAGATGACGGCCTTTGTAGATTGCCCTACACTGATCACTTATATCTAAGTTCATACACACTGATCATAACCGTTCAAAAGAGGTTGCTTATTTTTAGTAACGTTTAGTCAGTTGACGTTCATCATGTATCTGAGAGAGTGACCTGGTTCTTTCATAGCAGCATAGACGACTACGTGTTAGTCCCTCTCTAACATCTGATCTTGATAAAAGCCAAGGGAAAGGCCATGAAAGCCTAACTAACTCATACGATTACAACCAGAGTATAGAACTTTCCCATATCATTGTGCAAAGATGGCCTGGGACTACGGAGCCGTATCAGTGACTGGGCGAGGATGTTCTCATCCTGCTTCGGCTACATTACGTCAACTCGGGGTTTAGCTTTTGAACAGCAGGGACGTTTTAAGTGTTGAAGTAGTTTTAAGAGTAGACTTGAATAAGTCGGTTTCTGCTAGACTATAGTTCCCTGACACGCACGATTCAGCAAAGTAAACCAAGCTTAAGAGCCTGTTCAAATCGGAGGCCAGGTTCAAGTGTTCCGCGATACACTCATCAACCTTTAGACTTTAAAGTGTTGACGGCATGGGCAAGGCTTCTCGATCCCTTAGCATGAAACCTGCAAGCCCGGCGACTTAAATTCAAACAGTCCTTCACTATACCTCATATACAAGTGTTGTGATGTTATCGTAGGATGCAAGGCTAGTATGTTTGACCGTTAAACACCCAGACAAAACTCGTGGTTGATAACCTTGACTTCCCGGCTTTACTCACCTTGGAAATCCATGTTTCTCCCGCGGGCTCTCTATGTACCAGTCGTACCTAGCTACCTAATTAAATGGAAAGGTGTAACGACTTTCCAAGACCAAATATTTCTCGAGAGTCTATCGTCTGACCTTGAGTGCCTACTCCCCATCTACAGCTCGAGCGCCCTCCAGCCTGTCTCAACATACCATGTTCTAGTCGCATTTGCAATTTGTACAACTTAACGTCTGTCATCCTTGTTACCTTGGGTAGTCCGATAATGTCATTCACTAGACGATATGGACTGCCATGGACTTGGCAACCGCGCTCTTCGTCAAGATGACGAATAATCTGAAGATACCACAGAAACACGCCAGCAAGTCACTAGCTTGATGAGGTTCGGCTTCAAACGAAGTCATGTTATTGGTTGACAATAAACTGAGGGCACTACAATCTAACGACGGGGACAGACAGAGACTGGTCTGAAATTCCAGGTTCACCATGCCTGACTAGACTGCGTCTGCGCAGGATATCTTAGTTTTCGTCATGCCGGTGCATCAAACAAGCTTTTCTTTCAGATGGCATGCCACCCTGAGAAGATCACTCGAAACGAGCAAGCTCCAAGTCACTCGACCAGAGTGTGCATATATGCACATGCAACTCAGTCCGATGATAAATGCGGGCCAGGTTGCAGACTGTAACGGCGCAAAAAATTGGATCGCGGTGGCAGATGGGATGAACTGAACGTCACAGGCCGAACGGGGTCATCTCCCGGTGACCATCAGGCTGTTGAGCAGCTGAGCGTCACGGCAGAAACACGGCATTCCGGCCCTGTCGGCGCTCTCTCTCCGAGAAGGCTTTTAACCCTTTCCGGACGACATTGTGCAACAAGTGTGAGAGGCTCAGGCACATTTGGTCATCAAGGGGCATCGCCGATGGGCGTGCTGAATCCCGCACTGCAAGCGACGTGGTTGCGCATTTCTCAAAAGCCACCGTGGCGAATTGAGCCTAGGCTGTCTTTTTTTTTTATTTTTTTATTTCTTTTGGCACACATCGAATTCCGCAGCTGTAGCCGACTAATAGAGCGGCTCGGGACATGATAAGCAGCCGAGACCGAGGATTGCTACGTTATAAATGGGCTTTGGAAGTCAAATAGAGTGAGGAATTTCCCGACAAGAGGTTCGATGTTTAACCAACTGGATCGGTGTGGAGAAGGGAGCTCATAGTGAAGCCCGGCTACGGCAGCGGTGCGGCGAGAAACCAGGGTTCTAGGTATCCGTGTTAAGGCGCCGCCGAACCCGACGCTGAAGGAGGACAGGGGGAGACGGCGGGTACTTCTCTATGAAAAGAGGAGAAGGGGAGTCGGTCTTGGCTCGAGATAGGAGTTGGTGGGGATGAGTCTCTCCAATAGTTTGAATTAGAAAGACATGCACTTGAGCAATAGAGGGAACCGGAACGATGGTAGGCTATCCTCACTGCTGTGTAGTACATAGTGGTGAATGCGTTGCAGAAATGCTAATATAGGTTGTCTCATCCGCGCTATGTTGCATGACAAACTGTGGGCGTGATGGATCAACATCAGCTCACAGTAGCCTGTCCAATGGTAAACATAAGAATGGGAGGATAAGCGAATAGGTGATTTTAAAACGTTAGCATGAGTAGGATTAGAGATAGAAAGCCAGTCTTGTCTTGATCATCAAGACTCTCATAATTTCGCAGCATGTAATGTAGAATAAGGATTGGCGTATTTGAGAGGGTTATTGAGGCATATAGGCACCATAGTGTAGGTAGTTCAGCAGGTGCAAACTCTCAGTGTGGCGTCATGGTGGAGTTGCAAGGGAATGGCGTACTAGTACCGTACCTATAAACAGTGGGAGCTCAAGGGGGGAGCGAGAGAATCCACTGGAGCTGCGCCCAGGGTAGGAAAAGCATGCCGAGAACGCCAGTGTGTTCAGTGTCTTAGTCAGCAGCAGCAGGAAGAGTAGCCAGTTCTGTGGCATGCAGGCAGCAAAAGCTGGAACAAGAACAACCAAAAGCGAAACGGGAGCGAAAGGCTAAAAAAGCTTGACTCGAGTCGAGTTTCTGGACTGTTTCCAGGGCCGTATATGGACGTCGGAATTTGGATAATGACGAATCTTAGTTTTCTGGAATAGTTGTCGGGAGAAGGAAAAGAACGCCATGGGCGTTTGCAGCCAGTAAAACGGTGGCCGGTCCTTTGGGGAGGGACTCTAATGTATATGGCGTCGGCTGGTTCCTGTCCCTTTGGAGACCTGCAGCTGCGACGCTCAGGTGCGGCGTAAACTGCCCAGCTTTTGGGCGTTTGCGAGGCGTCCGACTCCATCGGCCTCTAGGCCATATGTTGCATGGCGGGCTATGATGTGGATTGGAGGCTGCGATTGAAACGGAGTGGGTGATGGACGCGATGTAGAAATCGGCAAAGTACACAAAGGCGGTCAAACGGCGGGCTTACATAGTACAATACGATGGGATGGGTACGAGAGTCCGAAAGAGTCGGATGTGTAGACTGTTGAGTTCTCCGTTACCCATCAACGTTGGTCTCGTATTTTCGAAGCAGCTGGGCGGCCCTCTATATTCAGTAGAATTCAGTACACCCTCTTGACAGGCGAGGTGTTTTTTTTTTTTTTTTTTCGTATTGGCAGATTAAGCAGTGGCGAGCTGGCCGGTCGCCTTTGCCTGGATTTGGTATTCCGTTGATGGGCAAGTGCTGTTGCAGATGCCTCCTTCCTTCCTTCCCATTTCCCTCATGCCCATTTCCTTCCCTTTTTCTTTTTTTTTTTTTTTTTTTTTTTCCCCTCCCCCTGCTTCCACTTAGCACACGCTCCTTCTGCATCCATCCTTCTCTCCTGCCGTCCGTCCCTGGCCGTAAGCAACCGAGCCCGCCTTACCGTAACGAGCCAACCAGAAAGGGCTTATCGAGCACAAGCACCTCTTCCCCTGTGACCGCGGCGCAGACCCTGATCAATACGTACCTTACATTTAGAAGGAAGGACCATTGCGTTAGTATCCAATCATCCGTGGTATGCAAGAAGTGAGCGCCACCCCTGCTTGTTGCAACTTTAGGGTCATCCAAGCTCCCTGTTTGTCCATCATTATCAATGGAAGGTTCTTTCGCCCCTAACGCCAAGCTAAAAGGTACCCATAAATGTTAACATCAGAGTTTCCCAAGCTCCTTACCTCGAACAGCGTCGGGTGGGGGCAACTGGCCTTCGGCTTTTTTTTTTTTTTTTTTACTTTTCACTTTTTTTTTTCTTCTCTTCCCGCCGTCTTTTTCTTTTTCGGGTGAATCCTTCTAATGCGTTCTGGACTCGGTAGCCAGTGCTAGTTTGTTGTTTGCATGTGGCATTCCGAGGATAAGAGGACTTGAGAGACAATTGATGCAATGCACGTAGAAGCCCGTGGCCAGTCATCCAGTCCACACTCAGTATTTCGTGCTACAGGTTGCAGCTGAATACGATGATCGCCGCCTCCGCCCACTTTTTGTCTCTGCCTCCGTCTCGACCATTTCTCAATCATCCTGGATTGGATGCAGCGTACTCCGTAGTACACACCAAAAAAGGCCTGAATGCCTACTAGTACCTGCCAGCCAACCGGTCGACAGTCCGTATGAAAGGGAATCCCTGACAGAATACTCATTCAAGGCGCGCGTGGTGACCTTGTCCCCATCCACAGCCCAAAGTTAAACGCTAAAGTCTCCGCCCTCTGACATTGTCCCTCCACACACACACACACAGACGGGCACACAGGCTCATATCCTAGTATACAACACACAATGAAGCCGCCGCCCCCTTCTATTGCAGCTCTCTCCTTTACCTACTGCCGACTTGCTGACACCTGGTGGGCCGCATCATAGTACAACAGCAAGGTACGGATACCTTGGCTTCCACATACATAGTAATTGCAGTTGCTGCTTTCCCAAATCGTAGCTTCCCATGCGGCCCCGTCCCGCTTACCTGGTCCCTTTTTTTGATTAGCGCACCTTGGCTCTCTCTCTTACCTTTCCAATCCTCATCTTCAAGGTGCCTGCCGCTGCCTACCCTGCTTTCCTGAGCAGCATCGCCTCATCTCCATCCTCTGCATCTTATCTCCCTTGGCTTTCCCTGTTCTCGCCCCCAAGTAACCTCCGGCTCTTGTCAGCTTCTCTCTCACTGTCTCCTTACATCTCCCACTCACGCCACGAATCCCTCTGCACCCTCACATCCGTGGCTTGCATCTGGTCTGGGGTAGCCTGCTCATTCTTTCTCCGTTACCCATCTCGTCGCTCTCTTTTGGCCTTGCTGTTCTTTTTATTTTTATTTTTATTTACCTTCAAAGTTTCTCCAACCTTCTCCTTCACCTACTATCACTACATTCCCTTCGAACGGCGACCTCGCGCGCTACCATACCTACAACCCTACGCATCCTTAATCTGACGGTAAACAACACGCGTCGCCTGTCCGATCGCTGCTTCGCTGTCTGCGTACGGAATCTCCATCTCCGACACGTCCGGTGCTGTCCTCCGTACAGCTTCCCGCATCGTACGCAAGGCAGATCATGGGCTTGACCCAAAGACGGCATGACGTTTGTGTAAACCCGATAGTCGCCTTCAGCATGTTGTCTCGTCGCGCTCTCACCATTCTTGCCCTCGTCACTGTCACTGCCGTTGTCTTCCTCTTTTCATCGAGGAGACTCGGTGCTGACTGGGCCGTCGAGGGCCCCAACTACCATCCTTTCCCACACGGCCAAGCTTCCCCGTCTGCTGGCTCGTCTCATTCAACTCCTTCCCCTCCTCCCGGCCGCGTTGCGCCTCCCGTAAATAAGCCCGCCTTGGAGCATGACAACGCCGCTCAACACAATGTTTCGAACCAAGATATTCCTTACCGCCCTCACGATCCCGTTTGCGACACCTTCCCCGACACGAGCAACATTCTCGTGGTCATGAAAACGGGCGCCACCGAGTCCTTTGACAAAGTCCCTACCCAGCTTATGACCATGCTCAAGTGTCTGCCCGAGTTTTTCATCTTCTCCGACCTCGACCAGACCATCGCAAACTACCACATCCGCGACAGTCTCGATTCCGTTCTCCCCGAGGCCATGGATGGCAACAAGGACTTCGACCTCTACCGTCGCCAGAAGGCGTGCCAAGCCGACCAGCAGAGCTGTAACAAGCTGGCTGTTTCCAAGGATGAGGGCTGGAATCTCGACAAGTACAAGAATGTACACATCGCTGAGAAGACTTATCACATGCGCCCCAACTACGACTGGTACATTTACATTGACGCCGACACCTACGTCCTCTGGCCTACCCTCGTTCAGTGGCTCAAGAAGCTCAACCCCAAGAACAAGCACTACCTCGGCAGTGTCACCATGATTCGCAACTTCATCTTTGGTCACGGTGGCTCCGGCTACATCGTCTCTCAGGCCGCCATGCACGACATGATTGCCGGTCGCGAAAAGGTCGGAAACCAATGGGACGTCCGCGCCAGCAAAGAATGCTGCGGTGACTACATTTTTGCTCTGGCCATGAAGGACAACGCTGACGTGAACGTTCACAACGTGGTACGTATTTTGCCCGGACCCCGCTAGCTTTTGCGCGTTTCACTAACACAAGCTCTAGTGGCCCACGATTAACGGCGAGAAGCCCTTCACGCTTCCCTACGGCCCGTCGCATTGGTGCCACCCCATCGTCACAATGCACCACATGAACGCCGAAGAAATATCGTCCTTCTGGGAATTCGAACACGCCCGCTACGCCGACCCAACCCTCCCGAGCCCGCCACCCGTTATGCGCATCAAGGATATTTACGAGAAGTTTTTCGCTCCGAAAATGCAGGCCGAGCGCGCCGACTGGAATAACCTCGCCGATGACCGCTACTACATCGACCTGGATTCAGAGTCACAATACGACGACGGACAGATTGACCGCGCCAAGAAGGAGGACCTGACGCCCATCGAGAAGGAGGCGTACAAGTCATTCGCTAACTGCCGTAAGGCCTGCGAGGCAGACCAGTCATGCTTCTCCTTCCAGTACAAGGAGAAGCTCTGCGCTTTTAGCTGGTCTTTCAAGCTTGGCCATCCCGTCAAGAAGGAATCCCAGGAGGCCAAGCGCGTCTTGTCTGGCTGGGACGTTGAGAAGATCAATGCCTGGATCAAGAAGCAGGGCGAGTGTGGTCCCGTCAAATGGCCCGACGTCTGAGCATCCAGCGACTTTTCACGATCCCGGCGATCATCCCTCAAATTCCGGTCCGACGCGATCTACGACGATACGAAGAAAAATACCGCAGAGCTGAGAAGTTGCTGCGAGAGTACGACTGCCATCCAAGGCCTGAGACGTGACGTATGTTTCACGTGGGACCCCCATCCCATGTCTTGGATGACCACAGTCTTGAATATCCGACTGTCTTGGATTTTTGGCTAGCCAAAAGACTCGACCCCCCTTGCATTTCCGCGACCTCGGTGTGTGGTATCGACTTTGGAAGATTTGGACTGCTTCAAAAAAAAAGAATGGGCAAAACCAGGTGATTATCTCGCCTGGATCAGCATGTATAGAATCCACAGCCCAAGCGTGTGTATGTGTGTTTATTTTTCTTCAAGTGTGTGTACAAAAAAACAACCATTACGATAAGGGGGCCGAGGCAAGGCATTCAGGATACAGCTCTGGCGTTCACAGAGGAAAGATCTTTTTTTTCTTTTATAACTTTACCTTGCTTCGATGCGATGTCTTGGCTAGCGAGCAGGCTACGATGTAGTTCCTACTTTCATATATGCTGACGCCAGACGGCGGACTATAGCCATCATAGAAGACGAGGGCTCCCTCCTGGGTTGCCCGCCAATACGTACATATAAATTTTGATTCGCATAATTTTTTTTTTGGCTCCTACCTGTTTTTCAGCCTTGTGCTACTTCAAGTCATTCATTACAGTCCCTTTGCCGTAGCCTGATGTGTACCGTCGATGGTTGTAAGGCATAAGGGAGGTTTCAGACCGGGGACTTTCTTGACTCAGTGTTCCAAGACACGTAAGACACGGCACACGAGCAAAGATGATGGACCGAGTCGAGTCCCCCTGCGACTATTGACTTTCTTGGCTAGGGGATCCGTGGCGGCGGTTCATCCGGCATTCTTTCTGGTGCACTTGTTGCTATTTGTGGCGGGTGTTCACGAGTAGGTTTATTTATGCTGTCGATCGCTTTGTGGGGGGGTTCGTTTGGCGTTGATTCAGTCGGGCGAGGGGGTTATTTGATGGATAGTTCTGGATGGACTCGGTAGTGATCACGACATTTACTAATCTGCCCGACCTTTACATGTTTGTTGGCACCTGTTCGGTCTGCAACGAATGATGCACTCAACGCTCTTTCATCTTCACTTCGATATTCTTCAGCCTTGTTGGTTTACCCCTTCATCTTCCATGACGAAAATATTCAAGGTTCAGTCAAGACCGTTCTCCGGCCCAAGTACACAAACTGAACTACTACCATGCCCATTGGAATGGAAGAGAAAGTAGCTAACATAGTGTAATCCCACACGTAAACCGCCGATATAACATAAGTCAAATCCCACGCCAAAAGGCCTCCCATGAGCACAAATGAGATGACGGCGAGCTGAAGTTTCGAGGCTCGACGGTCATCCATGTAGAGGCCAAACACAACCGCGCTGAAGCTGTTGATGGGCTGGATAATGAAAACGTTGAGGCTAAGCAGAGTGAACACCCTGCTCGGTTGTCCCGAAGCATCCGAAAGAGTGATGAATACCAGGGTAATCAAAATGACAATCTGGCTACAAACGAGGCAGATGACGAGGCTTATCCATCGAGATTTATGACAATAGGTGGCCAATGAATCTCGTACGTTGGTATGCACTCCTTCAAGGAATGTGTCCTGGTTCGTGGGCGGGAGAAGTTCCTCGACGTATGAAGCCTGTGGGCGTGACCCATTTCGAAATGCCACCTCGTTGTGAGTATGTGCTGGCAGCTGGCAATCTGTTAGAGTGATTGAGTCGAATTCATCCGGCTCGATACTTCGTGGCTGATTGAACATCAACCCTCGCTCGTGCTGTCTTGCCCCGGAATCTCGAATCATTGCTGCCATATGTTGGAATGCATCAGCACTGTCATTGCAACTGGCTATCATGCCTGCCTCTCGTGATTAGCACTGGCCGTTCCTTGTTAGTGGAGGTCCACGGTACCGCGTAACCAATGCCCCAGAACATCAACGTCGCCTTCATGGTCCATGATCATTTCTGTTCTTGAGAATTAGCCAGGGACTTCTCGGGATCAGGAGTCAGCGTGATACCTTTTCGGTATTCAGCCAAAAGTGCCGCAAGTCTCAAATCGCTCACCACGCCTGGCTTCTGCGTGTCCCGGCTTCTAATGTTGATTGAGACAACGACAGCAACAACTGGCCCCAGAAGCAGAAACACGGGCAGAATTTGGCCAAAGCCCCACTCGTTTTGCTGCTGCATCTCATCAATGTCGACATAACCTCTGGCTTGAAGGAGACGAAGTGTAACCCAGCTCGACGATACAACGAGCCAGCAAATCTACTTGTATTTCGGTCAACGAAAGGATCTTCCGCCGCAGATCGGAAGGCAACAACCAGCAGGGCCATGGGGCAGACCTACATCTGACAGTTCAGAGACAAGGATGTCGAGATAGAGCTTCGTGGTTAGATACAAGCCAATCATCCAATCTAAAGGTCGAACAATGGATATAAGCTTTCTTTTCCACTTCGCAGTTCCGAGCTGCTGGCAAGATTTGACTGTGGCTCCAATACAAGACGCCGCCCAACGTCCGATTTTTGCGCGAGGGGTTTCCTCGGCGGCATTTGACAAGACTCGGAACATTTTAACTGTGCGTGTGACGAAGCTGATGGACAGGAGTAGGAGGGATATGATGTGAGATTCATACTGAGGCTAGCCTTTATACATGTCGAAATCAAAGACGGGAGTTTCATTGAGATCCCACTCCCACTGACGAGACCACGTGCGTTTTGCGGTTTCTTCAGAGAAGAAGCAGCGGGCGTTTGAGTGGAAATCGGCTGGTCCTCCGATCCAAGCTGTGGGCAGGATTGCGACAACAAGCCCTGCGAACAAGAGCGTCATGAAGCCCATTCTCCAGTTCCGTTCAGACTGGTTGCGATATAAGTAACCTCGCAGGGAAGAGACGCAGGCTGCATGTGTTAGGTTGGAGAACCAGGCCAAGTAGCTGATGAGCTCCCAGTGATACATGGACACATAACACGTCAATCCGATGTAGCCGCTTAGCAGGATCCCGAGCCCTGTGAGAAGCTGGACGTCACAAAACCTGAGCAATATCTGGCCACCACAGAGCATAATGTCAGAACAAATGTGCGGAGCCAAGATGGCAAGCAAAACAAATGTGCAGCACGTGCCTTGGTTGTTACTTGGTCCCAGTCTATGCGATCCCCAAACCACCTGCGAAGCCCCAACAACATACCAACAGCTTTCATGTCGACGGGATTCGGGTGCCAAATGTGCTTACGATGACCCGTTCTATCGCGTTTCGGATCATGTAGGGGGTCTTCACCGGGGTTGAAAGCCAGAATATAACGGGTGATTACCAGAATCACAACGAGCCAGGCAGTACCCAGAAACCCGATCAATACCTTGCCAGAAAGAGGTCAGTCGCAATCTTATGCTCGCTTCGGTTTAGGTGATGACCTACGCCGACCCCGCCAACATCTGGGTTGGGTTCTAGCTCTTCTCGAAAAAAATCACAGCTGCTGTTGCAAATCATGTCTTGAAACCTGATTCTGCGCAGTAAGCCAGTACCAGCAGAACGTTATGGCGACAATTGTATTGAAAAGCGCTCGCCAGCAATTGCGGCATAGATCTGTCACCGGAAACTGGACTGCGAAGGGTAGAGAAAGAGAGTGTGGTGCAATTCAAGTTATGCGCATGTCGCCATTCGACTACAATGTCCGGCGTTATATGCCAAATCAGGCTACGCTCTCGTTGGTTTATATACCTGTATATGTGAGCCAGTAGTATATGGGAAATTTCACACTCGGATTCATGTGTGGCAGATTATCTTTCTATTTGGTCTGGTGAGGCTGCGCACCTACATGCATGATGCAAGTAAAAATAGCAACTTCATCCTTCGAAAGTTTGGAAGCGCCAGCCTGATTATCAGTGTCGTTGAATTTAAGCGCTGCAACGTATGTTCTTTGAGGAACGTGTTCGTCTTGATTTGCATTAAACGAACTCACATCCTTGACGTTGAACACAATTTAGAGAACAGCGACATGCTCTCAAATTCATGCAGACCCGATTAGCCACTTGATATCTAAGTTTGTCAACACGTGTGATATCCGATAGCTCTGATTCATAACTCATGAGGACGACTGACCCCTTAATAACGATAGGGACTTAAGTCATTTAGCGTCTCATAGCCTTGCGACAATGTCATTGGACACGATGGCGACCAATCCTAAGGCCCCAAGGCAATGCAATGCACCCTTGGTTTTATCCTCTAACCTCTAACTCCCGAGGCTCTAAATCTTCAGCCAATTACTTCTCTGCACACCACACCTTCAAAGAACCCGGGCTGGCTCCAGTCTGGTCGCTACCGAGAATCTCACCACAGCCCAGGATTCTATGCCATCCTTGGATTTAAATGATAGTAACTAAGTCTCATGTCCGTCAACTTTCATTCACAAACTTTGGCATTACTTGACTTGCGCCTTCCTGCGAAATCAAGGGGCTGATTTGTTTGTGGTCTTGTAGTTGTTCCTTTCATACATCCAACTCAACAGATCCTTAACTCAGAGCTAGTCTTTCTGTCTGATGCCTCATATTTCGAGTTGGAATTTAGTGATTTTCGAACAAACATAGCGATGCAATTCGCGGCAAACGTATGGAACAGAGAAAAAGAAGTTGATCATAACATCATGAATTATTCTATTTTCAACCCACTTCCCACCACTTTATTTGCTCATCAGCTCGGCGCCCCCCCTTATGACGCCCACCACCGCACCCGTCTGCACAGCCTCGCTACCTCCGCCCGACACACGGTGCTCAATATCCGCGAGCCCATCTAGCCACTTGATCATTACTTCCGGCTTGACCTCCAACGTAGCCAGCTGCTCGGACAGCGCCGTGATGATGTCCGCCAGCGCCAGACCTCGCGATACCTTGAGCGAGTTAATGGTCGTCAGGCAAGAGGTCACGTCAGTCGTGCTTAGGAGGGTATCAAGGATCTCCTGGATGGCTTCAGGTTGCGGTGCGGCAATGCAGTTGTATATCGTCTCTGTGGTAATGGTTTCCCTCACGATGTCGCTCTCCGCGACCTTGGGGGCGTCTTTGGGTTGGAGGGGTGTACCTGTTACCGGTTAGCTCTGCCGTTTGATAACCAAAGGACAGAAGTTGGGGAAAACTCACTTGATGCATGGCACGCCTGAAGCACGTTCAGCGCCCTTCTCATGTCACCCTTGCTCAGCTTCACCAGCGCGTCCGTTGCGTCGGGCAAAATCTTGACGTGCTCCTCCTCAATAACCTTGTCCACCAATACTCTGATATCGCGCTCCTTTAATGGGCTGAACCTGAACCTCGTGCATCTCGACAGCAGCGCGGGGGAGAGCTTGTGCGAGTAGTTTGCAATGATGCAAAAGCGGGTGTTGACGGTGTACTTTTCCATGATGCGGCGCAGCGCCATTTGCGCCGTGTTGGTCATGGCGTCGGCCTCGTCGAGGATGATGAGCTTGTAGGACGCCATGCCGCCGCCGCCCGACTTGGCTGAGGGGCCCAGCGTGAAGATTTGTTTCGTCGAGGCGAACGTCTTGATCTGCTCACGCACGACGTCGATACCCCGGTCGTCGGAAGCGTTGAGTTCCAGAACCATCTGTCGCATATTCTCGGCACCGTAGATGCGTCGTGCAAGTGCAAGGATCGTCGAGGTCTTGCCCGTTCCCGGAGGGCCGTACAGCAGAAGATGGGGTAGGCGGTTCGAGTCAACGAATTTGTTGATTGTAGCGAGGATGTCCTGATGACCCGAAACATCGGCCAGACTTACAGGGCGATACTTTTCAACCCTAGGCGTCCTTCTGTCAGCAAAGTGGGAGAGGAGGCCAAAGGCAATAGAAAATACCATGGCAGGCTGTCTTCGGCCTCGACGGGGAGGTTGGCGGCGCTTCGCTTGCCCTGCTTGGCGTCGGAAGAGAAGGTGATGTCCTTTGACGCCGGGGCGTCAACGTCCATTTCATCCTCATAGTCAGACATGGTTGCGTTTCGCTTGTTGTGAGTGAATTGGCGTTTTGGCAAGGTTGAAGCACCAAAATTACCCGTGTGTGGCCGTGGATTTAGGACGTGATGCAATTGGGACTCGGGAGACGCGTTGCGACGCGTGAGAGATTCTGCGCGCACGTGACCACTTTAAAATATCCAATGAGAAGACTGCGCTGAACTAGCCACATTAACACTGTCTTTTATAAGGACATCTCACCTAGACTGTACAGTGCGCTGACACATGACGCCAAACCGACAATCTACGTCTAAGTGCATAGAAGCTTCAGCGCCTGTCACGACTTATTATGCTTTAATTACCATGGGCTCTCAGAAACTTGCGTTAATAGTAAATTGAGTTGGTATCAATAAGAGTAACCGTATCACCTTTTTTTCAACTTGAAACACATCAGTAACGCCCGTGGAGAGTGATGGACGGTGTATTCTGGCGAGATGGAAGCGACATCATGGACAACTTTCTTGCTTTGGTTTCTCTTCTTCGAAAACCCTCCGGTTCAGTTTCACTTTCCAAGACAGCACCCCGAATTCTCGTGTTTAGTAGTAATGGTTCATTCTTTTGCAGTGCAGTAAGCCGATAGCGATATCAGAAGCGACTTGTTGTGTAATTTTTCAGCACATCAAGCGAGAAACTTGGTGTACAAGTTATCAGCTTGGATACGTACATTTTGATTTCTTGCCCGTGGACCTTTGGAATATTCGATACGTATAAGTTCGAGTGGTCCCCAAGGTGCCAAGTTACAAACATATCTGAATGTGAAACTCAGTAAATTGCTTGAAGCATCTATATCGGAGCTTTAACTGTGTATAATGCCTAAATTGTTGATATACTGGATTCTATGACCAATTTACAATTTTTTCATCCACTTATTACTCCGAAGTAAAGACTCTAGCTACTGGCCAGAAAAAGGAAGATAGAAAAAGAAATAAACAAAACCCCCTCGCCCCACAAGGATATCAAGCTTGAGATAAGCAATCATATCTTATGATGGCTCAACTCGCATATCTTTTGCAACAGATTAAAAGCTTCTAAACTCCATGCATACGCAATTGATTTCACTGAAAGTGTATGACCGATGAAGTGAATATCTACATGGACAGCCATTGTCTTTTGCTTTACCGCCACGTGCGGAACAAATCGCTTTCCTATTTCTTTAGTGGGCAAATCCCCTGTTGCAATTTCCAATTCTTCTTGCCCTGTCTCCATAAAGCTGTAATTCCATCTACTAGTATGTTATGATGTGGCAAAAGTCGGATCAAGATGGCCTCAAACCTCCGCCCTCCGCGAACACTTAGGCCGACCTGAGCAACCCCTTAAGCCAAGCTGGACATGCGATTGGGTTTTGTGGTTCCGCTTTGGCTAGCCCCCAACTTATTTCAAATCATATAGCGGTGATGATCAGGTGTTTAAGGCCTTGGCTTAGTTCAAAAGTTCTAGCCCCAGAAGTGACCCGAGGCTAGAAGCAGTGGATACAATATTTTTGATATAGTGTGCCACTCAGAGTGGAACATATTATACTAAAAAAATCTCGTCTCCAAATTATTTGGACTTTCTCCCTTTCTGGGGCTCAATCATGCATGCTAAACCAGCGGGATTCCGCACGCCTATCCGCTTCAGCCTCTTTAGCGAGAGTCAGTTCCGGATCCACCTCCACATTGACTTAGTAAGTACCAACAATTTCAACTTCAGCCGATCAGGCAACTGAATTTATGCTTGTCTATTAGTTGATTGTCTGATTGTTCGATATAGTGGCATGTTAATAAGAAAAAGGATAAATAGTCATGAGCTTGACGGTCTGTAGGCTTTTCCTCATCACCCACTACCGAATCCAGCTGCATCGTTCTCTCTACTCGTTCGATCCCACTTAATCAACAAAATGCAACTGTCTCAGATCATTGGTTTCGCTGCCCTTGTAGGAGCTGGCATCGCCGATGCGGCCGCTGTTGTCTCGTACGCGGACGGCTACGAGCCAACTGCCGGTGAGCACGCTCAAAACCTCGCGAGAGCCGCTGAGCCGGTTGGTCTGGAGGCTCGCGCTGGCAGCGCCACTGGTTGTGTCCAGGCTCACTGCTACTTCGTCGCAAGCAACATTGACAATGATGTCATTATTTACGAGATTTACCAGAACGGCGAATATCTTTTCCAGTAGGCACTCCAAGTTTATCATGCATTGGTGAAGCTCTTATTCACCCGCGTTGGCTTTAATGATTTTTGATACAAGTTACTGACTGGAAACTATATAATAGGCTGAATGGTGGCTCCAGATCCATGGGCGAACTTCAATGGAACGGCCTCACCGATTACAAGGGCAGAAAATGGGGCTTCAAGTCCAACGGCCAATGCACGAGCATGTCCTACATCAACAACTTCCAGTCCAAGTATGACTACTACCCGCTCACCAGAACCGACCTCCAGTCCTCGCCCCGGGATTGCGACCCTTGCACAGAGAGCAAGAGTGGCAAGCAAAAGTGTAGCAAGTGTGCCCAGAAGGAGGCCATCTTCTCGGATGGCCCCAGCGGACAGTGCTATGGCTACAACGGACTGTCGAGGTGCGATTTCAGGTCCTACTGTGGCCGCGTCAACGGAAACGTCCGCCTTTGCGGCACCAACAACCAATGCCGCTCTGGTTAAGGACCTACACTTGCACTCTGCAATGTGGGGATAGATGGCCAGATTTCAAATTGCTTCACCGATGACCACTGGTTATATGTAAGCTCAAACCCAAGGGTCGTTGATAGACTCTGAGTTAGCGTGGAGGCTAAGTTCGGTAACTTCGGTTAGTTCAAATCGAGGCCACAGCAGTAGCATTTCGACGGGGTGGCATTCTAGCATGTCCGATGTATCTTAGTTTTTTTCTTGTCAGTAAGCGCACATGCAATGTGCGTTTATCGGCATTTATATTTTTCATGTAAATATGGGTTGGACATTAAAATTTACTGGTTTTGCGACCTTAGATGCAGATCTTGCTCACCACTATATTGCATCGTGTTATGCCAATTGTGAAAATTGTACTGGACAAAGTGATAGCTAAACAGAGTAAACTGGAAATAGAGACGAACTATTGGTTATGGGAATTGATGTTTTCAATTCAAAATAAATGATTCGTCTTTTTAAGCCTTTTTTTATGGGAGCTGCATGAGAGTCATCTTAGTGCACCTAAATTAAGTATAACAGCTTGATGCAAATGTAATTGAGAAAGGGAAACCCAACATCAAATCTGATGGACTTTGAAAGTCAAGCTAGACAATCGCATTATATAATCAAGTCTGACAAATTCAGCAGGTCGTAAGGATTTCCAGCCGACGGAATCACGATCGGTGTTAAGCAACAGAAATCTCACGCAAATCCCTGTCTGTCAGCATTTAGCTAGAAGCCGTCCGGCGACCGTTGCTCTGGCCTTATCCTCCCAGTGATCTCTGACAACACCCCCACAGTCTAGGCCTAACAGGGAGGATCCGCCAGGAAGAGCACTCCGTATAATCCATCAAACCCCGTGAATTAAGGTGCATGTCCCTGTAGCGCTTAATACTCCACAAGAGCGGGTCAGCTTTGGGTTTTAGACCTCCCCGGTTGCTGATGCTGCCCTCCTCATCGACAACTCCATATAGCCTAAATAGAGTAACCTGTTCACCGCCTCACCTTGCTGTTGAATCTGCCTCTAGTTCGTTGCTCCCCATATACTTTCGACTATCTAACTTACTCGCCAAAACCTCGTCCCAACTAACTAACTAACTTTCCACGTCATCCGCGATCTTCCCTTCTTTCAATGACGACGCCGGTGGTTGAGAAAGCCCAGCTGCATGATGCGGCTGCGCTCACGGAGGTGTTTTTGAAAGGCTTCAACGACGAGTACTTCCAGACTCTTTTCCCTCAGAATGAGTTTGGTAGAGAGTACATGATCCGAGCGTATGAGGGTTTCATGCTCTCAAAAGAGCACAAGAGCCAAGAAGGGCAAGTTTTCGTAGTCAAGAACGAAAAAGGTAAGGAGACGACGATGTGGAAATATCCACCACTCCATCCCCGAATCCCGTTCCCATCAAACACGCACACACAACCATGAAAGACCCACCGGACTCCGATTGTCCGTATAGAGATGACGGCCGGGGGAAACTGACAATTCTACGTCATAGGCGAAGTCGTTGCCGGTGCGCTTGTCTGGATCATCCGGCCCGAGGACAACGGAACCTGGTCATGGCGAAAGCGTTGGCCTGCCGCAAACGAAGGCCAGAAGGACGAACTCCTCGACCAGTTCTTCACCGACATGGCCACGCAGCACGAAAGCATCATGGGAAAAGACGCGCACATTTGTACGTCAAGCTTAGTCCTATCCCACAACTTCACAGTATCCCCATGGAAACAAACACTAACTGACTGCAACAAAGACTTTGAGGTGATCATGACTGACCCTGCCTATCAACGTCGAGGATACGCCCTCGCACTTCTTCAACGCGCGGCCCAGATCGCAGATGACTTGGGCTACCGATCGTACCTTGACTCCGACCCGGATGTCACGCCACTTTACCAGCGCGCGGGTTACGCTGTAGCTGATGGCGCAAACCAAACGTCATTTATGGTTCCGATGGTGCGACCAGCTAAATCACAGGTGTCAGCGGGGGTTTGAACAGAAGCGTGATTGGAATTCTGGTTCATTCTATTGTTCTCCGGGGTTTTGGAGCTGTTCTTTTTTTTAACAACTGCCTGGCGTGAAAGTTGCCATCAAGAGAAATGCTTCAGTGCTAGTGTACATCAGATGGAAGCCCAATTGGCCTCGTTTCCCCAAGTCGCTTGCTTATCGCTCCAATGCTTAGATCTGCCATTGCTTTTTTTGACTTTTCATCCTGAGTCTATGCTTTTCATGTCCTTTTCTCGTTCTCGTAAGGAGGTGAGACACCTCTGTATTGCTGAGTCCGTGCATCGTACTTGGGTCCGTTCATGTACCCTTGGCCGGTTTCATACTCGGAGTACATGGAAGGCCTTGCAGGCCGACTGGGTACCTTTCGGTCGTCCATTTGGGCGTAAAAGTCCGTTATGTCGGGATAGACGGGGACTTCTGTTTCCTGTCGTGGAAGAGGCTGTCTGAAGGCGTCGATGATTGTTTGCCTCCTAGTGATTCGTTTGTTTCTCTCTGGAAGAGGCATATCCCCTAGTCGTCGAGATCCATCCTCGGTATTGCTTCCTACTACAGTGGCATCATCAGATATGCCGCTATGCTCCTCCTTTTCGTCCTTATCCTTGTTCTTTGTTGCAAAGAAGATAGTAAATACCATCTCCATGTCCTCGGGTCCTTTCCTCTCGCGCATGATTTGGTGTGGCACTTCAAGGTCGGTAATGAGGCGTTCAATCTCCTCAACGGTGTAGTTGCCTTTGCTCTTGTCGCCAGAGTAATCTCCTGGTCCGCTAGAGCCATTGGGCACATGGAAACGTAAATCCACTCTGCCAAATGCGTAGGCTGCGATTACCAGCAGCTCAAACATGAAGCCCGTCGTGTAAAATACGGTCTTGCCAAAAAGGATGCTGTTTGTTCCAGGTGGCTCCTTGTTAAAGCTTGCGTACAAACGAATAGCTTGTCCAGCCATTAAGAGGAATGCCCCAAAGAATAACAGAGCCACTTTGACACGCTGCGAACCTGTGCCAAATTTCTCAGGCTTGGGCCCTGGAATGCAAAGGCACCCCGTCACGACAATGACAGGGAAGGCGGCAAGAAACATGTTGTACGCGCTGCCAAACTTGAGCAGATTGTCTGTCGTCTCTAGACGATCCACATTGCCGACACTGAAAAAGGTAATGATCAAATTGGTCGCATTGAAGATGGTCATAGCCGGAACCGAGAGGAGCAAGAAGATTGTGAACTGGCCAAAGGCCGTGCACCATCCTGCTTTGGGGTGAATCGACCGAACCAAACGCTGAGCGAAGAAAATATTGACGGCGAACATTACCGAGGCACTAATCGTCTGTCAATGAGTACTCCCACATTTTCTTATGGGCAACAAAACTCACCCGCCATTCTCGGTAATCAAAGCCATCAGAACAACGCCCCTCGTCGTGACGATAGACCAGGTAATCCGAAATATACAGGTAACAGTTCTGATCATGCAAAAGTCAAAGATGATATCCGATATCAAGAACTTATGGCCTCGCTTAGCGTTTCTTTTGTAGATGCTCAGGTGGACATAAGCTCCAAGCATGAAGAGGAGCATGAAGGCCACGGTGATAGGGAGATCGAAGTTCTTTGTTGGTACGCCGCCCAGAAAAGCTCCGTTGGCTGGGTCAGGGGGTCCCATAGGAGGACCATCGCCCGGAGGCCCCGTCTGTGCTTGTGGGTTGAAGTTTGGCGGCGGTGCTTCGCCTCTCCCTGGGGCCGGACCACTCATGTTGGTATTGGGCAACGGAGATGAAGGAACTTGGGGAACCAAGGTAGTTGGTGATGCAATGGATAAAGCTGACTCGGAAGGAGGAGAGGGTTGAGGAGCAAGCACTGGTGGTATTGGAAGAACTTGCTGTGGACTGGATGAAGCAGCAGCAGCCTCGGGGGTTGTTTTCGGCGTGGATGACAATAATGGTGAAGGTTTAGATAGAAGAGCTGCCCCCGGGCCAGGATTTACCAGGGGCAATGCATTCGGAGGACTTGCCAGAGGAGGATTTGGCTGTTGCGTTTGTGTGACTGTGACTATAGTCGGAGCAAGTGACTCGAATTTAGTAATTATGATGTAGTTCGTTTCGACAATGACTTGCGGAGGCTGGTTCTGCACAGCAGGTGTTGGGCCAGCCTTTGGAAGAATAGAATCGGTAACCTTTGGGGTATAAGTGTTATTATGAGCAGCTAGAGTGGCTAAAGGCAGCGTGGGAAAGATCGTCGAAGGAGCTGCTGGTGCTACCGCTGGTAGTAATGCTGCTCTTGATGCAAATGCTGATGCTGAAGCTCTAGCCTCTGCTGCCTTGGCACCTTCTAAAACGGCGATGCCCTGAGGTATGATAGGGGCGGCAGCAGAGAGAAAAGCAATAACTCCGGCCATGATTGTGTATTATATGAAGCGTGGTGCGCCGCTCCGAAGCACCCGTTGGGGCCTCCTGAGTCAGGGGCGTAGAAGACCGCTTGTGGAGACGCTTCAAGTTGGGACTGACGGAAAGGGAAATATGGTCGCAGGGAAAAAACGAATTCGAAAGGCCCAAGGTCTCAGATGGCCTTGATGGATCCCTAAGTGTGTGGGACTGTATGAGAGCTCCTAATAATTGGTAACAGTCGAACTGTGGACTGCATGGCAGATCATCTTTGATGACGATTTCGATGCACCCAGAGAAGCAGGCGGGTCACGATGTAAAACCGGGCTGAGCTAGATCGACAGCTTCAGACCTTTATCGTGAGGCTAGTTTGCGGTTCCCAGGCTGTTTGAGGATGCTGCGATAGGTATACTGGAAATGGCTGGACGGTGAAGGACTTTAGCCAACGAGACGTAGTGATAGATGACTGTCAAGTCTGTAGGCCTATGATGACACCACGTATGTTGTGTTGAAAATACTGTGCTGAACAAAGTGACTGGTATACTGTTCAGCGAGTTTGACTGTGCAAAAACCGGTTTTTAGGTATCACCTTTCGAGTTCGTGTTGTTCGTCGTGTGCCCTCTTGTTCGTCTTCTTGTTTGTAACGTTATAAGAACGAAAAGCTGTAAAGCGCCAGTGACATCCTTATTAGAATGAATTCCATCCCATCCCATCACCTTTTCTACGCCTCAACCTCCTCGTCCTACTCCTCTTCCTTCCCACAATCTTCCCCTTCCTCATCCCTCCTCTATCTTACTGCTTAAAGACCGGTAACCTACACCGCCGCAACGGCAACTCACAGCGGCCCGGTGTTAAGAGTAGTGGTTGACTCCAGACTTTCCGTCTAGTTTCCCTTTAAGGCAAGTGGTAGAGGAGGGTGGCGGCAAACCGTTTCAGGAGCCGTTGAGGAACGTCGAACCATTTCCGCATCGGGAGAAGCGGTGCGGGATACCGGCTCCTCTCAATCGCAACAACTTGCCCCCAAGAGAGCAATGAGTTCAGAAGCTCATATTTTCGTCCCGTCTTCTCCAAACTATAGCGTACCTGTCGGCTGCCTGTCTTCTCCTGTCCAGCTTGTCTCTGCTGTCTCTGCGTATGTCTAGCCCGTCTGTCTAGACTGTCTGTTCGCGCCTCCAGGAATGCGAGTCAATGCGACCCGGCCTGACGGGACTGTCAATCTGATGCGGCAAGTTACATCCATCTCGACTCGACTTGGCCCTTAACATCCATTCTCAGGCTCCTCAAAATGCGAGAAATCCGAGTCCGACTGAGGCACCTGCGGCTGATGTCCCTATAGTTCGTCGCAGCTGCCGAGCGTTCCCGATTCTCCTCTTCACCCACTATTTCGGTAATCGTAGGGAAGTAATGGCGGCACTTGTTTATCCACACGTGTGTTGCGCAATGCACTTACGTCTTAGAGGAAAGCCCCTGAAGCCGCAATAGCATGTAGACGATGACCCATGCGAGATTTTGACTTCTACCCACAGCCGCCATAGGCACACGGGGCAATTGTTATCAATGATTAAAGTAACCAAAGTGGCCCGCGAGACCGCTCTAGTCAGAGCCAATCCTGCAGAAACAACATTTCGTGTAGTCTGAGCTCCCGTGGCCGAAGTGTATGAGAATATCAGCAGGAACCCTAGAGATGTTTCTCCGTACAGTTGGTCGGTACTAGCAATGTTCCCGCACGCCGGCTATTTATCGAATCCCGCTTGACAATTTCCCGAGGCGGGATTCACTTTGGCAGCATCATACGCACAACCACCTCTCTCTTTCAGTCCATACTCAGTGCCCTCGTGGCTGGCGCTAGGACGTTGGCCGGTATTGGCAAGCTACTCTTGTCCATCGGAATCATAGTGTTGCCCGTGTAAGGTGGGATCACGACATCATGCCTGCGTCGATCTGCCCTACTTACTACTAAGCTAGGATCAAGCTTAAATCCATCGGGATGTGGGACCTCACAGTGGCCTCTGCACCTTATTGTGTGTGTGTACCTGGCAGGGCGTACATGCATCTGCGGAAACGAAGGCAGTCAGTCCATGTAACTGATTGCCCAGAAAACATCCCTGACCTTGATTGAGCCGCACACCCAGTAGCAAGTTCGGTTTCGGAATGCGAACCCTTCAATTGTTGTTCTTACAATCTGGGGCGAAGGCTGCGGATTTGGCAACACTCCTGACATCTCCGCACCAACTACTGTCACTGTTCGTATTCCTGCGTGTTCTTGTGGAAGGCTCACATAATGGCCCTGGAGAGTGTAAAAGACCGTAACCCGAGCGATAGAGTTGACAGTGCATACGCGGTCCTAATCCCACGCCAATGAAACCCAAGAGCCTTACCTATGTTGTTTTTCCTTTTGTTATTACTCCGGCTGGGATATCCTGGCCCCTAGCTTTCGTTCACATTACGCGGCCTACTGCGGAAAAGATTGCCGTGGCGGATGACAGCTGTGGCTGTCAACCTAGACTTATTGGGGCAGATTTACTACTAGTAGTAGACGAGAAATTACCAGACCGCTGAAGCTGATACCACCACATCGGATTTGACAACTATTCCGCTCTTGCAGTTCGAATTCCGCTTTACGTTCGTCTGAGACAATCAGCTTCAACTTGGTGCAAGGCCGAGCAGGTTTCGAAGGCATGCGCACCTGGAGCTTCTTCAAACCGGCTGAACTAACAGCCCAGAAGGCGACATAATTGTGAGTACAGATGCCGTCGAGACACAGATTGAGGGTACACGGAATCAGGAAATGATCCCCATTCCTGTTTAGTGCGTCCCGCCATCTTTAGGTGGCCTTGAGGAAAAGGCGGAGAACCATATGGCTAAACGCCATGGCCAGACCCATGGATCGACGCGCCGAGTGGTCTCCCCTTGGAGCTTCTCGTCAAGGGGGGGACAGATCATTTCGGCCCTTGATCCCAGTCTTGGTCTCAGGATTGCGCTACCTACCCCAACATCGACACGGGGCTCTGCCGTCGCGGCAGGTCCCGCCCAGGGGAACAAGCACCCAAGGAAAAGAGCAGGATATAGATACCTGACTTGGTAGTCTAATTCGAGCTCATATAATATGTTGCCGTTTTTGGCATCTCAGATGGGTCATGATGGCATCAATGACAACCGGGGCCCATACGCACGAAGCGGCATCCGGAGGCCTGAGACACTGCTTGGTTGCTGAGCCCTTCGCCGGCCAAGTTGTCTACCCCAGTCGGTAGCAACTCGTAAGATCGGAGCTCATGTTTATGTCTTGGGCGTTGGTTCGCTTTTTTCGATCTCATTGAGAAATAACTTTACGAACAAGGTTGTGTCCATCAGCTGTACTCGTCCTCGGATTTTTCGGCAGATTTCTCTCCATGAGATACCGTCGTAACTCACCTCAGGTACGTTAGCAAGTGGCAAACATATTCGGAAGACTCGGGTTTGACCTCAAGCTTGTCCCTGTCAAGGTAAAAGTGCTACGGATTGGGTATTGCCGTAGCCAGGCACAATTCCCTACGTAAAAGCGCTAAACATCCGCCATCAGACGACTTAATAGGGCTGACGAAAAACTAATCCCGCCATGTAAACACATCCGCCAGTATTCGCCAGGACTTTAAGAAATCCCGAAACTGCGATGAAGTGCCGCGGACTCGTCAAGCGTATTCGGCGGCATCTGCGCATTAAACGTTGAAAACATCCCATCGGCCATTGCATCCCGGCGGGAATCTTGTCCACAAAGGCCGTTTCTATGAGATGAAATGTATTTGGCTTGATCAACTGAGTGTGCTCAGGCAATAGCCTTACCCCGATGAGCTTCGGATCGAACGTTGTGTCCATGTCGGCGCCGCCGATTCTTGACCTGTGATGATCAATCGCCGAGGCAGCCGGGGAGTGCGGGAGTTAGTCATGGACATAACCGTTGCAATGGGTTTTTTTCTAATCATGGACGAAACACAGAAATAGGACGGAACGCCCTCCCTTCTACATCTCTAAGCTGATCTTGAGCAGAGCACTCTTCAACGGGCGAAGAGGGGGGGCACACAGTTTGTGCTGAGCGACGTTTCCAAAGGAGAAGGCTTCTAGAAGATGTTGTTTTTGGAGGCGCTATGCCCAAACTGGTGTTTTGATGAGTTATAAAGAAGGTGACCGGGTTTCAGAAACACCAGTTGTCTTCGCATAGAATTCCGGTTTCACGCTCTCAGTTAGGAGGGGGAAGCTCACGCTTGGGCTCCCACCGTTTCGTCTGATTTGGTCCCCTCATACCTTGTCAATGACAATTCGCACTCGCAATGACCGCCGCCCGGGGACGTATGCCGAAATGGTTTGACAGCTAGCCAACCCCAGGCTTGCTTTCGGCTTCGAATGTGATGTGATGCCCGGCAGAACGTGAAAGTGGACTCATCTGGCATAGCCACCTCTCTATTATCGTGGCGCGCGTCCTTGCTCGATCGAACATCTGGACTCTCCCACGCCTCTACTCTACCAACCATGACTCGCAACGTCATCGAAGATTCCCGCGTAGCCTAGGGCCCCAATCCTTTGCTGGACCTTCAACTGAATGTCACCAAAACGAGCGGGGCGGGTTTTAGAGTTGAAACATATCAGCGTCTGCCGCACCACCATCAACCCTCTTGTCAACAAAAGCCAACCCGCTCTCCAAAGTTCGTCAACACCCGCTCTCGGCCGCTCTGACACATGTCCGGTTCTGTTTACCCGTTTTTCCCTTTTATTGGAGAAGGGAAGCACGTCCACTGCCCGTCCATCATTACTCCTAGAATTTCCTTCTTTGATAGGGGGTTCGCCCACATGACACACGCTTGTCAAACCTGAACCCGTCCACCGGCATAAGCGACCGCGCATAGGACGTTCGCAACTTCGTTAACGCAAACTCATTACCGACTTCCACTCAATCTCCTTTCCCCCCCTTTTTCCCACCCAGAAGAAGAAATGGTCAATACAGGACATCCGAGCAGAGCTTGTAAGCTCTGCCGCGCGCGAAGGATCAAGTGTGACGAGACGAAGCCGTTCTGTTTGAAGTGCGCCAAGTCAAAGAGAGTGTGCCCGGGTTATCGCGACGCGTTCGAGATAAATCTGCGCGACGAGACCCAGTCTACGATTCGCAAAGCCAAGTCGGCAGCTCTACGAAAGGCCATCCGTGAAGGACGTGCAACGGAGCAGGATGCCGAGAATGAGATCCAAAGCCAGACGGAAAGTCAGAGTCAGAGTCAGGGTCAGGGCCAGAGCCAGAACCAGAGCCACAGTAACTCAAAGGTGACAGAATGGACGCCGCCGGCGCCATTGCATCATCATAATAAACAGCAAATCATCGCTATACCGGAGGACGACTGGTTGGACAGGTATTCCTCGTCGTCGTCCTCCTCCGATGGGTCGCCGTCAATGTCGTATGCGTCGTCACTATCGTACATCAGCAACCAAGCCCCCGACTCATTCGTGTCTTTCAAAGAGCTGGAGATGACGGCGTACGGCATGCCGCATTCCTTGCAGACGCCGCTCGATCAGCAAGCAACCTGCTTCTTCCTCGCAAATTACGTCCTCGCGCCGCCAACCGGCGTCGGGCGCGGAATCCTCACCTTCATCCTCCCGCTGTTAAACATCCCTAGCTTCCAGTACTCCCCGTTGCATTCAGCCTTCTCCGCCGTGTCAATGGCCGCGCTCGCAGGGAGGCCGAATTCGCGGCGCCTCTTTTCCATGGCACACCTCCATTACAGCAAAGCCCTAGAAGACCTGACACGAGCCATGCAGGACAAGGTCGCCGTACGGCAGGACACGACGCTCGCGTCGGCGATTCTGCTTGCGTTCTACGAGGGGTTGGTGTCAGACGACGTGGAGATGTCGGGATTCAAGAAGCACATATCTGGAGCGACGGCAATCGTGAAGCTCCGGGGACCTCAACAAACGCAAACCAATGTGGGATTGAGCATGTTTGAATTCGTCCGAGCAACATCGGTAAGTACCTAGCCCCGAGTTCCCAACATCATTTAACGTCCCACTGGGTGAGGCCAGCCAAGAGGAGTGAGAATTGCTAAGATATATGTGCACCCAGATACGGCAATACACATTCTTTTCCAACATATCGATTGAGGACTTGACATGGTGGGCGCGCCAAGCAGTCTGCGACACGGTCGGCCACCAGGCGCTCGTGCTGAACCTGCAGACGACTCTGATCCGTGCAGAGGCTGACAGCTTGCTGAAGGGGGGCAGGACGACTGACAAGATTGATAAAGCTCTGAAGCTACTCCAGAGGGCGCGCAAGATGGACGACGAGCTAGGCTTGTGGTTCGACCACTGCCCGCCGGCATGGAGGAAAGTGGTCTCGGGCTCCGCGATCGACGTGCCCGAGGACAAGATCGGGCTCGTGTCGGCGTTCCCGGGACCCATCTACGACTATCCCAACGTGTGGGCCGCGGGGAAGCACATCAACACCCACGTCTCGAGGCTGCTGCTCAACCAGGTCATCGTCCGCTGCATCGCCTGGGTCTGCGCGCCGAGCGACCACACGCTGACCAGGGAGTACATCGACGCCAGCAAGATTGGAAAGGAGCAGGTGGCGGACATCATTTCGAGCACGCCTTACTTTTTCGGTTGGACGGGAGACGCCCTGAGCACTCCGTATTTCCCTTGCGGGACGTCCGAGATGCCCAAGGGAATCGCCGGCGTCTCCTGCATGTGGCCGCTGCTCGCAACAGGCTCGAGTCGATTCGCAACGAGGAAACAGCGCATTTACGTAAAGGCGCGACTTGCAAAGATTGCAGAGGAAATGGGGATCCGGCAAGCCGATGTGTTTTCAAAGGTAAACTTTCACCTCCCATCTTCGTCTCCCGACAAGCGTCTCCAAACGCAGTTTGCTAACTATTCGCAGCAAATATCGTCAGGTACGCCTGAAACAGACCTCGTAAACAGTTACTGTCCAGACACTTATCTTCACTTGCGTAAATAGTTTAGCGTTAAAGAATCATACCCCCTCGTCGCGTCATGACTGGAAAAAATCTCCTTTTTTTTTTCTTTAGTTCTTTTTTAACTGTCTCGCAAAACTCAGAACATGTTCCCCTCCCCCCTTTTCCCACTACTCTGTAAGAACCAGCATTACCCCCCTCACAGAGACCACCGAGGCAACGCCGTGGAGTTATCCCGGAACTGCAACGATGCGATGTTGCTGTAGATGAAGCTGAAACTGTCGCTGCGGAAGTCGTCTTTGAGGTACTCGGTCCGGTCGTCGAGGAACCAGAGGAGCTGCTGGTTCACACCCCACTCCGGCCAACTGGCATATCCTCCGACGCCGACGTTCGGGTTTTGGTTGTAGAGAAAGTTTAGATAGTAGGTTCGAGTGCTCTGACGTGCAAATGTAGGCAGTACCCCTAGAAACACCTGCAGGATGTCCGAAGTGTGAAATGTGCCCACGAGAGGAGTGCCGTACTTGTAGCTGTTGAGATAGGACCAAACCGGCACGGATGGGTATCTCGCTTTCGCGACGGACAGATACGACCGGCGGGAAAGGGTGAAGACGAGATCTCCTAGGATCGCCGCCCTTCGCTTGAAGCCAGGATATACTTCGTTGAGGATGCCGGTTCGAAACGGACTTCCTGCGGAGATCCAATGGTCGTACGTGTTTACAAGTGTGGTTAATTGGTCTCTGGACGCACCGTGAAAGTATAATTCGGATAAATAGTCGACCAGCTGGGAGGTTGTCACGACTCCGGGCTGAAAGAGCGCGAACAGCGTCCCCTCGTCTTCCTGGTTTCCGACAATCATGGGAACTGCGGCGTACCGGCCGTCTCTTGCCAGTATGTCGGGGCTGTCCCTCAGCACGATTCCGTCTGGTCTTGGGACGTACGCGAGAGCGAGAGATTCATAAGATAGGATGCTCGGTACGGAAGCAGCCGCTTTCAAAAACGTTTCATATGGTACAGCACGAAGACAATCCAGGGTATTGGCCGAGCCAGTACAGCCAGCAGCCCGGACGACGGTATCATAAACGGATTGGCCTTTTGGGCAGTCAACGGGATCCGCTGGCACGACGCTCCCGGAATTCATAATGGCACCCCTGAACAACGGCCGGCCTTTGTACTTGTTATCGCCGTCGTATAGGGCCATCTGATCAAACACTGAAATAGCCCCAGCCGACTGGCCCCATATGGTAACCTTGTCAGGGTCGCCTCCGAAGGCGGCAATGTTGTCAGCGACCCATTCCAGAGCCATCCGCTGGTCCAGGAGACCGAGGTTAGAGGAGCCATCCCGTAAGATCTCGCGCCTTGGAAGGAACCCAAAGCCTCCTAACCGGTAGTTGACCCCGACAAAGACGAAAGGCTGCTTCGAATCATTGCCGTCTCGAACGAAACTGGCACCGTTATAAGAAACTGTTGAGCCAAACTCAAAACCGCCTCCGAAAATCCAAAACAGAACGGGTAATTTTGAGCCTGGTGTTGTACCTGCAGGTCTCTGTACCGTTACTGTCAGGCAGTCTTCTTGGCCGGTGACGGGCTGGAATATCGGAAGAGAGAAGAGGGACCCGAGGGTATCCAGAATGATGTTGCGACTGTCGGACGAGAGGAAGAATTGCGGACAGGATGAGGCGATTCCCGTTCCGTCAAAGACTCCGAAGGATGAGTTGAGTCTCCGAGGAGGCTTCAGGCGTAGTGTACCGACGGGCGGCTCCGCATAGGGGATGCCTGCGAATGTTTCGACGTCGCCGAATGATCTGCCGAGGATAGTCCCGGCTCCAACATTGACTGAAGCTTGAGTAGCGCGACGATGATGAGCATGCTGCTCAAACTCGGCTGCAGCGAGCAGCGGTGTTAGTATCAGCATTGCACACGACGACTTCATAATGATGACCTGTAAAGAGAACTTGAGATTTCTTAGAAATGAAAAGAACAGAACTGGAGTTAGCAATCATCAACTGCTACCAGGACCACAAAAGTCCTAAATAATCCAGAGACGTCATCCCGTCCGCGGGAGTAACCATCTATCCCGAGCTCGTTCATATCTTTGGCTGCGCAATACAATGTCTTACAGACCCCGCGTCGCAACGGTCCTTCTGGACGTTGATTCGATCCAATCTGCTCAAGTGCAAAGTACCAGGACATATGAGCCTCCTATCTTGTATGCGTGTGTGTGTGGAAGGTGAGCACGTGAAAACGTAAGACCCAATCGGTGTATTCATGAAGGTGTGGACACCCTGAAGAATAAGAAAGCGCTTAGCGTGTGGTTACACCAGGCCGAACCAGTCAACAGGCAGAAGCTGCGTGCTTGTAATATGACGGGCAGAGAAGGAGATTGTCAGGCTGACAACTCTTTAAGCAGTGTGTTGCGGCGGGGAAAATGTACTTTGCGGTTGAGTCCATTATTGCGGCGTTCGTGCGATATCCTGGCATTTTCCCAGGCACCTCCAACTACGGTGGGTATAGCGACGAAGTTCCTTGCAGCCGAGAGGACAAGGGGAGACCGGGCCAGCTGTTGGTTGTGAAGGTGGTGGTGGATATAAGAGCAGGCAGTTCAGTTCGTATCGATGTCGAGTGGTGACGCTTGTACTCTTTTAGAATGTGTGGGTGGTAGGCAGAGACCAGCTGCCTAGACGAGACTTACGGCCATGACACTCCGGAGAGACACATCCAATGGCTGTGCCGCTTATGTCATACACTCATTCCTGTGAGGCCATTTTTGCTCTAACCAGTCTTGTCTGTTGTTTAGCACAAAGGTCACTGTTATCACATAGTAAGGGGGGGATGGGAAAACTCAGCAACTGTTGTGGAAAAATGTAAAATTTCTGTTTCTGAATGCCAAGAGGTCGTGTAGCTCTAAAACAAAAATATCAAACCACATATCTTTGTGACCGCCCCGGAAGAAAGTCCCATGATGATCCTAGCCGTGGCTGGATGCAAGGTGCCTCGTGCGTCTATTCCCGTCGACATGTCTTAATCGTAACTCTCATCGCTGTTTGTCCCACAACTCCAATTCCCGAATGAGCCAAATGTCCATATGTTCCCAGCATACTAACTGTACTGTACTGTCAACAACGGCAAAAATTGCCATGCTCTCCTTCCTCTCTTTCTTTCTTTCTTTCTTTCTTTCTTGCTTTCAAACGCCTCGTGGCTTCGTTATGCAGAGACCAAATCGCTATGCAATGTCTTCAGACGACTACGCCCACCTGCCCGCTTTCCTCGTCAACTAAACATCTCCGTTTCCCACTGAGAGGCATACCGTCGGGTGCCTCTTCCTCGAAGCTGCCGTTAAACACTTCGGCAAGGGCCTCGCGATCTCGTCGTCGCTTGAGCTTGTCGTTGTTCGGTTCCGCTTCCTCCTCCCACGTCTCAATGTTGTCTTCGTCAAAGTGACCCACGATATCTTTGCCTAGCGCCTTGCCCAGCCGCTCCTTGAGTCCCAAAATCGGCCAAACCGGTACTCTTGTGTACTCAATACGGATGCCCCCCTCGTTGGCCGTCTCTCCCATCTTTTCGGCGAGCGTCTTGCCTGATGCTGCGCGGGGATTCTTGGTCGGCTCGTGAAACTTGCGCAGAAGCTCTTCTGTCACCACAGCCTTGTAGACAATGAACTCGGACGCCTCGTTGTCGTTAGACAGGATATGCACCGTCACATCGTGGAACTCAGGCTCACCAAGCCCAAGGGACATGGGTCGTGAAGGGAACCATTTGTTCGCCGTGGGCATGGGTTCGCCGTAAAAGCGCCTTTGTGCAAGGGCCAGAATAATGCCCACCAGTAGAGGGTCGTGATTCGCATTGGGAGGAACGAACATCTTGGATCGCAGCTGTTGTAACCGCTCGACCGGTCCGTTATACGACCTGTTGGGGCCTGGAATGACGCGATACATGTTGCGACGCGTCGCAGCGACTTGAGACTTGCCAATGTAGGCGAGAATTGGCTGGGTGTATGCCTGTTGCTGTTGTTGCTGCTGCTGCTGACTGCTTCCACTGCTTCCGCTTCCGTTGGTTCCTGTAGGGACTCCAAAAGACTCGGCCGGACGCGTTGATGTTGATTCGAACGAAGCGATAGATCCACTGCGCGATGGCGTCGCATCCCAAGCGACTTGGACGCGACAGGTATCGCGATAAACCAAGCCGCCAAAGTAGTGGTGAAGGTCAAGCTGGGTCCGCACACGCGACATTTTGCCTGGGTAGAGGGTCGACATGATGGTGCGTATCGACTGAGTATAGAAAGTTCTATTTGAACCGGGTGCCAGCATAGCGGTAAGCTCGCGACTGAGAGTAGTGGCGGCAGCAGAGGGCTTTAGATGGCATCGCGAAGGAGAGACAGGGGTACCACGGGGCGACTGAGGGGGAACTGGGGTATCGCAAGGAGGAAGCTCGATGAATCTCGCGTCGAGGAGGTTAACATGCAGTTCGGTCCAGCAGATGGGGCGGACGAAGAGAGAGACACCGGCGTGCTCCCACATAAGGTCGTACAGCGAACCCTCATCTGGGCGATAGACGCGACGTCTCTTCCTGCGCTTTAAGGGTGAGGGCATCGCGGTTATGGGGCTCGATGTCGGGGGCGTCGCGATAATAGGCTCGGGCGACGACATTGTCGATGCCGTGGGTGCGCTGCTAGACAGATCCATCTTTGTGGTGGGTAAATCGGCGAGGATGCGCAGATGTTGGAGAGAACTGCCTTGGTGGAAGACTGACCTTGGGTTTTGTTAGCACAACGAACAAAAGGTAAAAAAAGAGATGCTAACAAGGGAAGGGGGTAAATAAAAAACAATAGTGACAGCAATGTAAAAGATAGTCTTACTCTGAAATGAGTATTGGGGTGTGGCGCACTCCCTTTCGTTCTTTGGGAGGCTCCTCTGGCCCCTTTGGGGGAGATTTCGACGCGACGGTGGATGACGGATGGGGCAGGAATGGGGGGTGATTTGTACTATGGGTGTCGACACAGAAGGCAGGGTGCACTACCAGTGACTACTTGACTAACGCGTGTTGTCAAGTCTGGGAGAGACACAGAGCGAGAAAAGAGGACCAGGAGGCTCCAATGGTAGTAGGCAGTGAGTGCAGTAAATCGGAGAATATCCGTATGCGACCCAAGTCAAATAAAAAAATATCTGGAGCCGACGCAGGTATTGGTATGCGACAAAATCTGTTGAGATCGACGATGCTTCTGGTAAGGGCGTGTAGGAAAAAGAAATATTGGAGATCCAAGCGAGAAAAGATGGGTTTTGCTGTGCTTGATTCTCTGATGTAGCGGTGGAAGAAAGGGCGGACAAAATGGAGACCGGGGGGGATCCAGGAGGGGGAAGAGGGATCTAATAGGTGTAGTGGTAGAGGGTTAATCGTGGGAGGAGAAATGGCCTCTGAAACGCGGGTTGCACGAGTCAAATACTACGAAAATGTCGTCGGCCACCACAGAGTCGGGTCATCGTGTACTACCTTAGAATAGATGACTATGTATATACATATGTGGGCGGCAAAAACTGGGAAGGACGGGATGGATCAGGGGACAGGGTCGTCGTGACTGATGGGCCCAGCCAACTATTTTGTTGGTATGATGGTGCCTATTTGTCTACTAGTCCTATACAAACCCGCTCCAAAATGGGCCAGATTTGGGGGGGGGGGGGGGCCCCTGTCACTAAAACTCAGTGACAGTTCAAAGTCCACCGCCAAACTGCCACAGAGGGCGCGACTTGCCACCCACTTTTCGTCCCGCTTGCAGCCGAGTTCTGACACGCAAGACGAGCGAAGTCATGTGATCCTAGGCACCAGCCCCCCCTTCGCTTAGCTTGTGGCCTATGTGGCGCTTGGTATTCATGCCTGAGGTTATTATCAGCTCAATCTCCACTTGCCATCTCATCACGTGATACTGCGGCACAGCTGCTGCGCCACTCTCCTCCCCTCCCCACAGTTGCAGGCTGAGGTCCACGCCGTTTGGAGGTGGACGTCAGTCAGGTCGAGCCCCACCATACCACCCATCGGCCGGCTGCTGCTTCGTGCCTCAGTTGACGTCTACCCCATCGTGCGCCCAATCCCCATTATCACAATCCAGCTTCATTCCCCGAGTAGACCAATTCGCTGGTCCTGAAGCTGCCAAAATGCCGGTATGTCCAATACCGTTTGTGCGAATTGTTCTAGGGAAACTCGCCATAGCTCCATCATAGCTGTCGCTGCCAGCCACCTCGTCACCTCCACACACACCTCCTAAAGGCCCCCCAAGCTGACGATGCTCTTCTCCAGGCCTACAACTCCATGTTCAATGCCGACCCCAACGTCCCCCGTTTAATAGGCAACTTCCCTCTGTTGCCTCTACGCACAAAGACCCGTGGTCCCGCCTACACACTCCCCTTCCCTAACCCGCCGCTGCCTGCCAACGAGTCCCCCGACCCGGACAGCGAGAGCTATGACATCCTCGACGAGGTCCTCGCCCTCTTCCGCGCAAACACCTTCTTCCGCAACTTCGAGATCCAGGGCCCCGCCGATCGCCTGCTAGTCTACGGCATCTGGTTCGTCAGCGACTGCTTGACCAAGATCAAGCCCAATGCCAGCGTGCGCGATGCCACCAAGGACGTCACCAACGTCGCTCTCGACACCAACTTCGCCATCCCGGGTGACCCGGCTTGGCCTCTGAACCAGGTGCGCTACTCTAGGACCTCTTCTAAAATCATCATAAACCCCTTCCTCCTAACTGACACCGCCGCCAGATGTATGAGCCTCCCCGCGATAGACAAGACGCCGAGCAGCTCCGACAGTACATGTCGCAGGTCCGCCAGGAGTTGGCGGCGCGGTTATTGGCGAGAGTCTACGACGAGAGCGGCGATGGAAAGCCCAGCAAGTGGTGGTTGAGCTTCACCAAGAGAAAGTTCATGGGCAAGGCGTTGTGAATGATGTCTGGTCGAGAGCAAAAAAGAAATATTTGCCAGGGGTTTGAAAACACTACTGAAAGAAAAGGTGTGCGTTTGTGACTTTTAAGAGCGACGAGGCCAAGGATGATGCCATTATACTCCGATACGGCCCCCCCTCCCCAAATAGCCTGAATCGAGAATGCCAGGGTATCTATATGCAAGCTGCTGCCGGTGTTTTTTCTTTCTCTTTTTTTTTTTTTGGCCCCCTGTCCGTCACCTTCATCATCCTCCTCTGCTGTATGCGAATTCAAGACTATACAGACCTTCTAGATAATCACCAATATCCTCAACCCTGAACCCCCCCCCCCCCCCCCCCCTTTTGACTCTACCTCTCTATCTATGCTTCCACTTGGCTCTTCGCTCTCTTATGCCTCCACCTTTCTCCTCTTGAACTTGCCGCGTGCTTCAACCTTGCCCTCTGCCGGCACCGCTTTCCAACCCGTAAAAATATAACCATCCGCTCCGCCACGGCCCATCATCATCGGGTGCGTACGGCCCGGCAACACCTGCCAGCGTCTCGCACGACTCGTCTGTACGTTGGCGCCCAGAAGCAGGGTGGGGTTGATGGGGAAATCATCGGAGCCCTCCCACCGCTCAAGCTCCTGGAGGGACTTGCCCACAGCTTCGGCGGGCGGGTTGGTAGACCAGCCGGCGCGGCGCGCGATGCTGAAGCAGTCGGCGAGCTCGGTCAGGGGCTCGATGCTCTGCGAGTAGATGGCGATCGGCGCGCCGCCGGCCAGGAGTGGGAGGGTATGACGCAGGATGGAGACGACGTCCATCGTGCTGGCGATGACGAGACCGGAGTGACCGCCCGCGCGGGTCGAGTCGACAATGTAGCGAGTACGCGCCCAGCGTCTGCGCTTGCGGTGGTAGTTTCCTCGTCGGTTGGCCTTCCAGGAATGGAGCGCTTCGTCCGAGACGTCGGGCGGCGGCGTAGAATATGTGACGTCTTCCTCGGGATCCAGGAGCTGCAGCCAGGAAATCGGCAGCAGGTTGGTGGCGAGGGGGTGAAGAGGGTACGGCGGGTTGGGATTTGTGCTGTCGAAGTTGTAGTACTTTAGGAGTGCGAGGTTAGGCTGGCTGTTGGGGTGGATGAGGGTCAAGGTGTTGGTGGGAGCGAAGATGGACTCGAAGTCGTCGCGACGGGGCGGGTGTCTCCGGCGAGGAGGCTGTTGCTTCTGTTCTTCTCCGTCACCGGCAGCCGGTCCGTCCGTCATTGTCTGGTCGGGTTTTGTCGTCGTTGTCTCCGCAGCGGCGGCGGCTTCTTCGCCAGTCTGCCCGTTGCTAGCGGCGGCCTTAGTCGGCTTCTCGCCATTCGCGTCAACAACAACGGCGGCATCCGTCTTGTCTTCGGATTCTTCGTCCTCCTCGGGCTCGTTGGGGTACAAGATGCCCATTCTCTCGGCCATAGCGGCAGTCACGAGACCGCCTGTGTCGTCGACAACCAGCCATCGGCCTCCAATTTCTGACTTGTCAAGCATTCCCGAGCCATCAGCCGTCACAATCTCGGGCTTATCTGTGGGAGGGAGACCGCCGAAATGAACATTGGCCCAGCACCCCAGCAGTCCCATCATCTCCTCTCGCATCTCGAGCACCTTGCCGGCATCCTTCTCCTCCAAGAGCCACTTGCCCAATGTCAAGGTATCGAGGGGCTGTATCGAGAAGCGTCGGATGTACTTCTTCGTCTTGAGAAGCTTGTATTTGGCTAGAGAGAAGGCCGTCTTCTGGTCGAGGGCGGTATGCGACAGCAGGAGCTTGGCGATGATGTCCTTGCCGGCGTCGGTGTTGCCCTGCTTCAGCGCCTCGATCTCCTCGGTGGTCAACGTTTGGCGGGCGGTGTCGTCAATGATCTCGCGGCGCGATCGAGCCACGATATCACCGCTCTCGTTGTCCACGACAGCAAACTCGGCACCGTCCGGCGCGGCAATCACGTTCTCGAGGTCGATGCCATCTTCTTCGGCGGGCTCTGCGCTCGTGTCGGCGAGGGCGTCGGCGTGGATCTCGCTCGGGGGGACAACTCGTAACCTGTTGTAATTTTCACCCTCGCGCTTATCTTGAATCTCGTAGGTCAAGTGGAACGGTCGGTCGATCACAAGGTTGGTCGGGAACGAGCCGTATTTGCCCAGAGAGATCGTCCTGTGTTGGGTGTTAGCTACATAGCAGCAATGAGCGCGAACCAAGAGACTAACGTGTTCGGGATGATCTGGAGGACCTTGGTATCCTCCGACAGGAGCTTAAGGGACACCCATTGATTGGGTTTCACGAGGGAATGCATGGCTGCGAACAGTGGTGACCAGGCGGACAGATGGTAATACAGCCGATGGAAGCCTTTTCGCGAAGGGGAAAAAAAAAAGTGTTTTGGGGCGAGGCGTCAATTGGGCTTATCGTTATCGGAAATTCCACATGAGCCAATCAACGCTTAGCTGTTGGTCCCTGTCCGTCAGGTACCCCGCGCGGGGCACTTAGGGAGTCTGCCACTGGAAGCTGCTTGGAAGCCCCTAAAACTTTACTTTACGCCACTGACCATCCGAACCATGTTGTCAACCCTCTGTATTCCAAGTTTAGCTGAAAGTGTACAAAATCCAGACGTCTGGATTAATCTCAACTTGTTGTTCATCTCATAAGTCTTCTTGTACTAATTAAAGAAAGCAATACAATACTGTCTAACAGTCACACGCTTATCGAACAACAGCACAACCCGCTACAATGCCATGCCTGAGCTGAATCGCCGCCTCACTCATCACCTTCACGTCGTGGAACATTCCCCGACCCAAGAACGACTCTAGCCTGTTCATGCATTCCAAGTAACCGCAGAACGCCAGCAGTTGCATGCAGTATGGCAGAAAGGCCACCGAGTAGAAGAATGGGAAAAAGAGTGTAGGTCGTAAAGACTAGAGTCTCGTCAGCATGAACTCTCTCGCAAGCCAACGAAGATGACTTACACACGCCGCCGCCAGTTTGCCTCACCACGTCGAACAGCTCGCCTCGCATAACAGCGAGGGCTCCGGATTCCCATTTCCAGGGACCGACAAGCCTGAATTTGGCGTTGAAGTTGGATCCCATGGCCCACGTGAAGAATGCCTTGAAGCCCTTGCGCATCATAAACGTAGCGTTCGGCGCAGCGCCCATATCGAGGGCAAGCTGGTACGCGTATGACTCCTGTTCGACGCCATGCTTGGTTTTGAAAAAGTCGTGTCCGCCTCGCGCTTTAAGAGCGTAGTCGACCTCATAATGCGCGACTGCATCCGGTGATTCTGGGGAAGAGCAGACTTGCTGCGGGTACTTTTGCCGAAGTAGATTGAGAACCCATAGCTGAGCTTGCAATTCTGCCAGCGGGGGAATAGCACCTAAAGAGGATATGAGCATCACTCAAGGCGGCGGCGACAGACAGTAAACAGTACTTACCAATACCAGGTCTCACGAAGCCAATGAAGCCAGTAGTCACATCACCGCGCCTCCAGATGCCACGGACATCCAGCTCATCAGGTTTGGGATACTCATCGCCTAGGAAGCAAACGCGGCGGACATACCCCGTTGCCAGAACAACTATATCTGGTCGTATCTGTTTGGAAAGTGCCTCCTCATGCTCGCGCTTCTGGCTATGGGGGAAGACTGCTCTCCCATCTTTCGCAAAGGCAGACGGCCAAGGGGCTGTCAGGATCTTTTTGCCTCCGTTATCTTTCAGCTCAATATTCATAACGAAAGCTCGGATCCGAGACAGGATATCCGTTGGTCGATGACCCTCGTTGAGGTAAGGAAGAGCTCGGTCCGACTTGACAAGAAACACTGGTGAGAGAGTCAGCTAGCCGCTCTCCTAATATTCTTCGGTCCATAGGAACGCACATGAGTCGGTGTTATTACGGTCACCTTCGATCTCGCCAATCCATTGGTCAGGGCCTGCGGTCGTCCCTCCTGACAAGTAATGAAGGCTTTTCATTGTTTTATCGTACAAGAACCATGGTAGTTGGGAATGTTGTAGCCTCTCTGGGAGGTATGCCGTGTCGAAGATGCTGGCTATTGCAGTGTCGACTGGCTTTTGATGAGGATCTGGTTTGAAGATCTTCATTACTGTTGGTAAAGGGATCACCTGTCTTCGTTAGCAGGTAGACTTTCGGGTGGAAGGTGCGCAGTATACCTTTTTCGCACAAAAGAAACCGTCTTTGTGACACATTACAACTTCTCGAGCATCCGATGTTACCGCTAGGTGAGAAAGGTCCATGGCTGTTTCTCCAGCTCCCAGAACCATTACCGATGTATCGCAACCAAATTGTTTTCTGTTTTTTACCTCGGATGAATGCAAGACAGATGGTATGTTTTCGAGGCCCTGGATAGCTGGTATCGAAGGCACATTGTTGAGACCAGAGCAAATAGCGATCGCGTCGCAGTCCCAATAGAGACCCTGCAGCTCATCCTCGTTTTTGTCGTGGGGCGTTTCTTTCGAATTGCGGCGGTACGTAACGCGGTGGCCGCCTTTGGGGAGTCTCGAGATCCGGAGGATTTCAGTATTCGTCTCAATCATGCCCCAGAGCTTAAACTCGGAGCAGTAGTTCTCGAGATATCGCACGTATTCTTCCATGGGCAGAAAGTCGGGCATTTCTTTCGGGACCCTGAAATCGGAGAAAGCTGTGAGATATTTTGACGAAACCATCTGCCCCCTATCAGCATCTTTCTGAGCGCCGACTCGACATGATGGAAGCATTTGAGAAAAAGGCACATCCCTCTGCTGGTCACACCAATGCTGCCATAGCAGGCGTTGTAACATACCTCGGCATCTTCGTAAACCCTGTGCTTATAGACTCCTCCAATGCTTCCCTCTCGCTCGAAAATACGAATTTCGATGTCAGACACGCCAAAGTATTCTTTTGCCTGGCTGAGATATTTGGCAGTGACTAGACCGGAGGCGCCAGCGCCGACCACAGCTACACTCAATGACTTCATGATTGGCAAGAGCCACTTTGAGACGGTGTAGGTTTAATGATGTCGGAAATCTGTTTGTGTTTTGGGGTGTTTAATTTCAAGGGTTTGAGAGCGAAATGTCCAAGACGGGTGGTTGCACCAGCTCCCGTCGATGGGAGGACCAGTGTCATCTTTAATAAAAATGCTGTCACTACTTCAGAACACCCAAAAGCCTAGTAGGCCGAGGAGAAGGAGGGCTTTCATGTCGTATGACTGGTGTTCTTTGTGCAGAATATTGATAGCCTTGGAATCCTTCCCGGGCTTGGTCGATTTGGCCCGTCACATGGAACTTGAGTACCGGCCAGTGCCTGGACAGACATGCAATCGAGAGGCACAGGAGTATGACTGTCTGATACATCCGATCAGATCCGGGGTTCAGGGCGGCATTTAAATGTAAGACTGGAGGCCTTAAGTGTGTACCTTATGTTGCCTGGGCTCAAAGACTTTACAGACTGATGACAGATATGTTTGGCATAACCGCAAAACTTAAGACAAAAAAGACTTCAGCTATGAATCTAATACTATAGTGATGCAAAGAAGGTATCTTGAATTGATCATTTCAATAGTACCCCCTGCATGGTAGATGCTGTCATGGCCAATATGGGCAAAAAAGGACGTCACTGTAAAGTACTCAATTGGAAAGGTTGCACATTTTGGACTCAAAGGATCCGAGGCTTTCATTGGTGCTGACAGCTAACAAAGTCAAGCTCCAATGAACGCTGGCATTCACTTGTAGCTGAACTGTAGGCTAGTGCCAAGGTGGCGTAGTTGGCCCCCCGACATACAGGTGGGACTTTGGTGAAGAAAGTCATGGAACGATTGGAGCCTGGCCTCGTAGCTAACCGATTGTTTAAACTAAGGCTGGTAACCCCATGCGAATATCCATTTCGAGGGGGGTGAATAAGCTGAGAAGGGAAGGCTTGCCGTCTTCAGGCTTTTGCCCGTCTGGGCATGAAATGCAGCTGGACGCATCAGTTCAGGTGAGAATCAGGGGGCTGATAAAGAAGCCATAAAGTTCTAGTTGCATGCACCATTTAACGAGCTGCCCAAATCAGCTAGTATTCTTATATATCGCAATGAGTTGAAGATCAGGAGTGATCCACTCTTAGGACATCTAACGAGACATTTGTTAAGTATAATCACCCCATCACTTACTACCTTAATGTAGTATTTCATCTTCCAAGTCCCAAACTGCTTATGCTGCTTGGGTGGAAATTTTACTCATCAGCCCTTCAAGGGCTAGTTCATTCAGTGTCCAACGCCAGACAACTTTTTGACCTGATCGGGCTATTTTTGGTTTCTTTCCTCCCCCAGCCTCTCAATCTCTTCCCTAGGCCAGCGCAAATACTCCCTATAATCAGACCCTAGCATTAACGCAACGCCGTGAAGAATATGAGTGGCCCAACCCTTCATGTACCATATCCATTCGAGCGTCTTAAACAGTACGACCAGGTGGGCCAGTATGAGAAGCGCGACAGGCTTCTTGTCTTTGAGACACTGCACAAATTCATCCTCTGTACGATATATGCAGCCGACGATTACCTCCATTCTGCCGTCGATTGCACGTTTTGGCTGCTCCGCCGTTCCGAATGTTTCTTCAAAAGCCGAAGATACACCATCCAGCATTTTCTCGAAAATCCTCGCATCGGCGCCGGTTGAAGGAATCAAGTCAGATATCCTGTTCAGGGCCGGCTGCCACCACACGACTCTGTCTGCCTTTCGACAAAGTGGTTCTCTCTCGGGCTCGTTTGTAAACGGCCCCAGGACTCCGGAAAAAATTGCGTCAAACCCCATGGTGTCCACGACAAGCCGCACTCCCTTTAGTAACTCAAACCAGGCTACCTCTTCTCCATCAGATATGATGAGGAGATGGCCAGGACTGTGTCGCTGCGCGAAGCTATAAGAACACACAAGCGTCGAGGCGATATAAAGCGCCCCGCAGTTATCCCTATTGAGGTTGGGTAAAATATCCATGACTTGACGAAGCCCAATGGTGTAGTGACTGTCCGCGATAATTTTATAACGATTGGCTTCATCGGGCCTCTCTCTTGCTAGATGTAGTGCAGAAACTGCCAGCAAGAGGTGTAGCACACAGTGATTACTGAAAGCCAGTCGTGGCACTCGTTCCCGCCAGAGACACGATCCATGTGGACAGAGGTCTTCTGAGATCATATAATGGTGTTGTAACTCCATGTCTTCCACCGTCCAGACCCATGTCGGGTTTGGCAGTGCTTGGGAAGAGTCCGGGACTATTGACATGCTGCTGGGTGTAGAATATGTGCTCATGGCATCCGGCACTTCTGGAGCGACAGTGTTTATGTATGGAGGGCTGGGTCGCTGGAATATTGAATCCAGGTCTTTCCTTGGACGGCCTCTTTTCCTTGAAGTGAGTACTACATTTGCCTCCGGTGATCCGCCTGACTTTGTAGGAGGATCCGAAGTTGTCGCTGATGTAAGATAGTCACAAGGAATGAGTGCCTTTACACACTGGCCACAGCTAGGTTTCACTTCATCACACTAAATCTGAGAGTTAGTCATGGAAGAGGAAAAAGAAATGAGTGCCATTACCTTGATCCGTCGTCGCTTGCAACTCTTGCAACCATTCCGGGACTTCTTGTGCGACCGTCGTTTAGCGACGTGACAAGTCGTACATGTACATCCAGGGTCTCCATGCCGCGGCTTTGGATCATTGGATTCGCTCATTTTTATAGTTCAGTTTATCGAGTAGCGGTTATTCTTTTGAGCAAAACGAACAGAAGCTTGCACGCATTCAAAAAATGGGTGATTGACGAGACAAGTTTTTTTTCTTCTTCTTTTTTTCGGATTGAAAGCGAAAAATATGACGGCTAGTTGACACTCTCCAAAATGGTGGGTAGGACTACTAATTAAGGGTCTATTGGGCCCAAGGTTCCCCTGAACGGCACTGCCACAGGCCGCGCCGGAACTGGTTGCCAGACTCCTCACGGGGATTGGCTCGAAGAACTGTGGGGGTTCGTGACGCAATTTAATGACCAGACCACTAAGTACCCAAAATGCGCACCACTAAAATAGAGACAGTACCCTTGCTAAGAATGAACTACACCAATATTATGATCGCATAGCATTCATAGCTAACGTCTTGAGGGTAAATGCAGAGATGTACCAACATTTAAGTGAGAAATTTCGATTTTATGCTGGTTCGTGACAGAGTTTCTCCAACACATGGTATCTCTACAATTACGACTTATTATGTAGGTAGCGTACCATTATCCTGTCCCAAGATTATACGTGCTTGCTTCATCATTTCATTTAGATCATTCATCGCTCTCTTTCTCGCAGTATCTAGTTTGTACTCTTCCGCACGTTGGAGGATTTTGCGAAGCTTGTGTCTTTCTGAGAAACTCAGCTGACCCTACGTGCGAATAGTGTTAATAGAGACATTACCGTGAGTGATAGAAACGGACCTTACCTCAGTGGACGCAACTTGCAAACTCTTGAAGCACCCGGCACCTTGAAGGAACCAGGTGTTCGCATGCTCATCGTCCAAACAGTCTAATAGAATGTCGGAAGCTTTTATCATCCGACGTGCACACTCGTCTCCTCGTCCAAGCTCATCTAAGGAATCCGCGTAAGTAATATGTCGTCGAGCTCGATCTCCTGGCTTCATTGGCAAGTCTTGCTCCAACCGTTCCATGTCGTCTAAGATCTTGAGCGTCTTTAACCAGTCGCCCTGTTCTTTGGCCTCAAAATAGGACATTTCTAGCAAAGCAAGCAGCTCCCTGGGCCCTCCCGAGGCTGACGTGGTTTGCGCGGCGATAGCACCGTTTAGCAAATGCTGCGCGGAGGCACCTTCGCCAGCCAAACTGCGAAAATGAAACTCTGTAACATCGGTCAACATCTTATTCATCCCACCGGGTTTCGTCAAATCAACAATGTGATCCTCAACCGTCCCGTCGCGGTGAAAAGAGAACATTTTCCAGATTGGTTCGTCCAGGATCGACTGAACCAAGAAGCCAAATTTCTCAACGTCGGCAGAGAATTGTTGAAGCAACGGAGCCATGCCATCTCTGAGTGGCAAGTGCAAGCTGTCTTTAATATCAGGGTTCTCGAAAAAGTTCTTAAACATGTCGCCTATCTTGCTTGCTTTTGCCAGCTCGATGAACATTTTGGCTCCGCTCGTCATCATCGTTTTCTTGTCCATGCCCTTTTCAAGGCCAATTTGATATGCGGCACACTGAAACCAGAGCATGAGTAATTGGGCGTATACTCGTCGAATCGCACCGTAAAGCGGATCTGACAGTGGAAATAACGGATCTGTCTGCAGAACTTTTTCAAGTTCCCCCTTCGCCTCAGCATGGCTCTCCACCATCGTGAGCTGACATTTTGTAAGAGATAACTCAAGCCATGATTGCTCGTTCGATGACAGCCAGTCATTATCTAGATCCTGAGCCTGGTTTCTCCACAATGTACCCAGGACGAGTGTGGCCTCTAGAAGCTCTGAGGCGTTGGCAGCATCGTCCTTGACAAAGCGGTAGACGTTGGACAACAATGAGTTCTTTTCGAATCCAGAAAAGAGGCCGTCGCCTCGAAGCGTCGGTAGGGCAAAAAGGCGATTGATATGCCGTCGTGCTATTGGCTTGACGACTTCATTGAGCCGGCGGTTGTGGTGAAAACCTTCTTCTACACTTAGGAGAAGTACATCGGTCATTGGAAATCCATGAGTGTGTGTTTCTTGGACAATGTCTCCGCTGAGTGAGATCAAAAGGGCGGCAATGTGGTTGTTCCAGGAGTGGTCCACGTGCTGAATCTCATTGTCCCACACAACCTCTTGAAACTTTGGAGAGTTGTGTCTCAATGATTTCTTCCCCCAAACGCTTTGGTGTCGTACAAAAGCGTACTTTCCGGCATGCAAGATCTCATCCGGAGCCATACTCCTCGCGCACAGAGTGAATAGGGGATGCACATGCCAGAGATCGCGCTCATCAGCATGCAGCCTGTCGTCCTCTTCTTCCTCTTCCTCATCCTCCTCCTTGAAAGTTGCTTGGACAGGATGAATAATGCCGGCTTTTTCCAGGCTTTCAAGTATTCGTTCCAGAGTATCCTCGGTGCGAAGTTGGTGATTCACTTCGAACGCATCGACCTCCATATTAATAGTCAAGCTGTAACTGTAAGACCTCTCGCGAGCAAAGCTACCTGATAAGCCCCCAAGCTTCCAGTACATAAAGTAAAAGTACTCGTCGAGTCTGGCAGGCATGATGTTCCAGAAGGGGAAGAGGTGCCACGGAATGATGTATCCTGTGCCGAATGCAGAAAAGAATTCTTGCTGGGAATTGACGGAACGAATCGTCCTCAGGAATCGAGAGTTTTGCGAAATCACCTCGTCCAATGGACAAGCTTCGCTCAGTAACATTTCAAACAGTTCCTTCGTGGATAGGTCGCTTTTCCATAAGTTGGGGAGGACCGCCATGATGGCTTCCGGGTTACCCTCGAGCAAAATGAAAATCCGACGAAGATAGTCAACACTTTGCCTGGTCTCCAGCTTGGCGGCGTTCTGAGGAGCTTTTTCCTTGATCATCCTCTCAGCAAGCAGGGCGGATGCTGACACTGAGAGGCCATCGAGGCAATAAGGGATCATTTCAGGTATAGACTCTGAGACAGGACCACTGGCTACTCGAGAGGCGAATATGAGATATGTTTCGCCGCGACACACCCGCTTGAGGAATGCCCACAGTTTTGCCTGCTCCGGCTCCGGAAAGTGAGCTGTTTGCCAGAAGCCTGGACTATCCAACGTTTCAATGCTGTCCAGGATTAAAGCAATTGGTGTTTGGCGATTGCGTAGAATATCCAAAATAGAGTCCTCCGATAGTATGGTATGGGACGGTGACAATAGCTTGCTGATGTCCGAAATAATATCCTCAAACTTTCCATCCTTGTTCAGTAGCGTCGAGAAATCAAAGTAGTAAGAATCCCCAATGAGATTGGACTTTTTCCACCATGATTCACAGTAATGGAGAAGTGCAGTCTTCCCACAACTGCCTTGCCCATAGAGTAGTAGCTTCCTACTCCTTTTTAGGATATGCTCCATTTCCAGGACGTTGTGGTCTCGGCCAACTATTTCATCCTCAATGTCTTCAGCCACTCCGCGCTTCGATAACATGGCTTTTGCTCTTGAAAATGAAAAGCGACTGTGGCTTTGCTGCTCTGATTTCGATCGGTTGTGCAAGATAGACTTACGATAGTTACCCTGAAGTCTCACCAACGCTCTCTTGACCCTGGCTGGAGCGATGAAACATACTGGATAGCCGCGACGAATTTTTCGGTTTCTGAAGCGGTTGTTGAGTAATGCGGAGTGGTGGCTGACTTCCATCATGATAAGAAACTGGTACAAAGTAATCTCCAAGAGTGATTTTTTGCAGAAAACGGGCGGCTCGCTCAGGTTTCTTCAAAAGTGCTAGTCGGCCATCGTGCGCCGACTGGCTGACATCTCGACCCTGTAGAAGCAACGACTTATAGAAAATTTCCATGAATATCTCCACCGCGCTGTCTATGATCTGGTATGACATGGCGAGGACAAATGGCACGCCAGATTGGACGAGGAGCTGTGCAAAGTTGCCAGTTACGCTGTCATGTGCAACACTGGCAGAATCGCAAGCGTTGGCGATAACACAGGGCACCTTTGCTTTCAACAGAACAGCAGCTATATCGCGACTAGATTTCAGCCTCCCTTTCGTCTGATAGATCTGTTGGCCTGCGACATATCTGCTGAATCGGAGAGAAGCCTCAGCCTCTCCCGTCGCACCAGATTTCTTGACGCTGCCATGCATGTCGAAATGCACAAGCTGGTAATGGCCAGGAAGAACTTCCTCGGTGAGATGAGTAGTGAAATGCTCAAAAGTCGGTGGTCGTAAAATTGTCAGGAGCACTTTGGTATCCGCGTCCGCACGAATCTGGTCGATAATGTTGACCAGACGACGAGAGACGAGTTGATATTCGATATCATTTCGGTGTTTCGGTCGGCAGATGACGAGAAGAATGTTGAAAGTCTTGTCTGGACACCAAACCTTGTGGGCAGCTGTTTCGGAATCGACATTGCTCCCAGCTTGGCCGGAGTCGATGATCCGTCGGATGGTGATGGAACTGAATTTGAACTGCTCAGGCCAGACCGATGGATCTTCCAGCAGTTCCCAGTGCAGAATGAGCAAGGATTGGGAACCCGTCCCTTCTATCTCCACTTCTAAATCCCCACGCCTAGGGAAGAAATGGGCCCGGGAAATGGAAGATGCAAGCTGCCTTGCATAATTCCGAAGACTGGAGTGGATTTCGGCAGATTTGGTCACATCGTATGGATTGTTGACATGATCTTCCAAATACCAGTAAACATCCTTTTCTTGTGAAGGACTGAAGGGATTCACGAGCCTGATTTGTTCTTTAACATCCCCTGATTGTATTTGGGCTGTCCAGCCTTCCACAGGCTCGCTTTCGGCTTGCGCGCACTGGCGAACATGAACGAGGACCATGTTGATTAGGTTGACCGAATGATTGAGAACCTTTTTTTGGGACTCCCAGAGACACCGCTTTCTCTTTTGTCTCTTTCAAAACTACATGACTTTTGTTTTTGGAGAGGGACAGCTGAGGGTCGAGAATCCCAATCGACCTGCGGCTGAAGGCAACGAAACGCCACAAGGTTACATGGTTGCCTACTGCATGACCAGGGTCTTGTTGTTTTTTCTAGGAGGCCGCCAGTGCTTGTGAGATCCGAGAAGAGGCGGCTCTGGATTTGCTGGTCCCTTTAAATTTCGTGGCTCTGCACAACTGCCGTGGATTCGACAGTGACTGGAAGACTGCAAACCATAATCTATCCACACAATGGCCAATCAAGAACCCACCTTCTACCTCCTGAAGCGACGCCTTCCTTCCAATGAGACTCCTCTCATGCTCGGTCGCATTGTGCGTCAGTTCCAAGATCCCACAGCGTCCTACGTGCCGGAAGATCCGTCTCTGATTTTTGCGGGGCTGCAATCGCACATCTTGGAGACGCAGGACCGCGATGTGGAGCTCCTTTCTCGAGCAAGCCGCGATAGCGAACTCGCAGCCAAGCTAAAGGGGCTTCTATCCCTTAACTCCAGCCTCTCGAGGCAAAGCGAGACGCGCGTCGAGTCTTCTTTGGTCATTACACGACGACTGAAGAACTTGGATACTGTATGGGCAGCTTTAAAAGGTGACACTGCCGTTGCGACGCGGGTGCAAGAGATGATTAAGAGCAAGGGCAAGGCTTTCATGGTTACCGGTGTCATGGTGATCCAGAGCGGGAGTATACAACGCTTAGGGGCGCGGCAGTCGGAGCAGGGCGCCTCGGCGCATATTCCAGTTGGAGCAGCCGCTGCCGCGAGTGGAGTTCCTATCCGGGCGGATATCAATGCAGAAGTTTCTGTATCGCATGGAAGTGAGTTGGATTGGTCAATGAAGGGAAATGTAGGCCAAGATGGGACGGATAACTCGGAGGAGATCTTTGCTGTGGAGTATAAGGTGCTCAAACGGGGTTGGTTGGGGAAGGATGTAAAACTGCAAAGTAAAGTCCCTGACTTCAAGGGTGGCTCGACGTACGCTGATGATGATGACGATGATGACGAATCAGATGACGACAAACCCAAGACCCAAATGTCAAGTTCGGATGCTGTTGGGGTGGTGGATGAGGACTTCTTCTCTGGAGCGACTTTCGCCGGACAGAGGCCGAGATTTTCCCAGAGTGGGTTTGTATACTACCCTTGAGCATTTTACCATTTGATAGACTTATGCACTCGTATGTGCTACTGAGCTCTTAAAATACAAGAAGTCCAGCTGGCGAATTCATAGATATTTCCAACCAAGATTCATAGCCTTTCTTATGTTCCAAGACAAGGAGGCCCTAACCAATGGCTTGTGAACATGTTGTAGGAGTTCCTGAACGTGAAATTAGATTTGATGGTTGATTTACACGCCACCATTATCCAATAGCTTAACAATGCACTACAGATGATAAAGGAGGAATCACTATTTGTGATTTTCAACCCCGCTAAAATGTCGTCCATTTGAGGCCAAGGGGTCATTTCCAGAAGTTTAAACCGCCCTATTAGTGGGCTTGACAAGCTTAAATTAGGATAATAGCCTAACTAAGGGAAATTAAATCAGTTAGATTTATATATGACAGGAGGATACCAACCGGGAGCTCTTAAATAAGACCTCTAGTGAATAACATAAGGCTGTAAGAACGGCACTTTCACCTTCAAGTGGCTTTAATTTCGCCCTCGAAATGGTTGTTTGCCTATTTGGGAAGCTAGGGACCCTGCTTCGATGGAGACGTGTGAGCACCCACCACACAACCCTGTCGCGCCCCAGTGAATAGGTGGGCACGCCAATGGGGTTCACGATAATTCCGTATTGAATACGGAACCTGCGACGACTGTGGTTTCGAAAGATAACTGGAGCTCCAGAGAGGCTCGTCTTTCCTTTTGCTATCCCATCGACTGTCATAAGGCAAGAGATACATCACATGTGGGGTAATAGCCAATCATACCTTACTCTGATAGTACGGTTTCGGTCGAGTAATGAACTTTATCTGATTGGTATTCGCAGAAATATGGGCTTCAAAATGAATCGGTATGTACCTGATGCCTTGTGGCAGTGGATGGGATATATGCTGGCTAAGGTATTTAGTTAGGAGGAGTAGGGCTACGCGCAATCCACTTCTGGGAACGAAGCGAAGACCCTGTTTTGACGACGGTGTTGCTAAGATGCAGCCTGAGTCAATAATCTCACGACATCACCACTGTTGGCCTTGGATCTTGAAATTTGCCGCGACAATGGGGCCACTCTCGATTAACGATTTAACAATACTGAGATTTTGCGTCACTTGAAATGAGCTACATAGACACCTACACTATCACAAACAAAAGTCTCAACCGAATTGTGGTTGTAAGTGACAAAGTAAGCTGACATACAGGCCATTGCTAATGCCTTCAGCACGGATGCTAGTTCTACCTGTTACAAGTGGAAAGTGATCCTGATACTGGCTTGTTCCACCACAATTCCATTAATCAAGCCCTTTCTCTGCTTCACGCTCAGCCCATATGCATGCCCTGTTTTTGCGACTCGTAACCCTGCGTAACAGGAGCGTATTCTGTCCGATCGATGACCTCCTTTTCTTGCTGGATCACAGAGCAACAAGGACACCAATAAGCCGCACAGCAATCACCGCACTGACTTCCCTCAATGCCAAACTGCTTTCGAATGTCGATTCTCTTGCTCATTATATAACTATTTTGTCATGTCAGTCTATCAGCGTCTCATGTGATTATTTAATGTCGACGGCACTGGAAGTAGTTAAGAAAAGAGATAGAACTCACAGCCAGTGAAAGCCAATCAAGCCCAAACCAGATAATATCACGCAATCGCCGTTGAAAGGTGAGTAATTAGTCAGTTTGGGGTCGCGCATCCGTTCAGACGTCTTGCCGAGAACTACGATACCCAATTAGTTATCAGTCAAAATTTAGATGGTAATACATCCTACTAACCTATACAAGGCAAGAATGTGGACATCATGCAAGTGCCACATGGACTGCAGTCCAACAAACTGTTGTTCCACTCTCGTTGCTGCTGCATGTTGTCGGTTCTTGGCAGAGTTTGCTCTATGGATGGATAGTCCTGGTAAGGTATGTAGATGGATGTTTCTCAATAGTGTGAGAGTATTGTAAATGAAAGTAAGAATGCGAGATTATCTTGGTAGAAATAAAGGAATGTAGTGAAGAAAGAGTGATGTCTGATGAGTGAGTTGGGAAGCCCAGGTTTCGATTGCAGACCTTTATACATTGTGGTAGATCACCGATAGGAGCCCCTATCAGTTCCAAGAGACTTAAAGCCCCTTAGCTCACCTTTGTAAGTCAGTAGTCACCAATAAGAACGTTGGAAAATTGCCTAGACCGAGAAAAAACAGATGTGATGCATAGGGATGGGAACATCACGTTAGCTAAAAATCTCGTTTCAAATACGACATATTATGTCAGCTGGCACACAATGGAGTAGTGCAATCCGTGGTTGACATAAGTCTGGCATAAGCTGCACAAATCAACCGTAAAAAGGTCCACTTAGTTTTTTGATTCATAATTAATTATACAAGATCGATGGGTCCTGTACATTTTTTCACATCCTTGTGTTACGTCCCTTACCAACCTTGTCTGATTGTACCATCGTCTTACATGTTAATGTAACTAGTCGACAAAGGTGTTCTTCAACTCATAAGCAAAAGTCAAAATGTCCGCGAGAAGATGATTTTCACTTGGGTATTCTAAACCACGCCTCCTCAGCATCAAGAAACTGCAACCTTCCTACTTCAGAGCTTTTAAAAGGGTAATCCTGGTACAAATGTAATTGACTTTTTTCCGTCATGTAGCCTTCGGGGTACATCCTAGCTTTCAATGAACCTAAGCGATTATTTACCTTTACGGAAGCTATTACGATTGAAACTTTCATCGCAGTGTCGTAATATGTTGTTTACTCATCCAACTGACTTCTTTGAAATTATTATAGCATTCAAAAGGGTTAATACCGCCCACTCCTGCCTATTCCACAAGTCTCAAGGTTTAATCGGCTTCGAGGCGGGCGCGGGGACATAACGCCCGACCACAGAGTGCCGATGGGCTAACTTTGTTCAAATGACTGTACTCGGGTGACATCTGTCGGATTGCCTTTGGGCGTTCCCATAACGGTTCAGTGAATGGATAGGCGAGTGTTTCTGTACAGATTATCTGATAATCTTAGTCCTACAAGTTTCCGATAGGGCTCAGAGAGTAACACAGTTCACACTTGGGCTACCTGAGTTTCGTTGTATAAGACACAAAGTATAAGGAAGTTCCATTTTCATGTCACAAGATTCAAACAGCAAATTTCAAATAGTCTGAAAGTTCATCGTGATTGTACGTATCATTATTGGTTTTGTTGATGTCGGTGACACGCACCCATCCAGTCTATACTGTGTCCAAATCCCCCTTTTTATGTACATTAAATCTAGTAAATAATTTGTGTGCGCAACATTGAGTCAAATGAAAAATTTTCCCCGTAGCTAAGGGAAAGGGTATAAGTGCATTTAGAAGTGAGGAGCGTTGAGGAAAAGTCCCATGAGGACACCGCCGAGGGTGCCGGCAATAGGGATGGTCATGATCCAGGAGAAGACCAAGAGACCAACACGCTGGAAGTTGACGGCCTTGAGGGTGCCGTTGCAAAGACCGACACCGACGGTAGCTCCAGTAATGCACATGGAGGTAGAGACGGGCAGGGAGAACTGAGAGAAGACCAGGACGGTAATGGCGGCACCCATCTCCATGGAGCTGCCACGGCTGGGGGAGTGGTAGGTGATCTTGTTACCCATGACTATTGATTGATTGTTAGTGGGTCTGTTTCAAAGAGTGGATTTGGCATATCAACTTACCCTTCATGATGTTGTAGCCGTAGGTGATCAGACCAAGAGAGATGGTAGCGGAGAGGACAGCGAGCTGCCAGACAGGGACGGGGGCCTTGGCAGCAGCGGCATCACCAGTGCTCCAGGCAGAGTAGATAACAGCCCAGGGACCGACGGAGTTACCGATATCGTTGGCACCGTGGGCGAAAGAAGCAGTGCAGGCAGTGATGATCTGGACGAAAGAGTAGGTGTGCTCGACCTCGTTGGGGTACTTCTTAGCGCTGGCATAGACGCGTCTCATGCGCTCACCCTCGGGGGTACCGGCGACACCAGTCTGAGCGGCGTGAATGTCGTAGTGAAGACCGTAGAGGGCACCGACAACGATCATGGCGGGAATGCGCTTGAGGAGAATCTTCATGTTGTGGATCTCGTAGATCTGACCGGCACCCATGGGGTTGTCGCGGAGAAGGCGCATGGCCCAGCCGAGAGGGCCACGCTTCTTGAGGAGCTTAGCGTGAAGCTTAGCCTCACCCTCGGCCTGGAGCTGCTTGTAGGTAGGACCCTGGCCAATCTCGGCGGCAGCAAGGGACTTCTCGTGGGGGATCTGGATCTCCTTGCTCTCCTTGAGAGGCTCGTCACCGGACTCGGAAGAGGGGGCAGACTTGTGCTGGGGGAGGGTCTCCTCATCCTCATCCTCCTGGACGACGGCGTAGTTGGGGACCTTGGCCTGCTCGGCATCGGCGGGGGCAGGGCGCTTGAAGAGGAGAGGACCCTGGATGAAGTGGTACCACTTGATGGTGTAGTCCTTTTTGATGACCTTGGCGTGGACGAAAGGCACGAAGAAGAGGGCGGAGAGGACGGCAAGGCCACCGCCGGTACCCATGGTGACGGCGGCAATGTACCAAGAGGGCTTCTTGTTCAGGCCCAGGTTGGGGGAACCCTTGTAGACGATGGAAAGCGTGCAGACGGTACCGGCGATGAGGAAGAAGAAGGGCGAGGTCCAGACGGCCCAGGGGACGGGGTTCTTGCGGAGGTGGACGACGACCTTGATGAGCATGAAGATGATGGCACCGAAGCAGGCCGAGATGGCGGGAGCCATGCCCAAGCCGGCGAAAATGGCACCAAGACCCTTTCCGTTGTTCCAACCCCACTGAACCTTGTCGGCACCGGCAGTGGCGACACCAACACCAGCGACGGCAGAAATCAGAGAGTAGGTGGAGGAGACGTGAGCAGAGTGGCGCGTGCACCACATGACCCAGGTAGAGGCGGCAGCAAGGGCGCAGGTGAAGGCGAGCATCTGGACACCGGCGTTGTCGTTGAAGGCGCTGTTGGGGATGATACCGTTCTTGATGGTCTCGGCGGTACGGGCACCGACGGTGATGGCTCCGAGCATCTCAAAGATGGTGCCGAAGATCATGGCCTGTCTGTAGGTAATGGAACGAGACGACACACTGGTCGCCCAAGCGTTTGCAACATCGTCTAAAGGTTCATACGAGTCAGTGCCTGAAAGCTTCTAATGGTTGAAAGAAAGATTTGGACGTTAGGCAGAAGGCCAATGCTTGAGGCCACCACCCAGTTTATACAGTAAAACGTAATCAGTCGAGATATTGGGGGTTGTACTCACTTGCACCGTTGTTGTATGCATCGAGCATAGCAAAGAATGTGCCAATGGCAAAGACGTAAGTGTATTGGTCGAGCGCCATTGTGACTGACTGCTCCTTGGTTGTTATTGGGCGGGCAGTGGGTGTGTTGTTGGTCTCGAAGAGGAGGGGAGAAGGGTGCTTGCTTGCTGGGGACAGGACAGACACACAAAACAAACTCGAGAGATTGAGTGTGCGCGATAGACCTTATATGTGTCTTCTTGGCGGGTATTGATTGTGTATGAGAGAGTGTGTGGCGTCGGCAACCAGCGGTACGCAGAACCCAACTTTTGCTCGTAAGTCAACCCATGCCCCCTAGTCTGTTCTGTCTTTCTCTCTCTCCTCTCTGTCTCCTCTCACTCTCCAGGTTGACAAGTTTGACAGGGTCTCGCCCTTGGGCTTTGGTAGACAGACGCCTCCCACATGGTGCTCCGTGGTCGATGAACCCGATGGGTAGACCGGACGGGATGCATCAAGGGTATCAAATATGGTTAGCGTGCCAAGATGTCGGTATCCCTAGCATACTAGTACAAGGTCCACCTAGCAAGCTTTATTCGGGCGAGGAATCTCATCCCGCAAAGATTGGGGGTGCATCCGGAGTCGACGAATCATACATCGCCAACTCTCCACGTGTAGGATCTCTTCGCTACAGTTGTTTGACATGAACCCAACCCCCCCTGCTTGTTGGTGCATGCCGAACAAGATATAGAGGGAGCGCCAAGCCCTCTAGTCTCGTCTTGTTCGTCTCGACTGTTACTACATGGTGCTATTGCTGGGTGTAGCACACGACCTTTTTTTTTTTCCTCTTGCTCGAGAGAATATTACGCCGGACTGGCGAACCCCACGCACGCCTCCTCCGACTGACGCTCGACCTACCGATAAGGGTTTGCCGCTCCGGTCATCCTTTTCTTACGACGTTTTTCTCGCTACTACACTACTAGGAATGGACACCGAATCCTCCTTTTACCCCACCAACATGAAATGTTTCTCCTTTTGAATCGCAACTAGGCCCGACTCGAACTGGGGAAATCCCTCACCCCCTCAGCCACTCACGGCCAATCCCTCCCAGATCAACGTTGATCCGATGTCTCTCTCGACCACCCGGAATGCGCGTCCGAAGCACGTTGTTGAAAAAGTCTGTCGCCATATCTGCGCAACCAGCTCTTGGCACTTCGGTGCCGAGTTGGGTATAGTCCCACAGGCGACTGACGATAGACGCCTCAACGACCCCAAATACACATGTTCGTATTGGCTGCTTGACGAGCCGAAGCATTTTAGCTGAAGCCCATGAATGCCCAATTGTGACCGAGGGACGCATGAATCTGCCCAGCTGCACCAAATTGGCTCACACAATGAGCTGAATCACACGAAAAGAATGGTCATACACTCGGTGCCCGTTCGAGGTAGATCGCCCGCGACCTTCTGGACTGAGAGAGGGATTGATTGTCAGAACATGACTAGTTTTACCGCCACAAGCCAGAGACGCCTAATTGCGCCTAGTTGAGTACCCTGCGGCTTGTTCCTTTTCTACTGCAAAGTAATTTTCGCAAGGCTGGCACACGTGTCTGTTCTAATTTCTTCCGAGCGGTATGATTATTTTGGTGGTTCATTGTTTTCATAACGTCGCTACGTTGGAAATTTACGAAGAAAAAAAAAAAAAAAGAAGGACAAAAACACGAATAACGGCAATTACCATCAATTTAAAACTGACGTTGAAAACACGCAGAATGTACCTCATCGCCAAGTCGGCTACCCGATGCCAGGACGCAACCAAGCCTGTCGAACCCGTCGATCGGGATCGAAGGAACACTTGACATAACATTGGCAGAGGGTTGGCAAAGCTTGCCACAGGCTGAAAAAAAAGACCAAGCATTCCGCCTCCCTGACGACAAGAGTCTCGGCGATCCAATCCCAGTCTTCAGAGGATGGAAAGGGCTGCACGCCACGACTTTGGTGGGATGGGTTGAGAAGCTTGACGCCTACCAAGCATTCTCGGCGACCCTGAAAGTGACACCACAGGGTCATCAGCTGAAGAAGGCCAGATTTCTCGGCGACCCGAGTGTTCGGGTTCTGTTCCACATGTCATCCGAATTTCTTTCTTTCTTTTTTTTTTTTTTTTCCTCCTATTTTGCGTCCTCCAAGACCGTGTTGCCTCCGAATCACGTTCTAGGCGGCCAAGGCCCCGACCCCCACTTCCCCGGCAGACCCGCCCACCCGTTCCGCAGTCCGAGCCCACGTGCTCGCTTCGTAGGCCAGGAGTGACCGCACCTGAGCTTCGAGGCCAAGCCGGCGCAATTTTGGCTGGGCGATGCCTCGGCGATAGCGGTGCAAGGGGGGAGGGGACTTGCAACCTGGTCCTGGCGTGTTCATCGGCGCAATCATCTGCAGCGGCATACCACCTGGGGCTGCGAGATGAGGTACATGGCGAAAAATGATCCCAGGCGTTATTGGATCTTTTGACGCAGGGCTGCTTAGTATGACATCGCCTGAGCTTCGATCTAGAAGCTTTGATGGAACATTTGCCTGCACGGCACGGGGGTGGCTGTGTCAGGGTCTGGGAAGTTGTTGCATTGGCTGTTAAGACATCTTTCATCACTCGACTTGGCGCGCTTGGCTGAGACGATGCACCGAGTCTTGCCACGTTAAATACGATGACATTCGATGAAGCAAAATCTGGTGAGATCTCCTTACTTTGAGTCTTGGCATTCTTTCATCATGCCTCTGTCAAACCGCCACTCTATCGATCAATGCTTGAGACTTTGAGAAGCAAGATGACGAGGTGATGAGGTGAAAGTCACCACCAGCAGCCTTTCAAGGGACAGTGGTGTGTGGTAGTGTCGGGCCATCTCCGTTCTGTGCACTGGCGTTAACTCCATTGTGCTCCAGCCACCCTGGCATGATCTTGACTTGCTGCTCTTGCTGTAGCATTTGGTGAAGGACAGTACAGCCAAGTGTATCTCTGCCATTGATGCTGATTTCGAGATTTTTGATGAGCGAGGTAGTTTCGAAGGAGTATTGAAGCGCAGAAAGAATCGCATGCTTGTTGCTACAAGGTTCATTAAGATCAACCCCCCTTGCTAACCACTTGATGCAGCTAACCACTTGATGCAGGAGTCCCAGAAGACCATTCCGAATCAAGTCAAATGTCACCGTAGTTTGTTGGTTCCACCGCAGTATGTGGAGATATCCATGGTAGCAAGTGCTTGCCACGTGAAGATGACCATGGGCGCCCCTTCTTGATCGTGCTCTTCTAGGATGTATCCATCCAGACCAAGAAATGCCAGTCAGCCTATGTCTGCCTCGAGATTTATCATATTCAAGTTAACGTAAAACTCGATTGGTTATGCTAAATCTCCAGGGCTTTGCACGTAATCTTTCTGTATCAGAAACAGTTTGATAGGCTGATGTACAAATGTGACCCTTTGGGCATAATCCACTTTGAAGAGGTGGGGGCATCTTCCCTGGAAGAAAGGTTCCATGTTCAGAACCAGTTTAACGTTTTGAAGCCGGCCTAGACGGTTCATCATGCCTAGCCAAATGGCATTTCGCCAATCGTAAGTAGCCGTCTAGCCACCAAGACCCAAGAGAGCGAGGATAATAGAGCGGGCCAGATCTGCTGTCAACTGAAACCATGATTTGGTGACAAAGGCATTCATTCCCGAAAGCAGGCTGTTGAGCTCTTCGAGTTTCTGCTGGGTGACTGGCCTACTCTGAGACCAATGCCGTCGATGAAAAAGAAACAAGCCAGCGAAGCCCATTGAAACATGGCATCAGCTCCCTCTTCAAAAGCTGATAAGATGTGATTCTTCAGATGATTTTCAAAGGTCTTTCTTTGGTCGTATTCAAGTATTGAATCCGAAAGATATGCCGTTACATCGAACCAACTTTGCTATGTTGACACGAGGTGCAAATGAATAGAACGAGAGCTCAAAATTTTCTCGACATCTGGCTAAGTCCTGCTTGTGATGGCGGTATGGACTGTGGTCTTGCTGTTCGCAGTGGGTTCGATAATCCGACGCCTTGGACAGCCTCAAGTCTTTTTGATACCAGCTGGTGTATCAGTGAGGACTTGAGATTCTTGTGGTGCGTGCTCAATCGTCCTTGTATGAGCAGAAAAAGGAGGTTATTGTTGAAGGGCTTGAAATACGATTGCGAAGATTTTGGACTAAGAAGCGGGAAAATATCGACATGCCGCGGCCTGGCTATCCGTCAAGCCGGAAAATGTCGCTCCCAAAATTCGACAGCCAATGCTTGACTGCATCTTCGTTCCACAACCATTTCCAGGTATCTCGAAGGCTTTCATGACCACTGTAAAGATATTCGACATAGTCGAACAGCTTGAAATTGACAGAGTTCACATGGTTGGGTGTGGCTGCGAGCTGTCCACCCGTTTTGATCCAGTCCTCGTTCCAGGCCGCCGTAGACGTGCTCAAATCTACCAATGGGATGGCGATTGGCGGGGCAACTCTTCCAACCAACACGACTTACCGCGCGGCATCAACCCGACCTGGAGGCATCTATTTCAAGTTCCTTTCTACTTCGTTTTTTGCTCGCCCCGCATCGCTCTGCAAATACTTCGCAAGTAAACTTGCCAATTCAGTATTTAACTCAGTGTCGCGCCTGCGCCAAGCTTCTACTCAATTCTCTCCTAGGCACGGTAGCATCTCGACGACGAGCGACCTGCTGAAGGGTGAAGGGTCATGTCTTCGCCGCCGCTAACACCTCCCTCGAAGGATCCAACCTCGGAAAGGAATTACAGGTTCCAGCAGACTGGCACCCCATGCGAGTGGGCAGAATCTTATCGTCCTGGGGGCTTTCACCCAGTTCATTTAGGTGATATTTTCAATGGGCGGTATGAGGCCATTCGGAAGCTTGGAAATGGGTCGTTTGGTACGGTCTGGCTTGCCCATGATGGAGCGTAAGTTTTACGACCGCGTTTCTTCCATCGAATAATGCGGCCTAATGGGAATGTGTCCAGCGCTAGCCGCTACGTTGCGTTGAAGATTGAAGTATCAACGCGGCGTAAACCGAACGAGCTAGGCATTCAACAGCTGCTTGCTAAGAGAGCATCGGAAGACCCAGGTTCAAGACATGTGGTCAATCTTCTGGATTCGTTTTATCAAGACGGCCCGAATGGAAGCCATCTCTGTTTGGTCTTTGAGCCCATGGGCCCAAGCCTGTCTTCAGTCCTCAACGCCCCCGTCGAGATCTACGACCCCCTTAACCCACCCGTACGACGCTTCGAGATGGCCAAGACCAAACGCATCTTGCGCCAGGTGCTCTTGGGCCTTCGTTTTCTTCATGACAGTGGCGTTGTACACGGTGACCTTCAGTCTGGCAACGTGCTATTCGCCTTACAAGACCTCAGTCGGTTCGGGCGCGAAGCGCTCAAGCAGAAGACAGACAAATCTCGTATCGACCCGGTGCAACGCATCGACGGCAAGCTTGACAAATGGGCTCCGAGGTATCTTGTGGTTTCTGAGCCGCTGTCTGAATACGCCCTTTCGGGCAGCGATGAGGTGGTGAAGCTTTCAGATCTTGGAGAAGGTATGTACCTTGGACCCTTATCGGCCACTCATTACTGAAGCACTTCCAGCTTTCCGCAGCGATGATCCACCAAAGACCGTCGCTACTCCGGTATCATTACGAGCCCCGGAAACGATTCTGAAAAAAAATCCATTGGAACCGGCATCGATACCTGGAGTTTCGGATGCCTTGTCTTTGAGCTCATCACTGGCGTGGCTTTATTCCAAATACCACCTTTCGGGCTAAGTGACGAGGCGGTGAAAGACACACATCTGATCCAGATGACCGACATCCTCGGGCCGCTTCCAGATGATTTGCTGGAAAATTGGCCGGCGCGGTCGAAGTACTATGGGCCAGAAGGAGAAAGGCTCGATGCTCGGCCACGGGACTTTGACGAAGATGAATCAGACGGAGATGATGTTTCCGATCACGAAGACATTGAGGAGGAGTTTGATGACGAGGAAGATTTCGATTTCGATATGGGCAACCGTGGACCGCCAATGGTTTATGATTCCCTGGAAAAGCTCATCAACACCCATAAGCCAGCTGGTGTCAATGACGAAGAGGAAAAGCAGATCATTGGGCTTCTCAGATCTATTTTCCATTATAATTCTGACAAACGCCCTTCTGTTGCCGTTTTGTTGCAAAACTGTTGGATAAATAGTTGAGGTAGTAATGGGTTGCAGTGTATTGCCGCTGATCCTTTGATTGACCCTTTAATTATTGTCACTTGTTTGAGACATGACGAAAGCGACGTCAGTAAAACCTGGGTTGGCTAACCCCAGTTGTGGTGGTGCTCTGCAAGGCATCATAAACCACGACTTGATGGCGAGAGACCAGTAAAAAGCAATGGCGATTGGCAAATACAGTTGCGAGCGACTCGGTGAGGTCTCGGAAGCGGCCGCGGGACCCACAGGGAGGACTCCCGGCGAGGAAAACGAGTTCCACACCGAGCAGCGACGGTGAACGGTCCGGTTGCCCCTCATCTTGGCACGGCACCCGATTTCCGCCTATTAGCTGTATTAAGGCCCAACGCAAGGAGGAGGCTCGATAAATCGGCCCTTCTCAGGCGTTTGTTCTCAAACGTCTCACGACAACGACTTTAGGGCCCTAATCATCACCCGTCAACCTCTTGTCATGATGGCCGGGAAGAAGACCGCTCTCGTCTTCGGCGCTAGTGGCGTCTCTGGCTGGTCCTTTGTCAACGAGGTCTTACACGACTATCCCCAGGAGGGTGTCTGGGATGGCTGCATCGCATTGACGAATAGGCCGCTGGATCACCAGAAGACGCTGTGGCCTAAGGATGAGAGACTATCTCTGGTTTCAGGTGTTGACTTGTTGAAAGGCAGCCAAGATGACCTGAATCGGGTGATGAAAGAAAAGGTTCTGTGGGTTGGCCAGATAACCCACGTCTTCTATCTTGGTAAGTGGGCTTCATTTGTTGGAATTACAGCGTAGGCGTGCTGACTGAGAGGCACTTGGTAGCATACAAGGCTCATACGGATCTCAACTATGAAGCCGAGTGTGAGGAAAACATCGAGATGTTCAAGAGAGCTGTCATCGCTGTGGATACTCTTTCACCGGCGCTCGAGTTTGTAGTCTTGCAGACGGGCGCTAAATCTTACGGCTGTCACCTCCTCCGTGACAGACCGAGCAACATGGTCCCACCGCTGGCAGAGACGTTGCCAAGACTGAGTCCGCCGCATGACGCAGGTCTCTTCTACTACCCGCAGGTGGACTGGATCTCCGAGTACTCGAAGAATAAGTCTTGGTCATGGTGTGAAACGAGACCTGATATTGTAGTCGGTTTCGTGCCGAACGGGAACTGGTACTCCCTCGGTACCGTCTTGGGCATCTTCTTCAGCCTTTTCCTACATGTACACGGCCTTGGTGCTGAATGTCCGTTTCCTGGATCCCAAGACAGTTGGAATGCGCTTAGTATCGACGCCTCAGCCGACATGATTGCAAGACAGACCATTCATCTGTCCACAACAGCCGTCCTACGTATCAAGAAAGGCGATGCTTTCAACGTCGGAGATGCGAAAACGCCGTCATGCTGGCGAGAAAAGTGGCCGATTCTATGCGAATATTTTGGCCTAAAAGGAGTGAAGCGCGAGCAAGATAACCCAATCGAAGTGCGAAGTTTTATCCGAGAGAACTTGTCGAAATGGGAGGAGTTGGAGGATAAGCATGGACTTGAGAAAGGGCATGCCGACAACCCTAAGATTTATCCTGGATTCGAGTATTTTCTCATAACGCAGTTCGATACAGATCGACATTACGACATGTCGAAGATGTACGGTACTGGCTTTGGCGAGGAGTCGTCAACAATTGAGGCTTGGGGGAAGGTGTTTGACAGGATGAGGGATGCTAAGATCATCCCTTCGGCCCTAGGATGATAGTGAAGCTGATATCAAAGAGGGCGACTATTTGGTCTGCGTCAATTTGCGGGCGTGTGGATGAGAGAAGAGAGCTTGGCGACCAAAAGAGATCAAAAAGGAGGAAAAATGAAATGACTCTGCTTCTTGGAGGCCGTTAAGAATGACCGAGGCCAAATCGGAACGATCCCAACACAGATAGAACACCCATGTGCGTTATTTTCGAGCTCTCTCGGTGACGCTTTGAGAAGAGGTGCGTGGCATTCAAAATTGCCTGCTCAATCCGGCCTGGATCTGTCGCAGCAAAGTGGCTCGAAACGCCATAGCCACCCATCGCTAGCCATCGCCATGGTCCTACAGGTCTTGGCGTAAAAGCTGTATTGATGCCAAGAAGACGTGATAGCTTCTCGTTGGTCGTTATTAAAACCAGTCTTGGCATCAACCTCCAGCTGTCAACAGTCGGCAACATTTGGTACATTACTTTTTTCCAAACCCCAGCTTGTTGTGCATATCGCGCGAGTCATCTCACAATTTTCTACTGGCCCAACGACACGGCACCATGCTCGGCAGTTCGTCTTCGGCTTGCTCATCCGTACTATCAAGGCCTGCAAGGCTGCCCATGCTGTGTAAGATGATGAGAAAAAAACTTTTGAGTTTTGAGTGGTTGAGCAAAAGTGCTCACTAGTCCAAATCGCGTAACTAGGCCTAGAGACTATTCTCTCGGGCGCATCCACTTACTCTGTTTCTCTGACAGGTTCTCGTCAGCCTTAGAGAAGAACGTGAGCACCGCGTTGGTGATGAAATGTCAACGTTGCACCCACGCGTTGTTAGTGACCATTGACGCTGTGTGCTAACTGCAGCTATGATGAGATTAGTCTGGGCACTCTGCTTTCCACTGCCGGAATTTGGAGAAGAGAACTCGGCACAGGACACCTTCGCAGCGAATAGCCGTAGAGTGGCTGCATCAAGCAACGCCATCCAACGGGCACGGATGGCAGATCGTGCGGCGTCATCCGGCTTGGGCCTGTCACATCCCTCATCCTCCAATGTGAGTTCATATCACAACAGCACCTGCAGTTCGGTTAACATGTCTCCCAGCATTTCGGGTCTGTTCTCCAAATTTCCACATCGCAAATGTGACAACAAGGACAAAATATTTGGAGATGGCGCATGGGGTTTCCAATTGTCGCAGACACGGCTCCTCACAAATGCGCCGCACCATCGGGGAAAACTCTGAGCTCCATTCGGTACATAGTATGCTATCTGTCAGTCTGAAACTCATCCAACTAGCTCAGGTCATAACTCTTATGCAGGCGAATCAAATCACAAGAGGAGCAACATAAATCAAAAGTATCGGGTTATGAAGGTGACATCACTTCTCTACCCCCAGCCCAACCCTGGCAAAGCCCGGGAAGCCTCCGCTTCGTCTCTTTGACCAATAACGGTTGGACATCTCCACGAACCGAGTGTCCTTCGGACCAACATTGCATCGAGCATCCCCATACCCCAGAAACTGCCACTACCAACTCATCCAATCATCACCCTCAACGCTTGTATGTGTGTCCACACCCTTCTCACATGATGCCCGTCTCGAAGGCTTTTGATTCGGGGGATTCCAAGTCGAGACTGGGCACGCCCAGTATGCACCACGAACTCCAAAAGCTCTCCAGAGATCCACATTGTCTCTCTCAACTGGTTCCCCAACCTTCACCCCTCATAATGGATGGGGTGAGAACTTGGGTTTCAGCGACTCAGAGCGCAGCATCCTCACCCCCGCAATCCTCTTCAAACGTTCGTTACCCCAGACTCAAGCCTACATAGTACCATTTTGGCCCCGCATCAGTACCTAAAGTCTTGGATTGTACGCCGTCTTTGCCTCCCTTACGAGGGATTGCCGGTCATGGCAAACTGGGGTAACGTCTCATCGTCAGCGTAGTGCGTCGGTGCCATGGGGAACATCAGGCTCAGATCGACCGAGAGTACGGCCGGTTCGACTTTTTTATAAGCTTTCGTCCGACCCAGTTCCCCCTCGTTCCAAGACCTCTCTGTCTCTGGCGCGCGCACCGAGAAACCTGACGTCCGAGCGACCTAAACGGCTACCACCGTCTGTCAATCTGTCTTGCCACCTCGAGGGTTTGGCTGCGATACAAACCACCATCTTTCGAGTCGCGATCGCCTCTAGCCTCTCTATCCATTATTACAGACAGTCCGAATCAATCGAACTCACAAGATGGGTGTGAAGGAGTTCTTCAAAAAGCGGTCCTTGCGCCAAAAGGATAATGGGCGGACCAACGCTGCTGAGTTGACCTTGAAGGAGTCGCTCTACCCCATTATCCTAGTCACCATCCTCTTCTTTCTTTGGGGTTTCTCTTACGGTATGTCGCAAGTCGCTGTTCGGCCGGGAATCGATCTTGGCTCTTACGATTGCTGACGTATTCGTAATAGGTCTGCTTGACACCCTCAACAAGCACTTTCAAGTTACGCTCGGCATCACCAGAGCTAGGTCTTCCGGTTTGCAAGCCGCTTATTTTGGGTAAGTAATGTCATCTCGTCATGAATCAAGTCCACTTCTGGCCGGTCTAAAAGTTACGACCTACCGACTGATCCCTCCTATCTCCTCCGCACATCCCAAGGATAGCGCAGTAGCGCCTTGAAGAATAATATGCAGAGCAAACACTATCGCGGTCCTAGGAAATATCAACGCAAAAGTCCTCATGTACTGACTTGCCATCTGCAGCGCATACCTCCTCGCGAGTCTTGGTCATGCCGCCTGGATTCTGAGACACTGGGGCTACAAGGCCACCTTCGTCTTCGGCCTGTTCCTCTACGGCCTCGGCGCCATCATCGCAATCCCCTGCATCATCGCCAAGAGTTTCGGCGGCTTCTGTGCCGCGATTTTCATCATCGGCAACGGCCTCGGCTCCCTCGAGACGGCTGCGAACCCGTACATCACCGTCTGCGGCCCCCCCAAGCACAGCGAAATCCGAATCAATATCTCGCAGGCCTTCAACGGTATCGGTACCGTCGTAGCTCCCGTTATGGGATCCTACGTCTTCTTCAACTTTGACGACGAGCGCGCTCTGCAGAACGTCCAGTGGGTCTACCTCGCCATCGCCGTCTTCGTCTGGGCCCTTGCCATAGTCTTTTGGCTCTCCCATATCCCCGAGATTACCGACGCCGACATGGAGTTCCAGGCCTCCGAGACCCATGCCAACACCGATAGCAAGCCTTTCATCAAGCAGTACCGCCTGTTCCATGCGTCTTTTGCTCAATTTTGCTACACTGGTGCTCAGGTTGCCATTGCTGGGTTAGCTCCTGTTTTTCCTTGCCGCTTCTACACCAGGGTTTGCTAATTTTCTCTTAGATTCTTCATCAACTACGTAACTGAACGTCGCGAGAACACCGACAACGCACTCGGTGCCAAGTTCCTCGCAGGTGCTCAGGCAGCTTTCGCAATCGGCCGATTCGTTGGTGTCGGTATCATGAACTATATCAAGCCTCGCTGGGTTTTCCTGGCGTTCCTCTCCAGTTGCGTCATCTTCATTGCGCCGTCCATCACTCAGGTCGGCAACACTGGTATGGCAATGCTGTATGTTGTCCTGTTCTTCGAGTCCATCTGTTTCCCGACCATTGTGGCGCTTGGTATGAGGGGTCTTGGAAGGCATTCCAAGCGAGGCAGCGGCTTCATCATTGCTGGTAAGTGATGCGTATCCAACTATTGACCCTTGGATGAAAATCTGACCTTCTGCAGGTGTCTCCGGTGGTGCTGTGGTTCCTCCTTTGCTTGGCGTCGTTGCCGACAGCACAAGGAACATGGGAACCGCCATGGTTATTCCGCTCGTCTTCTTCGTCTTGGCATGGTCTTACGCCTTCGCTGTCAACTTTATCCCCAGCTACCGCAACGTCGTGGATGCTTTCACAGAGACCGACATTGGTGTTAGGCCTGTTGAAGAGGAGAAGGGAGGAATCGAAGCCGTCGAGGATAAGCAGGCAAAGAACGATATTCCTACCGTGCGTTGATCTGGTTGCGATTGGAGACGAAGTAAGCCAGACAAACTGGTCGTGGAAGGACTTGTAATTTTCCTATGAGATACCACCTTAGTATTCCCGCGTAAACTCAAACCGTGCAACTTGGCTGGTTGAAGTTAATTTGATTGTCTATATTTAACTCAGCCCTTCAAACCCGCTTTTGTCTCGTATATCAAATAAGAGGTGACAACCAATTATGCCGTTTCTTTAGCCTTGATAATTCTTAGCCCCGAATGTGGGCGGGAGGGTTTGTAGAAGTGGCCGAGTTTTGAAGGGGATGAATCGGAAGTTGGAAGAATGCAGCAACGGGCCGTGGCAAGGATTACGTTCCGAATATCACTGAAGAATTCGGGAAGGAATGCCAAGAAGTTCTAGCTTCTGTGTAGTATTCTCGTGCTGAATCACCTATCGCACTAACATGGATCGCCAAGAGTTAGGCGAGAAACAAACTTGCCGTGCCGTATTATAGAATACCCGTGGCTATAAGCTTCGTCATACCCTTGTCTCGGTTTGTATTGTACCTGGCAGGTAGTACGTGTATCGCCGACAACATACCCTTACCTTTACTGTAGATACTTCTTTCTCAAGGTTTCATCAAGGGCACACACTAGGTCGGCTAAGTGAACAAGAGCATATTTAAAAGGTATGGAACCGCACAGACGGCTTATTTTCTGTTCCAACCGGAGAATATGGACATAGCTCTTTCAAGGTCAGTCGACCTGTACTCTGCGACATGATGTAACAAGATCTTGCGTATGAAATAGAAACACATGTCCAACATGCATCCGAAGCCTTTAATGATGCATTTTCACTGGCGACATGGAGTAAGCTGGATCCCAATTATCTTATCACAACTTCACAGTCAGCAAAAAGCTGTGGACAAGCTTGAGAAGATACGGTGAAATTTGAGGAATCGTACGTGTCAGGGATTATTAACGCACCCTAAAGATCGTACACATTGGCATGAGAATGAAAGAGGATTAAAGTGAAGTAGCAGGGAAAATTAGCGGTTCGGCCGACAATCATTTTTGATACCAAGAATGTCAAATGCCCATCATTCAATCTTCTGAGCGCATTTTCGTCGCATGAAATCAATTATTAAGAAGCGATTATCTTCGCGGTCGGTATTGGACTGGCCATTTTGTCTGCCTAAAGACGATCTATAGCCAAGGGTATTCTTTCTATGAGCCATGGTCAAGGAAAGAAATTAAAATGTTAAGCAAAGTGATAGAATAATTGAGCCGTTCGCAAAATTCTATTTGGTAACCATGTTCCTTGACGCGGTGATGTGCTTCGTTCATTAAGTTCTCAGTGTTGAGTAGGAGTAATGTCGTCTCCCTTGTCGTTTCAACAGTGGCACCTCGAAAACGGCATCAAACACCTTTATTTATTAATTCAGTCATATTTGAAAGATTATGGACTCCTGAAATCTCCGACGGTTCTCCTGGTTTTGCTGCAATTGCTCTAGATCTGCCAGGAACGTTGTCGCATGGACGGATAAGGTCACGGACAACAGTATCAGGTGGTAATGGCCATACTACGACGGAGAATACCTAGCTCGTGCACGATGGCGTTCTCTGTGTCGTTGCTTTCCAGGGTCTGGACTGCTATCTTTGTCAAAACCTCGTGGCTAGACTTTTGGGCACGTCCCTAGTCAAGCCAAGCTGAGGCCTTCATGGCACTAACGCAGTTCAGCCCTGCTTTGCAGCTGTCTAAAGGCCATCCTTACCATACAGTCGGTATTCCATCCAAAACAAGTTCGTACATTACTTAAAGGTAGCCACCGACAAAATGGGTTTCTTGTGTCTGGGGATTTCATTGTATAACATCATCTCTCAATTTGTTTCGCACAATATCAACTGCGTGCTCCGTCGAGTCTCTAATCAAAGGCCAAGTTGAGATGTATCTGGCAACGAAACATCGACCATGGAATCAAGATCAGGAGGAGTTCAAGAGAGGCCGCAGATCAAAATACAGCAAGTGGTGGATTGCTGCTATTTCTACTGTTGCGTTCACCACACACTACTTGTTCGGCCCAGCTCCGATGATCAAGCCAGCCCCTGCAACCTTCGAGGCATGTCTCATTGATCTTTGCGCAGGTCGACCTGACTGCGTACGATTCTCCGCACAGAGAGGTTATGAGTTTTATATTAATTGGGCGCGTCCTTTCAACCTCGCGCGCAGCTGTATACCGACAGCTGTTATACGGCCAAAAAGCACGGAGGAGGTAGCAGGAGCCGTCAAGTGTGCCGCGAAGCACGGCATCAAGGTCCAGGCACGATCTGGCGGTCATTCATTCGCGTAAGTATAACTTCCCCAGAATTATAACCATCAGTCTTTGACTGTAACTGATGTATAAGGTAGAAACCATGGTAAGTAAATCCATACTCATCTACAACCTATGGTGCCTTCAACAATGGAGTTTTCTCTGACACTGCTGGATCAGGATTGGGTGGCAAGGATGGAGCGTTGTCGATTGATCTTGTAAATCTTCAGTATGTTGAAGTTAATACAACGGATCCATCGTGGCACGTTAAAGTAGGAGCCGGTACGAGGTTGAGCCAAGTAGACGAGGCTCTTGGTCCACATCAACGCGCATTTCCCCATGGAGTGTGTCCTGGTGTGGGTATTGGTGGCCACGCAACTATCGTAAGTCGGCCTTTCTTGCTCATCTCTATATCTTCGGTTCAACACCAGTCACTGACTTAAATAGGGTGGTCTAGGTCCAATGTCCCGCATGTGGGGATCATGCCTTGATCACATTGAGGAGGTTGAAGTGGTAACGGCAAGCGGTACAGTCTTACGAGCCGATACCATCCACAACTCAGACTTGTTCTTCGTAAGTCTGATTTCTCAGATGACACGTCATCCCATGTAGATCCTAATGATTGATTGTACAGGCTCTGAGAGGTGCCGGGGCTGGTTTTGGCATCATCACACAATTCACCATGAGGACGCATCCGACACCGAAGGAAGTTCTCCATTACACGTATAATTTCCAGTTCAGCCGTCTTACACAGATAGTGGAATTGTTTGACGAGTGGCAAAACCTTGTGGCAGATCCAACCCTCGACCGTAGACTAGGAACTGAGTTTACTTTGTACCCCCTCGGCGCTCGCGTAACCGCCACATGGTACGGCACGAAGGGCGACCTGGAGGCGTCCAAAATACTCGACCGTCTTCCCTCCGGAAATGACACATTTGCTCTCCGCACAGAAAACTGGGGTCAATCACTCATTAACCGCGCCATCGAGGAGGCCCTTCACATATCGGACATACCAAACAAGTTCTTTTCCAAGAGCCTTGGCTTTACCCGAACCGACATCATTCCTAAAGAAAAGATTGCAGACCTTTTCAAGTGGGTTGAGGACCAGAATAAGGGTACTTACGTCTGGTTTATCATTTTCGACGCCACTGGCGGAGCAGTTTCCGATGTGCCAACGGACGCCACAGCTTACGCACACCGTGATAAGTTTATGTTCTACCAATCATATGCGGTCAACGCTCTGCAAAAGAAGAAGGAAACTCGAGACTTTCTGGATGGTTTTCACAACCAGCTGTTGAATGTACTTCCGGGCGACGCACATGGAACTTACCCAGGTTATGTTGACCCAGATCTAGAGCGGCCTCAGGAGACCTACTGGATGGGCAACTTACCAGCACTCGAGAGAATAAAGGGAGAATGGGACCCAAATGATATTTTTCACAACCCTCAAAGTGTTCGGCCTAGAGTATTACGAAATCAATAATACCCATATCTCCCGGCATGAGTGGAGAGCAGCCACGTTTATCAACAATAAACTGATAGATATACCCAAGATATCACTAAAAACATATATTATGATATGAAACTATACATCTCGCTTTATCTACGTTGTTTCGCCAAAGGGAAGTGGAAGTAAGTGATTGTCAACTCTACCTTAGGTTGGTAAGTGCCCTTTACTATTAGGTGAAGTTATATTGGGGAATAGTTCCCTCGCCACCTGAAATTTTTTTTTTTTTTACTTCAGATATAACTTCAGGCGATGAAACCCTTTTATAAAAACTTCTACCACCAACTTGCCTGTACAGAATAGGTTGGATTTCTGATCCTGTTTCTTACCCTTCCAACAACTGCTTCCTTGGCAACGGCTGCTCCGGCCTCGGACCCCGCAGCTGCCCCCGCTGAAGACTACCAACTCACGTCCGGACACGGGCTCTCCACTCTCGCCGAGCTCGGCCTCTGAACCGACGAACTTTTTCCAACCCGAGTTTATCGTGGTCCACTGCCCGACCGACGATACCGCTGCTCTGGCACTCGGGAAGCACGTCACCCATTACTGCGGAGGCGGGCCCATGGTCAAAAGAAGTAACCATTTGAGAGTGCCCAAAAAAAAAAAAAAAAAAAAAACAGCCTCGTGACCCTCAGCAGCACGGCCTCTGCCGCTCCCCGCGGGGAGCATCGTGATGTGCATTTTTCAGAGCCGCCAGTTCCACCTGCACCGTCACGATCCGCAGTGTGGCTCTATTCACATCAGACTTCGGTCGCTGGTAAGATGTAACATCTGCGGCCAGACTCGCTGCAGAAATGTTGCTACCTTAGTCTTAACGTCGACCCTGTGTGTGTGTGTGTGAATTTGCTTCTAGAGAGAAATTACTAGATGAACAGGCGTTTGCCGATCCGGTGGGCTGTTTACGATAGGCGATGGCAAAGGTGCAGGATTGGGGACCAAAAATTGGAACCTGTTTCTTAAAGTGAACTTCATTCTATTTTGTCCAAAGGACGTCTCTTCTACCATCCCCCAAGAGCAGGTGCTGGCCGCTGTCATTTTTGCGTATATCGATTTTGGTTTGAGGCAGCACAGCACATTGAAAATTCTGCATCAACCGTAAAGTAATCTGGCAGGTTGGCATGGCCAGGTATCATGCCGATAGAAACGCATCTATTGACCTGTGGAAGTTTGCTGTCGCACGCTGAGCCACCTGAGCCATTCTCAAATAATTTGTTGGGGCAATTTTGAAAAATCTGTTCTTTGCACCGTACACATAATTCTACCTGGCTGGTTAAGCCTGTTGTGAGATTGAAGCCTGCATGCTTCACTTCTACAAAGTCACTCTGTTGAGGTTGTCATTGTCGCAACAGCGTCTTGCGGTTTACATGTCTAGCTCTAACGACACATTGTCGTTTATGAAGCTTTTTCGTCTCGAAGCTAGCTCCTTTCGAGCAAGTTGTGTAGCGGTTATGTCGCTCAAGTTACTCTCATGAGGAGAGTTTGATTCTTAATGATAGAGCTATCAATATAGCATCGCTCGCATTTGCTTAGGCTTTCGAGGCAATGTGTTTAGCTATCTAATGTTTACCAGCTGTACTCCGTATGGAAATCCCAAAAAGGAATTGCGGTTGTGACCCATAATTGAAGGCATCGTGAGTTTTGTTGCCGATGTGGGGTGTCGAGCTCTATCTCAGTTTTCGCCAAATGAAACTATCTTGATTGCTGTTGCTGAGACTCAGATGAATCGAATTTCCTAAACCCGCCGCTCGCTCGAAGCCAGACTGATGCCGATCAAACGAATCTTCACCGATCATTTGAAAAATTTTCTTGCGAGAGGCCTCCACGTCATATTCCGTCATTTCCTCTTGCACCGACTTTTTTTCGTTGAAGCATTTTGGAATTGATGTAGATCAACTCGGACTAATCGCAATACATTGCCCAAATGGAATTTACTTGACCATGCTCCGTCTCGCCGTTTCCGATTGGGATTTTCTCATTAACTTTCATACTGACTCGTGCTATGTCGAGAGTTGATTGATGCTTATCACTATTATTTTGCAATCCCTAACTGGGATCGACCACGGCAGTTGGCGGACGAGCTGCTCGGTCTCTGATGGCCGAGTGAGATGTTTTTTCTTTCACACTAGTAAGAATGACGGGAACAAGCCGTTTCGCAATGCATACAGACGTGTCTATTCCTAGGACGTGCGTTTCGCCATTACTTTCGGCTACCTCGCGGCTGTCAATTTTCCCACTATTCCAGGCATCTCTGGCAAAGAAACCTGCATCGCGCAAGAAACCTGCCTCGTTGCTCGATCTCGATGCATTAAGACGTAATCTTACCGCAGCAGCTAAGCTACGAACGTGAAATCCCTCATGAAACCAAGTTTGACTCTGCAGCCTCGCCAGGGATAGCATACAGCAAAGTTTGAAAATTAGATCGCCGTCCAATGAAGACAAGCGATACGATCACCAAGGCTCTCGTACGAAATCCATTATCAATGTTATGCTGGCGAGGTGGGCCTCCCTGCCCCCTCGTCATCGGTGTGAAGGTCAACACACCGCCAATAATACCGAGTCCTATTGGGAATTTTGGCCTTCATGCACCGTGCTAAGAGGCTGAGAGATGAGGGACATTTTTTCACCTTGCAGCCTGGCTCCACCGGAGATCTTGCCCTCAGCCTGCGTGTTGATACCCCTATCATCATTTCACCGTGAGACGGGGTCCTTGGGTCCCTTGGCCTTAGCGCCCTCCACAATGAGAGGCGATTATCCAGTGAGAAAGTCTGTCTCGAGCCCACAATCACGCCAGGCAGGTTGAGAGAAGGGCGAACGTGCTCGTTGCCTTGGACAAGATCAAAGTAAACTGGAGAATGCGTGGGTCTTTGATAGGGCCTTGTCTCAGGGTGCACAGGCGCGTAGATGGATACCTGTTCAGGTCGTTAGGGGTTTTGGTATCAACACCGTCCGCAAGGATCTCACAGAAGGGCTCTCTACACTACTGCAAGGCGGAGGCGCGGCTTCCTTCACGGCTTTGAAAGATTCCAGAGGAAAATCCGGATATCTCCTGCCGATCTGCTGCCTCAAGAGGTTGTAGGCGCTTCCGACATGCTGGTGCTGGGCTGGCTGGCGGCTTGGCGGACACATGTGAAATTCTATTTTGAACAGCGAATATCAATGGGGCTGAAGGGCAATCAGGGTCTCTGCAGAGAACATCCTTCCTGAATCCTTCGTACATGGCCCAGGAACAGTGTATACTACTATGTACATTGCCAGGCCAAGGGTAGGCCGATTTGGCCGATACGGGACACACACACACACACGGATAACCGCAGATAAGCCTCAAACTTCCAATAGCTTTCAAGCTGTTGCAAACGCACAGATTAGTAGGTTACCAAGAGGCAGCCAAGTCTGCCCAGGCTAAATGAAAAGCGGGCCCTTCCGAACAGTCCCGATAGGGGTCCTGCAAGCTGTATGCCTCCATCTCGCCCTATGTCAACCAAAAGTAAACCCAACCCTCCAATGACATCACGGAGAAGCTGAAACCACGTTCCTGAGTCTCTCACGGCATGGGCCCAATCAGCTATGCGAAGCAGGGATCCATAGGGTCCCAAAAGGGCCCATGCAACCTTGGACGCTAGAACAACTTTTCACCGTATTCTCCAGCGGCTGCGACCGCAAAGGAACATCGATACATGTGATGGCAAAATCGCGACTCGCATCCCGCACCACGCTTGCTCTACATACACGACCAAGATCCTGTCCGGGAACTTTTCGGGCTTCAAGATCCAGTTTATGATGGGTCCCGAGAAGCACCACGTTTTAAGAGACCCACCGTTGTTGTGATGGGTTCGAAAACTTGACGTCATAACAAAGAATTGTCTCTGTCGCTAAGGGCGGCTTCATTTCACATACCTTACCCAGTACAAGAGTACATTTGCGGTGTTCCGTGGAGGAACGCTGGTTCTGCCTCGGGTCTGTCAATAAACGGTATGAGCTGAAACGGCAACCAGATTGTGTCCTCGGAGAAATATACCGAAAGATATTCCTGCATGGTTCTCCAATTTTTTCTTTGAAAAAAAGTTCTCGCGTCTACCGAATGAATACATAACAATTGCGCTCAAGGGGTGAAGATCAATGTATTCGCCACCACCTAAAGAAAAAAAAACTAAAAAAACTTTTAATGAGGCTCAACAATGAGATTTGGCCTTACGGGTACGGTTCAGCCTCACTAAAAGATCAGGACACCATTTCGTCTGATACAAGGCCTGGTATCGATAACACACGGATCGGTTTTGACAGGCAAGTGGGCATTCGGATGAAAACTGAGGCAAACTGAGGCCTACTGAGGCCTTCCCTGTGTGGCCTGTGTAGTACAGTATGCGTTCGCCCTGACTCGGACGTCGCCCATCCGTTCAGCGTCGGCGGAGACACGGCACGTCATCGGCCCATCCCCCGGCGGAGTAACGGCCCAGCGCCGGCGGAGAACTTATACGTCATTGGCTCCAGTATGTGCGGGTCGCTGGCCCAGCGATAACGGGGCATCAACCCAGGACCGTCGAGACAACGGACGGATACCGACTGGGAACCGCCGGCACCGACTCGAAAAAACAAAGAGATACCGACTCAACACCAACGGGGTACCGACCAAGATTCAACGGGGCACTGTCCCCAGCATTCAAACGGGGCATCAACCTAGTAAGGACGGGACATTTACGGCGGGTCCGCCACAGGCGACAAGAAGACGCCATCGGTCCGAAAAAGGAAACAGGAGACCATCCAGAGAGGACGTTCGAAAGGATAAAAAGGACGAGATAAATCTCCTTGAACGGTTTTTTTTTTTGGACTCATCATCACACAGCATTCCATTCAATCTCATCTCATTAAATACCATCAACCGTACTCTTCAAACACATCTTCTGATACCCAGCACACTTCTGCTTTTCGACACACTTCGAATCACCACCTTTTACAACACATTCAAAATGGCCGCTGTTCAGCAATTCGCTACCCGCAAGCCTGAGCTTGGTATGGAGAAGGTTATGCCTACTCGCCAGGACTCTGGTTACGCCTCTCCCTGCGATTCTCCCCGCCTTACCGTCCAGCTCAACGACGGCAACGAGATTCCCCAGATCGCCCTCGGTGTCTACAAGGCCCCCAACGGCCAGGAGACTGAGGACGCCGTCATTGCTGCTCTCGACGCCGGCTACAGACACATCGACTCCGCCGCCAGATATGCCAACGAGGAGGCTTGCGGCCGCGCCCTGAAGAAGTGGCTCGAGAAGACCGGCACTCCCCGCAGCGAGGTGTTCGTCACCACCAAGCTCTGGGATGCTGACCACGGCTACGAGGCCACCTTCAACGCTCTCTGCGACTCCCTGAAGAAGTTCCAGCTCGACTACTTCGACCTCTACCTCATCCACTCCCCCTCCAACGACAAGGAGAAGCGCATTGCTTCCTGGAGAGCCCTGGAGACCGCTCAGCGCCTCGGCAAGGTCCGCTCCATCGGTGTCTCCAACTTCGGTGCCCAGCACCTCGAGGAGCTCCTTGACGAGACCTCCGTCGTCCCCGCCGTCAACCAGATCGAGGTTCACCCCTTCTGCCAGCGCCAGGACCTCGTCGACGTCTGCCGCAAGCACGGCATCGCCATCGAGGCCTACTCTCCTCTCGCTCGCGGCAACAAGCTCGAGGACCCCGTCATTGGCCAGATTGCCGAGAAGTACGGCAAGACCCCCGCGCAGATCCTCCTCAACTGGAACGCCACCAAGGGCAACATCGTCCTCCCCAAGTCTCTCACTGCCCACCGCATCAAGTCCAACTTCGAGTCCTTCGACTTCGAGCTCTCCCCCGAGGACATCACCACCATCGACAACCTCGAGGAGAACTACGTCACCGGCTCTCTCCACAAGGAGGAATAAATTGTCTCTTCCTCTGGCATGTGCTCTAGAGCACACCCTTTTTGTTCGGCACAACCCCCCCGCTGGAACATTCAGCGATTCTACAGCATTCCTCCATCCTGAGAAGGCTACACGATAGCCTTTTGAAATTGCCGACGCGACAATACTTTCGCACGTCGTCCATCCAGGACATTTTAAGGAGTTGATTGCTACTGGCGCAATTTGCGCCCTCTTCCCCCGCCGAAGAGTCTTTTATTTGGGGTTCGGAGTATGGGTTTTGGGAAAATATAGAGATTGTATAGATCTTGAGCTAGACTAGCGTGCTAGACCACAATCAGGTTTACCTGATACGAATTTATGCCTCAATTTTCAATAATCTGCTTCTTCAAATGATTTCAATGTGACATGCCCAGTTCCCTTTTTGCCTGGTGAATTCTGCTTGCTTGCTCTGGTTGAAATTCCCTTAGACGCAAGCACTAGTTCCAGTAACAAGAAAAAGTATGGGCCTGGTTGAAAAATGGTACAGGTTCTAAGCGCAGTGATCGGCTTACAACTTTATCGGTTGTCGATCGCGAACTAGTAGTACCTTGTCGCTTCGCTACCCAGACACGAAAAAAAATTCCTTTGCCGATCTTAAGGCTGATCCTAGGTAGACCCTTAAACCCCTTAGACCCTCGAGAGAGGTGCGGTGCAGCCAGGGCCTTGATAAATCTCAAACGTGTTGACCATCCATGCAACTAAATTAAGAGTTATGTACGTTGTCCAACTATTTTCTCACTGACATGAGGCATTAACTTTGCGACTTCTGTTCGGCGCACAGCATATATTAGTGACTGACACGTTGAAGATGAAGTGGACATGTGAAAATGTTCGACCCACTTATCAGCAAGTGGTTTCTCAACAGCGTTATTAATTTAGAAATATTAGTTAAAGTTTGAATTCAATTGCTCGAGCCCATCAAGATTTTCTTTTTCCTTTTTTCCCTATCGAAGCTAGTTGTTCCACTGATGTCCGTTCGCTCCATTCGTCCTACCCTCATACTGGTAACGTTCCTCCAGTTCAAAGTACTTGTTGAAACCAACGCCTTCACAAACCTCCGCGTAAGAAAGGACGGTCGGGGGTTTGCCAACGGTGAGGGATCCCTTAAGTGCCTCAAGGGTCTCGCGAATGCTCCTCAACTTGGCCGCAACTAGCGTCCATGGGTAGGCGACTCCGCAATATCCAAGCTCTCCGAGTTCTTTGGCGGACAGATTCTCCGTTTTGCCGCCTTCGATGATGTTTGCGAACAACGGAAAGTCGAGGTCTTTGCGCAGGCGAGCCATAGTTTCACGGTCGGGGAGAGCCTCGACGAAGACGGCGTCAACCCCGATTTCAATCGCCTTTCGAGCTCTGGCAAGGGCCTCGTCATATCCGAGAATCAGACTATCAGTGCGTGCCAGGATCCAAATATCCAGCCCATCGTTTCTGGCGTCAACTGCAGCCTGCCACCGGGCGTACGCCTCACTCCTAGACACTACACTCTTGCCTGCGGTGTGGCCGCATCCTAGTTTTAATATTAGTTGTGAACCAAGGACAAGCCTTTTTGGAATTCTTGAAGAGAGTGAATGGGCTTACTCTTCGGCCAGGTTTGATCCTCAATCATGATTCCAGCAGCTCCTGCTGTTGCAAAGCTACCATTTTCAAGTCAGCGTAAAAAGAAAAGTCACAGCTGTGCAAAGGCTGCAAAACATACCCCTCTACGGTCCTTCTAACGTTCATGGGACCTCCATAACCAGTGTCTCCATCGACAATAATTGGTATGCTGGTAACCCTCGCAACCTCTTGCACTTTTGCTGCGACTTCTTGGAACGCGATATATCCTGTATCGGGCAAACCAAAAGCCGACGCCATGGCGTAGCCGGCAAGGAAAAGGACGGGGAAACCGGCCTCCTCACAAAGCCGTGAGCTCAATGCATCGTAGCTGCAGACGTGCGCAACAATCTTTGAAGGGTCATCGTGCGCTTCTTTCATCAACGAGCGCAGCTTAGATGCCTGCAAGGATGGGATACGTCCGCGGGAGCTGTCCAGGTTTATAGTGACCTGTTCTCCGTTTCTCTTGATGTTGGGTAGGCTGCTCGCCTCGAAGTGGAATGGGTAAGGCTTGTTGTTGACGATCGACTTGGACATGATTGCTGGGATGAGTGGAAGGCTGAATTCTGGCTGTGATACTGATATTGCTGTAGCTCTAATCTTTGGGCAACGCGATAATGTCCATGTTATATACAACTGACAAAGCCTCATTAAATATACAGTTTCTATCTAATCCGATCCGATTTTCGGAGCTGCGACTTCTTGTCAACGTCTTGGAGATACAGGGTGTGATGGTGTCTCCGTCTACATCACATGTCTCAATCGCGTCTGTTGCGAGTAAGAGCTCATGTGGGGAAAACATGACCACTCGGATGATGTCAGTGGACCCTGCGAGGACGGACCGACGCGGATAGTCGCGGGGCTGCCTCGGGAATAGTTCTCCCCTCCTCGTAGCAAACATCTGCAACCTTCGTATTCATACCTTTAATTGCGTAATCCGTTGTGCTAGCTTTGCGGGGTAGAGCTACAGGCTATGGTTGCTACATGGATCGTTTATGAGTTGGTTGACAAGCAGGTTAACTATGGTTTCAACTCCATATGATCTGGTTTATTAATAACTCCTACGATGGGTACCGATGAAAGAGCCGAGCCCAGTGCAGAGTCGGCGCCACCCAGCTCTCCACGGTTCAGACGGACCTATGTCGCGTGCGATTCCTGTCGAGCTCGGAAAGTAAGATGTATAGTTGGGGACAATCCGCCTTGCGCGAAGTGCAAACGAGAGCACCGTGATTGCCGATTCGATCGCCGTCCAAAAACAGCAAAACACAGAGATCTACCGAGTTGGGTGGGCGTTAAATCAGCTTCGCAATCAGCCACGTCCCCGACACGCCAGAACAGAGTAGACGCTGGGTCTTCAAGACCTTCTACGGCTTCACCTCAAGTCATTGGACCGCCGGAGCAGGAGGATACACCACCAGAAGCAATCACGCCTTCAACAGCCTCGGAAAGTTACCGCACATGGGCCAATCACTCTTTACAAGACAGCCAGTTGCTTTCCGAGAGAGTCATGTCTAGTTTTGTTACTGGGTCGAATGATGCTCTTGACGTCCTGTCTGATGCGGCAAATTTACTACACAATGCCACTGTCGCTCCTTTCTCTGGGCAACAACCGACTCAGCCGTCTTTTCCAGTACGCGAACTACCGGTTGCAGTCCCTGCTAGCATGCAGACAGGTTGCCAGACCGGAGTAGGGTTCACGATCTTGTCCTTATCTGAGCCTTCGGACGCAACCCTGGACGTATGGGATAAATGTCGATTCGTTCGTCAAGGCTGGTTTACGTCGCAAGAAGCCGTGACATATGTAGATCTGTGAGGTCGCATTTTCGTTTAATGAGCGAGCTCTACGACTGACTTCATGTGCAGATTTTTCAAACATTTGTCACCCCTATCGCCCGTATTAATAAACCAATACAGTCACCACGAGGCACACACAAGTCTCATATGCCAAGAGTCAATGCTCTGCTGCACAATTCTCATGATCTCGTCTCGTTTTTTCATGCTTCCAGGAGCAGGCGGGGTCTCTCGAAGTCACCTTATACACAATCGTCTCTGGCAATTTTGTGAATCTCTCATCAAGAGAATTATCCTCGGACAAGAAAAGGTTTCGACTGCCAAGATGAGGATTATTGGAACAATTGAAAGCCTCCTGCTGATATCCGATTGGCACCCCCGTGCCGTTCACTTTCCGCCAGATACAGAGGGTTGGGACGCCGCTCTTGTTGACACCGAATACGATCGCCAAAACCGTAAACGCACGAACGACGAAGAGCCGCTGCTCCGTTGGCGAAAAGACGTCTTTGAGCCAGCGAAGAGAGCCAGCCGGATGTCTTGGATGCTTCTTGGCCTAGCAACAAACCTGGCACACGAGCTTGGGATCATGTCAAATGATCACACAGTCTTATCCACCTTGGACTCTGCTAGCCGAAGAAGATTCCGAGCACAGAAGCTCCTTTACACATACATGACGCAAACAGCCACGCGGTTGGGCTATCACTCGGTATTTCCGGAGAGTACTACAATTGCTGCTTCCCGATCTTTTATGCGGGATGTAAGCGATGAATCGCAACTATCATGGAATGCGTATATGGACGCATACTTGGAGCTGACCCGCCTTTCAAAAGTAGCATCCTCCATGTTTTTTCAGTCCATAACACACTTGCAAAATGTCCTCCAAAATGACAATTACCCAGATCTCCTAGAGCACTTCTTAGAGTCGCTGTCTAATTGGAATAAAACCTTCGACTCAACTCTCAATGGTCAGACATCCATTGTAGTGTTTTTGTGATGAGATGCTGACACTGGGTAACAGACATTTATGAGCCCCTTAAAAACTCATTGCTTGTTGAATTTTACCATCTTAAAGCTTGCATCGGGGCAATCTCGTTACAAGCAGTTGTGCAGAGGGCCACGGGTTCTGAAGCAAGTAGGACCCATAAAGATGGTCTTGCAGCTTATATGACTGCGCAAGATTCTAAATTCTTGCAAGAGGTAGTATCAGATTGTAGCAAGGTACTTCATATTGCTACTGTTACGCCTTTCAGAGAGCATCTGGCGTACTCACCCGCCCGGATTCGGTTGGGCGTCATCTCTGCGTCTGTGTTCCTGTTAAAAGCAATCAGTATTGGCTCGCCAGCGACGGACGTGCATGCAGCCCTAAACACGTTAGATCGCTGTACAACGACTCTCAAAACATATCCACCTGACGATATGGACTTCGCCATGAGATATGCCGACCTCATTGTAAAACATACTTCACATCTACGTAACAACATGATCTCGGACAAGCAAGTGCAGCCTCCTAGCAACACTATCAGGCGGCATGAACCTGCCAGCTTAGATGAATTCGATCTAACGTTGTCAACGCTCTCTTCTGGAGATATCTTGACCGATAACTCGAAACTGGATCATCATGAATTCTGGAGGGCTTTGCAGTTCGATTCAAGCATAGCTCCATTTGGCGATAACGATGATCAGTTGGCTCAAGGCTTCGATGTCGACTCGCTCAATTTTCTGTGGAATATGCCAGACATTAGCTCATAGCCCAGATACGATCAAGAAAGAAAGTTCATGCTCAAACATTGTGTAACCAAATATTCCGCCGATGCGATGTAAAAACGCCAATAAACATTGCTATTCTTTGAAGAGTCAGTGTATGTTGTTGCTTGTAGGAATTAAGCAGAGTGGGTTCCTATTATTCATTATGTTGCTTCTAGGGTAATATCGTCATGCCTGTGCAGAGAAATGGGTTCCCGCATCGGTCCGCGTCGGTCCGGACAAGCCCGCCTCTCCCCGAGCTGCTCCAACCCGTCTCGGTGACCTTTGGCCCCAATCCCCCCGTACCGTCTAAGCCCGTGTCGAACCCCGCAAAAGAAACTCGACTTACGCTGTGGTCCGCCTTGGTCCGTGTACGTTGCCCTGCACTCATATGTACATACATGCAGACTGCAACAAGACCAAGTAAGCGGGGAAATGGACGCTAATAGACGGAAGCATGGCGGAAGCATGAAGGATTTCCTGGGGTAATCCGGGGTAAAGACGGGGAACCTTGGTGTTGCAGTTGATGTCAGTAGGTGATTTCGTATAAATACGATTATAAATACGATGTGAATATTTCCAGTTTGAAGAGGTGTTAAGTGGCAAGATTTCACTTCTCCCTTGCTTTCTGCAGTCGTCACTTTTCAAACCTAGGATAATCGAAAGCCAATTATAAAAAATGATTAAGACAAGTCAACCAAAAGAAGAGGAAGCTAATTTTCACCATGTGGAGAGAGGGGAAGGTCTCGATACAATAGCGAGTAACCTAGGTCACAGTGGTCCGGGAAGGAAAGCCAGTCCCGAAGAGATCAAGCTGGTCAAACGTTTAGATTGGATCATACTGCCTGTGCTTTGGATCATGTATTGGTTCAAGTAAGTATCTTCACGTTCTTCAACTGTCGTTATGCTAATCAAAACAGCTATCTTGACCGAAATGCAATTACCGTTGCTCGGTTGGACGGCATGGAAGAGGAGCTGAATATGACATCAACCGAGTACCAGACGTGCGTCTCTATCCTCTTTGTGGGTTACATCTTGGGCCAGATTCCAAGCAGTAAGTGATTTCTGACAGTGATCCCTAGCACTGGAAGCTGACTTCAGCTAGATATGTTGATCACACGGATACGGCCTTCCTGGTTCATGGCAGGCGCCATGGCTCTCTGGGCTGTCGTCAGCACTCTGACCGCGATTGCCAAAGACTTTAAAGGATTGCTTCTAACGCGGTTCTTTCTGGGTATTACTGAAGCCCCCTTCTACCCCGGTGCTCTCTATATGCTTGCCATGTTCTATACCCGACAGGAAATTGCGACCAGAATATCCATCCTCTTCACGGCTAACATCTGCGGGACTGCTTTTGCCGGCCTCATTGCCATCGGCGTCTTTGAAATGGACCAGGTCGCCGGTTTGTCCGGCTGGAGGTGGCTCTTCATCATTCAGGGGATCATCACCTTCGTCATTTCAGTTGTCTCCGCTTTCATCCTGCCAAACGAGCCCCTCAACACCCACTGGCTATCAGAAGATGAGAAAATGCTTGCTCATTCTCGCGTAGCGAGAGATACTGTTGAGATACACGAGAACACGAGCACTTTGACAGGGCTTCTAGAAGCAAGCCGCGACCCTCGCCTTTGGGTTCTCGTTTTCATGCAACATTTTCACATGGCAGCAAGCAACTTCAAAAACTTCTTTCCCACGGTTGTTGATACCTTGGGCTTCAGTAGGAACATCACGCTGGTTTTGACGTGTCCTCCTTACCTCGTGTCGGGCGTGATTTCCATTGCTTGGGCCACAAGCTCGGGTAAGTTGGTCAAGGAGACATACCTCGCTTCGAATTGGTCACCATGACAATGCTGATCTGGCACAATAGGACACTTCAATGAGAGGGTTTGGCACATAACAATCGCTAAATGCATAGCAGTACTAGGATTTGTTCTAGCTTGCAGCACCTTGAATGTTGGGGCCCGCTACTTCGCCATGTGCACCTACGCATCAGGAGTCTACGCGTGCAACTCTGTGATCTTGGGTTGGGTATCGAGTACCTGTGGGCAGACGAGAGAAAAGAAGGCCGTTTCTCTGGCTATGGTCAACACCATTGCTACATTGGGTCCTATATATACCCCAGTAAGTCAAAAGCTTAAATGACGTTTTCCCTGTGATGGCGGCGATATAGGCGGTGAAGCTAACAGCGTTGTAGTACCTATGGCCAGCTTCAGATGAGCCCCGATACACCACTGCAATGGCTTCAAGTGCGGCGTTCTCGATAACAGCGGCACTGTTGGCGTGGTTGCTGAGATGGATGCTCATCAAGGAGAACAAGAAGATTCTTCAATCGGGTACAAGAGAGGCACTGCTCTATAGCTATTAAGGACAGGGTATCCGTGTATTCAGACGCCACCATTTAAAGAATACTATTTCCATACAAGTACATGCCTTACATTTCTCATTATTGCCACTTTCTCACTCAAATCACGAGTACAACTGCCTGATACTTAAAAGGGCGGTGAACTGTGCAGAAGGGAGGGGGGTCGCAGAAACGCTCCCTTTACAACACTTACTTATTGACCCAACGCTCAAGGCTGTGACCGCTCCGGCCCCTGACAACTTCCTATCGCATGAGATAACGCGCCAAGAACACATATGTCATCACCTTCTGAAGAATGGCACAACTTGAATGCACCTTTACCCTCCCGCCTGAGGTAGGATAGCTTATTCTCAAGCTGTCGACGCAGATACTTTGACTTCGAGTATGGACCGGCTAGAAGAACATGCTGTTACAGTTAGTAATGACATCATTTATCATTTCAATGGGTATGGAAGAGCACTTACCGAAACTTCTACATCCATCCTGGAGATCTTATGGGCAGTCGCTTCAAGCATCTCCTCAATCATCGCCACGCTGGGCATGAAGCAGCGCCATATTTCGGCGCTGGTGAACTTTAGGCGTCCCTGCTGAAGTCCGGGTATGCCTGATGGCATCTCGAACTCGACCTTCCATTCACGTCCATCGTTGTCGAACTCAGGGAGGATTTTCTGCTGGAATTGATCGCAGCACGACTGAATGATATCCTCGACGGCCGAGTCGTCAAGTCTGCGGCGCATCTCGCGGACGGTGAGCTTGAGCTGCTCGGCCACAAGCTTTGCAAACTGGGCTTGCGCGTGATTAGACCTGTAATGTGACATGTATCAGTATTTTTGTCAACTTTGGTAGAATACAACAGCTACAAATTCATTGTCATAGGACGGAAAGAGGTGCAGCCGTTGAAGTAGGGCGTTTGGGAGGTTACGTGGATACATACCCAGCCAATTCGGCCATGTAGCAGGCCACAGACTCTCCCATCTCGGCGTAGTCTGGTGAGATGGCATCCAGAAAATACGGTATACATTCCACCAACTTTTCATCACAGTTGAGGACCAATACATTGGAACTTAACCCGTCAGATTCAGGATAGAGTTCTCCCGAGTCGAGGTAATATTGGACAATCGCATGGGACTGGGGGATGACCTTCGCATGCTGCATGAGCGTAGACTTTTCCAATTCCCCGGTATACGAGTCCCACAGCATACGGATCAGGAAATCGGGAAGAGCGTAGACAAGGCCCTCCATGTCTATTCTCAAAGAAGAAGTCGCTCCAAAAGGTGACAACATCTGCTCGCGACATACGATGCGGGCGATTTCGGATTCGAATCGTCGAGTTATTGAGGAGCAATCAGCGAGGAGCTCCTTCTTGTCACCAATTAGCTGCGCCTTTTGAGTCGTGGTGTTGCTTATAGGGTAGTCATTAGCCCAGTCGCGAGGAGCAGCCAGGTGAACCGTGTATCCAGAATCGTCCGTGAGAGGGGATTCCTTGCGGCTGTAGAGATTTGCTCTCCGGAAAAGGTCTCTCATGCCAAGTGTTGGAGTTTGAGGCACAACATCTGGCTTCGTCTAGTAGGTGCCGTTAGATCTTCTTCTCCACATCGAGAGGGCAAGGGGAACATTTCGAAGCTGAAAGGTCGGAGGACTTACTTGTGCTTGTAGCTGACAGATTGTTGTGCCACTGCCACCCATACTCAATGCTAGAGAACTAGTAGACTTGACGCAACTCGATATCCCTACGAAACATGCCCCAGGGTTGGGGGTAAACTTTTTGAGGGAAAATAGCTGCGACGCTGGTCTCGCTTCGCCAATGTTGCAAATATCTTTCTGTACCGTCCAACGCATCCGAGGAGTATCCATGAACTGTATCTCGTTGTATGACTTGATTCTTCGAATCTGCTGCGTTGAGCCCCATGTTGGCGAGAAAGGGCCTGGCCAGTTGCTGTGTTCTTGATTAGGCGAACTAATGGGCAACACCTCCAGAGTCGAGTAGGCCTCCTCCCCCAGCTCCCCGGCAGCCTCCTCAATGTACGTTGGGCGACTGGGCGAGTGCTCCTCCAAGGGCGCCAAATTACCCGGTCTCCGTCTCACGCTATTCGACCGTGCTTGTGCTTGTTCCACTTTCGCGATCAGGCGAGTGTGGCCAAGGGGTCGGTTGATAGACTTTGTCGGTTTCAGACCGAGATCCGTCGAGGCACCCGCGACAGCCTTCCCTTTCTCATCGTATCCCCTATTCTGCCTCTTAAACTGCTGGAAATCGAGCAACGGCTCGGGTACTACTTCTTCTCGACGAACGGGCCTGTAACGTTGCGTGTGGCTTCTTGAGAGTTCGTTTAGATGCTCGGTAAATGGCGTCTTTGTGGAGGACACGCGTTGCGACGCACTTCTTAACGGTATCGATGGTGGTACTCCCGAAGAGCCTGAAGAAGGACCTGCTTTCTCTACGTCTAGATCGACAGACCTGCTTATCCCATGTTTCTTAGGGGATATTGGGCGCTGAGGTAGTGTGCTTTGAGGCGCCCTCAAATAATTAAGAGACTGCTCCTGAAGAGGCATTTGCATAGCTGGGGAATCCCTTGACGTAGGGTGGATGTGATCTTGAGTCAAGTTTTCGTGTAGTGTCATGTCCGGAGGTGTTACCGGCGGATAGGCGTAACCAAGAAAGCCAGCTTCATTGCTCGAACTCTGCGTCGGTAGGAGATGAAACGTAATGCCAGGAACACTCTGTACGACGAACTCTTTGCCTGTGTCAGTCTCTTCAATCTGCACACCTCTCCTGTCCTCTTGTTCCGCCCTTCGAAGACCCGTCTGAGCCTCTTTCGGTACGAGTGTCTTCCAGTGGCCCGAGTATATCACCTCGGAGTCTGGCTCCAAACTCCTGATAGGTTCCACTCCTTCAAGTTGGTCACGATCTGCTTGTTGGGAAAAATCAAGATGCTCTTCGTCTCGAATCGAGAAAATTGATCGGACCAAGGTTTCGTGGCCAAGGAGGTACTTTGTGGGAGAACTGAGAACTTCCTCGTTTGCCGGTTTCCATCCTCTAGGCAATGAATGTCGTACAGCCTCGGCTTCCAAAGCATGTCCTCTTTTGTCGTAAATGGTCGCGAAAAGCCACAGGCATTCATGATACTGAGGGCTGCGCCGGCCGAAAACCTTTTTCTTCCCTTGCAATACCGTCTTGCAGGTATTAAACGCATCGTCCAGCCGACCACCGTTCATATTGGCGATCGCAATTGCTTGTAAAAGATCCAAAACTGGAAGATTATCCGCCGATTTGGCCTTGGGCAAGGAGGTGATGATACCAGTCGCATGATCCCATTTCTCCTGAAGGCAGCAGCACAACGCTAACTGCATCTTGAGTTGCTTGAAATTAGAGTCCCCAGTAAAATCTCCGGTCGAACGCTCTACAGCCATTCTCAGACATTGCTCTGCCTTGCTGTAGTTCTGCGAGACAAAGCTAGCATATGCCAGCTCTTCAAAGTTGCGCAGAAAGTCGAGATCAACGTCGGACTCATCGTCACTGTCATCTTCTTCGATAATGGGCTGCTCGGCTTGCTTGTCATGGTTTTGAGATCGGTCTTCATCATCGGGTACTGTGAAAGTCGTCGACGTGTCTCCATGCCCAGAACCGGTTGCTTCGGTCATGCTGTCCTCGGTGGACTCGTCCACGGTTGCAAGCTCGTTTGAATCATTCCATCGCTCGATTCGCTCTCTTTGAAGATCAGACAAACTTCCAATTTCACTACCTCCCCAAGCTGAAGATGACCTGCGTTCCGGTGCGTAACAAGTGCTGGCGGTTGAGCTTGCGTTTGTGTGGAACTTCTTGGCAGCCTTCGCGAGTCTTTCGAGGTTTCTGCTTTGGCGAGCAGAACTTGGGTCTGAAATAATCTCCTGTCGATTAGCCGTTCGAAGAGACTCTTCGACAAGTCCTTTGAGCTTGTGTAGCTCCTGAAACAAACTCTCCTGTGAAACATTGGCTCTGAAATTGAGAGAACTAAAGGGAGGGTCAGTTATAAGCATTGGGTAGAGTCCAGGACTGTTACTGACACGCTCACCACTGCCAAGGTCGTCTGCATGGCGCAATTTGACTTGACGATTTTGTTCGTGTAGTCTTGAACCTCATCTTTGTGAATCGTAAAATGAAAGTGCATACTAGGCTTCTTCAAAAGCCGAGAAAATATTTTGCCTTCAGTGTCATATTCATTGCTAAGCTTAATGAGCAGGCGATCGAGGCCGTCAATGTTGGATTGACAATCTGCCAGTGTGTTTTCGATCTGCTCCCACATGTGCTGATCAAGGTGTGCCAGCGTCAAGGCCTGGGTCTGACATTGCTTGACTGTCTTCTCAACAGAAGTAAGCAATCCGGAAAGCTGTGCTACCTCCTTGGAGAGGTCGGAAAGTTTGCTGTCGACATTTTTGATATTATTGACCAGTTCATAGAGCCATACTGACAGCTGTGGTAAATGTCAGCGGAGGTAAATCTCTCAATTCAACAGTCGCCAGTGTGAACGGATTTTTGACCGCCAATTGCAAGGAAATTGCATTACTTCAGTGATTTTACGAGGAACTTACACCTGCAGCAGACCCTGCTAACGCGGCAGCAGACGCAGCGATGGACAGAGGATCCATTCCAGCGTCACTGAAGACACAAGGAAACGCAATGAGATGGAGATCTTCATGGACAGGATGAGAACGAATCCGGTGTGAAGTCCAAACACATGGTGTAAACACATGGATTCGTCGAGGGAGGTTTCTGGGAGAAACGGCGGCGGCAAGCACTTAAGAGACATACTACTTTAGGTATGGGAACCGTAGCCTACTTTCTCACACCATCTCGGATTGGGTGGCTGACTTCTCAGCCGTCAGCGCCACATCATGTCCCATGTCAGTATCTGATAGTTTTGATTAGCTGTGACTCGGTTCGATAGAATAGCCCGGCAGGATGTCAACACCGATGGCATGCAGGCTAGCAAATTTCGGCAAAGTTGGGAATTTAGACCGTTCAGCCGCTCGACATGGTTAGCGCAAGGCTTTCAACCCCCTTACCTACTATGCCATTGTACCGGGAACGAATACCAAATTGGCTAAGAATATGTATGTCGCGGATTGTTTTTGTTGGCTTCGCCGTTACAAAGACCGCGTGAGCACAGCAATCATGGTCGGTTATGCCTCCGGCTTTTGTTCCAAAATTACCTATAGTTTTCACAAGAGCGGCCATCTGTAAAGTAGGTATATACTGGTCTCACCTTGCAACAGAAGGCGGGAAAAATCTGCACACTACTTCTTAGTTCGACGCTAAGATGCAGCGTTCTCGAGATGCTTGGGGAACCCATTCCAGCAGCATGCAGCTAGATTCAGTCTCTGGTCATGGGTTGTACTTTAAAGATAGGTTGTTCCCAAATCCACGGGAATGGAGTAGCACCAAAGCCATCAGGAAGCCATTCACACCTCTTCAAATACTTGTTGAACTATGATGTAGACCTCATTGCCCCGAATCATGTGGGATAACTGGTGAAATATGTGTACAGGTGTCACCATTGCGCGAAGACTGGGGACATCTTCGCTGAACTACCACAGGCAGAGACTTTAATGCTGTCTAGATTCCTGATGACAACTACAAAAGACAAAGAATGCGCCTCAAATACCAGCACGACAAGACCCTTGGCTTATCGTATAATTTGGTCGGCGTTTGGCAAAGAGGGAAGGTGAAAGCAAGGGCCCCACCCCCATATTTCAAGCTTAAGTCGCTCCTGCTTAGATAAGCATGTTCCCCCTCCAGTCGCGGGGATGACCGATCCACAGCACGTGACACGCGCCACCTTTATGGCAAGGCGAAACTCGCCTTACATCACCAGCCTCACCAGCCTCGTGGGACGTCGCGTCAAAGTAGAACCCCGGATTTCTATTTACATATTTGTCTTTCGGCGCAACATTCATAATGTCCTCCGCCGCTCCAGAGACCCAGCCCGAGCAGGCGCCCACGGCGCCCAACTCACAGGAGACACCCGCTCCTGGGGCCGCTGCTCCCGGTGCTGCTGCCGCTCCCGCAGCTCCTGGCGACCCAAGTGTCCCGGAGGCTGTCGCGCCCATCCCTGAACCCAGAGCCATTACGCGCAAGGACATGTCCCTCCGTGAATTCTTGACCAAGATGGATGATTACGCTCCAATTGTGAGTTGCCATCTTGTACCTGGTTGAAGCAGGACTATCAAAGGCTAACGATGAATCCCCATCTAGATCCCCGACGCAGTCACAAACTACTACATGACCAAAGCCGGCCTCCCTCCTCCTCCCCAAACCGACCCCCGTCTCGCGCGCCTTCTCGCTCTCGCGACGCAGAAGTTCATTGCCGACATCGCCGCCGATGCCTACCAGTACAGTCGCATCCGCGCCTCCAACTCTACCGCTAATAACCCGATGGGCAACCTCGGCGCCGCCGCCGGCTTCCCCATCCCTGGCCAGCCGACGGGCCCTACTGGCACAAAAGACCAGGGCCGTGGCGGCCCCTTGGGTATCCAACGACCTGGTTATGGAGGTGGTGGCCAAGGAGGAAGCCAGAACCGCACGGTACTAACGATGGAGGACCTCGGCATGGCGGTTGGCGAGTACGGCGTCAACGTCAAGCGGAGCGAGTTCTACCGGTGAAGGAAGGGTATTGTTTCCGTCAGGTCTTCTCGTTGGGGTGCTGGTGTACATATATATCACGGCGTTGGATGGTTTTTGCTTCGGCGTCTGGGGGCCTAGGATACGGCCAGTAGGTTTCACGGTTTTCAGCGGGCACAAGTCACGCACGCACGAGAGAGAAATGATGCGGTAGGGGCACATATCAAACAACATGATAGAGGGTCATCAACGGCACATGGCCTGAATATTTTTATGCTACAGTGTATCGCTGGTATCTTGACAGTGTTGTACAAATGCCGATCGTCGTCTTCTTCCTTTTTTTCTTCTTCTTCTTTATTCCTCCTCTCGTCAGACGCGCCGTTAGACGCTCTTTTACAACTTGGTCCAGATGAAGGGCTTTCTCGTCCTGTCGCCTGTGTTAGCTTCCGAGACAGCATTTCAGAGCACGCGCTACTCACGGGGAGAACTCTCCCAGCTTGTGTCCCACCATCTCTTCTGTAATCGTCACGTCGATGTAGCTCTTGCCATTGTAGACCTGGAACTTGAGGCCGACGAAGTTGGGCAGGATGGTGGCTGAGCGGGCCTGGGTCTTGATGGGAAGAATCTTCTTGCCAGGTACCGGTCGGACGATAGGGAGACTATGCACATAGAGGTCAGAATCGAGGGGTCTCAGTCGATGTGGGTTATCGCAGAGGGATCTTCTTACGGGACAATGTTAGGTCCTGCAAAAAGAATAATGGTCAGTTCAGGCTATCTTGGGATCAATGCAGAGCACTTGATGACGGCGACTCACCCTTCCATACGGATCGCTTCAAGAGGCACCTCGTGGGCTGCATTTTGGCAATTGATGACCCTTTTTGGGATTGATAGTACTGCTCCTGGTCGCGATTCAACTGCTGCTGCTGCGGCGCGGGAAGAATTTCCGAGCTTCCAGAATTTACCCGGATCACGTGACGAGCCTTCCGTGCCGTCCCATGCCGTACCCCGGTACCTCTTTCCTCTCAAGGGACCCGCTTACAAGCAGCTTCAGTCCAATACTCCGCGGAGTACATCTAATTCAAACCATAAATCATTTAACAGTTCACCTGATGTTGGATCTAGTCTCAAATGTTCAAGAATTGAGATCTACTAGACCATTTTTCAAAGCAGCTCAACGCCTTGCTTTCCTGGAAGGTCATTCTGCTGTTTCAGTTGGAGACACGCACAGAACTCTCAGTCGACATGTTTCCTCACTCACGAACTCTCATGAAACGGCTCAGACCGAATCTTGACTTGATTCAAGGCACTCCCTGCTCGGCTTCCAATTCCAAAGTTGGAAGACGTTCAATTAGGAAATATTCGTCTACTCCAGAATCTCTCTGTCTACCAAATGCGGCCTAATCCCGTCGTCTTAAATATCATTCTTTCTCCGTGGATGCGACGCCGTCTTATCCATCTCACACCGTCTCCTGATGTCGATATGGAAGGCATTTATCCTGTAACCGTGCTAGCATCATCCTCCTGGCCTCACGACTCTATCTGGACCTCGAAGTGCTCCCCATCTAAATGATTAATGTGGGGAGGTGGCAATCCCTTAATTCCCGGTCACTATACCACGCGGAGGGAGTTCCCCCGGCCATATGAAACAAGTCCAACCTAATTCCTCCTACCACGTAGTGTGAACCAACATCTGTCTTTGGCCGGCTACGCAATTTTGTTGGCCAAAAGTTTGGGCCAGTAGCTGCGGCAAATTTGCTGTCGATATGCCGGTACCTGTTTCCGCTCAAACGTGCTCAAGTGCCGCTGTTTGTCACCGTCAAGCCCCGGTTTATAATGTGGTCGAATTGTCCAACAAGGGCGGCAAGCAATATAAATCCGACGCAGCTAAATCGTCTACTACGTAGTTGAACGACGCAGCCGCAGGCCTCGGATTTCTCGGCAGCAAAGACCCAACAAGGCCAGGAACGCTGCAAGGCACAAGAGAGAAAACGGTCTAGGAAGTCCATGTTCCGAGATCTATCCCCCCCTCCCTTCTTCCCTGCCAGGTCTACCCCACACGGCACATCATCGTGCCAAGCAAGCTTAGCTATGTCGTTCCAAAGTGCTCTCGACTCCAGGCCGAACATACTCTGACCAGGGTCTAGTGCCTGCGTTCCCAATTTTTCGGTGTAAATAGCGTTCTCTTTTGGCTTTATACATGGGACGCGGAAAAGGGGGCCAACTCGTCACGATGGGGCCCGTGTAGAAAGCGTCGCCCCCAAATGCTTGACCCCCGTCTCCCTCCCTCTCTCTCTCTCTCCTAAACTGTAAATGAGACGAGGGAACGGGACGGTTAGCCACGAGGTATAAAGGCCGCTATGCCTCTTGAGTCTGATCTTGGCTTGAGTCTTGGCTTTGACCTCATCCGACCTTCTTACCTTCTTTTCTAGTCTAAACCCATTTGGTGCCTTTCCCCCCCCATATTCATTCATTCTTTTTTTCAGTAAATATGAAGTTTACCAACTTGGCTCTGGGAGCTGCTTCCGTCGCGTCGGTCCTGGCGGCCCCTGTCGACGGCGCCTCCAAGGAGAAGCGCGCGGGCAAGTTTCTCTTCACCGGTGTCAACGAGTCCGGCGGCGAGTTCGGTCAGGGCAACCTGCCGGGACAGTTGGGCAAGGATTACACATGGCCTGACAAGTCGACCATCGACGTGAGTAGTGTGTTTTTTTGGTGGTGAGAAAAAGGGGTGACTGACGGCCATAGACTCTGAGGACAGCGGGCCTGAACACTTTCCGTATCGGAACCATGATGTGAGTTTTTAAGGAATGATTTGTGATAAGGCGCCACTAATACAATTGGTAGGGAGCGTATTATCCCTGACAAGTTGACCGGCGCCATCAACGAGACCTACTTCTCTGGTCTCGAGGATGTAAGTAGTTTTATGATATTACAAGAGAGTCGGTGCTAACTCGATAATAGCTGGTCAAGGATGTGACCTCAAAGTGAGCACCAACCCGAATAACCATCCCGACTTCAACCTCGGTTTCGCTAAATACTAACAAACACAGGGGCTCCTACGCCGTCATCGACCCTCACAACTACGGCCGGTACTACGGCAACATCATCACCAGCTCGGCCGACTTTGGCGCTTGGTGGAAGACGGTCGCGGCCCGCTTCAAGGACAACGACAAGGTCATCTTTGACACCAACAACGAGTACCACGACATGGACAACTCGCTCGTAAGGGATCTCAACCAAGCAGCCATCGACAACATCCGCGCTGCGGGAGCCACGAAGCAGCACATCTGGATCGAGGGCAACTCGTACTCGGGTGCCTGGCACTGGGTATGTCAAGATATCTTCCGTCAGAGTCTCTCCCGCCAAGGGGGGGGGGGGGGGGGGGGGAAGGGGGAAAGATGAGTGAGCAGACGGGGATGGGACTAACACGCCACAGATTGAGAGCGGCTCCGGCGACGCTCTGAAGGACCTCAAGGACCCCGCCGACGCCACCGGCAAGCTCCTCTTCTACGAGATGCACCAGTACCTCGACACGGACGGATCCGGCACCCACGCCGAGTGCGTCAGCAGCACCATCGGCGCCGAGCGCCTCGCGACGGCGACCAAGTGGCTCAAGGACAACAACAAGCAGGGCGTTCTGGGCGAGATCGGCGCCGGCGTCAACGACCAGTGCGTCACGGCCGTCAAGGGCGCGCTCCAGCACCTCTCGGACAACTCGGACGTTTGGAAGGGCGCACTGTAAGTTTTTGGCTCCCTCCCTCCTTCGACATGGCCTTTCTTGGACATCGAACTAACTTGCCAATTAGCTGGTGGGCTGCCGGTCCCTGGTGGGGCGACTACATGTACAGCCTGGAGCCTACGTCTGGCAAGGCGTACTCGACTTACTTGCCCATCATGAAGAGCATTGCTTAAGGCTCGGAAGATGCGGGAGATTGGCCGATGCCCAAGTTTTGTGGGCAGTTGTGGTCATGTACATTCTTATATGCACGTATATATGAAATATGTTCATACTATTTATGACTCCGTTCATCCTTCGCTGCAGGCAACGTGAAGATTGCATTCGTGTTCGATTTGACCATGCAAATGCTGAGAATTTCCACTCTTGACGGTGTGGCAAGGGTATCAGCAGGAGAATGAGAAATCTTGTTGTTTTGATGCTAATCAATCAGTCAACACTTATTGGACTGGCGGCTTTCACGATGCGACAGTTTCGACGATTACTGCAGAGAATAAGTTGAAATATGCTATACTCAGTAGCCACGGCAGTGCCCCATCTTCGCCGTTAACCTATCTATAGTAGGATATCACTGCGATTGGTTTGGATATTAAGCGTCCTTCTTTTGATTCAGGTCATTATCAGGTAATCAGCATTTCCATTTACTCTCTTTGACATCATCCTGTAAGGAATAGATTGCATACGGCTGGGCTGGTGATGTTGAGAGGTTGAAAAAAGACGAGGTTTTCCAACTGGCAGCAAATTGGCTATTCCTCCTTTGTCTACTCTCAAGGTTTGTCCATAGTGACATGTGTGGTCATTTCCCTCGCAACCAGTGAGCAAACTGATTGCGTTGGTAGATGTCTATCCACGTAAAGCAGGATTAGAATGAAATGGCCAAACTGCAGGCTTTCATATGACCTGATGAGAAACAAGATTGGCGAGCTCGAGTTATTACCTTTCTCCGACCGGGGTACATCAAGAGCTACGTAGGTATTAAGTGCAGTGGAGACGACCATTGATGACATGATTCTTCAAGCTATGGATGATGGGAAGGCATGATTTATGTTAGAACAGCTCTAGGAGATTTGTATAGGAATTCAAGAAGGGGACCTGAGATGGCTGGAGTCTTGAGGATGAGGAATAAGCACAAAAGAGTAGGCCACAGGTCCAAGTGGTAAATATTTGTTGGGACTCCCCTATCAAGTACCTACTATCCATGCCTCTCCAGGGTCGTTGCAAGGATAGACGGACCAACAGACATATCCAGGTTGGCAAGTGATTGCATGATCAAATGTCAGCTGGAAAATAAGGCGAAAGGAAAGCTGTCTCCAATAGGCAGGTGAGGTGGCTCGAGCGGTGGGTATCGGCGACAGGATTCCCCACGGAGCAATCTACGAACGTGTCCTCATTGAGTCCCTTGTCCGGGCCTAAGCCTACACAAGCCTGATGGGGGAGTCTTTGTTATCTTTTACTGTTTGTTCTTGTCGCCTTGCACTCCACTGGAAACCGGAGTTTTGAATGGTGGCGTTAAGTATCTCGGTACGCCGGAGGGTTCAAGCCACCGATGCCCAGTGGAGGTAGATGTACTTTAAAAAAAAAAAAATAGTTATGTATCTATGTTTGTAAGTGGTGGCCAAAACCAACATTGGTAGTGTCTATCAGTATATCATTGCTTCCTTCCGTAAGGTACCTCTAAATGTCTGCACTTTAGGGGGGGAAAGAGGGTTGCATCGGTACGCCCAGCAGGCAACTACTATACGTTACCACTGACATCGGAGAAAGGAAGGGGCGCCGGGCCGTGAGGCTCCTCCTACTGCACCTGCTGCCCTTGTCACAGTGGCTGAGAGTGTACGTACCTAATAAGGGTGCTAAGAAACTTACGGGGGGGGGGGGGGTAGCGCAGTTAGTGGTTGGTAAAGACTCCAGAAGAAAGCTACAGAACCCCCCCAACACTGAAAAATTGTGCCATTTCGCAATTCGCCATCCCGCTGGACCCCGAACCAAGCCGCACATTGGACCCAAAAACCCAAGCCAGACTCTCCACTAATGCACCTCTCCACCTCCGCCTAACCCAGCCGTTTCGACCACCTCACCCTCAGGGCTCTCGCAGTCTGCCACGCTACAAAAACTCGCCAACTCCACGCTTCGCGCCTTTCGCATATCCTACCAGCCACCTCTCTCACCCCTCCTCCCCCCTTCTTCTTCAACAACAAACTCCTCGTTGCATCCGCAGAGGTTTCGAGTTCTTGTCTCTTTTCGTCCAGTCCTTCAGAGTCAATTCCCCTCAATACCGCCAAAATGGTCAGCGCTCAGATGTACGTTGTCCACCTCGCTGACTACTTTTTGCGCAGAGATTGCGACTACGCAACAGCAGCATCAGCATCACCAGATGATGAAATGATCCAATGCTGACAGAATCCCAGTACCAACCTGATCATCATGCTCGGCATGGTCCAGGTCTCGCGCAAGGTTCCCTTCGAGGACCCTAACGTCCTGAACCTCTGCCGTGCCGGATACATTGCCAGCAACATCCTGATCGCCATCCTGTACCTCTACGTTCAGGCCCAGATCAACAAGAAGAAGGGTGAGCAGCATTCCCGGGGGGATTTCTCCGATTAGTACATCTACGTAAGACCGGATAACTGACCTGTATCTATTGCAGACATGACGACCCTCAAGTACGTCGAGCCCGCCCCGATGGGCTCCACCGAGGAGGGCAAGCTCGTCACCACCACGATCCACGCCTACGACTCGACCCAGCTCCGCGCTGCCTTCCGCTCCCAGGCCATGGGTATCGCCATGATGGCCTTCATGCACTTGTACATGAAGTACACCAACCCCCTCCTCATCCAGTCCATCATCCCCCTCAAGAGCGCCTTCGAGAGCAACCTCGTCAAGATCCACGTCTTCGGCCAGCCCGCTTCCGGCGACCTCAAGCGTCCCTTCAAGGCTCCCGCTGGTCTCATGCAGGGTCTCCAGGGCGGTGCTACCCAGAGCGACAAGAAGGCCGTCGAGGCTGCCGAGCGTGCCGGCCGTGGCGGTGCCAAGGAGGAGTAAACTGGTATCTTTTTTTTCTGGGAGAGAGAATGGTATCTTGTCAGGGTAAAGGGGATAACACAGGGGGGGTTTCCGCATTGCCTGCGCTTTTACCGCGTACGTGCAACAGATGCAATTCTGGGAATGGAAAGAAAATTAAAGAAAATTAGATTCCTGCGGACCCTCGCTGGGCAATCCGTGTAGATGATAGTTTCGTTACAAGATGCTGCACATTTAATCGCAACAAGAACCCCCTCCATTGACCAGCTCATCCATGCATGCATTGCCGCCATTGTAGTGCTCTACTAGCGTCCACGTCCGGTGGCAACCCCAGAGTCAAAGCCCGGCCGCCGCGGAACGCACGTGCTTTCGCGATTCTGTAAGGTGACATAATCGACTCCCCCGACAATCTTGCCCCTCCAACATTCACGCTTCCCATCTTCAACCCTCCAAGGCCCGCCATCGTGACTCCTCACCACCAGCTCCTTCAGTCCCCGGATAGGAACCCTCACTTTCAACACTTCAAAATGGAGCGTCCTTCAACACCTCCGCCTAAACCAAGGTCCTCCGCGCCAGTCGGAACCCCTCCGACTCCCGAAGTAAAACGTCGAATTGTGCGCCAACCCTCCAACCCCCCCCCCTCTTGACACTCATAAATACTAACATCGTGAAGGAAGAATCCCGCCTAAGAGCCAAAGCCATCCGCGACCGCCGCGAAGCAGAACAAGCCGCAGCCGGCGTCCCGTCCGCCCCGAAAACCGCATCAGGCTTCGTAGCCACCGACAATGTCCACATCACCAACGCCGGCGCAGCAGGCGGCGCCGGCGCAGACTCCCGTAAACGACCACACTCATCCATATCGACGGCGGACCGTCAGCCGTCGACAAACAGAGATGCGCGCGACACGACGACAGCGGCCCCACGCGCGGCGCGCAACTTTGCCAAGTTCGTCGACTACAACATGTCCGCCATGACAGATACAAAGGGCGGCTTCCTCACTGCGGAAGACGACCCGCATAACACCGCCCTCGTCCCAAAGGTCAAGCCAGGCGGACCGCCGGCGGAGGAGAAGCCGAAGGGGATGTCCAGCCAGGAGTGGGAAAGGCTGCAACTGCTGCGCAAGCTCCGACGGCAAAAGGCCGGGCCGTTCGAGCCGGGGCTGAGCGTGCTGACGGACGACGCCAGCCGGAAAAAGTGCCGCGAGTGCTCGTCGCTCGAGATCGATTTCGTCTGGGACGAGGTGTTTGGCGTACAGGTCTGCCACGCCTGCAAGGATTCCAAGCCCGAACGGTACTCGCTGCTCACCAAGACGGAGTGTAAAGAGGACTACCTCCTCACGGACGAGGAGCTCAAGGACGCCGAGCTGCTGCCGCACCTGTCGCGGCCGAACCCGCACAAGTCGCACTGGCACGACATGATGCTCTTCCTGCGGTTCCAGGTGGAGGAGTACGCGTTCAACACGAAGTGGGGGTCTGCCGAGAAGCTCGACGCCGAGTTCCAGCGTCGCGAGGCCGACAAGAAGAGGCGCAAGGAGGCCAAGTTCCGAGACAAGCTCAACGACCTCAAGAAGAAGACGCGCACGGAGGCCATAAGACGGCAGCAGGCTGCGCGGGCTGCGGGTTCCGGCCCGGGCAAGTTTGGCGATTCGATCGGCGGGGGGAAGCACGTCCACGATTGGGGCCGGGCCGTGGAGAACGAGGAGGGCATGACGGTCAAGAAGTGTAATGGGTGCGGCATGGAAGTTGAAGAGCTGGAGTTTTAAAAGCCCCAACCGTCTTGGTTTTCCCACCCACTGTAGTATTCTTCTTTTTTTCTTTTTCATCTCTTTTTTTTGCAAGCAGATACCCCCCGTCAAATCAACTTCACGTATAAAACTCACATATGAACTCACGTATGGAACTCACACACCAAGTAAATATATAAAGGATGAAATTTCACAAGACAGGCGTAGCGGAGGGGGTATCGACAAGTATAATGAACAATGCCCCAGTACATATTACAACGGGATAAAAACGCGACCGGCCGCCAACATCCATCAACCCTTTCATGGCCAGCCCACGCCTCCCCCTCAAAATATCCTGTCCCCCCCTTCTTTTTTACTTCCCATGTATGCGCGAGCGTCGGCTCACTCGGCCGAACCCGCAAAGCTCGTCATCTCCGTTTACCAAAAAAACATCCCTTCGTCTTCGTCCAGTAGTAGTCAAGTAAAAACACACAACGTACCAAAGGCATAGTCAGCCATCATCGAAAGTCCGTCCTCCAAAAAAAAGCCACGGCGACCCCGGAAATAAAAAAGTCATTTGACAACCCATTTCAACGGACGCTATGCTGTTTTGTATTATTGACTCTTCTTCAGATACGCCTTGGAACCGCCCCAACCCCCGCCCTCTAGTCGCCGTCTACCGCGCAAACACCTTGACGACGCCGTCGCCGCCGCCGCTGACCACCCACTTGCCGTCCTGGCTCCAGACGACCGAACAGACTCCCTCACCCCGCATGATGCGGTGGCTCGTAATCTCCTGCGTGCAGGATCGCTTCTCGAGACTCCAGAACCGCAGCGACGCGTCGTGACCTGCACTAATGAGTTCACGCCCGTCTGGACTGAGAGAAAGGCTCGAGATCGATGCGGGATGCGCGAGCATGTTGTATGTGCATTGTCCTGGAGAGTCATTAGTATGGTTGTAACCAAGGTAAAGATGAGCTGTAGTCGCTTACCGCTGTTGGCATCGAAGAATCGCACGAACCGATCCTCGTGTCCAGAGATAATGACGCCTTCTACGCCCGAGCCCGCCATCGACCTGCCGCCGCCCGTAGGTCCGCCACCGGCGCCGCTGTCCTCCTCGGACATGCCGCCTTGGGACTGCTCTAACGCAACGGTTGTCGCTACCACGGCATTGACGCTGGTGTTGACCGTGCCGTCGTACGTCTCCAAGCTGTCCATGCTTCCCGTCTGCTCACCCGTCCTCGTGTCGTAGACGAGAATGGATGCATCCGAGTAGGAGACGACGAAGGACTCGCCGTTGGGGCTGAGCGGTGTGATGCAAGTAGGGCTGGCGTCAGACCCGTCAGTCCTCTTGATGTTGTGCACAAGCATGTGGTTGAACGGAGAGCTAGACGCCATGTTGGGCTGTGGTGTGCTTGAGAAAGCGCTGCCGGAGCTCATGGAGTTGCCGCGTACGCGGCCTCTGCTACCTGTAGGCGCGGCTCTGTTCGTGCCAGGCTGGGGACTAGTCAGCTGAGGCGGCGCGCTGACGGCCCACAGGCGGACAGAGCCGTCGGCACCTCCAGAGACGAGCATGATGCGGTCGGGGCTGCCGTATTGGTTGTTTTGTCCAAAGACGGCACCCAGAGTCGTCGGGAGGACGCACAGAGCCCAGACGGCATCGGTGTGACCTTCGAGGGTGGCTTTGGGGTCGACTCTGCCCCGCTCCCATACCCTGATAGTAGCATCTTGACCGCCAGAGAAGATCCAGCCATCGCCCTGAGCACGTCCGCCAGTCGAAAAGTTGGGGGAAGGCGACCAGGAAGCCAGGCACAGAACCGCGCCGGCGTGACCGCGGTGAGAGAAGTTGGCTGTTACGTCAAGGTCGGAGGCGGCATTTGTCTGGCCGTGGCTATCAGCACGGGGAATGTGGAAGCGCTTGATCATGCCGTCGTCACCGGCGGTGCAAATCTCAGGCTCACCAGGACTGCCACCTCCGGAAAAGATCACTGTGCGCACCGTATCCAAGTGGCCCCGCAGTCCGAACCGCAACTTGAAGTTGCCAGTCTCCGCCTTTTGAGCGGCTGCGTTTAGGGATAACTCGTGCTCAGAGCTACGCCTTCTCGACATCGATCCTTTGCGACGGTGAGAGGCCGGGGCTCGGTTGGGCGACTTGGGAAGGTTGTCCGCGGTGGGGAAGGCATCGGTATCAGGCCGGTTGGTAACTTGCTGAAGAGGTTGCGAGGGGTTTGACTCGGAGTTTGTGTTGTCGGGAAACTCCCATGCATCAGATTCAGGAGGGGCGCGGCTTGGTTGAGACTCCTCAGTAGGCTCTACACTACTGACAGACTCAACAGCATGGCTAGGTCGCTGCTGCATGTTGTCATCCAGCATGCGGGCGGTCACCGACGTTGGCTGCGGCCATTCGTTACCGGCAGCGTACATAACAGGAGGTACGGGCTCAGAGTTCAGAGGCGGCATCTGTTGCTGTTGTTGTGGTTGCTGCTGTTGCTGTTGCTGCTGCTGCTGAAGTTGTTGATATTGTTGTTGTTGTTGCTGCTGCTGCTGCTGCTGTTGTTGTTCGGCCGGTCTCATGGGTAAATTCCCATGTTGGCTGCGTTGCATCGGTGGAGCGTGGTTGGGGGCAGGTGGTGGACGGTTGGCCTCTCGGACGTGGTTCTGCGGCACAAGAGAAGATGATGCGAAAGGAAACGGCGGCTCCTGGAAGGGCTTTCCGCCTGGCATACCGAAAGGTTCGCCTTCGCGTAGGTCTTCAAGTATCGGGAGCGGAGGTGAATCGCGAGGAGGTAGAGGGTTGGCTGGCGTGATCATCAGATAGGTAAACTCGGCCTGGCACTGGTCCAAGAATGACTTGAGATCGGCCCGCTGTGCCTCATCGTCACCCTTCTCAATATCGATCTCGTTGCCGTCGACATTGGTTGGTTTCTTGCTCGAAGCTGGTGCACTCCTGTCAGTAAATCTGTAACCTTGACTCGGGGGACGATAAACCCACGTCGAAGCTTCTCCTGAATCAGGGCTGCGCGGTCCTTCTCAGCCTTCGCAGCCTCTTCAGACTTGGATCCTCCCTTTAGTTGCGCCGACTGGTCCTTGACCTTCTTCTCGAGGATAGTAACGTATTTCTTCAGAGCCTTTTGCGTGGCGTCTGCGCGTCTCGCTTGGCCTTCGAGGGCAGCTATCCTCGCCTTCATCTCTTGACGCTCAATCTCCCACGCATTCCTGTCGCGTTCGTGACGGTGCCATTCGGTCTGGAGGAATCGCATAACGCCTGTGAAAGAAGAATGATCAGCGAGACTGACGTCGTTTGCCATACAACGATGAAAAACATACCCTGTAGCGTATACTCGGTCGCATGTGGCTGGCCAGAGCCGTTGCCCTGCATCGCGCCGCCCATCTCGTTTCCTCCAGGCCCGCCCATGCCGTTTCCAACGTTCGTCCCCATACCCGAGACCACCTGCCAGCTCATACGCGCGCGAGGGGAAACGGGTTCCCCAGGTAGCAGCTCAGCACTGCTGGCAGAGGTTGAGAAAGTGAAGGGTTGTTGATGGGTGTCGATCGAGCTTCCGAGGCTTCTCGCTCCGAGTGTCTTTGCTCGCCCCGCTGTCGCAGCTGCGCCTTTGATTTGGGGAGGTGGAGAAAAGGGTCTGTTGGTTTTATTGCATTTGCCAGTCGAGGAAACGTAACCAGCGATGACTCGTCAAGATGCTGGCGTAGCCGTAAGGGTGGCTGTCGCTGTCGCTGTCGTTGGCGTCGTGTCGTGTCGGGCGTTGTCGTCGTTCGTAGTTCGTCAATTCGAGAGAGAGACACACACAACCCCCAGCCTGGAATTACGGGTTGGCGGTTGGAGCTGTGGCCCCCTGGTCAATTGGAGCTTTACGTCTTTGGCGTCAGTACTGGTATCAGTACACGCTGCTTAACGCAATTGGCCCAGTATTGCTGTCGGGGGTCTGAAGAATCGGCGTGTCCAAGTCCCAGCTGTCTCGCTCCGAACCGGACGGGAGAAAGCACAGAAAAATTGTGTCGCACAAGAGAAGAAGCTCCGCGGCGATGGGTGGCCGCAGAGATTTCGTCTTAATGTCGCGTTGGTGGCTTTTTTTTTTTTCTTCTCCTTTGCAAAAAAAGATGAGAAACAGGGCTGAGAGGGTGGTCAATCAAGGTCGCTACTGCCACTTGTGAATTCCCCTGGTCCCAGGGCAGTCGTGGCCAGCACACGCTGTACATGCCATGCTGTACACGCTGTACACTACAACTGCTGTTTGTGACCAAGCTCCCCTTAACCTACCTTGCCGCCAATTTTGGACCAATCATGTGCCGGTTATGAGTGATGAGGCTGTCAGGCATCAACAAGTCACCCCAAGGTTTCCTCCTTCCCCTGAAGAGAAGGAGGGCACAGGCCACATCAACGCAGATTATGTAATATTCTTATCTCTCTATCGTCTCAAAGATGTCCTTATGCACAGACCATACTCGACTACTGTGTCACGTACCTTAGCGTACCACTCCGTCTGTACCTTTACCTGAGATACAGAGAGAAGAGGCCTCATATAATCGGCAGGGTAAGGTATCATCATCACAGCTCTGTCACCAGAATACCTACTCAGCTCCAGTTGTTGTCAATTACGCAGTAGGCAAATTACATCACGTCAAAACACTTGACCCAAACAAATCATCATGTCAACGAGATCAGTTCCTTCAATTGAAGACGGCCGGCCCCTTGTTTGGAACATCCAACGCCAAGAATAGCTCTGGGCTGATGTCCAAACGCTCACTCCCTAATCTACAACTAGGCCATCTGACCCCTTATTACAACTGCAGGAGAAAAATAAAAAAAAGCGAGAAAAAGGAAAAGAAAATTAGACTTTTGTCCACCCCACCAGAGATCGATCAAAGCCCGTACTACTCCATTGGCATGCCCGTATCACGCCTCCCAACGAAACGCAACGCAACGAACCCCATTCTCCAAAGCCAAGGAAATACGGTCATATGTGCAAGTGTCTACCGCCAATATCATGCCGCAGCAAGTATGGCAGCTCACATCCTTCATCCAGAGCCGCCCCTCTACATGTCGGCTGCGCGCAACGGCGAAGCCACCCTGTAGTGTATGATGTCGAAATGTCCTATGTACTTGATATCGTCATGTCGTCAAAGGCTCCATGCCAAATAATATGTCGTGATTGCTTCGCTCAAGCGTACTGGGGCTCGCCCTGGCAAGCGTCAATAACGCGCCTGGCATTGGCAATAATCTGCGACAGATTCTTGAGGACTGGGTCGTTGCCCGAAGTGCTGCTGATGCGCACAAAGAGACCCTCGACGCGAGCCACCAGCATACCCATAATCTTGGGTGTAACTGCGCGAGCATCCTCGTCCTAATAGTCATTAGTGTCTGCAAAGAAATGTAGCGTATGAAGGAGAAAATAAACATACCATGTTGCCGAGGGAGACCTGCAGGCTGTGAACAACCATTTCGAGCCAAGCGATTCTTTCACGAGTGTAAGACTCTAGGTTCAAGCTGACAGTAGCAGTCACCGTCAGCAGAACCAGATGAGGCAGGTTGCGAACGAACTCCGGGCTGTATTTCGACATGTACTTCTCAAACACCTCCTGTTCGCGGCCAGACTGCATCCAGCGAACGACGGCCTCCTCAGCCCTGCCCTCCTTCATGGACTGGTTGATGACAGCGATACGAGCCTGTAAGTCGGCATCGTAATCGTTGTTGGCCTTCGAAACAGTCATGGCCTGAGAGTGTCCGTAACCCATGGACTGATGAGAAGCACGGTCGGGGCTCTGGACATTGCTGTAGGCCTGGCTCTGAGCTTGGCTAGGGACCTGGCTAGCGACAGAAGGTGCAGTGTAGGAAGGAGCGGAGTGGTGGTGCGATCCTTGCTGCTGCTGCTGTTGCTGCTGCTGTGGTTGCTGATGCTGATTTTGAGCCTGAGCACGCATCATCTGTTGCTGAGTCGCCATCTGCTGACGGAAGTTGAGGAACTCGGCATGCATCTGCTGCTGCATGGTCGTCATGCTAGCAATCGTGCCGCCAAGTTGAGTCACCACCTTGGTCAGTTCATCGACCTTCTTAGTCTCAGCAGCGAGATGGGCGTTGATAGACTCCACTTCGTTGCGGTGCTGCTTTTGAAGCTCGCCAGCAACACGTTGACAAGCCTGAACAGCCATGTTGGTGAAAGAGGGACCAAGGCGAGCGGTCAAGGTGTTGACAACCTCCTGCTGGACGTTGGCAGCGACAGTTGCTCCAACTCTGTCAGAGATGGCCTTCACAAAGTCGCCGTTCTGCAGCGCGTGCTGAGTCGCGGAAGGAAGGGCCTTGTGAATCTCCTTCTGAACAGAGTGTGAGACCTGGGCGTTCATGCTCTTTGAAAACTGATCAGAAACCGCCTTCGCAGCTACATCAGAGATAGCAGGAATGACGGCATTGCTGAACTGCTCGTTGATGAGAGCGTGGAGCACCTTCTGGGTGTTCTCGTTCAAGACGTCGGACACCATGTTGAGGAGCTGACCCTGGCGCTCGGTGAAGTCAGCTTCGCGAGCGCGCAGGCCATCCTCGATACGGTTGTGAAGAGTCTTGAAGGACGAGTTGAGGAGGCCGTTGAGGCTATTCTGCAAACGAGACTCCATGCTGCTGATGGCGGTCTCAACAGACTCCTGGGTGATGGCGTTGGCGTTGGAGGCTTGTTGCTTATCCTTGTTGGAGGCGCCAACACGAGGAGATCCGTTGGATTGAGGATCGCCAGCAGCAGCGGCAGCAGCGGCGGCGGCGGCAGCTGCCTTCTTCTTGCGGCTCTTGCGTTCCTGCTTCTCTTCCTTCGCAGGAGGAGCAGAAGGAGCTGGTGTCTCGTCGTCCTTGGCCTCAGCCTTGGCAATCTTGACAGGAGTGATGGACTCGGGACCGCGGCGAGGGGCACTTTCGTCTTGAGAAGGAGTGCTCTGAAGGAGAGATTCCTTGGCGATGTTACGGGCCGCGGGATGGCCACCGTCAACGTTGTTCTGGTGGGGAGGCTCGGCAGGCTGAGCGGCAGGTGGCTTGAGCTTGGAGATGGTGACGACACCGGCGTCAACGGCATCAACGGGGGCAAGAACCTTGTTGTCCTTGGACCAGCCAAGTTCGGCCTGCTTGATCAAGAGACATGCGACACCCTTGGAGTGCATGGCATAGAGCTCGAAAAGTGTTGGCTCGTCGCTCTCTTGGGTCATGGCTGGGTTGGAAAGAATGTCGAGGCTGCGAAGAATTCCACGGTTCGCAAACGAGTACTCACGCACGCCGCTGATAACGGCGGTCGAATCCGGCTGGGGGATGGAAGCATCCTGGGCCACCAGGCGCTGGATGTACTCTACCTGCGACACGCTCTTCAGGTTGTACTTAGGAGCCGAAAGATGCGCGAAATAGATCGAGTTACGGGTCGGGTGACCAATAACGATCATACCGGTAGGAGGGTGGTACATGACGCTGCAGACGGCGTCCGACTCCTTGCTGTGAGGCAAGTTGAACTCCTGGACCGGCTTGCCGAGCGCAAGATCCCAGAGTTGCAGAGTGTGATTCTGCTTCATTCCGATGATCATGTAACGCAGGGCGCAGCGCTTCTGGTACGGGCGGAGCTTGTCGACCAGGAGGACGGAGGTAGGCCAGGCCTTCTCACCCTCGGGAGTGCTAGTCAGAGTCATGAGAGGCTCCTTGATCTCGAGAGAAGTGTGGGCTGGCAGAGGCCAGCGCGGGTCGCTGCCCTCCTTGGAGGCAGTGAGGTCGCGAACGTCCCAGAACTTGACACGTCCGGACTTGTCAAGAGACACTATCACGCTGTCATCCTGACTGAACGTGAAGTCTTTACCGGCCTTACCAGTATTGATCTTCAACGAGCACTGCTTGGCGAGCCTATCAATGTCGACAACGCGGTCATGGCCGGGCTTGAAAAGGTTGTTCTGCATGATGTATGTGGGCCAGACGATGTTGATAGACTTGCCACGGCCGACGGCGAAGAACTCGGTGTGAATCGTCGACGTGCGAGCGCGGGTCTTGAGAACACCTCCCGGGGCGTCACCACCTTCGTGGGAAGCCATGGGGGGCAGAGCAAAACCGTACTGCTCGGGGTGGGCATCTTCAATGTGGTCCTTCTCGCCGCTCTTGATCTGGACCCAGTAGACAGTGCCGCTAATGCCGGTGCCAATGATGGCTTCGCGGTGAATGCCGGTATGATCAGGGGGGGTGACGGACATGGCGACGTTGAAGATGCGGTCCTTGGTGTCAGTGAAGATCTTGGCGTCCTTACCGTCGTCCTGTCGGATGACACGGAGACCACCGGCCTTGGACATACCATAGGCCATGTAGTTCTCGGTGGCGGTGTAAAGGTTACGGTCGATCTGATCGAATTCCTTCTTGAGACGAGCGATATCCATGATGGCATCATCACGGAACTGAGGACGGGGTTCAGTGGCACCATCCTGCAGAGCAATCGAGATCCAAGGCTTCATGGGGAAGTTGAAAACCTTGACGGGCGAGGGAGTTTCCTCCTCAATCACCACGATCTCGTCCTGGTCGGCACTCTCCCAGCTGTCGGCGACGGCATGTGCAGCAGCCTCCTCGACAATTTCCCGGACCTCTTCAGCGACCTCAGCAGAGACAACCTTCTCGAGGAGGTCCCTGTTTTCCTCGCGGTCGAGCTCCTTCTTGATAGCCTGGGCGGCGTGGTGGGCGCTCGCCTCGAACTCTCTCTCAGTCCGGGCGGTGTCCATGGCCTCGAGATCCTGCAGGTACTCCGGTCGCGTCTGCTCTTCCTCAGCGCGAGCCAAAGCCTGTTGAGCCTCAAGGTCCGCACGCTCAGCAATATCGTGAATGGCTTCCGACACAGTCTCCTTGTGCTTTTCCGAGGCCGGAACGCTCGCAAACGAGGCAGTAGAGCCGGGGGTAGGGTTAGCAAGCTTATCGGCGGGCGAAGAAACGTGTCCGAGGCTGTGGCGGGCACGTTGGGGAGATGCGAGAGGGCTGCGCTCGTTTGTGATGCGCTTAGTCTCGCTTCCGTGATGGGAGCTCGGAGAGTCGTGGGTCTTTTTCAGGATCTGGAAAGCTGGACCAGCAGGTGACTGGCCAGCAGAGTGAGGTGGGGCGATACCCGAGATGGAACCGGACTTGGGTGTCCGGTTCTGTGGCGAAGTGATCTGAGGCTCCTCGAAGCCGTTGTTGGCATTGTTGTAGCCAAACTGCTGCTGGTGCTGTTGCTGTTGCTGTTGCTGTTGCTGCTGGTGGGCGACCTGAATATTGGACTCCTGGGTCGAAGGGAACGAGTAGGTGCCATAGTTGCCACTCGACTGAGAGTAGTTGCTAGGGTCGTACTCGTAGGAATTCGAGGACATGTGCGACAGGTTGGGAGCTTGGCCGGCCTCAGCGAGAACTCGATGAAGGATGTTCTCGCCTGGCTGAGGCAGGTTGGAACGGTTCGACTCGGTCAGAAGCATGTCGTTCTGGCTGGGCTTCGGGCGGTTCAGCAAGTTCAGCAGGTAAGCCCGGGTATCGTCGGGGGGCGACGATGCGCCAAAAGTCGAGAATGAGCCGTTCTGAGGCGGCTCAGGTCGCGACTCCTCGCCATCGTGTGCTCCTTTCATCAGAGCGGCGAGCAGGCCAGTGGGATCGGCCGGGGCGCGGGCTGGGGCGACAATCTGGGTTGGCATCGACAACGAAGGATCGCGGCCCTGTTGCTGCTGAGACTGGTGTAGTTGTTGCTGCAGCTGGGGCGACTGTTGCTGCTGCTGCTGCTGCTGAGAATGCTGCGAAGACTGAGACGGCTGCTGCTGATGCTGCTGGTAGTTTGCAGAGGTGTCCTGACGAGCTTGTGAAGCCTGTCCACCGGCACCGCTGAACTTGAGCAGATTCAGCAGATTAGTCGTGCGATCGCCGTTTGAAGGCATGCTGCCACCGGGGGGTGTCGGCGCCGGGGGCATGGGGGACACCATAATGGCGCCGGGAGGGGAAGGGGGTGTTTCGACGAGGGAAACGAGGGACAATTGACAAGGAAACCCTTTCGTCGTGAGGTGATTGATGGTGTTTTGAGAGGTGAAGGGTTAGGGAAGGGGGAAAATAGGTCTTGAAAATAAATTTTGGGACGGAATGGATGACTTGGGAGGCTGGAATCTCAGCCCAACCTAACACAACCCTGTAGCGCCAGCGAAGTTACAGGGGGGTGACGTGGTAGATAGGAGCGGAAGCAAGAAAGGGCCGGCGCCTGGACCTTCACTGTGGTGACCTAGAATAGAACAGAGCCTGAAGTGAAGAGAAAAAAAAAAAAAAAAAGACAGCGGGTGCAAGCATGAAGGTCTTTGCCTTTACGGGGAGGGAAGGCACAGGAGCGACCACTGAGCTTAGGGCAGCTCCGGGCGTGCCAGAGGGAGGCCGTTCAGTGGGTGGTTCATAGAGGTGCCGCACTGGTGCGGGACACAGGCGCCATGTTCCTGAGCTAAAGTGGCAAGACCGACTGGAGCTGGAGGTCCTTTTCCTTCCACATGTGCTCAAGAAAGGGTAGGTACCTGGCGGTAGCTTATTGGTCCAAGCGTCTTGCCTTGCCTGTCCTCTGATGTGTTGGTTGGCCAGGGAAGGTGCTGACTACAGGTAGCAGCACTTACCCTACTCTACCTTAACTTTCTACAGTGTATGAGGGGCCGTGCGTTGGCCTGCCTGAGAGGTCCCCCCGCGGCCCACTTGCAGAATCAGAGTGTCTGACATAAGCAACAGCACCGATTTGCTGGCTACTGTCAGGCTTTGGGTTGCTGGTTTCCTGCACCACTGAGGAGGAAAAAAAGAAAGGCCAGCTACAACTGCAATTGCAAATTGCAAGCAGAAAGTCTGCGTACCTAATCTCAATCTGTTTCGTTTACCCTGCCTTGCTCTCGTCGCGCTCTATCTTTCACGGACGCAGGTGCTTTAGAATACCGACCTTGGTGTCTAATACCGCACAGTCTGTTGTTACGGTCGACCTGGATTTGATTTCTAACCGACCCCGTCGCATTTCCCATCTGCCGCATCCCGAAACTCCGATCGATCCTAAACGACGAACCCCGGACCGAGCTGATACGGCCACACACTGGTTGCGAGTGGGATAGATAACAACCGGCTCTTACTGAATCATTGTGCTGAAGCGTCGCTGCTGTTGCCGGCTGGGTATACGAATAAGGGGCTCTCGCCCGGAGGAACCTGTGATCAGCTTCCTATTAGCGATTTGGAGTTCGTCCTGAGCAACATCTGCCACCGTCACCATGTTCTGCCTTCGAAGGTAAACCACCAGACAAAACGCTATACTAGTAGAAGGATATGACCGCTAACGTGTATCGAAACAGCTGGCTCCCGCTTCTCTTCATCCCAACCAATGCGTCGCCCGCCTTCATCTTCCTCTTCTTCATCTGCACCTACTTTCTCAACCGGCCATGCGTCTACTGCAGCTTCCTGCTCCTCATCCTCTTCCTGACCTCATGCAACTGGTCTGATCGATGCTTCTTCGACTTTAGCAGCAACTGGTTTCAACCGCGCCCGCCGATTTCTCTCTCTTCGTCGCCGATACCCGAGATCGATCCCAACATAACCTTCAACGCTACAGTGGCCGAGGTCATCAACTCCACCGCCAGCGCACTGGCCGGCGCCGCTGCCGAAGAGCTCGCACGGCAGAGGCAAGAGTGGACGGGACTTGGTATCGAGTGGCTGCGCAGCCTGCTGGGCCGCCGGGAGTGGAGGGTCGAGTGCTTGGATATCAACATCCGCTTGTAATCAGGGAGAGCATTTTGAATATGGGGGGGGGAGGGGCGGGGGACGAATGGTTATGAATAACGATTAGGTTCGCGTTTCGGGGCAATGCCACGGTCGTCAAAGGGGTAGGAAATATTCAACGTGCGATACCAGGCGGGTCTTATGGGTGCATACTACGGCGTTTTCTGTTGCTGTTGCTGTTGTTGTGTGTGTGTGTGCGTGCGTGTATTCTCGAGTGTTGGATAGAAGCGAAGCTGGCCAAACGTCGCCGTCACACTGAGAGACTAAGGGCAGCTACCATGGTGGGCATCACGATTGTAATTGACTGCATTCGCGCCTGTCTGAACCCAAACCAAACTTATCCGGCGGTTGTCTTTTCACATGATCAGATCGACGTGCTGCTCACCAAGCTTTAAGTTGGAACTGGGGTAAAGGGTCCTGGGTCCTGGGTCCTGGGTCCTCTCTGGACCCCTTGCGTACCGCCAACCCGGAAGAAAAAGGAGAAAAAGAAAAACAAACATGGAAACGAAAAAAAAAAGCTTTTGGGCTACAATAGTAGATCAGCATAACAAGCTCCTGGAGATAGATATTTTGTCATGTCCATTCATGTGTGATGTTACCCGCACCCTCCGGCACGTCCTGCTCAGGGAAGGGGGGGGACCCTGGAAAAAGCCAAGTCCACGAATACAATGACGATGAACGAGGCTGAGCGGTCGACGGGGGTGAGGTGGGAAGGGCCCTGAAATAGAGTTTATTCCACCAAAAGATTCCCGGCACAGGAAAGTCTCGGCCGTCGAGCCGGCCGGACATCATCCCCGATACCGTATATTCTTGGCTCGGCGGGCCGTCAGAGGCGCGCGGAAGATAGCGCCGCATCGCTCGATGGAGCGGGGCGGAACTGGAAGAAGGAGGGGAGGAGGGCTCCCGGGGGGTGTGGTAAATTGGGTGGGCTGTGCCTCCCCTTCCCCCCCGAATCCCGGAGTGGGCACATCCCGTCTTCCCCCCCATCACCTCCACCCAGCCCTGCCCACATTACGGCACACCCGCGTAGGATCATGGTCGGGTAATTAATTATCTGCGGGCTTTGCGTAGGCTCGCATTTCGGGTTGTGGCGTCGGCAGACCCCTTCATGCTGTGCTACGTCTTACGGTCTACGGACTTGCGCAGGCCGCGAGTCGTACTACTACGTTGTTCGTCCGAAATCTGACTGAACATGAACAGTAACCCAAGGGCCCGACTGACATCCCCTCTTCGCATGCTTGAGTGGGGCAAATGCGAAGTCACTTTTCGTCGTAATTACAGCGCGAAGACGGTTGAGAAAAAACGTCGCTTCACCCTCTAGCGCTACAGTCTTGTCCCCAACATCCTGGGACTTTCCAGTCGTGGATAGCACCAAAAAAGAAACAGGCATTCTTGCCAAGGGCGTCTGCGTCGCCATGATGAGATGAATGCATCTCAAAGGATTCCGCCACGACAAATGGTGACATTCCACTTGGGTGCCCGACGGCTGGGCGAGTATGTACCTGCTTGTTTATGATTATATCCGAATATCAGACATTCATGCGTGACTTGAGCCGGAACGCCGGCAGGAAGCCAAGACAGAGAGTACCACTCTCTACCCGCCAACCACGATCCTTCTGCAGCCATTCTCAGGGAGAGGGGGAAGGCTGACATGCGACAAGCTGTATCGACGTATTTCGTACAGGTGGTGGTGGGCATCCGGGGTACTGAGGACTGAGTTGTTCTTGCGTTTACCGCTCCGCCGCTTCGGTGCCGAGAAATGCAGCCGCCATCACACATCCCATGGCAACAAAACAGAGTCTTATCGGATGGCGTTTTCCCCAGCCGTGCCAAAACCCAAACTCTCCTTCAGGTTGCTGCTGCCAGGTCTGAATCGCGTCTAGCTTCCTCGTGGTAGCGGTGCCGACTTCCTTTTACTTGCGCGGCCAGGTGACGAGTCCCCCAATGTTAACGAGAGGACCTGAAACCGAGTGCCGCAAAAGCATCTACCGCCACCATTCTCCCAGGTGCCATATTGCCGGCGGGGACTAGTGACTGGGAGTTCATGGGCAGAGCGTCACGGAGACAGAAACTCCAGGCTAGGACAACCCAAAGGGAAATACGGCACAGCCTCGCTCCGTGAACAGTTTAACCAACTTGCCCCGGAGGTGGACGATTGGCGGGCGGAGCGGAAGCCCTATGCCATGTTGCGCCACATTCCTGGTGGGAAAGTCAATCTGTGCCGGTTATGCGCGTAGAGTGGGTGAGGCACAATGGGCAGACAAAATACGAAAACAAAGAAAATACATTGCATGCCCTTCTTGGGACCAGACAGCCGCTGCCCCAAAAAGGGATAAGGGGTGCAGGGGTTGAGGGAGCAGGCCACGCGTCACCTGTGGGACTTTTATGAAAGTGAATCGCCAATGGAACGGGGGTTGGTCGATGGATAGAGCTTCTGCCGGGGGTTTGGGTTTTGGCTTGCTGGCTATCCCAATTCCGTCCCAGACTTCCATCAGGGAATAGCGGCGAGTTCGGACGATTTTAAACACAGTAGTGTTGTTCGTCAGTCGCCCATCCACCAACTCCTGTCTCGGGCGCCCATCCTTCAGACGTTGCAGAGCCGCTGATCGCTGTAGAGGGGCTCTGATAGCCAGCCCCCTAGGTGCACAGACAGATGGGTTTGTTTTTGAGGGTGTTGGTTCATTCACGATGCGACAAGCGGCTGATGGAAGATTTGATGCAAAATGACGGACGACAGACAGCTCGTATTCAGAATAAATTCTCTGTGCAAAGACCACAGCCGAAGAGTATCCCTAACCAGGTAGGAGGCCAGAAAGAAAGCAAAGCCAAGCAGCGGGGCGGAACTTTGGTGCTCATATTGCTATTGTTTGGTGCTGGACAATAATGAGCAGCGCCGAGGAAGGCCAAGGTGAGGCCCTGGCGCAGGGCCTCGGATCATTGGCCGGGAAGCGCCATGGCTGAAAGTTTTGGAGGAGGCGCCAAACGTGCCAAGGGAGGAGAGTTGGGCTTTCCAAGACTCGGGCCAATTTCTGGTTATGGCGCTGGCAAAGGCGGCATCTGTTGACCGTTTTGTTTCACTCGTACGCCTGAAAATTTCGTATTATCATGTAACGCAAAGGAGACTGAAGTAGAATGTGCGGTGTGAGGGTGTGTATCCCCCCGTCATGACATCGGTATCGGTAAAAAGAGGCTTATGCGGTTTTCGGTGCTGGTCATCGGATGAAGTTCCCAGTTTGTGGTTTTTGACTACTGCGGGTTACCATGGTTGTCTACATTGTTACCACCAACCGTAATTGATGGGTTGGGATGGATGGTCGGAATGGAGGTGACGGGCACGCGACAGTCAACTGACGGCCATATCATTCGTCCATTTGTCGAGAACGAAATGGCCCCGTCATAGATAATTGTGGTCGTGGTGATTTCTGTTGATTAAGCCCAGATTTGCCTTCCGGTGGGTGACAGGGGCTGGCTTCCATTTGATGGGGAAACATTGACAAAAGGTTCCATTGTGACGTTGGTCGCCAGGAAAATGGAGGGTTGTGGCAGGCGAGCTCCTGCCAAAATTCAGTAGCGGGCTTTATGTCAGCACCGTTAATTCCGGAACGCTTAGATACTTATTTTGCTACCATGCATATGCCAGTACGGTTAGTAGCAAGATCTATCCGTCCAAAGAGTCTGACACATTCCAGCTGAGTGAGACTTTACTGCTTATTTAACTTTGGATATTTTTGCAAAAAATGTTGACATCGGACTATTAGCTACTTAACGACGTCGTCCGTTAAACATCGGCTGGCCAATCAAGCACATTGTCACAACAAAACCAACGGTACTGCCCCAGATCGACATACTCAAAATGGACTGGAAAAAAAGAAGGGAAAAAAAAGCATTTAGTGGATACTTCGCGCTCAGCACTCGATACTTGATTCTGATCGGATATGTGCAAGCCCCTCCTCTCAGTTGACGCGGAGTGCTCCTTATGCTGCCAAGGCCACTAGCGGCTTATGCGGCGACGGAGACCAAGAAACACCAAGGAAGGAGAGCACACGACACACACACACGCCCTCCCCCTGGCTCTGCGACTGGAGGACATCTACTACATTGTAAGTATTGAGTGGTGGTAATGCAACGGACAATGAGGCAGTAACCCTGCTCCCTCACGCGACCATTGCAGGCCGAAAAAAAAAAAAAAAGGCCTTTCAGCCGTCTTCCGGGAATAGGGATGCTGAGCCACGAATATCAAAATCTGCAGTCTCCATCCCGCCCCAGTCCTCCCTCCCCCGTTACACCCGGGCCACTTCCACTGCCCAGCACCAAGCTTCTTTTTGGTCGTCCCTTTTAATTAACTCTATGTACCGTAAATGGGACCCCCCGTCTCCTCCCGCTGGGGACTCTGAAGACTCGTCACCGGAAGCAGTCAAAACCGCGGCTCGTCACTGGCTCCCTGGCATCGGATTGAGTCCGGACCACACAATTTCATGACTAGGACCTCCTTTCCTGAGCGGGATTACGTATGCCACTTATCATGGCACATACGCGCAAATTCGCATCGTACACGCGCTAAGGAATGTGGGAGAACAGACTCTGGCCGTTTCCATCGTCTCTTTGCGGCACTGGTGGTACGTAAGGCCTGGAGTACGTATCGCTTTTCTCCTTCGTTTGTATGTGAGGCGAGGCGTTTTGCGTTCTGCCCCGTGTGGGAACGACGAGTCACTACTTTCTTGTCTGCTTCTACTTTGTAAGTAATGTCTTGTTTGGTTGTGTTTTCATGTCTAGAAATAAAAAATAAATAAAAATAAGAAAAAATAAGAAAAAAAAAGATATGCAAGAAAAAGAAGGAACCCTCGGGAAGAAAGGAGGTCCAAAGAGAAACCGACTGCCCAGATCTTGGCAAGGCAAACAGGGTAATCACAGCTTGACAACATGACGGGATTCGGGAAGGGAAACGGTGGGCGGGACGCCTCCTGCCTCCTGTACACTCCCCTTCGTTGCAGACACACCACTCCACGAATACTCTCCACACCGCACACCACGCCTAGTGTACTCCATACTTGGGATACCTCTCTCGGTTTCTTATTTCATCCCGCATTTACATATCATCTCGGTATCGCCCTGCCGCGCTTCATTCATGTCTGTCCCGGTTCTTCCTCCTGCCTCGTACTTCTTGGCACTCCCGTGTTTCAACGCCCCCAGTATCTTGAATCCGAACTTTGACAGCGTCTAGATCTCTTCTGTTGCAGATCCGCTTATATCCATTTTTATTCCACATCAGTCGTCCGCTGCTGTCTTATTCCTGTTGTCATTAGTGTCATCACCTTCCAGTACCGACTTATACGCCCGCCTCACCTCACCTCACCTTCACCCTAACCTCGCTCATCTGTCATCTCATCTTCGCATTCACCTCCTGACGATTCCCACGACTACGAATATTACACAACCAGTCGGATCCACGTGCTTTTAGTCTTCACAACTCAGTGATACCCATCGAGTTTGGCTTTTCTTCTCTTTTGAACGATTCGCTTGGCTCCTTTCTTTTCGACGGTGATTTGAACCTGCTTCCTGCCGCATCGACTCCTTTTAGACTCGACAACCTCTTGGCACCAACGAGGCCTCCCTCACGAAAAGACAACACCGGTTTTCTCTTGGCCGAAAATAACAAACCAGCTTTTCCAGGTGCCGATAGGCGATCTCGACATCGACTTGTTCATCATCCACTCCAGACCGGCATAGCAGCACATATAGCACCATGAGGTTCAGCGTTGCCATCCCCCTCGCCCTCTTGGGCCTCACATCCACAGTTGCTGCGGCACCTTCACAACCACCTAGCCAAGAAGTATCACCTCCAGTGCTGGCTAAACGTGAAGATACCAAATACTTCCACGAGCCTTGCTGCGGTGAAGAGCTCGGCCACTACGACATCCGCTACTTCAAGGAGGCCGTCCCCTATAACGAACATCGCGTCGTCCTCCGTAACCTCATTCGCTCTTACCTAACAATTACGAAGAAACTCAACATCGAGACCTGGCTCGCCCACGGCACACTCCTCGGCTGGTGGTGGAACGGCAAGATCATGCCTTGGGATTATGATCTTGATGTCCAGGTGTCCACGGCTACCCTCTACTGGCTTGGCCAGAACATGAACCGCACCGAGCACGATTACGACTGGACGGACGCCGAGGGCAACCCCCAAAAGGAGCGTTATCTACTCGACGTTAACCCCCACGGCACCGACAAAGACCGCGGCGATGGCCAGAACATCATCGATGCCCGCTGGATCAACATGGCCAACGGTGCTTTCATCGACATCACCGGCCTTGCCGAGCGCGACCCCTCCGGCATGCCGGGCGTCTGGAGTTGCAAAAACTACCATCGCTACCACACCACCGATCTCTTCCCCATGCGCGAGACCGAGTTCGAGGGTGTTCCTGCCGTTATTCCCTACAGCTTCGAGCGCATCCTGTCTGATGAGTACGGAACTAAGAGCCTGGTCACCACTGAATGGCAAGGGTAAGTCAGATCTGCGTGGAGTTCCGCCCGCCTATTTAAGGTTGATACTTCGGGCCGTTCACTAACACGACTAATAGACACAAATGGGAGCCAGAGCAAAAGGAGTGGATCAAGGTTCAACAACCCGACGACCAAAAGCCTCAACAATAAGAGGCGAATGATTTGCGGTGACGGAAATAAAGACTACTCGGAGCTGGACCAGCACGCACAATGGTTTACATTTGCGGCTGATTATTTTTCGGCTTTTCTTTTGTCCCCTTTCCCATAAAAACACATGAGCATTTTTGGCGGGCAGCATTCCTGTTTTTTTTTTTTTTTTCCTTCCTTTGCACGCTAACATGCATGGGTGGTGTTCTGGTTTTGGCATGGCATAAGATGAAGGTGTTCCGGGGTCAGGGATTCCAGCTGGGAGGATACACACAGACCTAGCCGTCTCCCTTTCGTCTTTTTTTTTTTCTTTTTTTTTCCGCGTATATCACACGAATACGGGTGGGTTGCTCTTGGTCAACGAGCAGCATCGCACGGTTGGGTACACATTGTGGATTGGTTGATCACCATATGAATGGAATCGACCGCGAGGCCATTAAAAGACATTATATATTTGCAAAAATTAGATTTGCACAGGTAGATACCCGGAGACAATGAAGGGGCAAACCAAAGCCTAGTACTGAAATTTGACTAAAAACATTTCGGAGATTTTCCGCCTTTGGCCAGTGAGGGCCGTGTCATGAATCCATATCTATACCAAACGCCGTCGCAATGCTTCTTGACCAAAGAATTATAAAACCAAACACAGTAAAATGCAGAACCCGACGTGGTCATCGTCAAGATGATGCGCCGCCAGAGTCGGGCTTCCCGCCGTCACGCCTCTCCATATTCATCTTCCGAACTCTCTCCTCGGCCGCCTTTGCCAGAATCTCCCGCCGGCTAAGACCTTTGTTGTCAGCGGCGCTTCCGCCGACGACAAAGTCTCCACCTTCCCAGCCCCCGTGGTCCTCGAAACCTTCCTCCTCGTCCTCCGCTGCCGCATAGTACGAAGACTGCTGTCCGACAGTCTGTCCGCCGTGCTTCCAATCCGCAGCGTCAACCTCGCGCTCAATCTGATGACACAGGTCCCAGAAATTCCTATCGTGCGGGCCGTGGACGTTGTGCGCGAGCTCGTGGCACAAAGTCTTGCGAATCGTCTTGTAATCCCTGTACCCGTCGTGCGCGTCCGTCCGCAGCCTCAACTCGATGACCTCGCCCTGATTGCGGTTCAGTCCGAGTAACCTTGTCGTGCCCTCGTGGCTCGACTGCGTATTTGACAGGGGCTCCATCTCCGTCAGCAGGCCGACGCTAAACTTGTGCTTGACCATCGACGCGCGAATGCCGGGGTCCTCCTTCAGCTTCTCCAACAGCGCGAGCGATCGTTCCGGGTGAGGCAGGCCGGCGAGCGGCCGGACGGACAGGAAGGTATAAGTGCTGTGGGCCTGCGACTTGGCCTGGTCTCTCCTGCGCGAGGGGCGGTTCGCCCTGCGAGCTGCGCTGCGGGCGGCGTTCCTCCGCGCGGCGAACTCGGATGCCGCCTGCAGCGATGCGACCTCCTTTGCCTCGACGCCCATGAGCATTATTTTCTTGCCTTGAAGGCCCGTGAGCGACATGTCGGGGTCCTTGAACGGGGGTTTGAGGAGGCCGAGTTTCGGGACGATGAATTTTTGGTTGGATGCGGGGATCGAGAGGGTATCTTCGACGTCTTCGGAGAGGTGAGTTATTGTACCGTCGCTGGGGAATTTGAAGGTGTGCGGTGTATTGCGATGGGTGAGGGTGATGGTGATGGCTTCATCTGAGGAGTCGTAGTCCGACTCGTCACGATGGGGTTCGGTCATGGTGGGGTTTGAAAGGGTAGTTTGAAACTTTTTTGTTTTTAATTTTGTGGTTGGTTTTGGTTGATAACGTAGATATTTCGAAGAAGCCGTACGAGTAAATGTGACACCATCTACAACAGCTGCGAAAGGTGTATCGGGAATATATACGGGAAAGGAGTGCGTAGAATGTGCAAGAAACAGTCTGGATGAGGCGCAGATGGTCACCGGTGAGGCCGTCCGGAGGTTTGTCAGTCAGGCAGCTTTGTAATACGTCACAGCTGGAATCCGATGTCCGTCTCCCTCTTCGGCCTGGACTTAGCGGTGGGTCCGAAGGGTCCTCACGAAAATCAACCAACGGAAAAGCTTCGGGGATTCCGTGTGATCCTGATTACCTCAGCAGGAGAATGTTTCCCAAATCCAAGAGCGGTGTCACTCATTCCGAAAAAGAGGGCCTCCGTGGTTGGTTCCTGGCAGCTAAGGCAACAGCTGCAGCGGGTGACTGTGGGTCTCCTTCTTTCCTCTCCAGGGCAAGAAAGTAGTACAACTACGTAGTGTGTGCTGGTTGCACATACTCTGTGACTCTGTAGCAGTACGTACAGGGCAGCCCTGTCTCATTACCTAAGCCGAAACCAGGGAAAGAAGAAAGGCTGTGTGGTACCTGGCCACTTTGTCTTAGGTAAAACGGCAATCAGCCATTCAGATTGCAGCTCTGTGGATTGGAGAACTGGCAGTGGCAGCTGGCCAGGTTGTGGTCTGGGCTGCCGGCGGTTTTAGCTTCCAATGAGCTTGCAATCGCGTTCGTGTCCTTTCGACTTCCCGGAACCGCCTGAACCCAAAAAATAAAAAATAAAGAAAATAACAGCTGCCGAACGCAGTTTGAAGCTCACTCTCCCTGGACATATTTTCGACGCCCATATCGCCCATCGCGACACCGACGATAAACTCGACACGACCCGGGTACCTCGATTAGCAACCCATCCAACCCCTGCTTGACCACGAACACCAGCTGCTTGCTGTCCTGGCAGCTTCAAAGCTCCCGATCTATACTGAAGCTCTACCATCAATCAATTGCGACTGGTCCCCGCCCTGTCGTTGAACCGCCACGATGCTCAACCTCTTCCGCATTATGGGTATGTGTTGATGCTCTGTCGCGCATCGAGACGATGATTACCTCTGTATCGGGACGGTCTTGTCGACTAACATGGACGTCTAGGGGACTTGTCCCACCTTGCCAGTATTGGCATCCTCCTCCACAAGATGGTTCAGATGAATGTGAGCTTGCGATGCCCGCCATGCCATCTGCGATCCTTATCTAATCCATCCACAGAGCTGTTCCGGTATCTCATTCAAGTCGCAAGCCCTCTACCTGCTGGTCTACATCACCAGATACCTTGGTACGCCCATTGGTTCTCGTCTACTGCTTTATGTTTGACCTGCGCTGACTCCCGTTTTCGACAGACCTCTTCTCCACCACCAGCCTCTGGAACCTTATCTTCAAGATCCTTTTCATCACCTCCCAGGGCTACATCGTGTACCTGATGACCACTGCCTACAAGCCCACCAACGACCCGAACCAGGACACTTTCCGTGTCCAGTACCTGCTCGGAGGCGCTGCCGTCCTGGCCATCATCTTCCCCTACTACTACACCTTCTGGGAGATTCTCTGGGCCTTCTCCATCTGGCTCGAGTCCGTCGCCATCCTTCCCCAGCTCTTCATGCTCCAGCGCACCGGTGAGGCCGAGACCATCACTACTCACTACCTCGCCGCCCTCGGTATCTACCGCGCTCTGTACATCCCCAACTGGATCTACCGCTACTTCACCGAGGTGAACCACAAGGTCGACTGGATCGCCATCATCGCCGGCATCATCCAGACCATCTTGTACTCGGACTTCTTCTGGATCTACTACACCAAGGTGATGAAGGGCAAGAAGTTCAAGCTGCCCGTCTAAGGTCTCCACCATTGCTACTTAACAAGAGCTTTCGTCCGTCCCGAAACCGAGGCAACCTACGTTGAGGCATCGGGTGACGGCACGGAGCTGAGAGACATGGGACGCAACAAATCTCCGAGAATTATCGGAGCCCCGTAACGGGCCATGATCTGATTTTCTTCATCCAGTCTATCAAACACACAAACACAAACTTCGGATATCAGGCACACACAAAAGTGGTCCAGGTGGCAGGGTACGGGATATCCTCTCCGTGCAGGATGAATGCATGGCTGGCGTTGGGAGATATGGTTAGTTTTGCATGGGGCGGCCCACGGCCAGTCAGTCGAGCATGCTGAGCTGCTGATATGACTGCTCACAGGTCGACAAGATCGGGGACGACAAGGCAGAAGAGAAATACTGGGGCACCACTGGTATATAGATGGTCAATGTGAAGAACGTTTCCAATTTTCCAAACCCGCTGTACCTCCCATGCATGGAACGTTTCCTCCGCTACTGTCCGCGCGCACGCACCGTCCAGCGGCAACCGCGTGGATGACTCGCACCATTCGGTTTAATCCGTCGGGTGCCGGAGTCCTAATCTTGATTTTGGGTTGCCGGCCGTGGTCGTTCCCTGCTCAGGATTTGGCTTTCGTCGTCATTTCCCGACTAGGAGGGGGGAGGAAAGAGGAAAAACCTAGAGGGAAGAACGCCTTCTATTTGAGTTGATGTGGTTGCTGGCTGTTGGTTCGGTTCATGACTCCTTGCAACTCTCTTCAAGCCGGCAGATTCCTTTAGAGTTACTCTGGCTACCCCAACCTTGCCAGCACGCTGGGCCCGAGTCAAGCGATCTTGGCAGGGATATGCGACACCAAGAAAATAGAGGATCGACGCTGTTAGAGAGGGTTCCCGCAACCGTAGGACCCCCTCCGCCGGAGAGCCTCAATGAACCGGGGGACCCAGACCGACACTGGCCTCTTGAGACACTACCAAGCTCGGAACGCACCGAATATTGATGCCGTGAGGGTATAACAAAACCCGTTACCCCTCTGGCAGGCATAAACTCATGCCATCGGTTCTGGCAGCCCTCTGTTTCCAAATCGACTTGTGAAACCATCTGTGCCTTACACGACCCTGGGTCCCGGGGTGTTACCGAATAGAAAGATGCGATGGTTCGCGACGGGCCCGAATCTGATCTATCAAAGATTGTGCCTGAACAACCATTTGTCGCCGGTCCCAGCTTCTGGCCCCGTCGCCCGCCATCTTCCAATCAAGCCGACTGGATAGCCATGAGCAACGATGAATGTTGGCTGCGGAGGCGGGGGGAGGAATGATGGCGGGTGAGCCAGGGAGGACGAGTCTCGTAGGGCTTCGGCTCAATGGGCGTGTGCTCGCCGCCGTTGGATGGTTAGGACGAAGCGGACCATAACATGCGCGAGGGCCGCCGATCAGGGCCGTTTCGTGACTCTGGTTTTCTTTCTTTTTGGACTGGTCTTTTTTTGGTTCTATTTTCTTTTGTAGTGTTCTATCGTCGTTTTCGTCTCATTAATACATTGATTGTGGAAAGAAATTCAGTTTTACTGGGTAAAGAGAAGGGAGACTACTATGTTTACAACAACGAAGAGGAGGCACACATACACATAATCCGACATGAAATCATGGTGAAGGCTTGCCTCCCAACAATATTACTGCTCTCTGCTTGGGTCTGCTTCGTGTTGGCGGCGGTAGAAGGAAACAAAGGCAGGTGGGCACGATGGGTCGACGGAGGAGACGGTCGATCACAGGCAGAGCCTCATAGGAGGCGAGGGAGGGGTGGAGGAGGGGAACATATCATTATGGATATCTTGGGCAGGCGGTCGGAGCCGCCCACGGCGTCGGTGGACATCAACAAGCCCGTCGCACTCGAAGACCGTGTCGTGCTAGCGGTGCCTACGCCACCGGCGCTGTTCGGGAGACAGGATCTCAGCAACCCCATCGAGGCCATCAACCAGGCCTCACGGTCCGCGCAGCAGGCCATTGCTCAAGCGTCTCAGTCGGCGCGGGAGGCCGTCCAGCAGGCCAACGATCAGGTCCGGCAAGCTCAGGACAGGCAACGGCAGGCGGAGGAACAGGCGAGGCAGGCCAATGATGCGGCGACACGGGCGTCAATCTCGGCCAACAACGCCGTCAACCAGGCCCAAGCGAGCGCGAGGGAGGGCATTATCAACGCTCAGAACCAGGCGAGGGAGAGCGCGAGCAGGGAGATTGCGAATAACCTGCAGCTTGTCACGAACAGCGCCTCAACGCAGCTGGCATCGCAGATTGCGAGTATCCAGGCGAGTGCTAGTGCCAGTGCAGCAGCAGCTATTGCCGTTGTCACACAGTCGGCGAGCGCAGCTGTTCAGAGTGCACAGCAACAGGCGCAGCAGCAGATTCAAGCCGCGAGGGTATGGTCCCCCCCCCCCCCCTTATACATTGGTCCATCTCATGGAGTGGTGTGGTAACTAACACGGCTTACAGGACGACGCCAACTTGAGAGTCTCTCAGGCACAGGGAGCAGCTGTGTCGGTAACGCAAGCAGCTCTCGCAGTTGTAGGAGCCATCATCGGCTCTTCTCTGCTGACTGTTTTGGCCTTTTACATCTTCACCCGGTACCGCCGCGGTAAGCGCAAGGACAAGCAGGAGACGGCCAGCCGTTTACGACGCGAGATCAGCTATCCCAAGCAGGACACACTCGTTACGACAAACGCCCTGGCAACGAGCAATGGTTATCCGCCAGACATGAAACGGTCCATATCACCGACAAGACCAGACACGGCGAGGACTACGGGGTCTGGCGGGATGGGGTACGCAGTGAGCAACTACGGCGACGATGGCGCACCTAATTTCTCCCGCACGACGACCTTCGTTAGTACTACCGCCCCCCAGATGGGGGGCGGCGTAGGCATACAGCCGTTACAGCGAGAGCCGTCGGTGACGAGGAGACCCGTGCCGCCGTCGCCGAGGAAGCAATCCTTTTCTCTATTCCCGCCGCGCTCGCGCGACGGTCCGCCTACCACGGCACTACCTCCCATACCCGGTTCCAGTCCTCCCCCGTCCCGAGACAGGGAGCCGTCGATAACGGGACCGCCTCCGCCTTTTGCAGCACCTACGTATACCAACGAGAAGCTGAGCAAGGTGGACGAGGAGAGCGAGTTTGGGGAGGGTAGCAAGAACTATCTGAGACGGACGCAGACCGTGAGCCCGTTTGGGGACCTGGTTGACAGCCCGTCGGAGGAGAAGGGTCCTAATTGGCCCTTTGCGAGATCGAGTTCGACGCCTCCTCCGGGAAAGTGAGGGGAGTAGGAGGGGGTGGGTTGGGGTTTGACTGACTTACGGAAATATATGATATATCGGATGACTATGATTAATGCGTTGAGTAACGTTTGTTTTATTTATTCATATTTTCTTAATTATTTGAAGGGTTATGATACCCGAACACAACTACTACAACAACAATCACATTCTACAATACAATCAAAGTATTGTTATTATTATTTTATTTTACCCTTTGACATTCATGCCATTCATGCTATTACATGCCAATGAGCTGTCATCGCACTTTCACTGCATGAACCGCTTGTCTTGACACCTAAATTACATATTATACGTGCGTTATAGCACCCCCCTCCCCCCTCTCTTGTTACCTCCGAAATACGTCGTATCTGTGTCTTGGGAGTTGGGGGAGCCCAGAAGGTCTTGGCAAAGCAGAGTTTGGTCTCAAGTTCGCGGCCTCCTCCACATACCGGGGCCCGTTGGACCCTCTCTGCCGGCGCCGCTACACCCAACATGGCACTGTTGTCGCATGTTCCCTGCGTCTTCTCGCCGGCTTATTCTCGCCTCCTTGGAATCCCACAGGCAGCCGGTGCCCGTCGGTGAACCGGGTTCTAATGCATGGTTCATGTGTTGGTTAGTTATTTCTCTCTGGGTTGTTAATGGACAAGGGTGAGGGGGGGGGAGGGGGGACAGGAGTTCATGGTTTGATCGTCGGTTCAAACCCGGTGAAGGGGGTGTTTGCTGCCGGCGGGAAAATTACATAGTCCAACAGTTCCTTTGCCCACCCTTTCCGAAACCCCTCTCCTCTTCGGTAAAAAGGGTGCTCTTGACCCGGACTCGGGGAGGGTGCTTCATGACTTACCTCCCTGTGAAGCTTCCGGCGAACGACTGGACCCGAAGTCAAGCTTCCGGTCAAAGTCTAATGAGAGGCCGAGGAGCGACGGCAGAGTCGAGTCGATCTGCACGTCCTCGAGCTCACGCCGTACCCTCTCGAGCTCGTCGCCCTTGTCGTCGTTGCCTTGGGCGTGTAGATTGCTCGTAGAGGCGGCCGTCTTTAACCGAATAATCGCAATTTGCTGCTGCAGCTGCATCGTGAGATGACGATCCAGTTCGCTCGGCGAAGAGGAAGTCACAGAAATGGCGCCCCGCCGCCTGGTTCGTCTGAATGCGGGCTCCGGCGGCTGCGAGAAGGACCGCGGCGTGTCGCCGTCGCGTGGTACGCTGCGGAATATGTTCTCGGCGTCTGAGAATGTCCAGAGCCCCTGAGTTGAGGTTTCCGGTGGTGGCGAGGGCGACCAGAGCCATTTGAAGGCGTTGGACCCCGCGCGGTTTCGCTTTGAGCTGTGGTGCTCGTCTTCCTCGTCATCCTCTGCGAGTCTCTTTCTTCGGTGGGTTATCTCGGTCATGGCGTTTCATTTGATAGTTATTGAAGCTATCCGAAGAGGTGAGGGTCCCCTCGATGGCTGGAAGATCCGTGGGATGGATGGAGTTAATGTGTGAAAGAAGTTTTGCGAGGTTAAGCTTCTTCTTCTTCTTCTTGAATGAATCAGGTTAAGTCGAATGTGACTCTCCTTCGATAATGTTAGGTCGGAGCTTGAGTGTGGAAATGAGGACAGGGTGGACAAACATGTGATGGTGAGCTGGAGTGTGAGAGGTGAAGGGAGTGTCTCAGTGACGGTTCGTGCGTTGGCGGGGTAAAAAGGGGTCTTGGTCCAGTCCGCTGTCTGGCGCGAGCTTGTCCGCCCCTTGGGCCGTCTCCGGATCAAGACTAAACTGGGGGCCCCCGAAATACCACCAACGCTGCTAGATGATCTAGGATGTGATTTAGAGACGCATGAACCAGCAGGTGACCACGCATGCATGAAATAGTGCGGGAGGTAGCTGTGGGAAACCTGTCACCCTCGGTACTTCAGAACCAACCAACATCACTGGGGAGACTGCTGTGTCGCCTCGCCTTGTTCGCCTTGCTCTTCGACACCAACGTGGTCATCCCAAGTCTGTTGCGGATGATGGTTTCAGCCAGAGAGTGGTAGTGAGGCTCTCTCGGTGCTTGCGAGACAGTGCGTGCTAGGACCGGAAGACTATAAGGGACTCTGGTAGTGAGCTGCTGCTGATGACGCTGATGAAGGTGAAGATGTCGGTGAGATCCGGTTTCACATTAAATGTCGTTGCGTACATTTTCATTGTTCGCCTTGAACCGCCTTGAATAGAGAAACAGTAGTACCTAGTAGGAACAGTCTTGTAGACTAACCGCTGTCGGGTGTCAGGCACGGTGACGCGGGATCCGAGATGCACCTTTGTTGTATACAAGCATTGTAATCACAGGCGGACGCATAACTGATACGGCCGCTCTAGTCGCCAATTAAGCATTCGTGCCATGCGAGTAAAGGTTGGCAGTAGCAATGCGCCTGAAGTTATTTAAGGTACGCGGAAGTGATCGGCCAAAGTATAAGCAGGAAACAGAGTGTACGTGTCTCATGTTGCGTGTGATCAACGGATGACAGGTCTTAATCGATCGGAACGCCAGCCTTGGGTTCCCTCTAGAGTCTCATGCTAGCCTTTGTAGAATAGCGCACGCTTGGACGATGTGCTAGTATAATCTTATACTGCGCCGTGTGATCCCAGCCTTTTTAGGACTTGTCTACTCTTCAAGGGTGTTCCATTTAATATAATGTCCACAATATAAATATAGTCATCTCCCATCAATCTAGTCTGAATACGTCATTGTATAACGCCCGGATCGGAACATTAATCATGGCCCGCCCCGCGACGGACTTAGTGCCGTTGGATTCGCATCAAGTGAGCCTTATCGATGTCGTATTCTCCGGGGCCCAGTTGAGTTAGGCGTCGGACTACTGATCGGGTAATCCATCATCCAAGCTTAGAGGGGGATATCCCTTGCCTTGATTAATTTGTCTTCCTGATGTTGAATGCTTGATGGTCTGGGCGGTCATGTAAGGACATATTATGAATTCAGTTTCATACATAAGGGGGCAGTGTCGAATTGCAACCAAAGCTCGGAACAACACTTTCGCGGCCAATGAAAGCGGTCAGGACAACTTGTAAAGAATGTTTCATTTGGGTATCGTAACTATACTATACAAAGAAAATATTGTACAAGCAGAGCGACGTGGATGAGACGCTCGGTCAGAGGTGGTCGGCATCTAATTGCGACGGCTGCTGGCATAGTTCCATTGCCTGTCCCAATCGGCCAACTGGCTGCTCATGGACTGAGCTGAACTGCGAGATGGCTGTCCATCATGATAGAATCTCTCCGAGGCGTTGGGTGTCGATACATAGACGGTAGTTGCGTAAGAGGTATAGCCCGTCTGGCCGGTCGAAGAATTTTGTCCACCAGTGTTGGCAGAGGTGCTGTACGATGACTGGGGGTACGAGTATTGTGGGTAGCTATCACTTGTGTTAGCAAGAGACGGACCAACAGAGGCGGCGGAGAGTGGCCGACTTACTTGGAAGCAGAGCGCCTGTATTGGTTGTTGTGTCCAGACATGGTTGTAAGAGGCGGGGTCTTAGGGTTGGTTGAGATAGCGTTGGCGTAGAGTACAAGTTGGAATTGGTGGTGATTCTCTTGGATTTATGAGATTGTTGGTTGGTCTCAAGACGGCTTTGGTGACCTACCTATATCTATATAATCTTGAATCCGGATGTTGGTCTGTGGCAGGACGCGACAGCAACTGCTAAGTAGAAAAAAGAAAAAAAAGAACAACCAATTGCGAGAAACAATAATCATCCCCGGGAATAAAACAGGGACTTGGATATGAAACATCATCTTGAACTTGCGTGTGGTGTTAGGATGGGGTAGTGGAGGTTAGGAAGTTGAAAATCGAAATATCGCGGGCGCGTGTTACCCGTTGTGGTGGTGAGGCGGGTAAGAAACACGGAAAGGTGTCGGGTCAACTCTCACTTGGCGGCCTAGCAAGATCTATACAGGGTAGCCAGGGGGCATTTCCTTCCAGTCACTTGGGGACGTAAGATGTCGGTAGACCGAATGAATGAGTTTGATTTGGAGCTATGGTGAGAAAAAAACCACATCAATTGGAAAAACAACGACACGCTACTGATGGGACCCCCCGGGCTGGCACGACGGATAGGTATGCAATGTTGTCAGGAGAAGATTCGCCACTCCGGGAAATGGAACAGTTCAGAAAAACCCCGGCGAGTGCTCGAAACATGAAACATCCGTAAAGTTGCGCGCGAGCTAGCCGGTCTCGACGGTGGCAGTGAAGGTGAAATTGGGATTTGGATAGGGAGACGGACAGGCGGGGGGCTAACGGGCGGAGGAGCCAGGCCGCAGACTAACGGTAGGGCCCGACGGGAGATGTCAAGGCACAAGGGGGGCTTGGTTATAAAGTTGACAAACTGAAGCCGAACAACCGAATCAACTTTTACACCCCTATGAATTGATTGGGTAGTGTCAAGGGTTGGCTGGCTGGGCACACGAGATATTGTAAAACTAGGTACTGTGGCTTCGGTCTAGATAGTTTGCAGGACGGCAAGACGAGGCGGGGGCATGAACGCGAACACGTTGGAGAAGATGCACATGGTAGCCAGGAGGAAGAAGGGGGGAATGAACTACAGGTACAGGCACAGGTACGGAGCACAGTGGGGAGGGATCCAATGCTTTCTTCGTTAGTGCCAACGGTTATCTATAACGTGGATGTAAGCACGGCAAGGATAAGTGTGGCTGGGGTTTGTTGTGTGTTGTCCAGATGGCTGATTTGATGTTCTCGAGGCCGCCAATAACGCCAATTTACAGTGTTGTTTAGTGATGAGTTACCATCGGCATCTCACGTATGTACACCAAGTGGGCAGAGAGGGTGGCTGTGGCTGAAAGTGTAGCGTGGGGATTTTATGAATCACATACTCCATGGCATCGGTGATGTAGCATGGGTTGATTGGGTCGATTCAGAGTTTGCCGGATGAAAAGAACCTTCTTACTGCGTCGCTCCCGATTAGTCTGGTATGAGTTGAGTTGTTCCTCAAGCTTCTGGGGCTGGAGTGTTTGATGGCGAATAGCTCCAGTGAGGCCATTGAGGACTATTGTGCCACAACCGCTTTTGCTAGTTGGACAACGAAATGGAAAATGTCTGTGGCTGATGCCAACAACATGATCAAGATGTCAAAATCTCAATCAACCTCACCAAGAAGCCGAGTCTATGTGTCCGTACAGTATTTGTTCCTAAATCTCCTACCAGTGTTTGTAATTCAAGCTCAACAACAGCCTGTTACCACTCACTTGCCTAACTTCATCCCCCTCATGAGCTTACTCATCTCACTCGGTGGGTAAAGACCAGGGTAAGGATACGTACTGGGACTCTTCTCTAAAAACTTAGAAGGGAGACACACTTAGCAGCACGTCATTCCCATCTCCCGCCATACTAAAACTTTTGCACGGGGCGCATGGAGCCCATGGAATAACACTGCCACTCCCTCCGTCTACTCTGCCTGACAGGGCTGTTTTTGTGTTCTACCAGTCACTCACTTTCCCCCCCTTCAGAATGACAACCGAATGAGAGCTGCGCCCATGCCGAGTCCACCGGGCCGCAAAAAAATCGACCTTCTTCTCGTATCGTTCTGTCATTGTGCCATTTGACAGTTCGAGATGAAGTCATCGCCAGCAAACAACAAGTCTGCCCTAGCGGAACAGTCGTTTACGATTTGGTTTTGATTGCTATTGACACTGGAAACGCCGACCCCAATCATGACGAGGAAATGTCGCTGATGCCTTGAATTGTGGGCGGACAAGGATCTCAAAGAGCTTGTGCCTTGAGCTGAACACACCAAATCTCACTCATGTCACTCTACCGGCGCTTCACTCATCAACGATTTCATCGGAAGCACACTACTGATGGGACTGCTTCATGATTAGCATTTGAGTGAGGTGCTTGAGTCGTGTGAATACCCTCAACGATCGCCGGACCATTTGGGCCAGCTTCCCTCTACAGCCTCTCTACAGCGAATCTGACTATGATCCTTCGCCTTCTTGGTGCATGCGGCACAGCTACACTAGACAGACACACATCAAGTCACGAACTTGTCCTCGCTAACATTCCGCCGGGCATCGTGGCCCAAACTGGTCAAGTCTGGCTACTCCAAGGCACACAGCTGAGCCCCCCGTCCCCTTGCAATCCAGACCACCGCCATCCTTTCGCTTGGGAAACCCATTGGGCCATCCGACTCCGCCAGGCCACCTTCAAGACCTCCTCCCCCGCTAGGCTCCAAGTGCTGTGCAACTGTGACCTCCCCCCCCCAGCCGTTTTTTGGGGGCTAGTCTTATCGATGTTCCCAAGCTTCTTCCTGCGTGTGTTTCCATCCTTGCTCCGTGCCGGCTCCCGTTGCTCTAGTCTGTGCCGCCTGTCCCTCCTCTCTCGCACCACGGCGCCACGGCGGCACGCACCATCTTTCAGCTCCATTGATAGCCTGGTCATCCCCCCTCACTTCTCATCATCAAATTCCATTCGAACGCTGCTTACTGCCCGTTATGCCTCTCTCCGAGTTTTGAGTCTTTTGCTACAATTCCTTCGTCTGGCCCGTGAACAGTAGCAATTGCCACTTTTTACCCAACTAGCATATCCTCAGACTCTCACTTACACGCTCAATACCTTTCGACGTGACAAGGCTGTGGCAGGCCACGACTCTGATCGCAATGTCAGAACCACCAGCCGGTAATCGCCCTGCCGCTCAAACTGGTCGCCCATCTCTGTGGACTCAGTCGGCTGAGCGAAAGTTGGCCAGACTCTATGTCTATACCACATTACCTCTTGTCAAGATTGTCGAGGTTGTCCACAAAGCTTCTCCGGGCAACGGTGATTGTCCAGGGTGCGCCAAGCCCTTTTTCTTTGCGCCGGCGCTTATGCTGACATTGAGGACCATAGAACGGACTCTGCCAACAAGAAATTGAACGCGATTCTCGACAAAGAGCCGAGATGGCTTCATCCCCGCACCCGATCCGATATGGACCGTCGAATTGGTGCCCTCGATAGCTCTCCCACCCGCCAGACGCCGCCTGAGAATGCCTTTTCACCAAACTACGGTTTCCCTGCTTCTCCGGGCTCGAGATCACTACTGAGCGTGAACCGCGAATTCAAGGAGGAAGCCGGAAACAGCCCGACTATACACGACATTCAATCCTACACCAATTCTCGCGCATCGTCCGCCGGGTGGAACCCTGGAGCCTCCGGGCCGCTGCCGACTTTAATCACTCCCGAATACGTATCCGCCCCGCGACCCGAGGAAGTTGGAGTTCGCCGCACAGCGACGACGCTCACATTAGGGGACGTTTTATCCGAGTACTCGGCCGGTTTCATTCATCAAGTCAGCAAACTTTTGAAGCGGTACACAATGCCTAACAACTCTATGCTCGACCAATCATCTACCGACGAGGACCGCCCCGGGACAGCCGATTCGAATCCGGCTTCTTGGATTGTCGAGTACGATGCGCCACAGCGAAGCGGCGAGATGGACATCAGGCCCCTCCCCGGCGACTTTCTCACCCTTCACCACCAGTTACACAGGCAGGGCGCATGTCTACCTGGACTTCGGGAGCACGACACACGATCTTGCTACTGTCACGTCAGGGACGAACTCACCGACGAGTGCTGGGTTTCGGATATGGGCCCAGGCCCTTTTGCTCAACATGTCTTACTAGAGGGAAGACCTGTCAATGGTGACTTTGCATCTCGGGATGTCTTTGGCAACACCATCCTCCACCTCCTCGCTGCTGGAGACGCCCATCACGGCCATCTCATCAACATTCTGACTCGAGACGTATCGCCCAACCCGTCGGCGGTGAACAGCGCTCACCAAACCTTCATGCACGTACTCAACGACTCGTGGTTTTCTGGACCAGTCAACGATCTGGTCAACCTCATCAACGTGCTGAAAAGACAAAAATTCGACTTTCAAACCTGCGACGTCTACGGTCGCAACTTTTGCCACATCATCCACGCCAAAGATGCCAGAATATTGAACCAGGCGATGAAGAACAATCTCCTCGGCCTGTTCAACCCCATGGAATATTGCCGTCGCGATGCCTTTGGAAACATCCCCGAGTCCGCGACACCGGGCCACGTCCGCAGAGCCCACACTACCGCCGTGGGCCAGGAGATGTCTCCCACCTGGAACGCGCAGACCCAACGACAACTCAGTTCCCCTATAGAACAACAAGCCAGCCTCCTCAGGACCGTCAATCAAGCATTCGCAAACCCCCGCGTACAGGACTCGCAGGGCCGCAACGGGCTCCACTGTCTCGCGGACGCCATCCTCAGCACGGAAACGCTCCTCTCCAAGTTCCCCGAAGCCAGCCGCAACGACGAGCAGCAGCAGCAGCAACAACAACAGACGTCACCAGTAAGCCGCAAGCGCAAGCACAACAAACCCGTCCTCCAAAAGTCGCTGGACTCGTCCAAGGAGCGCCTCACCGCAAGGGAGACGATGGTCAGGAACCTCATCCAAGCCGGCGTCGACCCCAACCACTACGACAAGTACGGCAACACGGTGCTCATGGCCTTCGTCGCGCAGCTTCCCGAAGACGACGACTACAAGAAGCCCGTGGCGATCCTCGAGTTCCTCATCCAGGCCGGCGCCAACGTCAACGCGCGCAACCGGGCCGGCGAGACGGCGCTGCACATCGCCGTGCGCAGGGGCAAGAAGCTCGCCATGCGCACGCTGACGCAGAACGGCGCCAACGTACAGGCCCGTGACGTCGAGGGCAGAAGCGTCCTCGACGTCGCCGACCGCATGGTCGTCTCCGGCAGACACGGCATCGACCACCCGCGCTACGAGGCCTGCCACGCCTGGCTTTCCGGTCAAGGTAAAGCGGTGCAGAACCCCACGATCCAACTGGAATGGAAGTATAGGGAGTAGTGATTTTGAGTCGTAAGTTTGGGGGGGTGGGTAACATCGGGGCATACAGAAAAGTTTTGCTTTTTGGGATTCAAGGTTCATTGCTGCCATCGGTTGATGGGACTGGTGTATGGCGTCCTCAGGATTCACGGGCCGAGTTTGGGATTGAGAGCGGCGGTACGATGGCATGGATACCCGGAGTCAAGATACTCTTGTTTTCTTCTGTGAAATAACATAGTATACGTTTTTTTTTTTTTTTTTCCAAACATCAAGTTCATCAATCTCAACTTTCACTATCTTCATGATGACAATGTCTCAAGTCAATGATTTCTTGAGTCACAATATGTGAATCTGATTGCGACTGTAGTCGCGGCATATGTACGAATAAAGTAGATACAAGAAAAGACAACCATGTCCAAGCCCTGTCGAAGGTCTCTTCACGCCAATGTAAGTAGGTGTTGATGGGGTAATTGTAGAGCAGACATCACGACCGCCACAACCTAATGATAACGCTACTTAGGCGTTGGTGCTCGTGGTCTTGCCGATACCAGCGTTGGCCTTGACCTTGGCAGGGACATCAGCAACGCCAATGTGACCGATAAGAGAAGACTTGAAGCCGGCCAGCTTGGAGAGAGCGTTGGCACTGGTGGTAGACTTGACGGCGCCAGAGTTGGCAGAACGGTTCCACTCGCAGATGTAGCCGAGGGAAGAGGTGCAGCGAGCGGCATCGTCGACGGTGGTGACGTAGTAGACCTGGCCGCCCTTGGTGTAGCTGTCGGCGGTGACGGGAGTGGTGACGCTGTCGAAGTAGTTGCCCTCGAGGAGGACCCAGGTGTTTCCGTCAATGTCGAAGGCGTGGCCGCCGACGTTCTGGAAGTAGTTGTTGACGCCGTGGAAGATGTTCTCGGTGACGCCGTTGGTGGTGCCCATGTGAGGCGAGCGGCCAGAGGTGTCGTGAACCCAGTTGCCGGAGAAGGTGTAGTAGTCCTTGGCGCCGATGAGGAGGGCGGCCCAGTAGTGCTTGCCGTTGCAGCCGGCAGACCACTCGGTCTTACCGTCGAACTCGGTGTTGGAGATGGTGACCTTGCCGGCAGCACCCCAGCCAGTGACGATGAACTGGCGGCCGATCAGAGAGATCTTGCAGTGGTCGATCCAGACTCTGTCGGCACCGTCGAGGGTGATGGCATCACCACCCCAGACGTACTGGGGGTTCAGGTTCTATACTAAGTCAATATCTTGTTGTCATGTTATGGTAGGTTTTGCTCAGGATGCGTAGCCTACCGTGATGTGAACGTTTTGAATGATAACGTTGCTCTTGCCACCGCGAACGCGGAGACCCTTTCCAATAATGACACCCTTGCTGCCGACACCGACGATGCTCTTGTTGCTGTTGACATCGATGGGCGTCTTGGCGGCGTTGTCGTACTTGCAGCTGACCCAGGTGCCGCTGGCAGCGTCACAGGTGGTTTGGATCCAAGCCTGTCCCTTGGACGTGCCGCCGGGGCACTTGGTCGTTCTGTTGTCACTGCAGCATTGGCCGCTGGTCGTTCCCTCGGTGTTGCGGAAGTCCCAGGTACGGTCGATCATGATGGTTCGCGGCGTGCTGTCCGTGAGCCACTCCTTGAGCCTAGAGACGGTTAGTATCACTCCATCATAACAATAACTCCGTCGGCTTCAACATGGAGATTTCCAAGAGCTGAAACTCACTGGGCAATGCTAGAAGGATACTGGGGAGCAGCGGAGCCACCACCAGTGGTGCCGGCAGCGAAGCCGAAGGGCTTGCCCTTGACCTGGGCAGTCGCCGCGCCCGCAAACGCGGCGACAATAGAAAGAAGAGAAGCCTTCATAGTTCTCGGCCAAGAAGAAAAAGAATGACTGGGAGCTGGAACAGAAAAAGGCTAAGATGCGGAAAGGTGAAGATCACTAAAGCCAAGAGAGACCTGCAGCCCAGAACCTGGGGGAAAAGAGCAGTCTTAAAAAGAACGTCCAAGCCTCCTGGATGTCATTATCCCCCCCCCCCCCCCCCTCGATGCCATTATGGTGGGACTGCATCATGAGGCCTCATCCTCTCCTGTCCAGACCGGCAACTCATTTTCTGAAGGCCTATGCTAATCTCACATCCCCACGTTCCTCCCATCACCGAGTCCGGAACGGTACGCGCCAAGCGGCGCTATAGGGCTGGGCCGGCACGTCTTAGGCGGCTTTAGATGGGATTGTTCGACACCAAGCAAGGGTTGGCCTTGAGTCGTTGCGAACCTGTCACCACACTTTTCCTTCACCGATGCAGTATCCGTACCGGCCCCCTGAACCTTGGGAACCCTCTGTGTGATGGGAATAATTGGATCCGACGCACCGGCGCTGCCGTCGAGTTTGCCCATTGGTAGGCGTATAACCGTACTCAGATCCCGGTATGTGTTCCCTCATCCAGCAGTTGTTAGTCGGGGAATATTCCAGACAAGGAAATGCCAAGCAGACGACTCGGCCTAAGACGTTCTAAGTGCTACACTGACGGGGGGTTGCATGCTCCGCTGGCAGCCCCAAAAGATCGATTTACAGGGGTTTCGGCAAATGAAGGGGGTGCGCAACTTTAATATTCGAAGACCCAGTTGGAGGGAAGTTTTCGATGCTTTCTCGACTTCACATGTTTTAGCGCCTCGTTTTCTTTTTTTCCGTCTCAACTTGGGTATACACTTCGTTATGGACCTGTCAAAAAGAGGTTAAGCTTGTCGAGACCCTCTCGGTGGGTTGATCGAATGCGATGCCGACAGCATGTGGAGACTCAGCTCTGGCTTACGACCGAACGCTCAACTGCCATTTAAGAAGTCCGGTGGCAATGATCCGAGCACTCAAAATGGCGAGACTTGGACTGATGAAGCGGTGATCCCCTCCAGGGGCAGAGAGAGAATTAGGCGACATGCGTTTACAGCAACGCCATAATGCGCTTACATCTGTCGAGAACATCATATTGTTCTCCGCCGATAGCCGTGGTATTGCTGTGGATGTTGTGGTGAGCTGTCTACACACCTGGAGAAGCTCTCGTCGCTAGGGAGAAGGGGTTCATCTGATTTAAGCGCATAGAGAAGCATGTGGGCTTAGTTTCGTCTGATGCCAAGGATGTGTTCAACAAGCCATGTGCATAATAAGCTTTCTCATAACCTTGTCCAAGCCTTACGGCCTAGTTACGTTTAGTATGGTCGACTTTTGCAGGACCTGAGTCAAAAACTTTAAAACAGGTCTAGACCATCGAGCACAAAATAAAAAAATACGCTCCTTGGTCTCTTGGTGTGATGCAAAAGAACGACTGTGTTCACATCTCGGTGTCAGGAAGCTCCGAACGTCCGGACTTCTCCTCCATCTCGTGGCACAGACGGATAGTTCCGCCGTTCCCCACATTCCGTTCCATGCTGACTCGGAAACCGACATGGCCTTCACACTTGGCAACTCAAAGAGGTAGAGTATCCATGACTTAGGCTTCGTATAGTTGATCTTCCAGGGTCTTCTTACGTGAAGAGTAATTATAAAGCTGCGGGGCGTAGATCTGCCAGTATTGTCGCACTCTATTCAGACCAATAACATCTGAAGCTCTTGAGTAAAAGTTTCCATTTCAGTTCAACATTGAAATGGCAAAGGTACGCGTGGCACGCTAGGGATAAAATGATTATAACTCGAGGAGAATAGTGTGTGAGGGGACTTCCAATGCACCTCCCACCATTCTTATGCCGCTTGTCCCAGTTAGGTGAATGCTACAGACCGAAGGGGGAGTCACCATGTTATTTTGCGTCACCACAAATCGGTCCAACGGATACCTGCTAGCCACAGAGTATGCCTCTGGCTACGAACATGTGTGCCGGACCACCGCGAGTTCTGGTTCCCAACGCAAGTGAGGGCCTCGGGCTCTGCATTTGCAATCAAGAGGCATGTGAAGAAACGCTAATCGGGTTACGAGAATTGTGAGGATGGGGAGTAAGCAAGCAAATCCTACTGCGAACAGTGCCATCGAGAAGTGGAAATCCGACTCGTAGGAAGTCCCAGAGCTGTCCCCCACAGTTGTTTCATGAACCATTCCAGCTCATACTCGGCAACGACAAAAGCCAGGCGCAAGAGTATGGAGTTAGCACCATGCTAGACCTAGACTTTGAGAAGTCTGTGGTTAATCCCGAGACTCACACGGTCGTGTCCACGCGCGTACGACTATACCGACAAAATGCCACTGACTCTGCGAGTAATCGAGAAGATGTTCTCATCAGGTTACGCCACTCAAGGATAGATGGTGGCGAAAAGGGCTCCCACTAACCCAAGGGCTTCAATGTAGACCTTTTACGTTCCTATCTTTCGTGGCGGTAACTGTTATATCCTTTTCGTGACACAAAGTCTTTTCCCTATTTTAAGTTTTAAATGTTTCGATATAGGCAAAGAGACCTACGCAATCAATTGAGCTCTCTTCAACAGTTGCCCGTACGCACAGTTCCACTACTTTCTATCATCATCCATTTCCTTCTAATGACTGGGACCTGGTCCGCCTTGATATATTGTCCGTCAATATCGTAGCGACAATCAACCAGCTCCTCCATCCTAGCCATTCTACTCTCAGTAGCTCTCTTACCGCCCAGGGTGAGACGGTTCAGCACTGGGCTCAGCCACTCCGCAACGTGATCATGACCGGCAGCAACTGCCTCATTGGCGGCTGTGCGTCCGGCAGCGTTCTTTCTGGCCAGAAGCACTATGGATTTCATGTACTCGGATATATACATAGGGTCAGTATCGTCTTCGAACTCGGGTGAAGTCTCGTACATGGGGAGGTATCAAAACCAGACTCGTTTGAGGGCTGGCCCCGGTTCTCAACGCAGAAGAAAGCGCGCCAAGAGGCATTAATAATGTTTAGACAGCCGGTGCGGGCTGTAATGTGGAAGGCGGTGTCTCCGACCTTGTGGATAGTGGTGTCGCCTGTGACAAGGTCGGTGACCCAGCGCATCAGGTAATGGAATCCGATGTCATCAGGCAGTCCCAAATCATGTTAGCTTGCAATAATTGACCCTGCATCTTGCTCACGGAATAGTCTAAGAAAGCTACGTGACGCCTCGGGGCCGAATCCTTCGAGGGGAGGTGAGGTAAGGTCCTTTTCCTCGTCTGAGCCATCTTCGACAGATTCAACCATGTTGCCAACTACCTTAGTTTGAACTATATGGATCACGAGAAGAGGTGCGAAAGAAGAGAAGAAGACTTGTATACGTGATAGGCATCGCAATGTTTATTTTCACTTATTACAAGGAGACTAAGCGTTGTACTGCAGAGTTTAAGGAGTGATGAATTAAGGTATCTTACCGAGATGTGGAACAGCACATAGAAGCGACGTTCAATTAGTCAGGAGATGCCTGCGAGGCCATGACCCGACAACCCAAGGTACAAACCGTGGCATTCATAGTTTCCCAACAAGACTTTAGGCACATACAGTACGCAAGACTTACAACTTCTTCGGCTTTACCATTAGGCATGCCCATGCCGGCTGATCCCTTATTGTAAATACCCAAACATCGCCTTCACTCAAAGACGGAATCTGGCCGCATGTGTTCTTTACTTATGCGAGTTACCGTCGAAAATGCTCAAGATATCTTGAGTAAATCACGGCCAGTAAACAAATCACTCTTCAAATATCCGTTCACATGGGTAAAACAATATATATCCTGCCACATATAACCAATCTCCCTTAAGCCGCAAGACATTTCTTTGTACATTGAATTACGATACAAATTCAAACCACTATGGTTTTCAAGTTACACCTGTTTAATAGGCATACAACTTCACACTCTCGTCGTCGGTCTCCCGGATCTTCTTATTGATCTTCATCAACCAAAACCTCATGGCCCAGGCGCACATGATGCTGACGGCAGCAAACCCAATCATGCTAGAGAAACCCATCATGTATTGAGGCCCGTCGGAGCTGGGCCAGAGATAGGCACAGTAGATATACGCAAGGTTCGCCGTCACGTTTACCAGCGAGTATGCAACAGCTTTCTTCTCAGGGGTCTGGGAGAGGGTGTTGCTGACCCAGCCCAGGATTACCGAGCCAACACCTGGGTTTTGGGTCAGTATCCAATATACCAGAAAACTGCTTGGGGAAAATAACTTACTGTACGCGCCTGTGGCATAGAGAAAGGTAGCGGTATAGCGTACGGCGTTGTTGGTAGTTCCGCAAGTCATCGCAAAACCGACAATGGCCAAACTCAAGCCAGCAGTGACGTGCCAAGTCCTCTCGTTAAACTTGCCACTAGACCAAGCGAATGGAATGCCCAGGAAACCGGAAACGAAGTAAGGCGGGGCGGTGAGCAAAAGAGCGGTCGTTGAACGAAAGCCCCTGTACGACATGTTGGTTTAGTCTTTGATCACAACAGTAAGGTCTTTTCATTCATGCATAGACTCACATGCTGCGAACAATGGTGGGGAAGAAATTGTTGAAAGAGCAGGCAGATATGTGCGTATTTTGCATAAGGCAAAAAAGCCAAGTCTTGGGATCTTTGCAGGCTTGCTTCAAGCCATCCCAAGTCGAGCCACGTTCCTGTTGGCCAACAGTGTCACGACGGATTCGCTCAACAGCTAGCTTGCGTTCCTCCTCAGTAAGCCAGCGGGTCTCAGAGGGGTCGTCGGGTAGAAGGAAAAAGCCAAAGATGGCGACTAGAGCGGTAACGGAACCTTCAATGATGAAGAGCCTGGGCGGTTTGGTTAGCCTGAGACTGAAATGTGGAGGACAAGGATGTCATACCATTGCCAGCCAGCAATTCCTTTGACCTTATCCATTGTGGCGAAAGTTGCGGCAGCAATCAGACCAGAGCAACCAGTGCTGACAACTTGCCCCGTATACAGGAGGGAAATCCTAGTTGCGAGTTCCTTTCGGGTATAGAAGATCGACAGAAGATAGAGCGCTCCTGGATAAAATGGCTGAGCGGGTGTTAGCATCGGCAAGGCTCTATTCCTATGCGATCCAACCTACGGCTTCGACGAAGCCAAGAAAGAAGCGACAAGCAACGAGGCCTGAGTAATTCTTGACACCAGCAGTAGCAGCTGAAATGGCAGCCCATCCAATCATGCAGATAGACATGTATATAGATGGCCTCGTACGGGTCAAAAACATATTTGAAGGAACTTGATTCTGTTAGCCATCCAACGTTGTCATCATCTATAGCGTGGCTAACCTTGCATGAGAAGGTACCCCACGAAAAGGATCGAGATCGCAGTGTTGTATTCGACGCCTTTGAGGTTCAGGTCCTCCTCAAGGGTATTAAGACGGGCTTGTGGTAGAGCATTTCGGTCGAGCTTTTCAGGGGTTAATTGTACGGTTTAAGGTTTGTGGATAGGCTCGAAGGTGAGCGTACATAGTTTAGGAAGTACATGGCCCAAAGGATCGGCTATATAATGGTTAATGCTGCATATGACTGTTTTCGATAGACTAGACTCACCATAATTCTTCTGTCAAGCTTACGGACGAGAGCAATCTCGACTGGATCAGTTTTCTCTGCCGCACCAGAATAGTCGCCTGAGGTGATAGGCTCGCCTTTGACCGACTTTTCGTCATGCTCAACTTCAAGTGGGCCGCCAGGTTTTTGATTCTCAACTGTCGACATTTTGACACAACTTGGGAGGTGGACGGGCGAGCTCATTATCAACTAAAGATAATGAAAGGGTAGAGAAGCGTCTCTCAGTCCTCAGCAGAAAGAACAACGTACAGCTCACAGAAGAACCCGGTCTGGACGCGGCCGGAGTCTACCTGCTATATATCCTTAAAATATGCAACCCCGGCTTTGCGGGGATGGTACGACCCAACCCCAGAAATTCCGCTTCCCCGCAACGAGTTTATTCTTCATTCATAGCAGATCCGGGTCTGACGATACGGAGCCAAGAACTTCGCCGAACCTTGGCCCGTGCTACGCCGTTACGCCGATACCCCGCTACTCCGTGTTTGGTTGGCCATCTTGCTTATCCCGCCGTCCAGCCCCATAGTCGCGTTATCCCGTTCCCCACCGGGGTTTTCGGTGTAAGAGTGAACGTAAAAGAGGATTTCATCCATGAAAACAAATAAAACCCATGCATTGGAAAATTGAATATTATCAAAATCCTAGTGAATCGCGTGTTTTCGAGACCGATCATTTGTGTACCCTTCTGCTTCTAAAAGCTTACTGCCACAGCGGCGAAAACTAGTCATGTCTGCCGCCACTGTTTTCGACTCGACGCTCTTCGGTAACATTTTCGGTACCGAGGAGGTTCGTCAGACCTTCTCTGAGCGGTCATACGTCGCCAACCTAATCAAAGCTGAATGCGCTCTCGCCGAGGCAGAAGAGGTTGAGAAAATTGTGCCCGTCGGCACTGCTGCCATTCTCAGGGAGCACTGCAATGTCTCCAAGATTGACTGGCAGCTTCTTGCAGCCCGAACTGAGATTGTTGGATACCCAGTTCTGCCACTAGTCGAGCAGATGTCGAAATGGGTACCTGAGGAGACCTGTAAGTTCACACAGCTTCATATTGCATTGCCGTGAACATGCTAATCCGTGGCTTACGCAGCCGGGTATATCCATTGGGGTGCTACTACACAGGACATCATGGACCTTGCGTCTGTTCTACAAATGAAGGACGGTCTTGAAATCGTTGAAGGTCTCCTTCACAAAGTTGCTTCTACTCTTGAAAAACTGTCTGCCGCCTACAGAGATGTACCCATGGCTGGAAGAACACACTTGCAGCACGCACTTCCCATTACCTTCGGTTACAAGTGTGCCGTATGGTTGTCTGGCTTCCGCCGACATGCCAAACGTCTCCAACAAATCAAGGAGAGTTGCTTGCTCGTGCAGTTTGGCGGCGCCGCAGGAACTTTGGCGTCGCTGGGGACGTCGGATAGTGGCATCCGTGTCCGTAAGCGTCTTGCAACAATTCTCGGCCTTGAGGATCCAGTTATTACTTGGCATGTAGCGCGCGATACTGTTGCGGAAATCATAAACTATCTTGCCTTGGTCGGTGGAAGCTTGGGCAAGATTGCTCTGGACTTGATTATCATGTCGTCCAATGAACTGAACGAGGTGCGTTGCATTCTAAGGAAAAACGTGATCAATGATGTGCTAAATTTTGCTTTAGGTTGCCGAACCTTACGTTCCTCATCGTGGAGCCTCTTCTACGATGCCCCAGAAGCGTAACCCCATCTCTAGCGAGGTCATCCTTGCGCAATCCAAGATTCTTCGAGCCCAAGCCAGTCTAGTACTGGATGGTATGGTCTCTGACTTCGAGAGAGCATCTGGCCCCTGGCATCTTGAGTGGGCTGCGATCCCCACCGCTTTCATTTCCATTGTCGGGTCTCTTTATCAAGCCGAGTTCGCTCTCTCTGGTCTACAAGTAAACAAAGACACCATGTTGGCAAATCTTAAGTCCACTAAAGGGTTGATCGTTGCCGAGGCTGTGATGATGGAGCTGGCCAAGTATACTGGTCGACAAGAAGCCCACGAGATTGTATACAAAGCATGCGTTCAAGCGCATGAGGAAAGCATCTCGCTCCAAGACGCTCTGGAGAAATCAAACCAGGTCACAACTCACCTAGCATCAACGGAGCTTTCTAAGCTATGCGATCCTACCAAGTACTTGGGATGTTGCCAACTGATGGTGGATGAGTTGTTGGAACAAAAGACGATCGACACAAAGGCGAACAAAAGCACTGCAAATGGCATCGGAACCGTGGACGGAAACTCTGTTGTAAATGGTATTTCAAGTAGTTAGGTTGATTGACCGGGGTGGTGGAAACCAGTGCGGTAGATTTGTGTTTCGTATGATACGATGCTTGACAGACAATGACTGGCACGAATGACTGGAGTTTGCGTTTTGTTTCTTCACGGGCTCTTTAAAGGCGATTTCTTGCTCAATGAAAGCCCCTTATATATGCCTGACTGATTCTGATTGTATACCACAATACTGTGCGGCTTGAAACCGGTGAACCGCTGCATTCGTTTCTCAAATGCGTTGATCAGTGCCTGAGACAATCAGGATTAGCCTCAGCACCACATGCTTACCGCTTTAAAACAACTGAGAGCTTAGATAATGCTTTTACCTTAGATGATGTCACTGTACCCCCAAATGACTGTTCAACTTCTTTAAGGCACTGGATGCAAGTACCGAGTTTCACTTGATGATAGCTTATCCAAGTTGGATACGAGACAAATTGATGCCATGAATTTCATGACTCTCAGCGAGAAATCCGAATATTCCATTCAAATTATGAACAAGTTTGTTACAGAAATTGGTTGACTCTTTGTCCATTGATATCTCCAGGCCAGAACAAAGCTAACAGGTGGAAGATATCGGATAAGAAGTTGTGTTATGCATCTATACGAGTCAAGCAGCAACGCTAAGTTTTGGTGGGCGCTGCCGAGCCTGCACCTGGCTTGACCTCATCTCCACAACATCCCATCGTCACCAATAACTCCTGCTCATGCTACTACTGTTCCGTCTTCCCGCCGGAAACCGAGTTAATAATTCTAGATTTTTTTTTTAAAGGATTGATGATGCCGAAAAACCGGTAGCATGAGCGGACAGGGAAATCCCATTGGAGGGCAGCTTGGACAAGTCTGGTTTGATCTCACCACCCGGAAAAACTGGCCTCGGTGCTAACTTCTGTTGCAGCGATCGCTGTCGACGGTATGTTATGCATTTCTAACGCCTAATTTCATTTAACTTTGGCGCAGGTCCCACAACTAGTTTCTGATTCAACATGGCTAAACTGGTGCAGAAGGAAAATTCGATGTTACGGTGATGGAGAGAAGGTACAGTCAGGTGCTCAAGTCACTTTCGTTGGCAGCCGGGCTGATTATGATTGATATCAAGTGTACTCCCTGTGCTGTCGGGGGTGTAGCTTGTATAGTGTCGACCAAGTTGAAACGAAATCGAAAGAGGAAAAGGTTGGCTTCGACTTCATTTTAGGAATTCATCGCTAACCACTTCTAAGCTACTATGAGAATGAGGTTATTGATGAACCGCGAAGTGGTTCGGCCTCCACGAGAACCCCGGAAATGCTGGATAGCACAGTCAACTTATCAGTGACGTCCCGGGATCCTGTACCACCACAAGTTGTATCGGGGCAACTAACGGGAAATCTGTCCCAAGCCACTGGCACCGATGGGCCTCTTTCAACGTGGCCAAGCCGCGCAGATATTGCGTCAACTGCAAAGAAACGATTTGGCCCGGAACCTGTGATAGGTCACATGGGCCGACTAGTCTCGAACGATGACCAGATCGCTATGTTCGCAGGGTCGTCAACAGGCGTACATTTCATCTCCCAGGCCGAGCAACAGCTACAGATGCTCCGTATACACAACGACACATTCCCAAGCAGTGTGTACAGCCTGTATCTGCACAACCTTTGGGGCAATCCGCCAAAAGAATTCACGTCGCAACTAATCGCCGGTATGATTAGAGAGCTACCCCTGAACACGGCCGAAATTCTTGAAGCCACCATCGATCGCTGGACACCAATTTACCCTATTGTGCATAAGAACTCCACCCTTGAAGCTTTTCAAAGACTCCGAGATGACCCTGAGCGTGGTGATCTGAGCATTATGCACCAAGTCTTGGGTCTCCTTGCTTTGGGCAGTCTAGGTCTTGCAGGCACATGCACTCAAAATCATCAGCACTTCCTATGTCTTTCAGAGAAGTACTATGCGATGTCTGCAACCCTGACCGATAAGCTCCACGACCGCCCATGCTTAAAGACTCTACAGGGGCTGGAGATTTCACAGATTTACTTGCAATTATCATCACGATACTCGGCTGCGTCGCAGTTGGGAGGAATGGCAACCAGGATGGCACAGAATCTGGGGCTGCACCGCCATTCACAGCGATTCAAGTTTGATCCTTTGGAGACAGAGTTGAGACGGCGCGTATGGTGGTGCCAGTATTCTCTTGATGCGTTAGTAGTCTTTTTGGCAAGTCTCGACTTCTACTAACCATCTCTCACAGTTTCTCCAGTGCATATCATGGGATGCCACGGCTTATTCGAGACCAAGACGTTGATACCGATTTACCGTCACGGGTGGATCATGATCAGGTCTCACGTGAAAGCGTGGCATTTCCTCTACCGGGTGAACGGTCCCAAGTAGATACCGCACTCTGTATGTTTAAGCTAGCTGTCATCGTCGGAGAAGCCCTAGAGAAGCTCTACACAACGACAAGGAGACGCGGTGGTGTAGCCAAGATTAACCAACTGCAAGCCGAGCTGACAATGTGGGAACGCATGTTACCGACTGATCAAGCGGCCGGCCATGAAGATGATGGATCAGATCTGCCTCTGCTACCCAACCCCGACTTATTCGAAGTTGCATTTCTCCGCGCCGCATTCTGCAATGCGATAGTCTATGTCCATCGACCAGCTCTAGCTTTCACAACCGCTGATCCCCAGTTCTCAATCTCTCTCATGGCCTGTGGGCGTGCATCTGCGGAGCTGATTCGGCTGTCTGCGATCAATATAGAAGATTCGGCACCTGATGAGATCCATCGAAGATTAGACGCCATGACCATCGCTCACTTATATCCGAATGGCATGCACATGCTTTGGCAAGCAGGTCTCACCATTCTATTCGCAAGATGGAAAGGCCAGCCGATTGGGGCTGACAACGAAGACGAGGGTCTGGTTAAAACCTGCTCGGCAACGCTGCAGTATCTAAAGTCCGATGACACCAACGGATTCATCTCTCAATGCGCTGATGTTCTCGACATGCTGCGAACAAAGACTTTCTCCTCCAAAGAAGCCTCACCACTAGTAATTGATCAGCTGCAATGGAACGTTTGGGACTGGCCAATGGCGTCGGCACTAGAGCTGGCGAATACCCTCGACGCCATGCCGTTGGACCTTCAGTTTGAGCCAGGGATAGGGCTCTAGAATATCCCAGCACAAACCGTCCCCTTTGATTCCTGCTTGGTACAACAAAAGCCACTCATACCTCAAATAGTTAAAGGTGGCGCCTAGGCTTCAGCCACTCTCCCAGAAGCACTGTGGGTTATCGGTGTTTGGCCTTAAACGGATTAGTCGCATCTCTTTTGACAACATTCAGCCCTTGCATTGGACCCGAGCTTGTTCAGCCTCATAGAGCTGCATTTATTATGATGAGAGATAGCACAGATTATTACATTTATTTGAATTCTTGGTGCCCGAGGGGTTTCCCCCCCTTCCCCTTTCCACTTGCTAAACAAGGCGTCTTCTTCGTTAACTTCGACTGAGTCCCCCACCCCTTTCGTTCTCTCGGAATCTCGCCGACCTTGCAATCAATTGTTTAGAGAACTGAAGTTTTCTCATCGGCAAGAGCAATAAAAAAACGTTTATAATGGCTCCGCCGAAAAGCCCCGAAAGACCAACTCCCCGTTCTTTGGTCGCAGTCGGGTTTCTTCTACTGTACCCCTTCGCTTCAGCCGCCACTACTACGGGCGCCCTTGCGAGGGTCAGTATTTACTCCGAACTCGCCTACTCAACAGCGAGAGCTTGCGCCGCCGGCTGTCTCGTTTATAATGGCCAATACCCCTGCGGCCTCGTCGGATACCAGGACCTCGGCGTTGCTTTGCAGTGCGGTTGCGCGTCGATCAACGGTTGTTACTGCAATACAGCCTTGGCAAGCTCCGCAACTTCCTACATCTCTTCCTGCGTCAGCAAAGGATGTAGCAGGGTCGACAACTGGTCAGTGGACATGAGCAGTATGCTTAATCTGTACGACTCATATTGCGCGACCGCGAATGGCGGAGTGGCCGACGCACCTGCTACCACGACGGGCGCAGGCTCTTCACCCACGACAGCGGGCGGCGCGAAGGGGCAGAGCAACGGACAAGCGACGCGAACCCCTGCTCCTGGATCGAGCGGTACGTCATCTGCCGACGCCCAACAATCTTCTGCCGCGCCAGATAATGGTGGCCTGAGTCGCTCGGACATCGTTGCTCTTGCTGCAAGTTTGGGAGTCGGGATCCCTAGCCTGCTCATCGCTGGCTTGACCCTCTACTTCCAGATGAAGAAGAAACGCAGAAATGCCGCTGCCGGGGAGAACGAGGCTTCGTCGATGCAGAGCATGGTCCATGTGGCTCCGCCTCCAAACCCATATGGTGTATCGGTGTACGAAAGCAGTCCATCACCTGCACCACATGCATGGCGATAAACGAGTAGGAGTGCGGAAAATTTGAGTCAAATAATGTGTTGCGCTCAGGGTTGAAAGTGGCTACGATGGGAGTCTGGATGGAGGCCACGCACGCCGAGTTATTTGTTTGAGGCGTTTCTTTTCTTCTTCTTTGAAAGCTGGTAAGGCAGGCATGATGTATCTGTTTGCTGGGAGGATGTTATATGTGTTGTCTCCTTTTCGATTTAGACCGTTCTAATGAAGGTGTAAGTCGCTTTCAACCAATAGAATAGCGCTCGAACATCATAGCAAGGTGGTATAAATGAAGCCTGGGTGCAAACTCAACAAGGGTGACGCTTAATAAGTCAACAGGGGTGATACATACCAGTCTGTTTCCTGGGATCCCTGGGCTTTGCCTGTTGTCTCGATAGCCTTGGGAAGACTGCAGTCCTCACTTAAGCGGCTCAGGCAGTCAATAGCAAACTGCCGTGCATCAGGGGGCGTCAAGGAGACCTCTGAAATGACTGACAGGGGCCAGATTAGACATCTTGCTGTGACCGAAAAGCGCTGCTCAGAGGGCTCAATGTATTCGCCACAGCTAGCCAGTACTTCAATGATTAGTGTCGACATATTTCTCGATGTTGATATCTGGAGTTCCTCGTAGTCGGTGTCGTCATCAAGGTCAGGACCCTGGTTTAATACGAGAGAAGATTGATTCCATATTAAATCGTTGAGAAACATTCGAACAATCCGTAGTCCGTTCCAGTATCGAACAGCCTCCAGTGAGGGGTACCGGAGTGATATGCCCTTGTACGTCATTGGAGAGCTTTCTTCTGGAAGTCTCGCAGTGAACTTCCAACCCTCGGGAACGCTTTGGCCTAGCCTAACTGTGTCGGCATCTAAGTCCAGTGCTTCCATCACCAGCTCTCGTTTGTATTGGTCGTTGGCCTGTGCTACCCTAGCCCTCAGACTCGCAACTCGATCGATAATCGGGGCCACCTGTAAAATAGGGTCTCCTAGGTCCAAGTAAGGTCTTGCCTGCTCGTAGAGTTTGAGGAACCGGGCCGGAACAGGTGTCTTGGTGTGCGCACAGCTAGTACGGATATTGCCACTCGCGTGGACAAACAGCTTACGGCCAAGAGGTGTTTGCAGCTGCTGGGTCCCACGTAGGCGGAGAAGCTCCACGGCCCCAATAGTGTGAGCGTTCCAACTCTCAATAGACTGCCGACCTGTGAAGACCATGGCTTCAAACAGACCCAGCAAAAGGACAGCGGCTAGAGTTGAGTCCCTTACGGCAAGTTCTGCAGAGCTGAGAGCCTGATTAGTCTGATATAAGGCCATGGCATAGTGAGTCCGAGCCTGCTTCATGAGTTTCGCATCTGATAACTTCAGCGAGAGACCAGCGAAGGACGTGGCTGATAGTGCCGCTGACATGGCGTTGTTCTCGTTTAGCCCATGTGGACAAAGTTGAGGTAGGTAGTCGAATGGAGACGAGGAGATATAGTCAGCCATGAAATACGTGCGGGCCAGGCCCTCAATAGACTGGGAAACGTTTCGATATCGAACCATAGCAACGTCCGGGGGTGGCTCGGCGGAAGATCTAAAAGAGGTAATGGCTCCCATCAATCTACCAGTATTCTGATGAGCGACTGGCACCGCTTTCGTTCTTACTGCCAACGTCGAAGCGACTGTCTGGTTCTGCATAGTAGATTGTGCGTCTGCCGGTGTCTGCAGCCTTGCCTTGACCGGCAAGCGCCTCCTCGGCTTCCGATTCTGGACTTTGAAGGCCGCATTGGCGGTCTCGTCCCTAAAGTAGAAGTCCGAAAGATCCCTGTAACCAGGGCATTTGATGTCTTTGCGGGAGCATTGGGTGCATCCGGGCTGCAGGCGGTCGCACTGCGGAACACGAACCCGAAAAGAAGAAAGTCAGCCTTGGCTTTCGCATCTCGGTTGAATAGATAGGCAACCTGCACTGCGAGAGTGGTACGGTGACGCGCCGTAGGGCTGACCGGTTGAGGTCTGACATACGAGCGGGCCAGTAGGGAAAAGGGGGGGTTCTGGAAGGGGGATGAACACAAACCCTTAGTCTTCCCTTTCGACAGGGGTAGCACGCGTCTGACGGCCGGCCGGAGAATACCATGATTGAGATTTTGGATCGAGATAACGCGGTTGTTGGATATCTAATCGTGGGGAACTCTGGTCCGCCTCGAAAATCCCTCACTGTTGGAGGCTCTTTTGACTCAGTGTGGGAACTGGAGACATGTTGAGGCAGACCAAGGCGATGCGTCAACCCTTTCCCGTTGGGGGCTGTGTTTTGGGGGCCGTTTACTCCCCCAAAGCTACGGGAAAACCGGCATTGAATGCCCCCTTTCACAAGTTGGGTCCCATGTCGAGAATATCCCCTCATTTGGCTTAGCCTAGGTTTTATCAGCAGTTTTTCATCACGTGTATTTTACCCAAGACCCACGTGCATAACTCCATAATTAAGTCCTGTAATCAAGTTTTGGACGAATGAATTCGATCATACGGAGCCCGCGGAAACTTTCAGGTGGATGTTTAAAGGCCCCTGGGATTCGGCTAAAGTTTTGACTGAGCCATGCGGGTAGAATTGCAATGGACTCTTTGTGAAAGCGATGTCTAGGGCTGGTTTCTGCTGCATTTCAGTCTCTAGCGACATCTGCCTATCAGCCAATTAGCTCTCTTTCGTTAGAGTCAAGTCTCAACTACCAACGACCAACGCGATTAGATCATCCCGGTTAGGGTCATCTTTTTAGTCAACTGCAATGATCAAGGATAGAGAGAGAATTGAGACTTTTCTTATCCAAACGGTTTGCACTTACGTCCATCTTACTTTTATCTCTCTACAACTGCAGCTTTTCTGATCACTTTGCTTTTGCGCAAACTGTTCCTTGCTAGTGTTCAATTAGGATTGAAACGTAGTTGTCAATAGGAATTGTATCCGTGGCAAAAGGTTATTAATCCATCGTCCGCAAAATGAATATGCAAATCGCAATATGTGTTAGCATTGTACTTGAAAGTCCTCACTTTATTTGTTTTGATGCTCGCTCAATTTCAGCGAGAACTGTTCTGAATCTTCTCGATACCTTACCATGACACAATGTTACCTATGATCACGGGCATGATTAACAATGGGACATATGCTTGTCCTGATTCAAAATCGCTTTTGACTGATTCGTAGGTCTCTAACAATGGCGAATATGCATCCATTAGAAAGTAGCACCTAGTCAATCTATGAATGAGAAGTTGAGACAATGAATAAAGTTGCAGGTAAATGTGCTGGCTTTTCAGCTCATCGCTGTTCCAATAGAGACCGGAAGCAACATGGAAGCCTTGTTCTTCCCTCAGCATGACAGTGGCTAATCAGCACATGCCCCAGGCTGAATGGCGCTGAAGATGATTTGCAGCTAGCGCTATAGCAGTAGAATGCCATTCGACATACGCAACATGTTGGCATGCAAGAAAGCAGCTCATGCTACACGTAACTTGTTGTATCCGAGAAGCAGGAAAAGCTGTGATGTTGATTTTGGGCACGTAGAATGCTAGAATATGATGCCTGCTATGAAAGACTTTTCCTCGAGACCTGTATCGTACACATGCTTATATTTCTTAAGCTTTTGTAACAGTATGCGATGGTGCTGGCTTTGCGTCAATTCTAGAAATATTTACTTGTTTCTTGAAGGGCAATGCTGATAAATTTCGGCGATACATATGCTGCAATATGGGTTAATTTTATTAAACATGACGCAGTTAAGTGGGAGCCTACCAAAGCTGCTGAGACAACAGCCAGTGCCTCAGAGGTTTGTTTGTCCTGGTCTATAAAGTAACCCCAAGTGACGTGGTTGTTCTCCGTGCATGTAGCTAGTACGCATGTTTTCCCTTGGAAATTATCGGCACTGAGCTGTTGGGTATTGCAAATTTCTGCAGCAGCATTGCTGTCCTTCATGAAGTGGAGGCCCCTGATGACAGCAGATGGGATGTTGGATCCCGACCCATTGATCCGGATAGTCGCGCTATCCGCAGTATTCAATATACCCTCAACACTCTGAATAGTTCCATTGGTTGCAATTTTGATGCTGCCGATGCGGGTTGCTGTACTGTGGTTCCCTGTGGCCGAAAGTGCGTAACTAGCGATGAACAGGTTTACAACCTCCTGATGAGTGATTTCTCGAGCCAAAGCCTCGCACATCATTTGCACCCGACGACCGAAATCAACTTGAAGATCAACGGGCAGGTCTAGCCCCCACCTTCGATTCAATATCCAGGTGGCAGCTGCCTTACCGCTTTGCGAATTCACGCGAATGATCTGGTCGAGCGGAATTCCTAGGTCCTCTGGATCAAGGGGAAGATAGGGAATGTCCCAAATGGGTCTTTCGCCACTTTCAAGGGCCTCAGATCGCCAATTTAACCCTTTTCGAATGATATTCTGATGGCTCCCGCTGAAGGCTTGTAGAGCAAATTCGCCAGCATATGGTGCCCGCGAAGATACACTCAAGCCGGTCAGCCTCTCAAACTTACGCTTGATCTCTGAAAGATTGGAAAAGTCAAGCCCAGGGTTGATTCCCCTGGAGTACAGATTTAACGCCAAAGTTACCAAGTCGACATTGCCACATCTCTCGCCATTACCAAAGAGGCAACCTTCAACCATACCAGCACCGGCCAGCATGCCTAACTCAGCAGTGGCCACGCCGCACCCGCGGTCGTTATGAGGATGTAAAGAGATTCTGATCTTTCCAGGCTCAGATAGAGAAGCTTGAAATAGTTCAACCTGATCTGCAAACACATTGGGTGTGGCTACCTCCGTGCTGGTAGCCAGGACAACAACCAACGGGTCCTCGTTGGTCGGTCCCCAGGCTTCCTTGACAGCTTCTGTAATCAAGACAGCAAATTCATGATCGGCCTCGTTGTATGCTTCGAGCCCGAACGCCAGTGTCCAGTCTGTTACGGCGGCAGATTCATGATTGTCTTTGGTGATTGATCGTAAAAATCGCACTGACCTCACCGCCTGCTCAACAGCTTGCTCTCGCGTGAACCCCTGGTATCTGAGTTGCTTATCGCTGGTACATATATAGGTACAAATTGAAGCTCGCTTGGCTCCACGGAGTGCTTCAACTGTGCGGGCTAAGAAGTCTTCACGAGTTGGTGACAGACCCCGTATTCGCACGTTTTCTGGCACAGCGTTGGGTGTTTCAATAAGACGACGAGTAAAATCGAACTCAATCTGTGAAGCAGCTGGGAAGCTGACTTCAATTTCCGTATAGCCAATGGAAACAAGCATTTGAAAATATTCCCATTTTTGCTCAACAGTCTGATAGCGTTTGTTAGTACACTGACTGAACAGCCTTAGGGAGTATGAAAAATGGCGGTCCTACCAGTGGGTTAATCAGTGATTGATTGCCGTCTCGAAGATCCGTTGATAGCCATATTGGAGGTTTTTCTAACGTTCTGTTCGGCCACTTCCTGTTTGGATTGTTGAAGTGTAGAAACCCTGCGTACTTATTTTGGGGATCAGGAAGCCTGCGCCACAAGTAAGCACATGTGCTGTTTCCAACGGCTGAACACCTCAAATCCCATTTGGAATATTCAGTTTTCAGAGGTACTGGAAGAAAGCATACATTTTGAAGCTTCCACGTGTTTGCGTGTCTATTTGCAAATGTGAACTTCTGAGAACAAGAAAAGATGGGTTACTTGTTCATAGGGCTGACGAAGAAGCTTTTGCGTATGAACGTACATTCATTCGTGGTTTGTCTGGTGCTTATATGGTGTTAACCACTATGCCCTGCAAACCTTAAATGGCTGAAGCTGATTCAGTTTCTGGTTGCATTTTCTCATCTTCCGTACTAGGAAAGTTTAAACTGTGCAACCTCACAGTGCGCACCATGGACAGCACGCCGGGTCCAAGGAGCCACGAGCCTAGGAGTCGCTGGCTGAAGACCGGACCAAAATGCCGCCAAGGGGGAAGTCGACCCAATCATCGGTTTCCTCAGAATGCCGTGGTACATAAACGTCGTCGACCCACTGCAGATGAAACCTTTGGATACCCTTCACAACATGATGTCTTGTTCATTTTTCATGACTAGTGTCTCTGAACTCTATTTGCCTGTCTAGTTCTGCCGGGCTCTCTGTTAGACATGTCAACCTCGAAAGCTTCTTTCGACAAGGTTGTTTTAAATATAAGGCACGAGTCAGGCCGACTGGAATCCCCTGAACAGTGGTATTGGAACTCAATCTGGTCACAGGGAAGTGCGATTTCAATGGGATTTCAGTTCTTCTTGGTTATTGAGATTATTGGCGAATTCAGCGATTAGTCTGAATACTACTAAGCTATCATGAAATTTCCTTGCCTCTTAAGTATAAATCTTTCACATGGTACAACTGTATTTTGGCCATTCAAGTATACAGTCGATACAACTGCAGTCTTTTATGTCTCTCTTCATTCTCCAAGCTCTGTCCGTTTTCATGTAGACAAGCCCGTCCTTGCTATCAGATACCGTCCCCATAATTATTCAATTTGTTACATAGGCCCCGAAGCCTCTTTTACAAGAAGGTCAAACTTTTCACAGTTATTGATTGGTCTCATTCGCTCCTACTAACAATTTACATCTGGAACTCAAGGCACTCGAAGACTCTCTTATACGTGTTCAATCAGTTTTACCTACATGCATTAACACGTGTAATGATCAAGAACCAATAAAGTTTCTCTTACTCTCGAGTCCCTTCTTTTAGAATTGATACTCATTTGATATGTGCAAGTTTCGACAGAGAAACCATAGTTTCTACTTTGTTTTCATTGTTCACTCTCCATAGTCTACAATCAAATTGACGCCTTCCCTAGAGGATCATCTAGATTGAGGATTTCTAGTTGCGTGGCGAAAGGACCAATCCAGTCAAAACTGCAGGCCGGTTTTAACCAGTAAGCCACAAGTGTTATATGTGCCAGCCTATAATTGGAGGCAGCTAACTCTGATCTGAAAGTCTCGGAGTAACACTCGGGAGGCCACAGCGCGTGGAGACGTATAGCTATTTGAATTTTTTTCTTAAGAGAGCCTAGGGTCTTTGAGTCGTATAACTGTCAAAGAAGCGATTACCTTTTGGCGACAATTCATGTGGCTTTGTAATGACAATTAATTGCCTCTAAATACCTCTGATCTTGCGTTGGAACAGAGGGCTACTTTCTGTTTCATTTGAATTAATGGTATAAATCGAATCATAGAGCTTTTGTTCTATGGACACAGAACCGTGGATTTTGTCTTTCCAAAACCCTTTATTGCAAAAAATATCCCAGAAATGTGGCGCAGTCTGATATTTGACATTGTGATGAATGATTGCAAAGAGAGGCTCCGCTCTACTACGGTGCTGGATAAATGGGTAACGCGCGTTGGCGATGCTGCATGTTAATATAGACGATAGGAAATGGGCATCTAGGTTATTGCGATTTCGGTGTCACCAGTTCTTCCTAGCTGCATAAACGACGTCACTGCGACAATTGAATTTGGACAACCCCTCACCCAATTGCCCCTCATAACTACCTTAACAGTAGGCCAGGTGTCTTTCGCCCCAAGTCTTCGAGCCATGCCAAAGCAAGCTCTACAAGGACTATTGAATACGCTAATATATCCAATTTACGGAAGCAAACAACTCCAGAGTTAGAAATCGCGAGGGAAAAGCTAGCATTGAAGACGTCGACAGTATCAAGCCTCACGCCTCAGGTAATAAACAAATCTAGTCGAACCAACAACAACAGGATCTGGAGCCCACTGTTTCACGTTCTGAATCATTTACATTAAAATGGAGAGAGGTAAATCTCAATATACAACAAAGTAAATTGCTAATGGATCTGACCCTTCTCTAAGTTATTGAGATCGGAGGCGTTCGCGTTCGAATTGCACCGACAGCCGAGGACGAGGAAGGACTCCAATCCTTCAACGAACTCATTGAAAAACTGAAAAACAACGCAGCCGTACCTCAAATTAATCAACGAGTTTCTGAAGCACCTCGACACGTTCAAATCTTACTTTCAGTTGACTTTGATGCGGTGGCTGGCTGGCTGGGCACAGGGCAGCATCCTCGCAACTGCCTTGCAGACTATTCCTCAGGCTTTTTTGCAGGACATGTCGGTGTCGGTCGCCTTTTGAGTGTTTTCAAGCGTCTTGGGGTGGCTGATAAGATAACTTGGTTCATTCCCGGGCATTCTATGGAGACTTTCCCAGCCGAAACCAAGTCCATTGTCCAGTCTGGGGCAGAGATCGCGTTACATGGATATTCTCATGAAGACGCCACGAAGCTCGACGCGCAGCAGGAGGAGGACGTCTTCGACAAGTGCATTACTCTGGCACAGTCTCTGACTGGTAAACGCCCGGTGGGATACAGAGCTCCTGTGTATCGACTTAGTCAGCAGACGGTCAATCTGCTTGAGAAGAAAGGCTTCCTATACGATTCTTCTCTAAGTTGGCATGATTCTCAGTTGCATCAGCTCAGCAAGGGACCTTCTCCTGTACCAGTTGACTATTCACAGCCTGCACATACTTGGATGCACCCATGTGCCCCATCTCAGCCATCTACTGTGGTTGGGGTGCCTACTGGCTGGTATATGGAGGATATGACACCTCTACAATACCTCCCGAACATTGAGAATTCGCACGGTTATGTGCCAGCTCAGTCTATTGTTAAGATGTGGCAAGATCGTTTCAACTGGCTTTGGAAGCATGGCCCTGATGGTAATGGGCTAGGGGATTTTGTATTCCCGCTCGTATTGCACCCTGACACTTCAGGAATGGCACATATCATTGGGTCTATCGAAAATATGGTGCAGTGGCTGAAGAGTTGGGGTTCTGAAGTGGAATTTGTAACCTATGAAGCGGCTGCGAGGTCCTTTTTGAAGCGACAGATGGAGAAAAGTGATGCTTAGATGTCTACAAGGCAGTATTTCTATTCTAGCTGTCGAATCAAGCTACACATTATCTCGTTTTAACAGTTTGTGTTGTACAAACTAAGTATCTCAGAGAACCAGAACCAATGAAGTTCATGAAACCAATAACGGGCGAAAACCAGCAGCAAGGGCAAAACGTGCAGGGCGAGGGCCTGCATGACAACGCGCAAATATGCACGGATGAAGTAAAAGCGTGCCAAAGTATTACGCAGTGACCAGGCACCCCAGCAGTAAGTGCGTAATACGAAGCGGATGATTTGTCCGCCTCGTTGTGTTTAAACTTTATGGCACGCTTTTCGATGAGACTGTGGAACATAAAGCATTCGCTGGGATGCACCCTAATTCTTGAAAGTATCCAACCAACATAATCACAAATTCCACTCCCAAATACTAAGTCATCAACAATCGTCGCGGATATGGCAGAGGAAAGCTTTCGAGTTCGGCTCCAAGAGGTTCTAACAACCACCCGAAATGTCCTCCTAAACGACAACTGGGCAACTAAAGGTAGGTGTCTCAGATTGCCAATTGCTAAGACAGAAATTGGTGAATTAAAAAGAGCTTAGATGAACAATCGAACCCTATTGCGACTCTATGTTCTCTAGAAACTTATCTTAAACAGACTGGCAAGAATGTCGAGGCTTGTGCCATCGCAGAAGTTATTAATATTGCCACTTCCTCCCCAGATTATGGGGGCATGGGCTTGTCTCGGAACGAAATATTGTCGGCTAAAGACGGCGACGAGCTAATTCTACTAACATCAGCATGTAAGAGGATTGTTCCCTTGTCTTGGAGAAAATCATATACAACCTTATCATCATCACCGTGTGCTGATCTCTGATGATATTCTTCCAATAGGGCTTGAGTCTTTGAACTCGGCTGAGAGACGCGGTGGGCCAATTGTTCCCTTGGCCAGCCGCCCCGCGACTCGGCGTCCAATGAATGTAACAGAGAAAATATTTGCGTTGCACGATGTGGACCAGCCGGGCTGGGTTCGTACCGGTGATATTATTAGGGTCTCTGTTGACTGGGTCATGGCCAGTGAGGCAACATGGCACGTAAGTTCAATGGAGTTACCAGCAAATTCTACCATGTCTAACGGCCAATAGGGCATGCTTCAAGCATACAATAAGTTGGGAGACCCTGGAATATTCTCAAACTCGAGATTTTGGTTGGCCGGCGACCATGTCGTCGACCCTAGAATCATGGATACGCCGCTCGTGCAAAAGCTCGTTGGTGAAATGGACTTCGCGCGGAAAAGGTTTAAAATGACAGAATTCCAAGGACACAACTACACCATCATGCATACTGAGTTTTACCGAGAACGTGCGCAGCCTGGACAAATCATCATCGGCTCAGACTCTCATACCTGCAGTGCTGGGGCCAATGGATGTCTTGCTGTTGGCTTGGGTGCCACCGAAGTGACAATGGCACTTGTTACGGGGGAAATATGGTTTAAGGTTCCTGAGGTGGTTGAAATACATCTTGTTGGGAAGCCACAAAGGGGAGTTGGTGGCAAAGATATCATTCTTTACATTCTGCAGCAACTAAAGCGCAACACTGTGGCAGCTGATCGTGTTGTCGAGTACACTGGGCCTGGCTGTCGATGGCTCAGCCCTGACGCCCGTTTTGCTATTGCCAACATGACTACAGTAAGAAAATCCATGCTCCATACTGCTGCCAAGGTGCTTACTTGTGCGTCAGGAATTTGGAGGCATTACAGGCATATTCGTTCCCGACGAAGTCACGAAGAATTTTATTGACTCCCGTAAAACAGCTCGCCATAAAACGACATCTTACTACTTTAAACCAGACGAGGGCTGTTCTTATGTCGAGTCTCATATTATTGACATCTCCAAGGCCCAGCCATTTGTGGCCCGTTATCCTCGACCGGATGACGTTGTCCCTGTATCAGAGCTAGCTGGCACTCAGCTTGATGGGGTTTTCATCGGAGCATGCACAACCGCAGAGGAAGACCTTATCATGGGTGCTCTCGTGCTCCAGGCCGGCTTGGATGCAGGTAAAAAGCCAGTTGCGAGAGGTAACCGGCGAGTTGTGCCTGGCAGCCGTCCTATTGCTGACTACCTGCGGAACTCGGGACTTGCTGATATCTACGAGCGTGCTGGTTTCTCCATTGGCGTCCCAGGGTGCAGCTACTGTGTGGGTATGGGTGCAGATATGGCTAAGCCGGGCGAGGTTTGGCTGAGTAGCCAGAATCGAAATTTCGAAAATCGAATGGGAAAAGGTGAGTAATCTTGAGAACAATCAGTATTATTATTTGAAACTAATCGCCCGTATTTTAGGGGCTATTGGAAGCTTAGCATCTGCAGCCACGGTGGCCGCATCGTCATTCGACATGTTTGTGACCTCCCCGTCAGAACTTGTTGATGCTATTGCAGATGAGCGCTGGAACTCCATTAAGGGTAAAGGTTCTCTTCCAGAAGGTTCACTCGCCCAACCTCAATGGGTGGAACCACCAGGCCATGATTATAATGAAGAGGGAGAAGCGCGACATACCCAGGGCTCTGGATCAATCGGTGAGAACTCTGGAGTCGATGGGTCAAGTTCCAGATCTGGCATTATTAAAAGCAAAGTTTTCCGGATGGGAGACTTTGTCGATACCGACGCAGTAAGTGTCGTCTCTCCGCGGGTTGTGTGGTAGGATGGTCTTGCTGATGAATCCAATCGGGTAGCTTGCGCCGGCCCAGTATCTTCTTGTTTCAAAGAACAACGAAGAACTAGGTACCCATTGTCTGGAACATACAATCCCTGAATTTCGTCAAAAGGTTCAAGAAGGCCACCAGGTGGTTGTTGCCGGTAAAGCATTTGGATGCGGATCTAGCCGCCAGGAGTCAGTGCAGTCTTTGCTTGGTAGGTATCAACTCACCCCAAAAGGCTAAATATTTAGCTTCGGATAAAACCGATACATTTAAATACTGCTCGGAATTTTGACAAATGGAGAGCTAATTAAACCTTAGGTGCTGGGGTAAAGTGTGTGATAGCAGAGAGTTTTGCATTCATCTATAGTCGAAACCAGCCATCTCTGGGCCTTTGGGGCTTTGTTATCGATGATCCCCAATTCTATGAGAAGGAAACAATGGGAAAGGATATTGAAATTGACCTAGACAACAATCTTCTGACCATAGATAGGGTAAACTTCGGGTTTCAGCTTTCCCAACTCGAGAAGAAACTTACTAAGCTTGGAGGATTGACAAATGCTTTCAACCAGTTTGGAAAGAGAGTTTACGACGTCTTGACTGGACAGAAATCTCCAGAAAAAGGACTTACGAAAGAATTGAAGCCTAAACCGACCAATGATGTAATGGCCTGGTGAGTTCTTGGATTCTTCAACATATAAGAACAGCATGTAAGGCCTAGGATCAAGCAGCGGGGATATGAATCAAGAGAAATATATTTAAATCAAAGGAGTGTCCAAGAGCATGTAGTCTACTTATTTTCGGTGTATCAATTCAATCCTTTCACGCCTAGCTTGACAGCTTCCAACGACGTAGCTGATGCTTCGGAGTGCGTCTTGAACTTTCTGGTCGGCATCTTTTGCTCAAACATGTGGTTGATCTCAACATACGGCCGACACTTCATCTCCAGAGTCTCGAGTAAGATGGTAAAAACACGAAAACACACAAGCCTGCGAAGATAAATCCAATCTTCCCACCAAGGTTCGTTCCGTCTCTGTCGAAGAGAGAGGGAATCACGAACTGGAACACCCATTTGAAAAGGGCATTAGAAAACCAAGCGATTGTCTGTGACTGAGCTCTGAACCGCGTAGATGCCGCTTCAGTGTTTACAGCGGGCCAGGCGGCACCGACGCCGTAGCAAATCCGTTGGACTTTGAACCGTTCCCGAAATCACATTCCATCTTTGCCGTTTGTGAATAGTCCTGTAGGATATAATTGTTGTACCTTACTACTTGGTCGTGCCATCTTTCTACAAGCTTTAATGCTCGATCTACGCCAGCCAATTACCATTTTCGTCTTCGTATCCCATATCAACGTACGTCCAGCCCTGTTGCGTCTTAACGCCATCGATGATCATATGCTGCGATTCAATGTTGTTAGAGAACCGCTCTCTTCGGATCGTCTTGTGAGCCTCATTGATCTTGTTCATTTCCTCGTCGGTAAGTGTGACTAATCGAATGTTCTCCTCGATGCGAGACTTGTTCGCGCTCTTTGGGATAATCGTAGTGCCTCGCTGAACAGCCCAAGAGAGAGAAACAACGCCAGGGGAGCATTGATGTGCCTTTGCAATACTCGTGAACAGCTCGTGGGTAAGAATCTCATTTTGCGTAGCACGCGAGCCGCCCAGGGTGCTGTTCATGTCAGAAACTTTCACTTAACATTGTAGAGATGAATGGGAAACTCACCTCCATCCCATAACATGAATGCCTTTCTCCTGGCAGTAAGGCACCAGCTTTAGGTTTGGGTTGAATGCATGCATCTCGACCTGGTTTATGGCTGGCACGATCTTTGCCTCAGCAAGCAGCTCATCCATCACCTTGGGCATGAAGTTGCTGACGCCGATGGTCCTGCATTTTTCGCCGACAAGAGACTCCATCAACTTCCAGGTCTCAATAAACGTTGGGCTCTCCCACTTCCTCAGAACTTTCTTTTCAGGGGCTGGAGTCGTAGCCCAGGGCCAGTGCATGAGGAAGACATCGATGTAATCAAGGCCAAGAGTATCTAGCGAGATTTGCAACGCAGCCGCCGGGTCATGATGCCACTCTCCCCAGAACTTTGTTACAACGATGATCTCGGAACGAGGGACACCACTATTATGAATAGCCTTGCCCACGATGTCTTCGACTCCGTAAAGCTGTGCTGTGTCGATGAGGCGATATCCCACCTTGAGAGCGTGGATGATGGACTCTTCTAGTGCTTTGGCATCATCTGTGCCTCGGCTGCCTAAGCATAATCAGTAAGAGGCACATGTTACTCCAGCCAGGTCAGCTACAACATACCCTGCCAGGTACCAAGACCAACAGCCGGGAAATCAAGGCCTAGTTTGTGTCAATTTGGTATTCTCTGTTTCTGGCTTTAGCGAGCTCACCGTTGTTGAGTTTGAAAGTTTTTGTGCAAATAGGCGGCGCCATGGCTTCACAAAAACCAAATGGTATGCTGTAAATTATTTAGTCTTGTTGTTGAGCTGTTTATCACTTCCAACGTTGGTTTTGCTTCTTCTGTGCGTGACTTTTATTGCGGGAAAAAAGATGTGGGTTTGAATGACGTCATTGCCGGATGCGGTGCTTACAACACAGTGAGCTCAAGTTCAACGTAGGTAAGGTAAAAAGACGAAGCTGAAACATGGGTCGAAGACAAAATTGGTTCAAGACTTTAGCGAGATGTGATATTCAGGTACTGTCAACCATCATAGGTAACTAAAAGATCCATATATACATTCCTTTGTCCCTGAAAGTAGGAAATTGACAATAGCATCCCTGTTTCCTTTGAGAGCACCATAACACTCTGTTTGCTGACATACAAACTTCACCTCTCGGACGGTATGACTGCCACGAAATTGAAGCGTCTATGGTAATCTCAGTATCAGTCATGCAGGGCATCCTAAGACAAGGTTTGAGCTGTTAGACGTTGGTACAGGCCTTTCACAGGACTAATTGATTGCAGATAACTGCGCACATGATTATTGAATACCTAGTCTCTCTAAGCCCACATTTATAGGTTCATCATAAGCTAACCCTAAACATGATCTCCTGTGTCATTATAGTAAAGTCGAGCTTGTCGTGATTCTGATGGTTTCAGTTTCCAACAATTAAAGCCCAATGCCCATGCTGTTTTTAAATGCGGAGCCCATCTTCCAAAGGAGCCGCATGTCGCCCAGCATCGACTCTGCGGACGCAAAACCTTTCTCAGCAATGCTCATTACTAAGTTCTCAACTCTCTTTTGGTCCTCTGGCTTTTTAACCTCGAATGCAACACCCATTAAGATAGGCAAGTAGCTCCAGGACTCAAGACCAGCCACAGGGGCTCTTCGTTCGAATCTTTCGAGAATAGCCAAACCATATGTCTCTAGGTCCGGAAGGTCGAGGATAGCCGGCACATCCTCGCCAATAAGTTTCCAGATTGGGTCCGAAAACGTTCGCGTAAGAGCCATGTGTGCGAAGCGATAATACACATCTCTCAAGTAGCTGAAATCTCCTCCCTCCAAAGCTTCGTCGTCCTCGTCTGAAGCACGAAGTACATCTAAAACAGTCGTGATTTTATATGAACTCTCGATGATTTCTTCCGCAACTTTTAAAAGCCCAGCCTCAGAAAGCGCATGTCGGAGTTCTTCTTTAGTTACATCACCAATCTTATTTTGGAGGCTCGCTGCTGTATGTCGGGACTCTCTCACAAATCTCGTAGCTCTGTAAGCATGGTAAGCAAGCTTTGTTCGGGCAGCTTACACGCTCCGGAATGCATATTCTTACTTGTGATGGCACCTTGCAAAATATGCCACCCATTTGCAATAGTGGTGTAGTATGGCAGCATTAGCGCGGACTTGGCTGATGCTAGAGTCGATATCTACAAATGGCGAGGGATCGTAAAGATCACTACCAGCTAGAAATGTATCCTGGCGCAATATCAAGGCACTGTAAGCTTTTAAAAGTGAGAAGTTCATGAGAAGACCTCGGTCGAAGTAGAGAAACGGCGTGCGTCGTTCTTCGCCAAGCTGTCCTCTTATCTTGTCCGACAGCTTGTTCAAGACGGCCTCAAAAAGGCACCATGAACGCGCCACCATGAGCTTATAATGGCCTAGTCAGAAAAGTACTACGACAAGCATAAGATTCATCTACATGTTAATTTTACGTACCTCCATGTAGGCGAGTAGATTCCCAAACAAAAGAGTAAGATGCTGATCTTCATATTCCGGAGAAGTGAGCATATCCAAGTATCCATTCAATCTTGGGCGGTCTTGGGCGGCTAACGCGGCCGCAGCCGCTTGCCAGCTAGACAGGTCAGATTGCCTTTCATATTCCAAAAGTATGTTCCCAATAGTGGTTACAATAGCTCTAATGGGTATCGAACTTTTTAGGTATGTCTTCATAAATGAGAGCGTGAAAACGTCGGTAATAGGCGATGATAGGTCACCGACAAATAAGAAAAATGCATCTGTGATTTTGCACGGCAGAGGCTCTAGACCAACGAGGTTCAAGTCAGAATAGCGAGGAGAGGCGACATTTGAACTGGTGTTTCTTGGGGATGAATGATTGCTTGATGAAGCTCTGGACGAAGATGACCGAGACTGGTGTCTCAAGCGATGTTGCCTACAGTCGCACTGCCAATCCGATCAATATGACTTTTGATCTTGAACGAATTTTGACCTTACTAACCATTGACCATGACTGCTGGCAAGAAAGGCATCGCCTTCCAGCGACAGTCTTTCGCTCACGATGCTCGCCGGGCTTCTGTATCCTATATCCGTTTGTTTTCATTCTTGCAGCCTCACCCCAGAATCTAAACAAGAGTTAGCCGTCCATGGGATTTTTATATACGAGGGAAGTGGCCAGCCAATAGCTGCAGACTCCAGCCAATGTGGCAGGCTGCCGAAAGCTTAAGCTCATCGGCACCCTCGCCAATGATGGAAGATGAGTCGTACGGCCAGAGGTCAGAGCTGTGGGTGTTTTTCCCCAGAGATATGGAGCGGGGAATCCCACGTGAGCACCGAAGATCTTCTTACCTTCAAGGGCTCCAGAATCGGAAAGTCAATCGTCGTTGGTTTGACTGAAAGTCATCGGCGTGAGCATGGTAATGAAGGCCCGGGCACCAAAAAAAGGAATGCAAAAATAAGGGTGGTAGGGATTACTATGAGCATTGAGTGCTACAAAACCACATTTAAATTCTTTCATCTCACCTGCCTGTGCGGGGACACAAGCCTTGACCTTTCGAAACAGTAATAAAGGTTCGATGTGTAAGTTTAGCTCAGTCCATCCCTAATTCGTACGATGGCTTTCTTAGTCCAGGATCGTGCATCCTGCGCCTTTGTCTTCATCGGCGCCACATCAGATCGATCACACGCCCATCAGCAAATTTAGTTATATTTCAATATTCAGCTTTCGATTTCATTGGGCACAGCGAGGTAAATGTAAGCTCAGAGACTAGCAGTAGCAATAGGTGTTTGATACACTTTTACCAGGTCCTATAAAAATCTGCAGCAGGTAATTCCTTGACAACGACACCGTACAGTTGCAATGCCCTGGGATCGAATTGAGCTAGTGTATAGGCTAAGGCATTTGAGAGATGGTGGCACTGCCATCTTTTCAGTTACCTGGCGGTGGCAGACGTTTGCACCATCTTTAAAACATCCATACTAGGTATCAAACCATCGCGTAAATAAGCAAGGTTTAAGCTGCGGGTTCTCCCAGTTGGTCTCAATAGCCTTCTGATCTTTCTAGTCATTTCGAAGAACATCAGCAACGTCATGTGCCTACCCCCCCTTTGCCTCATGTACCAAGGCAGTATTGTGAAACATTGTGCCTCCATTTGAAAGAATCAGAAGGTCACAGTTTCGTCTGATCAGGAGAGAGGGTGTGATAATTCCTGTTTCACATGCTGGATGTCATTCTGTTTGAAATCCTTCCAATTCATTCGATCAAGGTCTAACTTCTCGGTTTAAATAATCAGCTTCTTGCACAATACCCAGTAAGGCAAGATGGACCCTGCCGTAGCTGGTCCATACAACGGACGATAAACCATTCCTCTGTCACTACAGGGAAGATGCAAGAATAGCTGTAGCCTCAGAAGTAGTGCTAGTTGTATGACCGATTGCAATTATACGAAGTTCTCGCCAGGCCATGCATTTTGCATGGGTCTAGTCGACGAGAGTTGAAGATGCTAGATCGTTAACCTGGCTTTACTCAGGCACAATACCTTATCTTGCACAAGCTGGCTCAAAAAGGAAGCCGCCATGGCAGTTTAACATGCAAGCTGGAAAAGTATCCTATCACTCAAGACCCCTGCGCAGTTTGTACAGCCGTACCTCACGACCTAGCAGTAGTTGCATCGCCAGCGAGATTCTCAAACAGTGCCCTTGCCCCTATCCTTCTCCTCTCGCTCTTCCAGCCCGTACTCCGTTTCCAGCTCCTTGCGCAACTTGATCTCCTTTTCGAAAAAGCTCAATACAAAAGCCAAAGCCCCAATGGAAATGCCAATCATAAACACTTTCTTCAATGCTTTCGAAAACACGTCAATAATCTGATCCCTCACCGGCGACGGGAAACTCTCAACAAAAGCCTTGGTCGCGCTCGCGTATGCGTCTCCGCGAGTTAGAATCTCCCTGGCCGCCGCGTCGTCGACCTCTGCAGCATACGAAGATATATACGAGTTGAAGATAGCGGCAGGGATAGCTACGCCCCAGACATTTCCGAGACTCCGGATAAACGACCAACTCGCCGTCGCAGAGGCCTGGTCCGTTTCGTTCAGACCAGCTTGAAAGGCCGGCAGAAGCGTGTTCAGGAGCATCCCCGAGCCTATTGCAGGCACAACCTGCACCAGAACCCACACCGCAAGGTTGCTGTGGCGATCTAGCAACGTCCAGAGGCCGAATCCGACAACCATCAGCGCGAAGCCGGTGATGTGGAGGGCCTTATACCGGCCCCACTTCGATAGGATCACTGCCGAAACGGCTGCTCCCGGGATGCCAATCAAGGTGATGGGCAGGAGCTGCACGCCTGACCTCGCAGGTGACGAGAGTTGCACAGCCTGGAAGTACAGAGGTAGGAAGAAGAATGCCCAGTAGACTGCCGCCGAATTGAGAAACGTCGTCACATACACGACTGCGGAGGTCCGGTTCATAAATAGGCGGAGTGGCATTACCGGCTCCGGGACCAGTCCCGACCCCTCGAACGCACAAAAGCCGGCGAGACCTGCTATACTTAAGATGAGAGGTACGAGGATGCGGTATGAAGACCAGGGGTATACCGCCCCTGCCCATGTGAGCGCGATTAGGACGGACACCGTGGAGGCAATGAGGATTCCGTTGCCTATGAAATCGATCCGACGAAGTTTATCGGCAACGACGGTGGTTCGATCCCACTTGACGTGGAGGAACAACCAGAGTAGAACAAGAGAGATGCCGCCGATTGGAAGGTTGATGTAGAATACCTGAATTTGTGAGCTTTGCGCCCCCCGTACACGAACAAATATGAGAGACTGACCCATCGCCAAGACGTATTCTGTACGATAATGCCACCCACAAACGGCCCAATAGCCGTTCCGACACCGTAAATAACCAAGATGACGGCAATGTAGTTTCCCCTTTCCCTGAGAGGGACGAGGTCGAAAATGATTACGTCGACAATCATGTTGATGCCGCCGCTGCCGGCCCCCTGAATGGCGCGGCCGGCAATCAACATCGCGGGGCTATTCGCGCCGCCGCAGATACCGCTTCCGAGGGTAAACAGAGCTACGATGAAAAGCGTTAGGTACCTGCGGCCGAACAAGTTTGAAAGCTGTCCGAAAAGAGGCTGGACGGCGGCACTAGAAGAACCACAGGTTAGCAAAACCTATCTTTCCTGGGGGGGGGGGGGGGGGGGGTTAACTAGAACGGCGAGTTACCCTGTGAGGAAAAAGCTGTTGGCAACCCAGACATAGCTGCTTCCGAATTCCAACTTCTCGACAATTGTTGGTAGCGATGTGACGATTACGGTGTTCTCCAACGACGCCAAGAGAGAGGTGATGCAGAGCGCAAACAAGATAGCCCAGAATCGGTAGTCCTTCTTGTATGACTTCGAGGGCGCCGCGCCAGAAATATCAACTTCCTTTTCGCCTTTCTCGTTAACGCTGGAACTTGTCGCTTCCGCAGGCAAGATAACTGATTCCGGGGGTTCTTTCTGAACATCAGCTGCTGCTACATTCGCTGGAGGCTCCATTGTGGGAGTCCGGTCATATTAGGTCTACAATGGAGGTGACTGATTCTTGTATTCGGAATGGATTACTCATGGTCGATTCCCTTTTCCTACGCTGTCGCATGCGCATATTTATCGTAGTTCTCATTAGGAGGGTTTCCAAAGACACCCACTGACTAAGCTGCTGACGGCGGGCAAAATTGGACTCCCAGGCTAAGATTCGGAGGCTTTTCTGGCATGCAGGTCACCAGAGCCCGATTGGATGACCAAGTTTTGCCGATTCAACCTGACTGATGCTTTGGGGCAGATTAACCATCCCAGATAGGTCTCTCGTAAACATGGTCGTCCTTGAGGCATGGGTGATTTGCTATCAAACGCAATCAATGGCCTATCAAATTAACACAAGCTAGCAACTGATCTTCCCTTCTACACACTCAAGTTGAGCAAGACTGGTTTTGTCAACAATCACTTAAAGATATTTGCTGTACCCGTAGTTTGGATACTGCCCGACGTCGACGTCGTACCCATTGTACGCATATGAAATCGCAGGCCCAGAAGTGACTCCTACAAAGCCGCCACCAACGATGGCATCTTCCTCAATGGGATCAACCAGTTGGCCCCCTTTTACGCGATTTGCAAGCTCCGTCAGTTCCCTAAGCAGCACACTAGCCGCGATGACCCGGAAGCTATGTATTGGAGGCGTGCGTTCGTCGGCGGCATTTCCCTCCTGTAGCAAGTCCGCCATAAAACAGGCGTACGACATTTCCAGTGCCTCTCTGTTTGTTTCTAGTCTTCGATCTATACCATCTCCATCCTCTCGAGAACCGGGAGCTTGGCTATAATCGGAGTCGACCGCCGAAGTTCCAAGGCCGCCTTGACCCGCGCGTCGCGGCCTCTGACGTATCTGCGCCACAAGCCACTCGCAAAGACGATCAAACGCTACCTTGAGCTTCTTAGAATTGTCTTTTTGCCGCCGGGTCTGTGAGCCAGACCTATTGAAGATGCTGCCACAAAAGACTTCGACTTCAGTCAACGGCTTCATGTAGCTCTCCGAGTATTCAACCATGAAGTTGGAAATGGTGTCTTCATATCTTTTAACTCTGTCAGTGAGACGGTATCAGAAAAAAAGGCAACCCTTACATGTCACGAAGTCTTTTTGCGTCATCTCGCTTCGTCTTCCATGACACTCTCCCTTCGCTATAGACATCAACCTTGCGCTGTATAAGACCAGCTAGTTGACTCCATACTGATGGCCCTGACTTCGAAACGATTGTGCGAATGTCTTCATCCCATATCTTTTTCTCGTCCACATTGCGGAAGAGTACTCCCAGTATTTTCTCAGATTTGTAATACGAATAACTAGGACCACTCATATCTTCATCGTCATCGGATGCTTCATTGTCATCGTCCATGAGTTCTATTTGTTCTCGATCATATAAGCGTGCAGGCGGTGCGGGAGCGAAACTGGGCAGTCTGTAAGTGAACGTGTAACAGCTCAGGGTATGGTCTTACAAGTCAGGCCGCGCTCGTCCAGCTTTTGGAATTTCACTTGGATTGACAGGAATACCAGTTTTCGAGAAGTCAACAGCCGTTGAGTGCATTTCGGCAAGTTTGAGACAGTCTGGACTAAAAGTTCCTTTGGGGTTTTGGTCTGCCAAGATCAAGTGCCTATTCGCAATTGAACCTAACACATCCGACTTCATGAAGTCTACAAACCAATTGGCCATATCTATTGTTTGCACTTGTCTGCCAAGAGATGGAGGGACCACTCGAGCATAATCGGCAGCAGGTGAAACATACTTGGGTATAGCGTCTGGATCCCAAATAATATTATAAAGATCACCATCTAGATCTCCGCCACTGAGTTGGCTGGGAAGGTCGCGGCATCCATGCTGGCTGAAAACGATGCAGTTTCTGAGGTTCCGTAGAGGATGGTCCCGCGGTGGTGTTCGCATTTGAGCGACCTGGATGTCGCCAGGATGCAGAGCCGGTGAACGCGTGACAAGGACGGCGCCGTCTCTCAGGGAGTCCCCAATGACAGGCTTGCTACGACGCCGAGGCATGTCATAGCAGACATACACTTCACCTTCGCCCAAAAACCCTGTCTCGTCCATTATTCCAAAGAGGGTGACACCCTGGGGAACCGGGATCCTCGCTTTGTGCTTGAGCAGTCTTAGCTCTCGGAGAACGGTGGATTCTACGACGGTGCGTAGAAAGTCATCTTGGCGGTAGTCAATTTCGTATCTGTCAAGACTGCGGATCAAAGCTGGGAGGAAGCAGTTCAGACCTATGCCCTGCATGTGCAAAAATGTACCGGTATTGTAAGGCTTGGCCGTCACAGCCCGCAGCTGATCAAGCTCCAACTTTTGCAACCGACGGAAAAACTGTTCTGTGACACCAAGATCTTCCATGATCTTGATCATCTGGCGATTCAAAACCAACTTGAGTGGTTTCGAGGCTGTGTCGCAGATTTCGAGGTTTTCGACGTCCTTGCTTGGGAACTTTTCCATAGATTCTTTCCGAATACACATTACACGCCCCGAGAGTCTTGAATCCAAGGAGAGCATGCCTTTGACGCCACCCCAGCGAATCTGGAGACATGTTGGATTCGAATGTTTTTGCGGAAGGTGAGACCAAATCAGTTCGAGGGCCTCTTGTGATATTGTTCCTACTCCATCGCTGAAAACACGCTCGATTTGACCCCTTGTAAACTTGACGTCGGGTACGGCTCTCCACCCAATATCATTTTCAGTGAGGGAGACAAATGAAGGGGTTTCTGAAAAGGCTTGTCCGATTCGAGCTGCGCACTTGGCTGGGATTTGAATTTGTTCGAAATCGCCAAGGGATCGGATAATCTTTGCGCAGAATTGTAGTGTACCGCTGTCATCAACAAAGGGCGCGGCAAACCAGACAGAATGGGACCTTAACGATGAATGAGAAAAGCCCAAGAACTTGTAAACACGCCCGGCAACCGGAATACCCTTTGTAAGCACGGCTGTGAAACGTTGGAAAATTTCATCGTTCGAGATCTTTGGGTTGAATAACAGATTGGTGCCGTCTTCATCGCAAAATTGAACTCTCATAAAGTAGTCCGTGTGCTTGGAAAATTTGCGCAAAACTCGGTTTGATGAGTCCAATTCTGGTCCATGGAGTGTGATTCTTGTCGGTGTCACTGTGGCCTTGAAAATAGGTACATGATGATCGAGCGTCTCTGTGCGGAACAAACTATCTCTGTAGTCGGCCTCATCTTGAATGCGATCCTCCATCTCGAGCAGGGAACTGAATATCCCCGCAGCATCCAGTGACTGAGGGTCGGTGTCGTGGACGGGAAACGGTAAGCTGTCTCGATACCCGTCCCGCAGATTCCGTATGGTATTCTCGGAAAGCGGTTCGGGCTGCTTGGCTGCCTTCGTCTTCTTGAAAAGTAACTCGATTTTGATAACCAACTCAAAAGCGACAAAAGGGTGTAGAAAGTTATTCCATACCAAAGATTGTACGAGGAACAGAAGGCGAAACGGCAAACTTCTGTTCGCGCCTATAGTAGAAATGTGGTCGTAAAACAGTTCCCATGTCGTTTGGTAGTCGTGTGTTTTTGGTTTAGGATTCTGATCATGGGCGATGTGAGAATGTGCGATGTTAAACATACTCCTCTTTTCCAGAATTTTCAGCTTGCGATGGTAATCCGGATCAACCACTCTGATTTGGTATACCAAACAGCTGCCGGCGTATGTGGCATGGGCTGGGTCGTCCGGGATACTGGTACAACGTAAAAATTGTTTCTGTTGGTGATAAGGATGTCCATACAGCATCTGAGTGGAAAGTAGTTCAAGAGGCGATTTTTCCTTGTAGAAACGTGGGGGCTCTGTTAACACAACAGTAAAGGTGCAAGAGGTCGAGGAATTGATCATGGCAAAGATGGAGGAGTAGGGGATCTCAATCTTGGTAACTTCTCCGACGTTCAAGACCAAAAGCCTCTTGCCAAATTTAGCATGACCCCTAGAGAACAAGCAGTGTTGTTCGACAAAAGTCAATTCCTGAGCCTCGTTTCGGAAAGAGTTGTGACCGCATTTCAATTCTCTAATTGAAAACACGATGGGACTGTTATTGGCACGGGAATCAGGCTGATTGCATTTTTTTGCTTGATCTCCAAAGCCGTCACGAAGACGTTTGATCTCGAAAGGGTCTGGGTCCCTCTTGCTCTTAGAGGCATAGACTGGGATGTTCATCAGATGAAGGTTAGCCTTATCTCTGGACCTTTTGTTCCTCATGTTGCTGGGAAACAAGACAGGAGGAGTATTTGGCGCCTGGTTGAAGATTGAGATTGTGGGGTCTGAGAGCGGCTGCTTGCCATGACGGGAAAGGAAATCGACACCATCCTTCGGGTTTAGGAAGATAACCCATCCGATATCTTTTCTGTTCTTGGACAGGAAACAAGACCAGTCGGTGATGCCCAAAGCGTTCATATATGGCCTCAGCTGGTGACCCAGAGTACGGTCTGTCAACGGTTGGGGAAGATTGGCTAGAAATACTTCCATGGTGGTGAGTTTGTTGGTACCTTTCCGAATGAAGGCAGTTTTGATATTATAGGTACACTATAGTAAAGATATGTCTATTGAGGACGGGCATTTTGGAAGCTACTGAAGAAAATGTCCTAGATCGATAGCATAGAACACAAGCGTACTTTTGTTGGTTTATAAGGCTAAAGTTGAAGTTCAAACCAGAACCTGAGCTGCGTGAGTGCACATATGTGGACGTCACCACAGAGAAGCTCATGGAAGCTTGGGAAAGCAGTTTGGGCTCCAACGGAAGCTTCACTGTTTGATTAGCTGCACGTCTGTTTGTCCATCTGCGTTGTCCTTGCTGATGAGGCTGGCTTCAGATGCTGTACCGCTTGAAAAAGGTTAGTCTGTCGGTTTCATGTGGGGACAAGGATCCACCTTCCCCATAAAAATGAGCTCCCGTCCAACCAACAATCAACCCCCTGCAGAAGGCACGACACCCTTTGGGCGGTTTGGGCTGTGCCTTTCCGATATGAGGCAAGAAGCACCCGTACCTTGACGGAGATGCACCTGCCCACTCGATTGCTGTAATGCTAATGATGGCTGTGGAAGGACCGTTTGCCTGATGAGTAAATCGCAATGGCAGGAAAGAACATGGGACTGCAAGGCTTTACCTGGGACGGACGGCACTTTCCCTCAGCGTCAAATATAGGGTACAAGGAGCACGGGCAATTGAATTTCCTTGTGTTTGGCACTTTTCTTCCCCTTTTCAATGTGCTCACCCGTTTAAAGTTGGCCAAAACTAGACATGCAACAACACCAAGATTGAGCCAAGAGATGACCTGCGATGATTACAATCAATTGTCAAAAAAGAAGAAAAGAAGCATTCCAATTCCACTCATCTTTGTTTTCCACGCCACGACGCAGCCAAAAATCCATCTTCCGAGTCAGCATTCAATACAAAACGCGACCGACATCGCTGCACCTCTCAGGAAAAATCATCAATCGCATTAGTCGATCTAAAATGTGGTGGCAGAATGCTTTTCCGCCCACGTCCTGAATATTTATTCAGGCGACCCAGGGTTTCTGCTGCCCCTCCTCCGCAGAGAACATCACTAACGCCAGTACCCCAATCATTAGCTGTAATCATAAGGCGGTTGGCCGTTGATTGATTAGCTGAACCGAAACTTTATCTCCAACTACCAATTGAACGGAAGGTTTATCCATCATCTGAGCCGAAAGTTTATCCTTTGTCACTGCACCCACCACCTGGTATGACCACAGGTGCCGTACTATCATCCCGAAGCTCAGGACCCTCCCCCCAAAATTGACCCCGCGTTCGTCATTTGCCCCACTCTCGCTCCAGCAACCGCACCGAAGTCGCCGTTGAAGATAGATTCTCGACGATTCCTAAATACTCGTCGTCAATTCCTTTCTGTCCAAGCTTGAGGTGAAGCACCAGATTAATTGGTACTGAAGCAAACACAATGGCGAACCCGGGAATGCTCTACGTTACTATGCAGCCGAAGCCTGAATTGGCTATCGAGCAGTTCCACGAGTGGTACAACAACGAGCACGGCCCAACCCGTCTGCGTCTTCCCCAAATCTTCACCAACGGCCTGCGATACCAGGCCAATGACGGCCAAGAACCGACCTTCCTCGCGACCTACGACGTTACCTCCATGTCCCACTTGGAGACTCCTACATATACCACTCTTCGCGCTAACCGTTCTTCCCGCGAGGCTGAGACCATTGGCCAGGTCGACGTGACGAGATACTTCTTCGACTTGGTAATCGAGCGCAAGGCCCCTTTGTTCCTGCCAATTGAGCAACTCTCCGACAAGGAGGCTGAGGGGCTGGAGCTTGTTGCTGTTCAGACCACTCTTCACGACGAGTCTGGGGAGGCAGAGCTTAAGAAGTGGTACGAGGAGGAGCACATCGACATGCTGTCCAAGGTTCCTGGCTGGCTGAGGACGAGGGTCGTCAAGGTCTCTAGTCTCGGCGACGGCGCCGGTTCCAAGACGACCTTCTTTGCCCTCCACGACTACGCTCGTCAAAACGGATTGGGAGGTCCTGAGCACAAGGCTTCCATGTCTACGAAATGGGGCGGCGAGATCGTGTCCAAGTATGTCAAGGACAAGAGCCGCCGCACCTACAAGCTCTTCTACGTCTTTGGCCCGGCGCCCCGTGATTTGTCCAACTTGGCAAAGCTACCAGCTTCTACTGCTAGCTGGACCTCGCCGGATGGCAAGACGAAGACTGTTCCTGGACCCAATGAAGTCATCAGCTCATATATCACGGCAGAGGACAACCTTTCCATCCCCTACAGGCTTGAGGGCAACCCCTCACCTGACGCACCGACAGTTGCCTTCAGCAACTCCTTGTTGACGTCGTTGCACATGTGGGATTCTCTTGTTGAAATCATCAAGCAGAAGCGCCCTGATCTGCGCATCTTGCGTTACGACACTCGAGGTCGGCATGCGATCCCCAATCCCCCAGTGCCTGCGACATTGGATCTGCTGGCGTCTGATCTGCGCACCGTCCTCGACGCTCTCCGCATTCCCAAGCTGCACGCACTTATCGGCGTATCAATGGGAGGTGCAACCACTACCAACTTTGCACTCAAATATCCCAATCGGTTGAAGAAGTTTATCGCGTGCGACTTCAACGTAACATCGAGTGCTGCCAATACTCAGGCGTGGAAGGACCGCATTGCAGTGGCTGAGGAGGACAGTGGAGCTGGCATCGCGAAGCTGGCGCAGCAGACGGTGGGTCGGTGGTTCCACCCCGCAACGATGGAAAAGGAGAATCTCGTCAAATCAATGACGGATATGGTGGCCACCAACGACGTGGTCGGTTTTAAATACAGTTGCCAGGCGCTGTGGGATTATGACCTCAAGCCGGCATTGAGTTCTTGCCAAGTGCCGGGCTTGCTCGTCGTCGGAGACGGTGACGGCAAAGGCGCCCTCGTCAAGGCAATGGACGGCTTTAAGGGCTTGGTGGGCGAAAATGGTGTCGAATTAAAGATTGTGCCCAACGCTGGTCATCTTCCAATGTGGGAAGACCATGCGGCATTTTGGGAAGCAATTCAGGAGTTCCTCTAGAAAAGCAACTACCGCCGAACGCATCCCAGGTTTGGTTAAACAATTCAGAGTTTGTTGCAAATAATGTCTGTTGTTAAGTGTGGGTGGGAGGGAAACGTGATGTGATCGATCGACCATGATGTGCCGGCTCTCCAACCGAACAAAGATGTTCCTTGCGGATTAGGCCTGGGCGGCCCAGGCCCATACACACCGCCGTTGTCATCATGTTGAGCGGCCAGGCGTCGAGCCCGTACGTGGTCAGGAAGGCTTGACGATAACAGAAGTTTATTTAAAACATGTGCTAACCCCAGAAGAGTCAACGCCAGGGGGTTACGATTTGCGCCGTTAGGGACTTTGGTTTAAGCGACAACAGCCCTGCAAGTGCAGTGGCAGTCAGGGATGTCGCACAGTAACGCCGTCAGCTAGCATGGTGTCGCCAACCAGCATGGTGCAGGAGGTGGCCTCATGTACTTCGTACACTACCATGAATCACGGCAAGATGGGGGAACCCGAAAGCTACCTGTAAGCGACCAGCGCGAGAGCTGACACCCTGATTGAAGGGTGTCTGTCTTATCTGGGTTGTGATGATCCAATGCTGACTGACGGTTAACAACAGCCGCCGGTGACTGGCTGCGGGAATGCAGGCCCGTTTCATCGAAAGTGCCCTCGGACGAGACGCTGAAGGGATGATGAGATGAAAATCACAATTGACCAAGTCTCGGCGCATAAAGAAGAAACGGTTTGGCGGCTGTCGTGTTCATCTCGACTACAGCATTGACGCAAGGAATTGCCCGATAGAATATCAATAATTACCGGGGCCCATGGAAAGGGGAACAATAACGGGAAAGAGAAAAAAAAAAAAACCATTAAAAACGTGGGCGGCAAGTGTGGATCAATAATCCAGGGGTAACGGAATATGGAGTCCAGCACCACACCTTCATCACGGTGTTGGACCGAACTGAGACTTATTCTTCTTCGTTGGTCAGTTGATGAATGGTTGGGAAGAAGAATTAGGTGGGTAAATGGGTAACGGCACGGCACAAACGGGTATCGAATATCGTCACCAACTGCTTGACACTAAGGAAGAAGAAAGTAAAGAGGAGGTAAATACTTTCGATGCTAGAGCAGTGAGCTGACATGGTTACAGGCCAAAAAAAAGAAAAAAAAAAAAAAAGGGCGAGGCACTGGCGTGGGCAGGATAGTGACAGTAACGGGTATATGCCCCTTGGCGTAAGCATCTTGTTCCGCACACGCAATCAATCACGCACTGGCCTAGCGGCTGTAGGGTGGGGTACGGGGCACATGCATCTACAATAATGATCTACCTTACCATATTAAGGGCGCTAGGAGGGTCCGTTTCATACACGCGCCATGTCTGAAGTTCCGGTATGTTGCTGTGTGCTACTGTAAACGGCAAGTTTGCAAGTCATAAACCTCAGGCATTTCTGACTAACACTCTATCTCTTGGCTCTTTTCAGGCCCTCGCTTATGGTTGGCCATGCTGTACGAGGACCAGGTTCGTGACTTGTTTGTCCACCATGTCCCCTACGGGACCCCCTGTTGAGAGCTGGGACGCCGCATTGGGGGGAGAGCAAATGTAATAGCCAACATACCATCCGAACCCATGATAACAACTCCATCATGACCGTCACCTTCCCTGTGGCGCTCGATCCCTGTTGCGATCCTGGTTCTAGCCCCTGGGTCACACTAGTGATCTCCGTTGCGATGGTGGCAGAGGAACCTGAACGGAGCGTGCTGGACCCAGGCGTAGACGCCGCAACGCGGTCAACAACAGTGGATCAAGAGTCCATCTCATCTTTTCCAGACCGGCTGCCCTTCCAAATCGGATGTTCCATCCGCGTGCGGTGATGGTCCCCCGGACTTGACCGGGTGCCACACCCCAAAATTCCACCACTCCGGTTTGCATATTGGTGTTTCGGTCTTATGAAGTTTCTTCATCTCCACCGTCTGTGTCTTCCAGGGTGAGGGCGGCTCAGCCATGATTGCCTGAAAGGTGTTGGAAGGTTGAGAGAAAGTTGGAAAGGGGTGTGTGGTGTGTGCCTTTTCCCATGGCGAGCTCGATGAGATAAATACAGAGACGACGCCCTCGCCATAAACTCTGTTTTCTTCCTGTTCAGCATCCAACATTGCAAGGTCGCACACTCTTTGGTTTCTTACCACTTTCATTCTTTTTTCATCATCAACCGTCAGTTCTTCACTGTGTGAAGCTGGGACATTCTTTTGCAAACCACTTTTACATCCTCTTCGAACAACAAGCTCATTCTTTCAAACCCTCCTCCTTTTTTCAGGAAATCCAACCGTTTTTTCATCCAAACAAAATGCCTTCCTTCAAGAACACCGTCGCCCTTGTTGGCGCTTTCGCCGCTAGCGCTCTTGCCCACGGTACTGTCACCGGCTACACCATCGACGGTGCCTACGTCGAGGGTTACAAGCTCGACTACTACTACCTCAAGAAGAACGGCGGTACCCCTCCCTCCATCGCCGCCTGGTCTGCTGAGAACCTCGACAACGGCTTCGTTGCCCCTGCCGACTACGGCAAGGTCGACATCAACTGCCACAAGAACGGTGCTCCCGGTGCCTCCTCCGTCAAGGTCGCCGCCGGCAGCAAGGTCGACTTCCACTGGTCCGCCTGGCCCGAGTCTCACATTGGCCCCGTCCTGACCTACGCCGCCAAGTGCACTGGCGAGTGCTCCGCCGCCGACCCTGCCTCCCTCAAGTGGGTCAAGATCGATGAGGCCGGCATCAACCTGTCCACCCAGGAGTGGGCTGCCACCACCCTGATCAAGAACAACAACACCTGGTCCGCCACCATCCCCTCCTCCCTGGCCGCCGGCAACTACGTCCTCCGCCACGAGATCATCGCCATGCACGGCGCCGGCTCCGAGAACGGTGCCCAGAACTACCCCCAGTGCATCAACGTCGAGATCACTGGCTCCGGTTCCGCCAACCCCGAGGGTACCCTCGGCACCGCCCTGTACAAGTCCACTGACGCCGGCATCCTCTTCAACCCCTACACCACCCTCGAGTCCTACGAGATCCCCGGCCCTGCTCTGTTCGGCGGCTCTGGCTCTGGCTCTGGCTCTGGTTCCGGCTCTGGCTCTGGTGCTACCCCCACCACCCCCATCAACGGCACCACCCCCGCCGTCCCTACCGCCTCTGCTTCCGCGACCGCTGTCGCCGACTCTGGCGATGACGACGGCTGCGCTTCCAAGAAGCTCCGCCGCCACGCCCGTGACCTCTTCAAGCACTAAGCAGGGAAGAGTCGCTATGGTTTGATGGTAAAAACCTGATGGAAATGAAAGGAAATATTCCGAAAAAAACATACCATGAATGAGCTTTGTTCGTTTCTCGCCTTACATGTAAATAGATTTATACCCGGTGTATATATCGCTGCAAGCAACCACACCCCCCCTTTTTTTTAGCCGACCTCTGGCAATCTGGCGCGGGAATCCTTTTTTCTTCCCCTCCCGTCGCTGGTTGTTTTTAAGATTAGCAATGTACAAACTGTTCATAAATGTCTCTCATTTGAAATGCTTGTGATTGTGAGTGTTGTGATCAACGGATGAATGAGATATGAGTCAGTCATTCAAATGTGACCGTTTTGAGTTTTGGAATAGGAACGTGCCAGGCACAAACACAAACGGGCGTAATTCAACCTGGGCGTTGAAAAGTGTATAAGCGAAGTGTAAGAGTCAAAAACAGGTTTCTTCTTCTTCTTCTCGAGTGTGTGTGCTCCTGTCAAAGTGTCAGCCGTCCAGAAGAGTCGTTTCCAAACGATGGGTGTTCCAGAGCAAACTTGGTAAACTTTTCTTGCAGAACAGGAGGGGGTGAGCGTCCATGTCAATCATATAAGTACTTTTTGCTGGACCACGTGTGGTGGAGCTGGTTTGAGCAGATTTGAGGTCGAAAGAGCTGTAAATGGAACGAAACTGCCGCGGGGGTGGAAATATGCCCGCCCCCCTTACGCGCCACCGGTTGACGTGGACTTTATCCGTGGTCATGCACTTCCCCTTCCCCTCGGCGCGTGATTGCCGTGTGGCCTTCAAATCTGGCTAGAATTCTGGGGTTGAACGACAGCTGTAGAAAGTGTAGCCGGGCGGGTTTACAGGGTGACTCGCTTCTTGTCGTGCCGTGTCTGGTTTCTCAACGGTTGTGTCGGCACAGGGCTGATTGTGTGATTGTAGGGGGGAAGGGGCGGAGGAGGTCGTTGTTAAGCTGTTGATTGTTTCGTTTCGTGCGAATGACTCGGCTGTCGTATCCGGGTCGGAACTACGCGTTGTTCCCTACTTGTTTTTTTTTTCCTTGTCAATATTATAACTGTTGTCGTCCGAGCTTGCGAGGATGCTGCTATAGTGTGTGTTACTGCATATACATGGATCAACGTCGATCATATCGTACATTGTATAACCGATTGCCATCACATAAGGACGGGACACATGTTCGCAGTCACGTGCGGATAAACTACCTTAACAGGACTGCAATGTCTTATTAATGTTTCTCGGCTTACGGCTTTGTGGTGAATGGATAATTGCCTAGGCCGACTTAAATGGTCGGAGACGAGGGTCATGTCACTACCACGAACAGACCGTCGTTGTTGTTCTAGGGACCATGCTACTTTCATCCATGATCAGCTCATGGATATTCTCAAATCTACTGGCCATTCCCAACGCTCCCACAATATTAGAAGCCTCATACTGCTACACCGGAAGCCTCCGTCAGACACCTCCTCATGTATTCAATATCACCCCTCAGCTTCTCCGACCGCATCACATAGCCAAGCCCGGCTGGACGAAGTTGGTCACGAAGAATAGCTCCCTGCTGCGCGGACATGACTGCGGCGTGCGATAGAGTGTGATGCGTGGTTGTTGACAGGCCAAGCAGGCGTTCTGACGTGTCCAGCAAGCTGGTGATGATCTGGGTGAAGATAACTCCCTGAAGGTTGCCGTCTCCAATGGAGAATGCGCCAAACTTGAGACCCTCAATCGGCATTAACGGGTCTTCTGCCAGGGACTCGAGTCTTCTGTGGATGTGCAAGCAGATGACCTCGAACAGTTGGATAATCTGAATGTAGCAGCTTGTAATTACTAAAGCGAGAGGTGCATCGACTACCTCTGTTGCAATAGGCCTGGCGGAATGTGCAACAGGTAGTTGTAGTGGGTTGTCATCTGGGAGCATGATTAAGTCGAACGTGGCCGGCACCTCGCTGCATGCATCCCATGACAAAGGCGGAAGAGTGCGGTTGTTTTTCAGGGTTAACAAATCTTCCGAGCTCCTGATTTCTTTGCCCAGAGACGAGACAACCCTAACGAAATCCTGGAACAAGATCAGAGCGAGCTCGGCAACAGTGACGTTGGCAACGCTCAAGATGGGTTTCGCGCAGATAAACGAGCACAGGTCAAGGCTGTCTCTGTGGAGATTGACCTTGGACATATGGGAGTGGAGTTCAACGTTGATTTTCGATAGCTTGACCATCGCTTTGTGTTGAATGTCGGGGCTTATAACCAGCCGCTGCGCGATGTTGGCACCCGGCGACTCAGTAATATTCTCGACAGCGTCAAAATCCAGCGCCGTTTCACCCCATGAAAAGTCACCGAGGAGTGCATCATCGTCAACTTCATCTCCTAGCATCGCCGCCGTAGCTTGTGATGTTGCCGCAGATGACTCCTCTGTTATTGTGAAATCATTAAATAGGCTATCGGGAGTCTCAGTCTGGATCTGTTTGTCTGTTGAAGTATTCATCGGATCGTCGCTATCATTATTTGAGGCCGGCGTCTCCTTGGGCTTGCCTCGCGAAGGCCGGCCGATCCGTCGCTGCTGACCAGCAACGCAAGAGAAACCCAACCTCGCACATCGCGAACAACGTGCCTCGTCAGCGTCCAGGCGGGAACATCGCAGCTTTTGCCGCCGGCATCGCTCGCAAGCTAATCGCTTCTGGTTCGGATGGGTCAGAAAAGTCATGTCTGTCGCGTGTTGTTCAGTTCACTACGCTTTTGATGAAATCAGCCTCGTTCGGAAATTGAAATACTATCAGCAGACGCATTCGGAGGCTTCTCCCCGCCTGAGGCGTTCGGAGGCTTTCTCAGCAACTAGTTCCACTTCGGCTCCGGCTCGGATCCGTAGCGGGCGGGAAGCCGGGCCGCGGGTTCACATGGCGTTATTTTACACCGCCTCAGCCAATTGCTTACGCCATGGCATTAGGTTAGGTTCATGGCTATTCGTCGCACCATTTTTGAAGGTTAAGGTACCCGACCCTTTGTAGGTTTCGAGGTGGGTGCGGGATGGTGCTGCTCCGATTGCTGCACCAGCTAGCCAATCCGGCCCCTTCGCAACCGCAACCCCTCATCCGCTTCGGTCATGAAGTCTCGTCGATCGCGCCGCGTGACCTCAACAGAATACTTTTGTTCTGCCAACACGAGCAGATCTGCCCGTTCTGCTCTGGATTCTCAACCTTGGTTCTTGCACCAACACGTTGTTCTCCTACGTTGCAACCCGGCAGTTGTTACGATAGTCAACATCTGCTGTATCCGATGGAGGCGAACGAGAAACAAGACGTAAATTCCAGCCAAACGGAGGAACCTCCTCTTGAAAAATGGAATGAAACCCGCACGAATGCGTTTCGTTACCTCGTCACTTTGTATAGTTTTATTGTGATGGGAATGAATGATGGTGCGATTGGCGTGAGGCTCCTAAAATCTTAGACGCTAGATTGTAGCTGACGGATTAACAGGCATTGCTTCCATACGTGAGAAACACGTTCATGCAGTAAGATCCATCGCCGTCGCTAACTAATTCATAGATTGAGACTTACTACAAAATCTCATATACCATCGTGTCCCTGTTGTTTCTGTCGCCGTTTGTCGGATACATAATAGCCGCCTTGTCGAATAACTTCATCCATCACAAACTCGGCCAGCGAGGAATCGCCATTATTGGGCCCCTCGGGCGAACCCTCGGCTTCCTTCCTCTGGCGTTGCACCCACCTTACCCTGTCTTACCATTTGCCCTCTTAATCGCTGGATATGGCAACGGTCTCGAGGATAGCGGCTGGAACGCCTGGATCGGCAACATGCAAAATTCCAACGAACTTCTCGGTTTCCTCCACGGCGCGTATGGCCTAGGGGCTGCAGTCGGACCTCTCATCGCGTCCGCCATGGTTACCAAGGCCAACATGCAATGGTACACCTTTTACTACGTGATGACTTCCATGACCGGTTTCACTTTCTTTCTCACAACAGCCGCTTTCTGGACAGCAACGGGAAAAGTCCACAGGGAGAAGCATCCATCCTCGACGGATGGTGCCAACCACACCTCAACAGCGGCTGTGATACGTAAGCCGATAACATGGCTTCTTGCATTTTATCTTCTTGCGTACGTGGGCGTCGAAGTTGCGCTAGGCGGCTGGATTGTGACATTTATGCTGCGGGTAAGGCACGCTGAGCCGTTCCTCGCTGGCATCACCACCGTGCTCTTCTGGTTGGGGCTGACCCTCGGGCGTCTTGTACTGGGCTTCGTTACCGGGCGGGTAGGAGAGAAGCGTGCCATCGCCATCTACGTGTTTTTGTCCGTGATTTTGCAGCTATTGTATTGGCTCGTGCCAAATTTTGTGGCTTCGGTCATCTTCGTCACATTTCTCGGCTTCTTCTTGGGTCCATTATTCCCAGCTGCAATTGTCGCAGCCGCGAAGCTCCTACCTAGCGACAACCATGTCAGTGTCATTGGGTTTGCTGCTGCTTTTGGTGGCGCTGGTGGCGCCATCATTCCGTTCGGAGTCGGGGCCATCGCGAATAGCAAGGGCGTTTGGGTACTGCAACCCATTGCTTTAGCAGTTCTTGTGGTACTTCTCGCCTTGTGGGTGTGCTTCCCGGGAGGGTATCGGAAGGGTGGGCTTGAAGAAGCGAGGAGGAATAAAGAACCTATTGGGAATGACATTTTGGCGGGATTGCACTGGATATCGAGGCTATTCTCTCGGTCGAAATAGAGGATGGACTAGAGATACAAGGCAAGCGGAGATGTTGTCTCTTTCAAAGCGGAAGTCGAACTCTGTAGAAGATATCTTGAATGGACATCTTCATACGAAGTCCGGTTATCATGCGGTTGGATGGCATTTGAACCAAAATCGAGTTCGAAGTGAGATATAAGCTTGACAGCGACGCCTCAAGAGTAGCCTGGAATATGTGAGTATCCAGGTTCCTAAAATTAGGAGTGGAAAGTGAGAACATTAGATAATGTTCCTGCTATTTCGGATACTGTGGCTGTGTTTCTCAAATGCAATCAAAAAGGCAGTCACAATCAAACTAACCGTTCTTTCCCTCTTTCTTCACCAACCCCGCCCTTTCCTTCTTTGAATAACCACCTGACCAGAAAGTTTTGGCAGTAGCGATGAATTTCCTCTTTCAAAGAGACCTTCCCTACTTGCTCAATTTCAACGTAAGCTTCGCCGGTCCCGAGAGTCCTTCAACTCGGCACCCTGTTGAAAATTCTTTTCGCGCCAGCAACACTTTTCCTGAACAATTCTTTCTAATAATAAATCGACAAAGGAGGATGCTTTTCATTCCTTTCCATCTGACCACGCCCAGGACAATTGAGTCTACACGCATCTAATTCACCACACCCATTTGAGCATATGGATCGACGGTAGCAGAAGGTATGGTTCCGCTGTGCCCATCGAGAACTCCTCAGTCAATTGGATTTCCATTTTCTCATTCGATGCCAATTTCACCCTCAACTCCATCCTTCACCGATCATAGTATTTCCGGCCCGTATTTGCCATTCTTTCACTTCTCGATAAATCCTACCGTCAAGACGCAATGGTCCGGTTCACGGAATCGCCTACAATGACATCCCCTATCAAATTCGACATACCATCTGCTGTTCGCTCTTTCGAACCTTTCCCGAGACTGCCCCCAGAGATCCGACAGCAAATATGGGAGGACGCAGTCCTCGAGCCTGGAATGCACTTCCTTCGCCTCGACACCGACTTTCCCATCATCCGTTGGCCTGCACCGGCGATGATGATGAACTTCCTGAATGACGATGATGATGGCGGCGACGAGAATGCTGCACCGGACTTTTCAAAAGAGACGATACCTACCTCACTTTGGGATACCACTCTACAGCCAAAGTACGCGACGCCAAAGGCCAACATATCCAATTATGTTACCCGCAACGAAACACTGAGCAAGCTTTCTGCCACCTGCTCGGAAGCCCGGGCGGTGGTACAACGACTCACCAGCCAACGTGGATGCCTTCGGTTGAAAAACGGCACTGTTGTGGCTCTGGGATCCTCCTCCGATGTTGTTTGCCTGGACTACCTTCACGCCTACACTTTCCGCAGAGGATGTCGCCTGCTTGTGAATATTCGATGTGAAGAGTTGGAAAACATCAAACGCGTTGCTGTACCATATTGTCACCAATGGGAGGTCCAAAACCCCCTCTTTAGCTGCCCAAGCTGTGGGAATCGTCATCACGGAAGTCACAGGAAGACATATCCGCTCCACTTGTGCGACTTTCTCACCCGGCACCTCCCAAACCTTGAGGCCTTTTACTTTATCGATTACCTAATACTGCCAAAGTGCGAGAGAATCGAGTCGTTTGATGGCGATGAGCCGGTGGCTACTATGTCTGTTGATGGCTCGACACCAGGTTCAAGAGACAAAACAGGCAAACGTAGGTGGTCTCTTGACCCAAACAAGGTATTCTGCTGACGTTTGTGATAGAATTTCGACCGAGAAAATATAAGAGCAATGGCAGGTTGTTCGTGGAAGCAGATCAAGATAACTGGAACGTCAAGTCTAAAGTGTTTGACACCCTGTCCTGGATCCGTAAGAGATTCATCCAGCACGCAACCAACAGCAAGCTCAGCAAGCACACACACCCCCAGGATGTCGACTTCGGCGTTCTGGCCTGTGAATGGGTCAACGACAAGGACGAAATCGCGAAAAAGAGTCATTCTTCGGCCACAAAAATGCAACATATCGGAAGGAGAAAATCATCAAGTCTGAAGAGCGACGGTCACAGTTATGCAGTGCTTGCCAAGCCTTCAGAGCCGGCGGATTCGCCTTCATCCTCACGTCTGCCTGGGTCCGAGGAAAATCGAGCAACTTTTGTCTTTGGCCAAGATGTGGACTACAGCTTCAGCTTCAGAAGAAGTTCTTAGCAATGGCATGTCAGGAAGAATGAAAGGGAGGGATTAATGGCGAGGGCGATGCCCATGATTGTGGGAGCCTAGCAACAGGGGCTTCCTTCTAATTGCCCTATAATATGATGTCGACCAATCGACAACCACAGCACCGACCCGTGTACCCCTAGACACACAATACATAGTAATGATAGCAAACGTTTTTTTAGGGGCTGAGATGATGTGACCTGCGATTTGCTGTATGGGATAGCTGCAGGGTTCGTGGATACTGTCATGCTGGAGTGATTCTGTCTTCTGCCATCCGGATCTCTGCAAGTGAAGTTGCTCAAGTAGAAGGCCAGGCTTGCGTCCTGATGAAAGTTTGCCTCGTTTCTTGCCACTCAAACAGAATGCTTCTCGGAGCAAATGCAATGTCGCCAGCCCATCCTTCGGACCCGTTGAAGGGGGGAGGCGCAGCGGCAAGCAGAGCTAGGGTGGAGGAATACGTGACGTCATCAGCTGAAAGCGCCGCTTGCGTCATTTTTGGCGACGCTAAAAAGTCTCGACGGCTGTCTGGTTGCCTCACGAGATAGAATGCAAGAAAAGAAAATCGTACGATGATAGCTCTGTCAAATGTTCAACATGAAGGGCCAAAAAGTCTAGTCTAGGTCTGGAGGTTTTGTTAAACACAGGGGTCGGGGGTAGGCCCCCTGGTGATGGCGGGAGCAGATTCCCGCTGATCTGTGCTGTTTTAGGGGGGCATTTTAGGGTGCCATGTGCCCCGCTACACACCCGACCGACGCCTATCCTCCCTTGGTTGGCGGCCTTCAGGGTCCAGCCATGAGCGGACTGGATGGGCAAGTTGGTTGCCTTGGATGGGATTTTTGCCAATTCCCGGTTCCAAAAGGATGCCATCTCTGTCGATCTGCCCTTTTCCCCATTGATTTGTTTGCGATATCGGCATTGGTAATTCAACGGAGTGTCGTCTATCGTTTTCACTGCCTGTTGAGAGTCAATGGCATCCCTACTCCCACCATCTATTGAGCTTCTGCACAACATTGGACGGAGACATATCCCCTCTCTCCACCAAACCGGACCCTACACTCCTGGAGGGAAACCTTTTCTCCGTGAAAATGGGATCGAGCCGCCTACGTCATACGAGTTCATGTGGTCGATAAACGCTGAAACCCCATGTGGTTGGTGGAGGGAAGCAGTAAAGTCAGCCAACAGGAACTGGACCGGGGTTTTGATGGTGCAAGGGGGTAAAGTGTCCAGGGTACTCTAGCCCGGCCTGGACCCTTTTTCTCTCAGGCAGTTCTTCCACTCAATCGCAACCCCCAAAATCCCTTTCAGCGGACGTAGCTCCGTCATCCCCTGCAAAAAAGAGCGGTGACGTCACCGCCTCTTTGGTCTTTCGTAGGCGCTTTCAATGTCAGTTTGTCTATCTTCCCTATAGTTTTTCCAGATTGTCAGCAGAGACTCGACCACTCTATCGGATCTCACTGCAGATACCCGGACGTGGCTCCCCAGACATGCCTCAATGAAGACGCAAGTCCCAGGGTTCGAGTCAGGTGTTGCGCCGCGGCAACATGATGGTTGTCCCGTCGTCAGATTTCCCCATCCATGGCAGCGTCTGGCCCACCGAGGCAGCCTTCGATCGTCGTATGGGTTTCCGGACTGAAAGGAGCGGGTGACCTCGAAACCCCTACCCAGTCGCCTTGCCGGACACAATTGACCGTGTCTTTTGTGACATTGTTCTCCTTCTTGAGCAGTTCGCGACCTGTCTCACGATGACTTGGGTTCTAGAGCGAGCGTCTCGGACTACTCTGAGGGCAACAGCGTGGAACGGGACATCACGTCACTGGGTTCGATGCCCATGATAATTGCCGCCATCACCAAGTTTAATGCTTGCCGTTGAGGAGAAGGCATCCCTTAGCGCAAGGCTCCCTCCCAGGGTTGACTGGTTGACTGGTTGACTGGCCAAATATGGCTGCCCTCCCACCCTCGACAAGACACCCCCTCTCCAGTTCACCATGGATGATGTTCCTCAATGACGAACTACAAAACGCAGCTCATGCCTCTTTGGCTCGATCCTCGCGGCCAGTTTCATTTGAGCTCATCGTATTTGCCTTTTCAGCTTCCATCCAAACGCCTTTGACATCATACCTCTTGGGTTTCCCCGCTCCCTTACATACCCGGTGATCTTGGATATCCTCCGGGCCGGAAGACCCACTTATCCCGCCTCGAGCAACTGGATGCCACCCACTTCGGCCTTCCGACATACCAGGCAAGCCACAGCTTGCTTACGGTTGCTAGTACCGTCGGCCCAAACAAGGCATGATTGTCAATTGGGAAATTTAGTCTACAAAGTGTTCAACATGGCGACCTCGTCCACAGCTGCGGTTCGCGGTTTCAACGCCCAGTACGTACACCCTGAAGTCATCTTACCGATTTAGCTTGCCTTACAAACAAGATTTTCGATTAACATTGTCTGCAGAAGACCTCCCACAACACCGCCCCTCGTCCCAACACAATCCGCCGACCGCCCCATAATTCCGGTTGCATCGGACCCGGGGTACTCCATTGGCCGGTTTATTGACCCCACGTCGCCTTCTGAAAGAAACCTCCGTCCGCCCCTGTTCGTCGCGACAACCCCAAATGCGTCAGCTGAGGACGCGGAAAAGGCAGGGCAGTTGCGGATGCTTGGAATCTTGGCAGACCTGGGGTTTTCCGCTTCAAATTGACGGATATTAAGGATGGGTATTGTAATTCTAGAGGATTATGGTCGTATTTTGGTGTTGCATCGTCCTATTTTCAGGACCTTTACTAATACCTTGAGGAGTGTGGTAGCTTCAAGCGTTTTCATAGTAATAATGAACTTGCCTTTTTTTGAAAGTGATGTCGGGTTTTTCATTTCTCTTGCCTCCTGGATATGTGTTCGCTTGAAAGGTAGCTATTGTGTGATTTCAACTATTTGAGATGAAATGCGAACAGATGACGAGTTAAGACGTGCTTTTAGGCGTCATAATGCATAATTAGGCTTTTGGTGTCAGCTCTTTACCAAGCATCTCCTACGAAACGACTTAACGTATCTAGTGTCAATTAAAGTGGTTAATGAGCCATAGTTTGCAGGCTGTAACAAAAAGAAAATCTGAGTTATAATAATTTTGTCAAATGAGCCTTGAAGTGCCCTCAAAATGAGCTTACCTTGCCGTGTAGCCTGTTTGTCATCAGAAGACATACACCACTGGCAGTATGGCATTATATGAGGAGGGATAATAACAGGCTGGGATTGTTTTCTTCAAAAATCTTGCCCTGCTTCAAATGAATCCTCAATAATCCAACGGCTTACCGCCGGACCTCTCCTCCCATGCCCCGGAAATTCGCCGTGCACACAAATCGCCTTGACTCATTTCTTGGGGGCCCGGTAGGTTGTGAGGCCTACTACTCACTCTGCAGAAGCAGGAGCACGGACGGCCCTAATATGTTTCGACGACAAGCAATCTCGGTGCAGGTCGAGCCACCCTCGCGTTTGCCCCTGGCAGGATTGGCCCTATGTTGGTCTCCAACCGACCAAGAGGTCGGGCACGGCCGGCTAGTTCGCGTGCTCAAGGACACCCCCGCCACTGTTGGGAGTGAGGAGGCCCTGCATACATACCATCGTGTGAGTAGAAGCGCAGCAGAGAGATTGAAAATGCTTTTGTCGTCCCTAGTCCCGTGACTATGGAGACGCACTCGGCGCGCTTGATCTGATGCGTGTCACAGCAAAACTTTTGGTCTCCAACCGCGCTGATAATATTCTGAGGCGTACTCCCGGCCTCATGATCCATATCACCCCCTCATGTTCAAACGCGGGGTGCAGCTTGCAGAGAAAAAACAGTTTGGATGTGCCGCCTCGTTCCGAGAGTCCTGTTCCTGCGTCTGATTCTACCTAGTCTTCTCCCCTGCGTAAGCTCCTGTTTGGGGCTTATAAATGTCACAAACGTACATATAATCACACCATGCAATCACTCAGCCACAAACTCGAGAGGCAAATAGAGGCGTAAACGTACAGCATGTGACGTATTTTAGTGCATCCAACGCATGTGAAATCTCCTAAAAGAAACTACGACGAAGAGCACGAGGGAGATGGAAATTCCCGTCTCCTTGCGTCGATACCCGCGACTCTGGGTGGGACTTGAGATGGCTGGAAGCTCGGGGCAGGAAGGATTTTACCTGATGGTATATGGTATTTGGAACCTTGGATGAACACGATGCTCTTCATACGTGCGGCCATTCCTGGCCATAGCTTCGATGTTTCCCCCTTGGCGGCATGAATCTGGCGGTAGGTGAGCGCAACTCTGTTCATATGGGGATACGGAGACCCGTTTTTTGGATCGAAATAAACGTGAGGGGCTCATATGGAGCCTAGCTAGCGTTATAACGGTCATGTTGAACAGGCAATGAACGAGTCAAACTCTTCTTCTCCATCGTCTGCGCTCATAAAGTGAATGTATTGAAACCCATACTATTGGCAAAATATAGCACAGGGCTAGAACTTCAATCGAAGCTTCTTGGGGGTTGGCGTTGATAATGTGGCGTGCCCGACGGATGTTACTAATTAAGAGTTGCCCAGGCGATGATCCGCCTCATTTCCAAGCCAAGTCCGGTCGAAACCTCGAATAAGCAACCTTGATTTGAGAAATTACTGTAATCGACATGTTGCCACTGCTAGCTAAACATAAAGTTGACCCATGCTGTCATATGACAGCCTCGTGATCCAGGACTTGATTTTCGCGTCTACTCATGAGGTTATCTCCGGATTACTGTTGCTGGTCACCACGAAAGCAATTCATAAAAAATCAGGCCTCAATTATAGCACGGACTGTTTTTGTTTCTTAGGGCACTTTCATATCCGGGCTAGCTGAGGACGGTTAGCCGTCTTGAATCATGCTACACACTTGGGCGGGCCGCACAACGGCTGCCATGGATCTGAAGAAAGCCTCTGCATCACAAACCAACACTGGCAAAGTCGGCATTTCGGTGTGACACACGCCTTGGAATGAAAAGCAGCCGAGTTGCAAGGGGACTGTACAACGGGACGATTTTGGGGGGAAAATGCAGTGTTGACTTGCGAGGGGACCGCCAGTTGCCCTTGCGCACGGCCCGGAGCTGCGGCCGGAGGTGAAACGCGACAGCTCGGTACGGAGGGATCGTCGGGACAATCAAGAGGCTTGAGAGTCGCAATGCGGACATTGAGCCTGGCCTTGGGAGGCTGGGGCAACGGCAATTAGAGGGAGAGGGGGGCGACCCAGTCAGCGCCATGCGCATTTATGGCTCTGAGCTTGGCAGGGTAGTACCGAGCGGCTGGTCGGTCCAATCCTCGTCACTGCGGCAGACCGGATTGCTGCTACGGAGTGAGGCCAGGAAGAGAGTTGAGGACTGGCAGCTGTCCAGCGTCATGTCCCGCAACTTTGAAGTGGTAAAGCATACTCTAAAGGCACAATGTGGAACGGAACATCGCCACTGCCAACACTACACTCCGACCTTCATGATCTGACAGTTTTTACTATGCTGTATGAGTGATGTGTCCCGTTGATACTTTGTTGTTTCCTATTTTCACTAAGAAGGCTTCGATGCGGACCTCGGATGGTCGACAACCGTAAGGAACCAAGCAATCGGTTCCAATACCCTGTCATCGAGGTCTTGGATGGACAGACCACGACTGGGACCAAAAAGAAAAAATACGCCGAAGAATGATATCTCGCAAAGACCCATGCTGTGCGTCGAGTTTTCCCTGCATCCCACTTTACCTCCAAACACTGGCTCTTGACCAGAAACCCCCATCTCTTGGCTGGATTCTGCATTACCAGATAGACTACCGGGGCACGCTAACAACAAGGTTTGAGCAACGGCACTAGTATACGCCGGTTCACGTGGAGAAAGATAGGCGACAGGCACGGATGACAGCAACGAGGCGTTTCACGATGTTATGCTTCCATATTTGCTGCCTACACTTGCAAGAAAGGTCTTGGGCCGCCCTCTGCCGCACTACACGCTGCGGCTAGAACACCGTAAGATGTACATGCGCTGGGTAGAGAAGAGGCACTATCCCCAATTCAGCCGAAAAATCCAGGATGCCAATAGCGTCACTGAGTCCTCGGCTCTGAGGCTTGGACAGCTCGGGGCCTCTGCAATGCACCTTGGCATTGCCCACCACCATAGCCCTGGCCGAGGGGCGAGGAGCTTCTCCTCTTACCCTTGTTTCCCCATCAGTGCCACTCATCGTCTCGTCATGGCACAGGCTGGTGGGTGTTTCGATACCAAGGGGCCCTTTTGAGTGATACCGAAGCGGATCTCCGGCCTTGCTAGGAGGGGAGAGGAGTTACCGTTCACGCAGGGCATGAACGTTGACGTCGGGGGACATAAATATCCTATCACAATCCCGTCTCTTGCATCCAACTCTCTCCTCATCAGATCACAACAATTCAGCTTCACTTCGCCTTCGACAGCTAGTCTCTCGCCCTTTAAACCAATCTTATCAGCCTCGGCTTCTCGCAACGCTCGCTCAGCTTTCTTAACTTTTCAACTCTCTTCCAACAACTTAACAAACAAACCCCCCCCCCCCCCCCCCAACCTTCAAAATGCAGTACAAGATCGTCGCCCTCTCCCTGGCTGCCGCCGTCGTCAACGCTGACCTCCGCCTCGGCACCAACGACATCCCCCAGGACTGCAATGCCATCTGCCGTCCCATCCGTGACCTTGGCAATGTTTGCACTGTCAACTTCATTCCTGGCCAGGGCAACAACAACAGCGACCAGACTCAGGACCAGCTCGATGCTCAGTGTGTCTGCACTAACACCTCCTTCGATGTCAAGAACCTGGCTGCCCAGTGCTCCGCCTGCATGGCTGAGAAGGTCCCCAACGACCAGCAGCGCAGCCTCGAGGGTGAGTCTCTTGCGCTAATCCATACACTATAACGCGATAGCTAACCAGGTTCCCATCCTACAGGCATCAACAGCATCATGAGCGTCTGCGACTTCCAGTCCACCTCTTATGCTTCCTCCGCCACCAGCATTGCCAACACCGTCATCGTCCTGGCTACCCGTCTGACCGCCAGCTCCCAGCTGACCACCACCCTCGGCGGCGGTGCCACCCCTGCCCCCTCCAACACCCGCAGCGCCATCACCACCACCTTCCTCACCTCCAACGGCGCCGGCTTCCCCTCTGTCGCTACCTCCGTCATCGGTGGTGGCCAGACCGGCTCCCCCAACGCCGCCGCCGGCGTTGTCGCCCCCGGCAGCAACAGCCTCCTCGGCGCTGCTGGCCTCGCCGTTGCCGGTGCCTTCGCTCTCGGCGCCTTCATGCTCTAAACGCATCATTGGCTGGATCTTTGCCAAAGAGGTTTACAAATACGCATTGCATGAATGGATGACTTGTTAAGATAGTGCTGCGATACACCGGTTAAATGTGGAGGATAATGATCATGGTAGTTTGCTCTTGTTTGATGAATTTTTATGGTTAGGATGGATGGTGGGGAGTACTCGGGAACGTGTCTCACTCCTTTGGTTTTTGGGTCTGGCTTACATCGAGCAAGACATTAATCTTTGTACTGATCAGGTTCGATTGCTATTGGATAGATATCGTGCTCAAACTGGTTTTGACTTTAGAAACTTTTGACTTTCTGAACTTGGTGATTAAGTGAATGATTCAATAATAAATGCCCTTTTATCCCTCGAAATGGTCTCTCATCGGTGCCCAAACTCAGCTTTTGCCTTGCACTCGAAATGGGATAGCCACTTCTGAGGCAGTCTCTTCGTCGTGCTTGGGACTTCCGGTGTGAGTGTTTGCCTGTGACAAATCCACCTTTTGAAAATGCCGCATTGGCACTTTCATCTCGAATAACATGTCGATTTCCTCCAACGTGCGGCCCTTGCACTCCGGGACGCATAGATAAACAAAGACGAGCGACAAGGAGGCTATACTGCCGAAGATCAGACCGACCTTCGATCCCAAGTTTGCATACGGTGCGTTGAGCAGGTATGGCATCGTGAAAGCGACGGTGAATTGCATGACGATGTTGACGACACTGGCGGTGCGGTAGGTAATGTCACGCAGGCGCATGCTTGGGATTTCGGCCGAGAGGACATGGGAAGTGGGTGCCCATCCCAGAACGAAGCCGGTGGTCATTACTATCATCATGGCGACGATGGCAGACTTGACGGCCACGCTCGGGTTGGATGTGAGACCGAGGCCTCCCATAGCGAAAAGGCCAGCCGTCTGAATTGATCCGCCGATAAAGATGACGTTTCTGCATTCCCGATGCCCGCGTCAGCTAACTGGTCCGTGAACTACCCCTGCGGCGAGAACTCACCTTCGTCCCATCTTGTCCAGGAGGACCATGGAGCACACACACATGACGATATTGATGCTAGAGGTAATCATTGTCACGGTAAATGGGTTGATGAAGCCCAGCTGCTTCACGAAAATTGCACCGTAGACGCTGGCGAAGATGGAGCCGGTCGCCTGCAGGAAGAAGTTGACGCCAATTACTGACATGGTTCGCTTCGTAACCTGCTTATCGTGGAACATGTCTTTGAATGTACCCTTCTCGACTTCGCGGTCTATGCCGGCGCGGATGTGTGCCATTTCGGCGGCAATTTGTTCTTCGATGAACTTGCCTTCGCGGAGTTTCGTGAGGGCGACAAGGGCCTCTTCATCTCGGCCTTGCATTGCAAGCCAACGCGGAGACTGATAAGAAATGTTTGTTAGTAATTAATTTCGGATTGCTGTTTGGAAAGGTTCATAGATACCTCAGGAACAAACCATATTCCGGCGATGACTATCAACGGAACCACGTAGAAGAGACCATAGGGAATCAGGTACGCGGCTGATGAGCTCAAGCTGCCAGTTCCTCGCGCAACTGCGTTCACGACTAAACCGCCCGCCTGGTATTGTCAGATTATATAACGAAAACAAAATGGGGTTTTTAAACCTACAGCGAGACTTAGCTGGTATGTCCCAACAACAAAGCCACGGGCACTCTGTGGTGTGATTTCAGACTGGTAAATCGGTACGACGGCCAGCTCCATGCCGATGTAGATGTATGCTAGTATACGCGCCGCCAGGATCTGGTCTCGATTCTTCGAAGTCATAATTACAGTTGTCGAAATGCATGACCATATGCTCATGGAGAACATGCACATCCGTCTGCCGTATCGTTTGCTCACTGAACTTCCGATTAAAATCCCTAAGGTAGTGTTAGCCGATGCCTGGTGTTTCTTTTATAGAGCATCTTGAAGAGAAACGAACCGATCCCAAATCCGATGTAGGGTAGACCTGCAAAAAGGGAGAGCCACCAGCTCTCAAGATAGTACACCTTTTTCGTCGGGTTGTACCAGCCGAACTGTCGTTCGAATGCGTCCATGGCTTGTGTCGAGTTGAACCCTTGCTGATCAAAGCCAAAGTTGAACTGTGACACAGCAATCAACAGGATCGTTGACAACAATGACTTGTTGAAAGACTGTCTCAAGTTCAAGTGACTAAACATTTTCGCTGATTCAAGGGGTGATGTTGTCCGCTCTTTGCCTGTCAACTCAACTGATCCATCCCAAGAGGAGCAGCTGAGCGAGTCGAGATTTTATACCGATCATCCTAGCTTTGTAGACTCCCAGGTTACGATCGCGCCATAGATAACTTAATTGACGATTTCCTAGCTGCTGATGCCAGAAAAGTTGGTCAACCGGAGAAGTTGAACCAGCTTGATGGTAGAGTCGTAACCTGGTATGCCAGGCCCTTGTTCTAATGATGGGTCCGCTCCATGGCTGATGCAAGATTTCGGCCTAGGCCAAATTCAGAATGGTATGCACTGGGTTTGGTTTCTATCTCCCCGTCCTTCCCCGTCAACTGTCCTATTCTTCATCTATGAACATAGAGACTGTGGGCAGAGACAAACAACCCAAAATGTCATAAATCAAACTTTACAGCAGCAAAATCTATCTTCAGTGATAAGGTACTTAGAACAAAGGCCAAATGTTTTGGTGTAGAACAATGGGCTTCCGCCTTAGCAAACCCTATGATGATTTCCATCGTCCCAGGTGGGCCGACTGCCGTAGTCATCTCCGGAAGTTGTTCTCTTGACAAAGACGCAGTCAAAAAAAAGCTGCATAAGCGATAATCCTTCTTTACTGCGTAACTAGCAAAAACCACCCCAGAATGTCTTCGCTGGATCTCGGCGGATCTCGAAAGTGGGGCCGGCACGAGTAAATCTGAATAGTCAACGGGGAAGCACGGGGAGATATTATGTCGGTTTCCGCTCATTTGGGGCGTCTTGCAACACCCCGTTTTATTGCAGTTCCAGCCCCTCAGAAGCAGGTTATTAGTTCCAAGTTAGGTTGTAATAAATATTGCGTGAGTTTGGGATCTCATTGCGACATGCCGTATGAATCTCTGATTTAGGATCCGACACCAGCCTTTTGAGGAGCGCAACCGCCGATACCTCAAACCTCCGTTCTTGAACAATCTCAAAACAATTCATACCCAAAATGGCAAACAAGCGACCGAACTTCTTGATCATCGTTGCTGACGACCTTGGATTCTCCGATGTCAGTCCTTACGGAGGCGAGATCAACACGCCAGTGCTGGAAAATCTGGCCAAAGATGGCATTCGCATGACAAACTTCCACACAGCGTCAGCATGCTCACCGACGCGCTCCATGCTGTTCTCTGGTACGGATAATCACATCGCTGGACTAGGTAATTTGAATATCCCTTGTGGACGAGTTTCTTACTGACAAGCTTAAAGGTCAAATGGCTGAACATATGCGGCGATTCGGAGATTACTTTAAAGACAAGCCAGGATATGAGGGATACCTGAACTGGAGGGTCGCAGCCCTATCTGAAATTCTACAAGACAACGGCTATCTTACCATAATATCTGGTAAATGGTAAGAAATGTTATCTTGTAATCCTATGGAAACCGGAGTTGACTTCAAGCTTGTAGGCACCTTGGCTTGACGAAAGAGCTTGCTCCATGCAGTCGTGGTTTTACCAAGAGCTTCTCCTTCCTCCCTGGCTCAGGCAATCACCACGCCTATGAGCCTCAGCTGGATGATGATGAATTTCAAATCCCATGTCTGAACACTGAGGGCCATTGGATGGATGGAGACAGATTCATCGATCATAGGACGGACTTGCCGGAAGACTTTTACTCGACACGGTACTTCACCGATCGCATGATCAAGTTTTTGGAAGAGCGAAACGATAAAGAAAAGGAAGAGCCCTTCTTTGCCTATTTGCCTTTTACCGCGCCTCACTGGCCTCTGCAAGCTCCTCGAGAGGTCGTAGAGAAATACGGTGTGCTCATAAACAGACGCTCAATCAGCATCTCTTACTGACAGATCACAGCTGGAAAGTATGATGACGGCCCAGATGCATTGACACAACGCCGATTACAGCGTCTCGTCGAGCTCGGCCTGGTTGACAAGGGCATCGAGCATGCGCCGCCCACAGGGGTGCTGGGCAAGGACTGGAAAGATTTGACCGATCTTGAACGGAAAGAGTCAGCAAGAAAAATGGAAGTCTTCGCCGCTATGGTTGAGCTGATTGATGAAAATATCGGTCGTGTCATCGACTATCTCAAATCTACCAATGAACTGGATAACACTTTCGTCCTCTTCATGTCGGACAATGGTGCCGAAGGTGCTGCGTTGGAGGCAATCCCCGTAAGCCCCCATTCGTCCACATTTTGAAGCCCACGCTGATTATTGTCATAGATGATGGGAGGAGAGACAACATTCGCCGGTGTTGTGCAGAAGTATTATGATAACAGTTTGGGCAACATCGGGGAGAAGTCTTCCTTTGCTTGGTACGGTGAGTAATGATGCTGAACCCCTGGCAATAGTTTCCGTAGGCAATTCTTAAGGTTATTTTAGGAGCTCGATGGGCCTGTGCAGCAACAGCACCTTCTCGAGGTTCCAAATGCTGGATCACAGAAGGTGGCATCCGTTGTCCGTGTCTGATTCGTTATCCACCTTTCCAGGCTAAAAGCGAAGCAATCACTCACCGTTTCACGACTGTCATGGACATTCTTCCCACTATCCTCGAGATGGCGCAGATTCAACATCCTGGAACCTCGTTCAGGGGCCGCGAAGTCGTTATACCCCGCGGCAGATCGTGGGTATCCCACCTCTCGTCCCCGGATTACTCCGCTTCAGAGTCGACAGTGCATGGGGAAGACGTGCACGTTCACGGCTGGGAGCTCTTCGGCTTGCGGGCCATACGCGAGGGTAAATGGAAAGCCGTTTGGCTGAACAAGCCTAGAGGTAAAGACGATTGGGAGCTATACAACGTGGAGAAAGATCCGGCGGAAATGAACGACTTGTCAGATACGGAGACCGAAGTGTTGCGGAGGCTTGTCGATCACTGGGAGAGATACTATGCGGAAACAGGGATGACCCAGACACCCGAATTCCCAATCACCAAGGCTTAGTGTAGTTTTCTCTAAACATCAGACGGCCAGTCAAATGAAGTTGTGGAGTTTCCCCTTTTTCAAGAATCAAGGTTCGTCTGGTCTACCGATGGTCTGACAATCTACCAAGAACACTGGAAATGTGTCCGAGGAGTGCCTAGCATATTCTTAATTCATTCTATCAGTAACTGACACTATGCAAGCGAAGGAAAAGTCGTACCAAAAGCAAAAGTGTGTGGAATTTCCATATCGCGACCATCGTGTATTGGATTTCCAACACAATTGCTGACATCCTTGTGAAGAATTACTTAAATCTGTCTGGGCAGTAACCCTCACGGGGCCGAACCTGCGTATCGCGCGAACATGAATGTACGCATTTCGCACATGATGATAAGTCTGCACTAACAGGAGTTGCAAATTATGAATAAAAAGTCCAATTTGAAATTTGGTGAAGGTTTGAAGTGACCTAGCAATGGAAGCCTCTTTGAATGTCTTCAGATGCTGCCAGTTCCACCACCCAGACCACCATCCAACTCGCCATGGCGCATATCCTAACCCGACGCCGCAACTCCTTAACGACGCCTAATTGCTGTAGCAGACCAAAACCCTTCCACTTGTTGATTTTAATGAAGAACCGGTGAGTCGCAAACCCATTGCAAGCATGATTCGTCCGGCTTTGCACACACTCCGCAGGTGGGGTTACAGCAGGATGTTCCAATGGGACAGATGACGCTGCCGCAAGTCTCGGTCTCCGGCGGTACTGGTCCTTCCGAGAAGCAGCCGACAGGCTTTTCGAGATTGAAGTCGAAAACTTTGCAGACGGAATTCGCTGGGCATTGAACGCCGTCGCAGCGCGGTTCCGTGGGGGTTTCGGGGTTACCGGAAGCTTGCGGGGCTGGAGCCGCAGACACGCCGAGCGCGATCAAAGTGACGATAAATGAGTGAAAGGAGACCATTATGATCGATTTGTGTGTTGGGAAACGAATGACTGGAAAGCTGGCTGATTGAGCTGGCTTAGTTTAACGAATGTGAATGAATGGATGGGGTTAGGACGTTACGGTTCATCTATTGTGGTTAGGTGGGAAGACGCCGGCCTTTATGGATCAGGAATGATTACGTATATCCCGTAATATGGAGCGACTCAGTCTGGGAGCCAAGGGGATCATTAATAAGTAATTTATCGTCGGCAGCCGGTAGGTAGTGCTGCCAATAATACTTGGGCGGTCTAAAAGAGTTAACTACGGGACCCGGAGTCCGTGTTACCGCCGAAAAATAAACGGTCGGACCTTTCGGTGGGAGTCATGTGTTGGCAACTTTGAGAAAGGGATCAGCGGGACTTGGCATTTCTGGACAATGACAACGGGGCTTCAATACCTCCTAGTTCATTAATAGCTTCATGCCTCAGGTCCTCATTTTAAAGTTTGACATTTCCACTAACATCCTCAACTGACTTCCCCTACTTAATGAGTTCACGTTCCATACGGCGCAGATCTTATTAGTTCTTGCTGCCATGGCCTCCCTTGTTTCAGTCCCCGTGTGGAGTACATCAACAGGCCAAGCCACCCCCCGTCTCCTTTTCTTTCATTGCTGACTGGTTTTTTGCGAGTACCACGCAAACTGCAAATTCTCATGGCTCAATGGCTGCAGTAGAAACAACATGCACCTCTTTACTTCTTTCTTTTAGGCCTAAAAGTAGATACTCGTGATGGTGTATGGTCCCAATGGCTGCAGCTTTGTCATCAACCCATAAAAGCCTATCCTGGCAAACTGGGCAAACGACCTGATTATTGTCTTACTCTACTTAATACGTGATGGAAGCTTGAGGGTTTCCTGGCTGGTTTATTTACAACTGAATAGTGATCGAGATAACGGCATAGCCAAGCACTTGATAGCTGGGAAAGAGACGGTGGTGTTCAAGCAGGAACATCAACCAGGAATACAAGGTGAATTCAAGCGAAAGATTGTTAACAAAATCCACTTTCGTACGGAAAGCTTCGAACCGCATCTGCAGGACTGCTCACTCGTGACATTGCTTTATTGAAAGACATGATAGGGATGATCAAGACCTCCGAACAACGCCTCTGGAATGCTGGAGACCCCAGTTGATCAGTCACGCACAGATATGGCTGCCGTGGTGACTGCAAGTCTTGAAGAAAGTCAGGCGACTTTGGTTTTGAGACCTTGGCAGCTAGACGGTCTGGAACATCTGTTGCCCTGTCTCTTTTCCAACTTGAATTGTTGGGGAGCTCGCGATGAGAAGATGGTTCGAGGCAATCGGAGAAGCACGGGTAGAAACAAATTGGTGACACGTGGTGAAGCTCGGGTACTATGACAGTAAGTAGAAGAAGGATCAAACAACTAAATTTGACGACTAAATCTTTGTTTTTATTTGAAGATGACAGATCATTTATCGTGATCTCACAACAACCCGTTCTGGATGGTACAATCCAATCTGGGAAAGGCTTGCCCGTTAACAGGTGTGGTTTCCACAGTCGCACAGGCTGTCAGTCGACCAGTCAATCTACCAATTTGACACGCATTCTCAGACATGGCTGGCATTCTCGTCTGTCAGAAATCAGTCATATATCACACGAAAAAGCCACATTGATCACCTGCAAGTAAATGCCCTAGCGCGAATCCAAGATCGTATCGGGGATTCTGATGGCCCCATAAATCAGGAACTTTTAAGCTTCAAGCTATAGTGAGCAGCTTATATTGTGCAGGCTGTTTTGAGTAGTTTCTTATTAGGGCCCTGGACGTCTAACGCGAAGGCAGAACATATTGATCAGTTAATACAAGGAAAACGGCTATGGTAGAAAAAAAAAAAGTTTAGAAGCTAAAGATTCAGAAATCGAACAGTTAAACCATGACCACAACATTGAATTAAAGTATCTCTCATGTCCCCGTATCCTAAACGCCACTAAAACGAGTCGACCTTTACCAACCTGCAAGTTCAAGGTCACACTTGGCGAGAATTATCCTCTGCCCACCTCCATACGTCGGGTGCTCCCGCTGTCAAGGCAAGAAGATGACGCTCCCAATATCCAGTCATTGGTTCCTCCGGCAGTACCCGCACTGAAGAATTGTTTTCTCCCTGCTTTTCGGAAAGCACCCATCGCCATTGGCCATCCCCATCCCCAGGTGTGTACAAATCGCCGTTGTACTCATCTTTGCTAAGGCTTAGCTCCCTGGGTTTGAAATTTCTGATTCTTTCGATTTCGGAAGACTTCAGGCCGGAACCCCGTTCTATTCTCCAGAGCTCGCTGCCGTTGTCTGCGCGTGTCAAGGGTTTGCAACTCCAAACCTCACCGTCGTCCGTACCGAGGCCTTGACATGCCATCCTGACTCGGACACTGCTGTGTACACTTTCATCAGTGTTTTGCAGAGGCTGGTCAGTGTCTTGGTTTGTATCGGGGTCAGCGCGCATAAACAGGCCAGGGTGCCGGACTGTAACTCCGCCGATGGTCTGTATGATGCTGTCTGGGTAGCGCATTATGCCTAGAGCCCAAGGACGAGCAAGTTTCCAGAGTTCCTCTTTTCTTCCCGTGGGATGGGAATCTTTCCCACTGCATTCAGCGATGTCTCTCTTGACACTTGACGGCTTGACGGAACAGATGGCCGAGTTGGCCCATAGAAGAGGTGTCTTTGAGGAGAACCATGAGGTCCAGGAGTTCTGAGGAACGTATGCAAAAGGGTGCCCGGCAGAGTATCGTAACCCTTGATTGAATGTGTCGTCCATTCGGCTTTGGCTGAACTCCACACCGATGGTTGAAAGCTGGTCGCACATCCCTGTTTATGTTAGCTGAATTCTCTTGTTGTCTTCAACGGGTAGAAAGAGCTCCATACAAGCGAGAGATATGTTTGCAATTTGCTGCTCATGCCATCCGCCTCCTACTGAGCTATGAGTGCCGGGAAACCACACCTGCTTGAGGTTCGTCTTGGTATTGTCACGTTTCTCCCAGAGCGCCGGTCTGAATGCGTATCTGGGCTCATCCAGAGCGAGAGCATGGAATGCATTCTCTACACGGTCCGAGACTTGAGTGTTGGAAAACTTCCATGTGCAATAGGTTAGCTGTGAAGTTCCTGTTGCCTAACAATGGGGAGACTTATTGGTTGGCTGAGCCTCGCAGACCAAAGACTGGCGCCGGCGGAATACCCAAGGTCCCGACAGTGTCCCAAACCCCAACTGCCTTGATTGTGATGTCGGTCTTACCATCCTGGTAGGTGTGTCTGCTATAGCCATTCTAAAGTGACGGTCAGCGGCGAAGCAGTTGAAACTGCTGAAGAGACTGCTGGAAATACCTTTGTGAGCCATTCCTGATATTGTGCCCTTCGCTTTGCCTCCCACTGGCGTTTAGCCTGTCCTTGTTCATTCTTGTAAGGCGGCATGTTCGGGAACAAATATAGTTTGGTGTCCCGTTTGGCGTCACTCATATGTTCATAGTCCTCGAAAACAGAGTAAAATTGCTCGAGTCCCATTGGCGTGAGCAAACCGACAGTGGCGATCATGTCAGCAACAGAGCGCGCAGTGAAGGCACCACGAGAGAACCCTAAAAGTATGATGTCGTCTCCATCCACGTAGTTGGTGCAAATGAAGTTATAGACCTCCCGAATATTCTAGTCTCGCTGTTAGAACCGATCGTTTCGCATATCAGACTAGCCTAGTAGGTTTTGTGTACCTGGTCTAGACCACTGCCAAAGAGGCCGCCAGTAAGCTTGTCGACAACGCTATCTGAACTTCCGACGCCTGGATCATACATGATGATCTGATGGGTGCCGTCCTGACATGTTCGTCTCAGGACACGCGAGATGCGCGTCACGTTTGATTGGGGCTCGGCGCTGCGCAAGTTAGGAGTTTGTGATGAAGATGATGGTGTTTGGAGCCTTACCCTTTCTTGCCCAGTGAGTCCATCCATGTTCCATCGCAGCAAATAATGAGTCGCTTATGCGCCCCTCGCGTTACTTGGGCCATCTTCGGTAGATATTGCTGGCTTGCAAAAAATGGCAGATGTTGTCTGTTGATGGGAATCTTGATGAGAAATCTAGTGGGAGGAGCAGTGTCTACTTTATCTACGCTTCACCGTAGGACACTAAACCTAGCCTGGTAACGGCAAGGGGACTCAGCTTGGCGATGCAATGTCGCCCTAGTTTCAATTGGTGGTTGGGTTGATGCAGCTTACTGCACAGCTTCAACTTCTTGGTGCGTCTGCGGCTGTGTAGCTGAAATAAGGTACTTCCACTGGAAGGTACCTTATGAAAGCACTACTCTACCATGAAAGCATCTTTTCAAGGCTTAAAAAGATTAAATAGATTGTAATTCTTTGATACTAGTGTTTTCAACATTTGCGCATTTACTTAACAAGTAAGAGTTCATTCGGGGCAATGATCGCTGGTTCACGAATACTGCGTATGGGTCAAGGAGGAGGGTAGATGATAGCCTACCTCTGATCACATTGCATCCTGTCTTCAAATTATGAGCCAGATGAGACACTGGTTCAGTGAGACCCAATAAGCATCGATATCAAGTCCTCATGACACTAACACGGAAATACCGAGCACACAATAAAAAACAACTTGCTGTCCTCACGGTGTATCCGATTGAAGTAGAGTCAATTCTTGCACCTTCCTTATTGCCTATACTGTCTTAAGTTAGCGCTTATGTTTTTGTGTTGCTTCTTCCCGTGGTGAGCCTCTGGCCCACAATCTTTTGCACCACCTGTTCCCAGGCATGTTCCACAGCTGGTCTCACTGCCCCTCTTATGTTCACTACCAACGGCTTTTCCCGGTTGCTCGCTCCAATACTTTATTGAAAGAGCCACACATTTTCTGCGCCAAGCCGCACCCGTTAGGCTATCGTCACCACACACACAGGCATGACGCAAATCCTTGCATTGAACCAAGGTAGGCTGAGGAAAAGTCAAGAGGGCGGAGTAAATTTACCGAAGCGACAGCGGCTAATAAGTAAGAAGTCTCTTAGATAAGCAGACACAAGTTTTTTGATCGTTTGGTAGATGTTCCCATAGATGAGGTTTAATGCTTCGCTAGCAGGAAGGTCAATGCTGTAGATTAATGTTGATGGTGGACTCGACTCCAATGTTTCTGTGGGCGCGCCCTATTGTCAATTTTAAACATGATGTGGATCCCAGCTTTTGGCCTCTCAATTTGAAGTAATGGGGATCGCTTTTGTGTACATCGACGACAAAACAAAGGAATAAAAGCCCTTCCATTGTTCGAGACAATGTTTGCCTCCAAACATCTTGAAATTCGATGAATAAGTTTGTCAGCTGTACTGCCGTGTGAGACTTCACGTGACGTCCAACAAAGGTTTCATTGCAAATCGACGACATTCTCGCATTCCAGTTTCTATTACTACCACGATTGAGTCGAATATCTTCTACTCTAGCTTCCACGACAGCAAACAAAATGTCTACCAACAATCTGGCAGAATTTCTAGCGGGCGCACATGTGGCTGCCGAGGTGTTTGAGTTACGGCCCGACTACCGAGCCTTTTTGATGGTCGTCGACGGCCTTCCAACAGGGCCCAGCAACGACTTGAGCGAGAACTTGCTGCAGGAAGCCGAAGCTAGCGCAAGAGAGAAATTTCAAAAGCAACCCATTGCAGAGTTTCCCCACGTGGCGGCCTGGCGAACGGCGTACAAGGCATTCGGTGCTAAGCCCCAGAAGTACCGCAACAGTCTCGAGGCACTTACACGACGAGTGGAAACTGGTGGTTTACCGAGAGTCAACCGGCTCACGGACATCTACAACGCCATTTCGGTCAAATATCAACTTCCATTTGGCGGCGAGGACCTGGACAAATACCACGGGAGCCCGCGATGCATCCGCGCTACAGGCCAGGAAAACTTTGAAGTGACGGCCAGTGGTGCAACAGTCATTGAGCATCCAGACGCCGGAGAGGTAGTTTGGTGCGACGAAGGTGGTGTTACCTGTCGCCGGTGGAATTGGCGTCAAGGCCCCCGCACTGCTCTCACCGACTCGACCACACGAGCACTCTTCATCATCGACATACTCGATCCGATTACCGACGATGTAGTTGATGCCGCCGTTGCAGAACTCACCTCTGCGTTGAGGCAGCTGAACCCGGATATCGTTGTTGAAACCCGGAAAATTAGCAATCCCTCAAGGCAATGAGAGGTGTGCATCGACTAATAACCATGGGCTGTCTTCTGCAGTTTAGGGCGGCTCATATGCGCTTGGGCAGTTTACGATAGTCAACAGGTTGCCAGCTGCGGGACCTAGGAATTATCTGTATGGTGTAGCGGCTCGTGTGCCAGTCTGCATACCACCTACTTTCCTCTTGAGTTAGAGCTAGAGATGTCAAGAACAACCTTTGTATTATGACTAGTACACTAAGAATTGCCACGTGACAAAAACAGTTGCTTCTGAAAGATCGATTTTCAAACATACACCAGTCTTTGTCAAAACCTTGCCATGTCACATTGAATACCATTAATATGGCGACTGATGTATGAGCCAGCAGTGCAAGATATGAAAGAAAATGGAGAAACCCCGCAAATGATGTTCTATCTGCTGTAAATGCTAGAACGGATATATCCACCGTTGGATAACTGATTGACGACATTCCTTTAAGCTTTCTGATCACAGCCACGGTTTCCATAGTATGCACATTAACCAATTATCATTGCTTCAACCATCATGTTCTTACCCTAGTTCAGTTCGGTATGCTATTAATGCATTACCATTCCTATCCAGATTTACGACACGTATCCCAGAACATCAAACCAACTGCATACCGACTGTTTCTTGGGGTTCTGCAAACTTATACATGAAACAGAAGCCTTTGAGTGATGTCGCTCACTTGTCCTTCTCAAACAAGCCGAATCAAGCGACGACTTCAACCTTCCTCAAGACCTGTCCATATCCAGGCAGCAGTCTCTCCTCGCTTGATCCGGCAGAGCAGAAGAAGTACGAGGAAGAGGTTTCGCTAGTCTCCCACATGCCCGTAATCTTGAAAGTAAGATCTTGGGGTACAGAAGTGAAGACAAAGATGTTAAGTCTGAAGGTGGAGTCGACGGCGGCCTGGCTTGTGGGGCATCGGAAGGTGGTTTGGGTCGACCTGTCCCAAGGGCAATCCTCAACGACCCTCAAGGCATCGCCCTCCTCGTTTGAAACCTGTCTGCAGGCGGCCCATGTCTGGCCGACCAGAAGGCAAAGAGCGGCAACAGAAACTTGGAATTTCATTGTGAATAAGTTGTCTAGATAATGAGATATTGGTTGAGGTGCTGAGAAAGAGAGCCAAATCTTGGCAGGGTGCAATACTGGCTGGCTGGGATGCTAATGTGCAAAGTGGAGTGAAAAGACGAGCAATTGAAGTATGAGGTCGGAATGAAATCTCAGTTTACGGGTGACATGAGGGTTTTTATACTTAGTTTTGCTTTTTAGAATGTATCTAAAAATTAGAGTATCATCTAAACTGGAAAGTGAAATGCCTGTTCTCGCATATAACGCAATGCTGATAAATACCTTTAGTACCTCTCATGGCTTCCGTAAGGAGACATCTCCGCCGACCGCTGCCAGCCAGCAGACCATCATGTGCGTGGTATTCATTCCTTTTAGATCATAGCCAAGGCAAATTTGATCATTTAATTGGCCAATTCCTGGCACACTTCTGTTGCTAATTTGGAGCAGAACGCTTTCCGTACGGGTTGGCACGGAGCTGTCCGTTTGGATGCGGGTCAACCAGAACAAACTTCCTTATCGCCACATGATCTGCAAACGTCAGCGGCCTTATATTTCTCTCTATCTGTGCGCCATATCCTCCGATGAACCCTTGCTGCTTTACGGGTATCTCCCGACTGAGGACTCGGGGGCAAACAATTCCCGAACTACCTAAGACCAGAAGGAAGAACATGTCGCAGAGGTTGGTCATACGAGCCCACTTTATGGCGTAAAAATGGCAGGAATCTAGATTAGCTTGGAATCTTCCAAGAGATCTACAAATTGGCAGATTGGGTGCCGACTATGGGATGACATTTATAGTTTTTCGCTAGTTGTTATTATATGTTAGACGACTGATGTTGCATAAACTAGGTTTCATCAAGGCAAATCCTCTCTTGGCTAAGTCGGATTTCTCTATACGTCCAAATGATGCAGATTGTTGGTTCGTTCATCTGTTAATTCCTGTCAAGAATCCCCTGCTCTGTAATTCATTTGCTCACGGACTTGTCAACACCGTTGCCGCTGTTCTAGATGATGTACATATTGCTAAGCCTTAAATTCACAAAACAATGCTTGTCATAGCGACGGTCTACCATTAAGACTGATCTCTCTCAAATTCGTCGCGTATACGACAGTATTCTTAGCAAACCTGATCACACAAAATTCCCACATATCTAATTATTCACTGAAGGTAGCAGTCAGATGCAGTCAGATACTGTATTGCTGCTGTTTCACTTCTATAGGTGCCCAGCAGATGAGCTTCTGAACCAGTGGTTCAGCTCCTTTCCTGGCGTTTCAGCCTTACTCTACCTCTTCATTCATCCTGTTGCACCTAGATCACGGACAAACTCATCCTTATTAAATTGTCATTGAGCTGCGATATGGGTGGCAATTGAAGCACCTCCAGTCAAAGCTGTGAACCAAGGAGAATGCATAATTGGCATAGTTGTCTTCCTATATCTCGGAACGATGAACGGGCAGTGCCTGTAACATCCCGTTAAGGTGAAATATTTTAGAAAGAATGACTCGCAGAATTAGAAACCGTCAACGATAACTACCAAAAATTAAAACGAAAATTAGACGTATGACGGCAGCTGACTTCGGATACCACGGATTACGGTTAGATTAGACGATTTGTTTTATTTCAAATCATCTCCAGTAACAATGACAAAAGGAAACCTCATCGCGACTCGGCATGCATTACTACTGATGAGAATATTGAGAAATGCAGACAAGAAATCATCTGAAATGTCGTATCCCCTCATTTTGTCGCCCTAAATCGGCCCTGGCGAGGTGGGTCCATTTGTAAATACTGCGTGTGGTGACCGACGTCAGGCACGGGCGGCATCAACTAGGAACAAAACGGCTTGTATTCTCTAAGTGAGCGAGCGGAGCGAAGGACGCTTAAGAATACGGTCGCTGGAGCGAGGTCACGTGACCTCGCGGCCGAGACGCGGCAGAGTGGGTCCGGAGGCCCGGAGCCAGCACGACACACCCCCCCAGACGGCGCGTAGTCGTCTGGAAAACCGCGCCTCGAGGCCATATCGCTACTATCGCCTAGATACAAGATTATGAGGCTATTCAGAGCCTCTTGTGAATATATATATAACAAAAGAGAGGTGTTGTTGTATTCGCCTCGGTCTTTGTGCTCGAAGTGATGTGAATATGGCGAAATTCGCCCTTGCGCGCCGCCTGGCGCAATAATCGCACTTTCCTTTATTCAACCGTCGTACTTGCCTCTTATTATTGCCAGTTGAATTTTCTGAAAATCCTGCCTTCTGATTGGCCCACAACGTGGGTTGCCCATCAGTTATTATTTCCTCTGCCCGTTGACTCTTCTGCAGCGGTTCCGGCCGTGGCCGAAGCGGCTGGTCTCCGTGCTGCCATTGACAGCCTTGTTGGAGGACACTTGCCGGCGGCTGTTCTCCCCGCGTACAACGTCCTGATGGACACGTACGCGGCCTCCCTCCGAGGTCGTTAAAAGAGCCCGCCCTACGGGGCGTAAGTACGCTTGCTTTTGCTCCTTTGGGAGCGTATCATGCTTCCTGGCCAGGGGCCAAGTCAAAATTTAACTTTCGGCCTCCGGGCCAGCATTGCTCGCGCGCACCTGTTTCTCTTCGCTTCTTGTGACTTGTGCCCGAATGTCTTGTAGGTTTAGAAGTGCCCTGAAGTGTTCGAACTTCGCTCGGGAGAGTGCTTTTGTGAGACCGTCTGCTGGCATCTCGTCGGTAGGCATATATACCACGTCGAACGTCTTCTTGGCATACTCTTGGCGTAGCCACATGTTCTGTATATCAACGTGGCGAAGGCGCGTTGAGATGCGTTCCTTGTCGCCTACTACCAGGCGAATCGTTTGGCGATTGTCACAATGGATCTTCCATACGTCTCCGAGGTCTAGTTCAATATCCCGAAATAAGCGTTTGAGAGCGATGGTCTCCTTAGCAGTGTTTTCGAGGCTAAGGAGTTCCGCTTCTGTAGTAGAAGTGGTAACGGTATTCTGTCTCGCGGCTTTCCACTGAATGGGACCGCCGAACAGTGAGATGATGTACCCTTGAGATGAACGCCGCGTCTCTTCGTCGTCTGCGAACGAGGCGTCGCCCGCAATTAGGAGAACTTGGGCACCTGCACCCCCCGAGCTACCGAAGCAGAGCGAAAGGTAGCGAGTGTGATAAAGATATCTAATGACTTGGTTCGCGGCCTTCTGATGTTCGAGAGACGGGTTCGTTAGGAACCTCGAGAGTATAGCGCAAGCGAAGGCGACGTCGGGGCGAATCATGATCGCAGTGTACAGAATTGAGCCGACCTTCTCTTGGTATTGCTTTACCTGGTCAGGGGTCGCTTCAGCGGTGTTCTTCTGGAGCGGGACGAATGGCAATGGTGTATGCGGCACGATCGAGTCGATAAGGTTGAATTTCTTCGCTACGCGTTCGATATATTGGTCGTGTGCGAGGTTAATTGTTCGCTTCTCACGGTCACGTATCACGCGAATGCCTAGATACCACTCGACAGGGCCTTGGTCCTTGAGTTCATACTCGGCTTTCACCCCGTTTATAACGTTTTGAGCAGCTTCGCGGTGGTCCCTATGGTATAAGACGAGGATATCGTCTACGTAGAAGAGTACCATCACTTTCTTGTCGTTTGAAGTGAAGAGACAGGGGTCTTCGCTTGCAGGCTTGAGTCCCAGGCGCCGCAGCGTTGATGAGAACTCCTTATACCAAAGGAGGGGAGCGTCTCGTAGCCCGTATAAGGCACGGCGGAGCTCGACGTACTTCCCGTTCTGTTTGAAGCCGTCTGGTAGGTAGCAGACGACAGGCGGGTCGTTCGGTCCTCTTGTTGCGTTTAGAAACGCATTGACTACGTCGAATTGGTCTACTTCAAGGTCGAATTCCGCCGCGAGCGCCATCGCTACTCTAAACGTCCTTGCTGCGAGGGTCGCTGCGTAGGTCTGTTCGAGAGGATGCTTCGCCTGGAGGTCGCCGCGGACGCAAATTCGTGCCTTGCAGCGGTCGAGGTAGCCGTCTTGATCAAGCTTGTAAGTGAACACCCACTTTAGAGGAATAGGTTTCGTAGACGCTTCGTGTTCGTCAATGATTTTCCAAGCGTCCATCTCCTCTAATTTACTTATCTCGGCTTGGGCCGCTTCGTAAAACAGGTTTCGGAGGTGGGTCGGCATTTTTTCAACACTTTTCCACGTTCGTGGGGGCTTTATAAGCTCATCTGTGTGTATTTTCACTCGCTGTGGAGTGACCGCTCTGGAGTGCTTCGCTTGGTGTATTGACGCGAAGACGAAGCAATGGAGCGTATAGTGGGCTTGGTTCGCTTCCTCCACAGCCTTCTGCTGATCAGGCATATAGGTATGGAAGAAAGTTTCCCAATTACGTTCCGTTTGTAGGAATGCGAAGTGTTGGGCGAAGCGAGGTGATCGTCTCGGTTTGCCCTGTTGTTGGCCGTAGTCCTTGCGGTTGTACACCCGCTTGGTCTTTATCTCGGGTTCGCGCCCGTTCCCATTATCCGAGTGTGGCCGCACCGGGTGAGTTGGGGAGTCACCCCCGAGATCATTACTCGAGTCGGCCTCCACGGCCGGTTCTCGTGGAGGTTCGTTGTTGGTCTTGACGTATATCACGTCTTCGACCGCCTCAGAGAGGGCTTCGTGCCCCGGGTCGGGAACGCCGGCGTCCATCGCTTCGGAGCTTTGTTGGCCGGTCGTTTGCCCGTCCGTCCCCTCCGGCGCTGCGGCCGGCTCAGGGGTCGGTTCCGGGGTGAGCAGGCCCTCTTCGCGTCGGCTGTTAACCGCGGAGCGTTTTACCGTTGTCTCTTCTGAGATTACGGTCGACGGCGCGAAGGCAGGTGGCAGGGGCTGCTCTTCAAGTGAAAATACGAGTTCGCTTGGTTTTGCGAGTCCGAGGAATTGGAGTCCTGGGTTCGCCGTAGCCGGAGGTTCCGAGATCTCCGTGGAGACTGTCTCGGCCACCTCCGCTTGTAAACTAGCTTTTGCATCGTCCTTCGAGTAGAACTTCGTCTCG